AACCAACCACCCTTTGTTTGTAACTATCTACTTATCATACAACCCCCCACTTTTTTTTTTTTTTTTTTTTTTTTTTTTTTTTTTTTTTTTTTTTTTTTTTTTTCAAAATTTTTCATTTTCTCTTCATCTCTCCACACAATCGCATCATAGTTCCGTTATCGGGAAGCATTTATACCTACAAGTTCTTCTTCGAATTGATACCTTAGTAGATCTAGCTATACGTACAGGAAATGAGTGATCAAAAGGTAAGTACTCTATGAAGTTGGAAACAAATTAAAGTCCGAAGGTCGTTTACTAACATATGTCTAGAAAGCCGATCCATTCAAGTCGTTCATCGCTGGAGGTGCTGCAGGTGCAATTGAAGGTGCCATAACATACCCTTTCGAATTCGCCAAGACCAGATTGCAACTTGTAGATAAGTCGTCCACGCAGTCCAGAAACCCATTGGTATTAATATATAACGTTTCCAAGACCCAAGGTGTGTCTGCTCTATACGTTGGGTGTCCTGCCTTCATTGTTGGTAATACGGCTAAAGCATCGGTGAGGTTCCTTGGTTTTGACTATATCAAGTCATTGCTTGCAGACAGAAACGGGAAATTGTCTGGACCAAGAGGTGTAATTGCCGGATTGGGGGCTGGGTTGTTGGAATCTGTGGTTGCTGTCACTCCCTTTGAAGCCATTAAGACTGCCTTGATCGATGACAAGCAAGCAGCCAAGCCTAAGTATCAAAACGGCCTTGTTTCTGGTACTGTGAAATTATGCAAAGATTTGGGCCTTAAAGGGCTCTACGCCGGTGTCGTTCCTGTCTCTGTGAGACAAGCATCAAATAGTGCTGTCAGATTGGGTGGTTACAACGTAGTAAAGACCATGATACAGCAAGCTACTGGGACCAAACCTAATGAGCCATTGAGCTCAGCTGCCACCTTTGCCGTAGGTTCATTTGCTGGTGTTATCACCGTGTATGCAACCATGCCAATTGACACTGTCAAGACCAGAATGCAATCCTTGGGTGCTGATAAATTGTACACTTCCACCTTAAACTGTTTTGTCAAGATCTTCAAAGAGGAAGGCTTGTTGACGTTCTGGAAGGGTGCTACGCCTCGTCTTGGTAGATTGATATTGAGTGGTGGTATTGTATTTACTGTTTACGAGAAGATGTTAGTCATCATGAATTAGCATCAAAAGTAAATACAAAAAAAGAAAAAAAGTTACTAAGGAAGCGTTTGTATAAGGCGTACATTTTCATTCATTAATTATTATATATACACATCTAGTTTTAAATTAAGTCAAAGCTAAACAATACCTTCCTGTTTCTTCTCTTCCTGCTTTTCGTTTTCTTCAGATCTAAGCCCGTACCTGTTCTTGTTCTTCTTCCTCTTCTTCCAGGTCTTCGTCGTCATGTAAGCGATGACCGCCATTTTCACTTTCGCTGCTTTCTTCGTTTGTTGGCGCATTATTTGTGGTTTCCCACAGGAATGGACTCAGTGCACTAGCACCTCCTGGAGGCGCAAGAATCACTCTTTCAATCTGGGTAACTTTCCAGAAATCTACCAAGGCTTTCAATATCATAAACAACCCAAAGGCAATCACTCCATAAGCGAAGTAAGGCGTTTTGCTTTCAAACAATTCGCTAAGCTCTTCAGCATGTTGCTGGAAAATTCCTGCATTGTAGTCATCGATCTTGCTTCCCTTAGACACGGAGGTTCCCTTGTTGACATCGAATCCGTTCGGATCTTCAGGCTCGTATCTATTTGGTATGCTGTTGGCGTGTCCGTTGTTACTAGGAATCATGGAGAGCCCATACATGATGAAAGTAATCCCCAACCCAGCTCTGGAACCCTGCTTGGCTGCGTGTGACGTATGGAGCAAGTAACAAAGTATGAATCCAACAAACTGGAATGCAACTGAAACGAGCCCATTCCACACAAAGTTAGCAACATTTCCCACAGGAAGTCCCTCCACAAATACTTCATCTTCATACATGGGGGAAATAACGGTGGATTCCCAATATTCAGGTGTAGCATCAGCTGCCGCTTCATCGTATGAAGGCGGATGAGTCTCTAATTCAAGACGGTTCGATTCTGTGTCTGGCTTTGCCATCAAATTACGGAACACACCATCAGTACCCTGCCCAATGAAGTTCCCTGGCAAATTTGCCTGCATTCTACCAGTAGTGAGTCCATTGTTTATTCTGTCGTACGTCTGTCTTACGGGGAAGAGAGCATGCACTACGTTTAAGATTCTCTCCCGTGGCGAGAGCCTTCTGTTGGGGTTTATTTGGCTTTCCAAGTCCGTGTTCTCCGAAAACGAAGACAGTGAAGGCATAGATGACGACTGGCCGGCTGTTGCGGACAACGAAGACGATGAAGCACCCTGGTTGTCATAGTGGACAGAACTGGTTCCCTCAATAGCTGAGTGTATGTTCCTGTCTATCTCTGAGGCTCCGCTGCCCCTGGTTTCGTCTTCTGTGGAGAATAACAACCTGTTATCCTCGCCTTCCGCCTCGTTGTCAGCGTACTCCTCCGTCTGACTCTCCTTGTAGTGCTCTGGCTCCGGTGTGTCGAACGATTCTAAGAGCTCCAAGTTCTCCTCCTTGCGGTAAGGAAGATCCTCGAGTTCGGTCTCAGTCTGGAACATGATGATGCAGAACTTGTGTGGTGTGCTTGATCAGGATTTTGTTTACGTATGTGTTTACCTGTGTATATAAATATGCTTACTTATGTAAGTAACAGTATATTCTCCAAATGGACCGGTTGGATGCTCGCTATTCTCAGTTATTACTATGCAAAGCAGTTCAGGTCACTATACTACTAGCTCTCGGTCGATGCGATCTATAATAACCTTGTTTTCTCTACAAAGCGTACCGAAATATACCGCTAGCTACCCTCGTATGGTCTATAGGGGCGCAATTTCCCTCAGAAATTCGCTATGCTTCTATTTTTCTTTTGTTTTATATGCAGTACAATATGAGGCTACTCGTTTAGTGACTGAAATGCTGCAGGTGCGCCAAGCAGTGCAAGGCTTCTGGTGGGGTGGAGTGGTAGAGAGAGCGAGAGGATAGAAAGGATCGGTATAACGTGGGTGTTGGAAGATTTAGTTGACTGGTACCGTAATGGTCACTGCAGGCCACTAAAAGGATGAAAACAGAAGAAAGTTGAGGGTAAGAAATGTTTCAGATCTATGTGGTTTACTGGTGCTACAGACGCTACACGCTACTGGTGCATGCGCCTAAGGTAAGTGAAAAATAGGAAGCCGTTAAAAAAGTTCTTCTTGGGTGTTCATATATTATTCTTTTGTTCTACTGCCCTTTTTGAGTTATTCTGTCCTTAAATTTCGATTATGGAGCGCTGTTCAGGTTACCTGGGCAGCTCTTCTCTTCCTTCTGACCCCAGTCCAGACTTTAAAGAGGCGGAATTGAAATGCGACTCCATATTCCACTAACCATAATGGTAAGTATCTAACAAAGAGATGGCTTAGATACGCTCTTGCGCCAGTAAATATGTTAAACCCCGGGTATGACCACGGACTCAAGATCTTATTCAATATGTTCTCCGATGCTTCCCTAGGCGAAATGTTGACACTTTCTGTATATTCACCGATGGACTTGAAACTCTCATATATGCCGTCTACTGCATAGTGTGGTCCTCTTACACAATTGGTAACTATGCCATGGTGAGATGAGGAAGACGAGATATTTCCAATTATTACACTGTGGACTTGAACTCCGAAGGGCTTCAACTCGGATCTCAAGATTAATGCGTATTGGTCAACTGCAGCCTTGGAAGCTCCATATGCAGACATCCAGGGAACAGGCAGCCTAGCAGTGGCAGAGCTGCTAAACACAATAATTCCCTTGGCCTGTATAACATACTTGGAGAGGTGCTTGGTGAGGTATATGTTCCCTAAGACATTCACCTTGAATATTTGCTCGAGATCCTTATCTGGAGTTTCGATAGCAGGTCCTCCGATCACCACACTTTCATTATTGTACAAAAAGTCAATGCGACCATCGATTTCCTGTTCAATGGAGCTAGCGAGCTTCTCGATTTCTTCTACTTTACTCACGTCTAGCGCAAATATTTTAATTCCATATACATCTTCCAAGTTCTTGGCTTCCCACTGTTCGCTGGGGAGACAGGTTCCATACACCTTATACCCACGTTTTCTCAAACCCACTGCTAACTCTTTACCAATTCCCTTGGTTATTCCAGAAATAAATGCTCTCTTAATTGCCTTACTAACCATTGTGCAATATCTCTACTGAATTAAATTATTAACTATGTATGGAAAAAAAACATTACTATTTCATGAATATCTTCGCTATATATATAAATACTCTCCCATTTAATTGCATATACCCAAAAACTATTTTTCTCCATTGCCTATTTTCACAGTTTTGCTCTGATCCTATTCTTTATCATTTTTGTTGGCTATTTAAGCGGGGTTCATGTGATGCTTAATTAACGTTTAGCCTTTCAATAAGTTGAAAAATCCTGTACACAGTCGAGTACGCAATTAACCATTTAGGCATGGAGTGCCCATCATCTCAACTTAATATTAACAATAAACCTACCGTTGACAGTGTCATGTGAATACCTAACTCTATTATTTCTATTTTCAACAGGTGGGGGCTTGTATTCCGGGTTCTTGATCAGAGTTCTCTGTACAGCAATTTCATTGTATCCATAAATGTCTGGTACTCCTAAATCAACTCCACCTGGAAGAACAGAAGAAGGTGCCGGTGTTCTAAATGTCTTTGGATAATCGGACAAGTCTGGCAATGCTGAACCACCACCTCTAGCTCCACCATGCAATGCTGCTGCTCTACGTGATGAAGTCCCAGATCTACCGCTTCCAGCATTGCTCCCACCAGAACCATTCAATTCTTTACCTCCAACCAATCCACCATCTTCCGTCAAATTGTGTCTACGCTTTCTTCTAGCTTCTCTTTCCATCTCCTTGTCAAGTCTATCCAACTCCAATTGTGTCAATTTTATTAATGTTGGAGTGTTATCAGCCACAGAACTTGGATTTCTCAAAATTGAATAGAATTCATCACTAAGAGTGCCCATTCCATCCCTTCTACCTCCAGTGGATATTCTTAATTGTGGTAAAATATGACTTCTTATTTCATCCTCATGCACAATAGATCCATCAAAACTGTACCCAATCAAGAATAATGCCTTGTGGAATAATTGGACCTGTTCCCTAATACTGTGAGAAATGGCAGTGGTAAATTCACCTGGAAGTTTTAATTCATCACATAATACTACTGCAAACTCTTCCGGGTCATTTTCTTCAAAGTTGAATATATCCCACTCAAATTGATCAACAAGTTGTGTATTGTTGATTGTGATGTCAATCTTTAAAGGAACTCTTAATTCTCCCATTGTGGATTGTGGTTTCTTTTTAAAATCTCGAATTTGTTCTTTTATTGAGCCCAATATATTTTCAAAACTCTGTGGAGGGATGAACTTATAGTCATCAATCAAAACAGCAACAAAATTCTCTAAAGAAAGACAGTTTTCATTCAAATTCCAAAGGAATGTATCACGTAATTTAAATCTATCCCTTTCGTTGTCGAATTCAAGTCTGATTGGAACCAAATCATTACCCTTCCCTTCCTGCTCTTTTATCCTCTCATTCATCTGTAAATCCGTGATTAAATTTTCTGCTGCAGCAATGGTTTTAAAAGGTTGTGATGTGTACTTATCTAAATCCTTTGGTAAGATCAATCTTGTAAATGTGTTACTAATACCATTACCATATCCCTGGTAACCTTCACCCCAGATACTGTTATTGAAATGTCCTTTATGACTCAAGGCAATAGCATTCATTCTTAATTGCTTGATATCCGTATATGATTTGATATCTTGGACCAACCCATCTAGCAACCTCTTACTGCTGTTCAATTGGTTTGTCATTTTACCCATAAACTTGCTATCTTTCTGAATTATGGATTCATATACCAACACATCAGTAGGCACTGGTTCTCCTTCTTTCTTAAGTTTATCAGACCATTCCGTCAATGAGCTTAAATTTTTCTGAGGAATTACCTCATTAAACGTAGTTGAAGTAAGTTGACTGGTATTTATGCTTTGAGCACTATGAACAGGACCCTGTATTGCTGGCGGAACACCATTCACCAAGGGCCCACCTCCAACTGGCTTTCCAAGGGCCTGCTGTCCTGGAACTCCCTGACCTTGCAGTAGTTGGCGGATCTGTTGGTTTTGTCCTGCGATGACTTGCTGTGGAGGTCCTCCAGGAATCGAGCCCACTCTTACTCCCTGCTGTTGGTGAGCTGGTCCTTGTTGTTGAAGCTGGTGGGGGTTTTGCTGCTGCTGAAGATGTTGCTGCTGTTGGAAGTGTTGCTGTTGCTGTTGCTGAGGAAGCTGTTGTTGATGCTGTGGAATTTGCTGACGTGGGTGGGGGATTTGACCTTGGGCAAGGGCCTGTTGCTGCTGCTGTTGAAGAAGCTGCTGTTGCAGGAAATTGCCCTGCTGTTGCATTAATTGTGGTGACTGTTGACTTTGGCCCAGCAGCGGTTGCCTAGAACGCTGTTGCTGCTGCTGGAGGTGCATTTGCTGGGGCAAAGGAACCTGGCCACCGATTACTCCTCCAGTACTCTGAATAGGACCTTGCTGTTGTTGGTGCTGCTGTCTTTGGATATAAGCTTGGTTCAAGGATGGGTTCCCTCTTTGAGCAGCAAGCTGTTGTTGTTGTTGTTGTTGTTGTTGTTGTTGTTGGTAAAGTTGCAGCTGTTGAGCTGCACCATTGTCATTTCCCTGTGCTCCTCTCAGTTGTGGTGCACTTTGCTGAGAGTTCATCTGTTGTTGTCGCAACTGTTGCATTCTCTGTTGCTGAAGTTGCTGTTGAAGCTGCATCTGCTGTGACATCTGTGGATTCATTTGCTGCTGAAGTGGTTGTTGAATTTGTTGCAGTTGTGGCTGTTGCATCAATGGGTTAACATTCATAGACTGTCCTGGACCTTGCTGGCCCTGCTGGTGTTGCTGTTGTTGCTGAAGCTGCTGTTGTCTCTGAAGATAGTTCCTCATGATAGTCTGGAATTGAGGTTGCAGTCTCAACTGCTGAAGCTGTTGAGGGGTCAAGTTTTGGAATTGAGGTGGTAACATGGAGTAGAGGTTTCTATTCTGGTCCATGTTTTGCTGGGGTTGTTGCTGAGCTTGCTGTTGCTGTTGCTGCTGTTGTTGCATGGGGATGTGCTGCTGTTGTTGCTGCTGGTGACCTTGGTAGTTCTGGTCCCCGTTACTCTGCAATTCATTGAAATTCATCCCTAAATGCTACAAGGTATCTAGTCTTTGGTTATCAGGAATGTTTTCTTTTTTTTTCGTTTTTAGTTCTAAGATTTTGACCAAGGATTGTCTTTGTGTAATTTGACGCGGGAATCTCGAACGGGTGCATATATTCACCGAAAAGGAAGTCGTACTGCATATAGGATGACGTGATAACCAGGCACACCAGCCACTGGCCATAGAGAGATGCTAAGTCAATGGGGCCAGGCTCAACAACACCATGGCAGTTTATGGCACAGAGGATGGTACTTGAGAGGCTACATGTATAGACAATACTGTATTGTGTGTTGTTTTGTTTTATTTCATTTTTTCATTTTTTTTGATTAATATATTGATATATGTATATATATTTACTCTTTATTTAAGTACTTCCATTAGTACCACTAAAAAAAACCTACACTCTATTTACTATTGGTGGCTCCAAATTAAACCCTTTACACATGCACATACTTTAATCCCTATCAGTTATTTCTTATTTCATGAAATCAAAGATACTTCCCATGTCAACATAACGACGACCGCATTCTCCCAAATACTTTTGAACAACCTCTTGGCACCCGTTAAATAGTTCTCTATTCTGTTCTGCAAGTGCATCAACTTGGCCCGCCACTATCTTTGGAGGCTCTGAGTCTCTCTTTTGATCAAGAACATCATATATTGGTCTGAGCTTGTTGCCCTTGGCCTTGTCAACATCGAAAATGGACTGGAAATACAACAATTGGTTATATAAAGCACGATCACTGTACTTATATCTCATTATACCTTTGCAACCAAAAGCCTTTCCAGATGCTCCAATGCATCTCTTCCCATAGACTGAAATTTGACGAGTAGTGATACCACATGCAGAATCGTCACATACCAACCACCCAGCGTAGTATAATGCAATATGTTTTCTAATGGTATATTCAAGCTGCGAATTGATTCTCAAGATAGGGAATGTGAATCCACATTTAGCACAGTTAATACCATTGAAAGTAATTCTATATGAGTTTGATGCAAGTATACCTCCAAATCTAAACTTAGATCCACAAGTACACTGTAATACCAAGAAACTGCATTGATTGAATCTTTCGATATCACTGATATTTGACTCCAATGGTAGAATTTCTCCATTACCTCCACTCTCAGCGTTGGAACGCATTCTCATGGCAAATTTCCTCGAATCCATGCCCAATGAGCTTGCTATTCTCATCATATCAACTCCTTCAATTCTTTCAACCAATCTCTCAACTGGGGCAAAAATCTGCTTCTCCAAGTAGAACATAGGATCTGGTCTTAAATTGGAGTTCTTACTAAGAACTTCTTGAATGGCCCTGGCTCTTTCTGCTGGAGATGATATGCTGCTGTTTTCATCTTCTAAGTCATCAGCATTTGGAGCAGTAATAATATAAGTTATAACACTTCCTGCCTTAATGACTTTTCCTTGTTCTCTTAACCTCAATGCCACCTTAACAGCAGGCATGGTTTTACCATTGGGGTAATTGTTAGGATCCTTCGATAATTTAGTATTAATCTTGAAGGAGTCAACTGCAATAGCATTGTCTTTGATTTTCTTAGTCATGTCTTCCAAGTACTCGTAAACTTCTCCCAATGCAATTTCTGGATCAACATCCGATAAGATCTTTTTCAAAACAAAGGTGGAAATATCTTTTGAAACTTGACAGTATTCACGTCTTCTCATATCTAACCCCTTCACTTCCAATACCGTTTGTTCCTCTCCAGTTTTTCTATTGATAGTAGCATTCAAAGCTGCGTATTTCTTCTTTGCATGTAATAACAATCTTTTGAAGATATTATCGATGTCAATTTCCAATAATTTATATCTTTCGTTGACTTGTACCTTAAAATCCTCACCTATTTTAATAGACTCCCAATAATCAGATACACCTGTGTCGATCATGACAGAATCAGTATCACCATAAATGACTCTCAAGCCAATTGATTCTGCTAATTGTCTAGTGTCCATTAAAATTTCTCTACCTTTATTGGTGACCATCATAGCTAATGGCTTAGCATAGAATCTTGAATTAACATAACCCAAGCAACCGTACATAGAGTTGGCGGTCAATTTCAATGCCTGTTGCTTGATATCGAACTGAACTTTCTCGGCCGGAGTATTCTTTGGATCTTTCAATAACTTCTTAACTTCCCTACGACGTGACACTAACGTATTTAATAATCTTGGTAAAACACCTTGGCTGGAATCTGAATCTGGTAATATTGGCATATCTCTGTCTTCATCATGCGTTAAGTTAAATTGATGTCTATCAACTGTTGTGAAACAGATGTTGAATTCTTGAATAATTGAAGGGTACAAAGAATTGAAATCCATAACTAACGTGTAGTTTTTATGCAATCCCTTTTCAGGTTCAAAGACCAAACCACCCTGGAACTTAGGCTTCTTATTTGAAGTTGCTGTAGTAGCATCTTCTTCTGTTGATTCAAGCTTTGCTTGTTGTTGGTTGTTTGCATTCTTGTGGTACTTATTCTCCTTATCTGGTACGATATAGTCCTGTCTTTTGAATTCATGCAACAAAATATATTCATTTCTACCCGCTCTTGTACCACTCAATGTGTGTGACCAAGCATTACCAGCAAGATTTGTTAGCTGTTTAGACAATGATAGAATCTGTATAGAGAAGGCAATTTCTGCCGTTATCAATACATTATTAAAGTTCTCTGACAATGCAAGCAAAAGGAAACTGGCGTCCTCAGCATATCTTGGATTTTGGAAATTAATTTCAAGTGCTGTTTGCTTTGTATGACAAACAACCTCATACATTTCTGGTAAATCCCAAGATTGACATTTAGATGTTAAAGATTGCCCCATTTCATTGGCAATATCACATAACAATCTACCTTGAAATATTTCTCTAATATGTAAGCTATTATTGAAACCATTAGAACCGTTACCACTTGATTTACCAAACTTTTCTGGCCATGCTTTTCTATTTCTACGACCAAAAGTTGACCAAGTAGACACCTTCAAATCGTACATACGATGCACAAGTACATCCAATGAGATATTTTCTAATCTGTGACCGACAAAGACATCAGGGTCTAGATTTTTAACTAAGGCAGCTAAGCAGTTCAACAAAGCCTTCTCATTGGGCATCACTCTAAGAGCCAATCCTTGCTTTTGAGCCAATTGAGCTAATCCTGGTGGAACACTGACGGATCCTACCGGTCTCACTAAAGTGATTTGATCATCTGGCTTTAAACTTTCATCCAAAGGTGCATCTTGAGGCAAATCACGATAAGTTGCAAGCGATACAGAAACAACTTCTTGCTTATTACTCTTTGTACTCATTATCGTTTGCACGGCAATGGAGGTAACATTTAAAGGTGGGGGCAATATCTTGGTGTCCGTGATTGGTTTCACGCATGATGGAGATGGGATAGCAGCCTCTACTTGAGAATGAGAAGTATTAACTATAGCGTTAAAGTCACCCTTACTAATTTCCAACCAGCAGGGCCCCATTATGTTTCTTTGAGTGACAAATGTTTCGAATATGTTAGCGTTTGTTCCAAAAACATGAGAAAATGTCTCTCCTTCAAGATCTGACGGTAAAATGAGTTTCGGATTTTTGGGTGTCTTATATGGAAGCAAAACCTTTAAGTACTCAGCTTCGCTAGGGATTCCTGGTAGTTCAAATGCATACTTCTTGGTCTCTGGCTTGGCTCTTATGTTCTGAAGTTGGTACGTTTCCAAAAGCAAAGGAATGACTTCCTCATGAACATCTTGACTGCTGATTTCTTCATCAGTCTCCTCATCATTAACCACTCTGTGCTTCCTAGGTAAGAAATATAATTCACGGTATAACCCATTAATCTGAACAACACCAGAAACTAAATTTCCTTCCACAGTTTGAATTTTACCGAAGAGTAACAAACTATTGTCAACCTCACAGTAGTCCAACCAAAACATCTTGAATGAATTACTTTCGGTATCTTTACCAACGATGGTAGCTTCATCCAATTTTTCAGTATAGCTAACAGCCGCATGTGCTGTTTGCCTCGAAGGCGATGATGAAGGGATATTTGTTGATTTCACAGCGGAGAAGTTAGTCTTCTTATTAACGTTGCTAGCAGAAGCTCTTGGTCTTCTAGTGATGATTATATCGTCATCAGACGAGTCGTCAATGTCATCTTCATCGTCGTCTCCTTCTTGCTTATCATTGCCAGTTATTTCTATTTTGGATTCAACAACATCTGTAACCTCAACAGCTTGGTCGTCTATGTTTTCCTTATCGCTATTCTGGTCATCCTTCTGCTTTACTTTTATTGGTGATGACGGCTGTTGCTCGTTCAAGTCCATTGAAAAATCTTCATCATCATCAACTGTGGTGACTTTCTTCTCCCTTCTTGCTGAAGAAGAGAAGTTGAAATTGCTGGCCTTGACACTCTTCTTGTCTTTCTTCTGGTTGTTAACATTGTTACCTCCGAACAACTTTGAGTGGTCCAGATGTTTCTTTTGCTTCTTAACTGGAGGAACCACCGCTGAATCAAAAAAGTCTTCCAAAATGTCGTCCACATTGGCGTTATTCTTCTTCTTAGTAGGCTGTTCCACATTGAATCCTGAGGGCTTGAAGAAATTATTGATCTGGGAAGTCTTCTTCACCTTCATAACCAGCTTAGCCTTTTTTCTCTTCTTACCGTTGCTAGCCTCTCCGTCGTCTTCGTCTTCTGAGTAGTAATTGGGCCTTGTTCTGTCGTCCCATTCGTCAGCACCGTTGTCAACGTAACCTTCACCGTCATCGTCCACAATGAAATCATCGTTTATTAGTTGGTGTCTCTTGTGTTCTCTATAAGTATCTTCATCTACTTCGTCATAGATTCCTTCTTGGTCTGCACCTTCAGCGTCAGAGTTTGAAAGTAAACTTGATTTAGCAGCTCTTGCTTCTCGAAGTGCACGAAGCTTGTCCGTCTTGGCAACTCTCGACATGTTTAAAGTGATAAGAGCTGAATGTTATCAAGAGATCCTTGCCGTTGAAGTAAATCAAGTTGGAATAGACTTTACCAGTGACAAAAAAAGTGTCAATATTTTTGTTTTCACGTACTAAAAAAATATCAAACGCGTCAGTGTCGCGCCCTACACGTTAATTTAGAGCTGATTTAGAAATCACTGGCGCATATTGGCTGGATTGTGAGAAAGTGGGTTATGTATAAAACGTGAGACTCTGTTGCTTCATTATGAGCGGAGGCAAGAAGATATGCTCCTTAGTAAATAGAGGTACGAGTATGGTGGTTTTTTTAGCGCTTTAGAGGCCGAAGTGTCGTGCAATGTGGTGTAAGTTAGACCTAGATACTTTAGGATGAAGCATGCAACCTTTACGGCTTATGCGCAGAAGATACGTTCTACACTATTCCTCAAGGACAAAAGACAAATGGCTGCGAAAATAGACAAGAAAAAAAAGAAGTAGAGAGAGAACAAGCAAAGAAGGAAAGGGAGTAGGGCTGCTGAAGTAAGCATATTTAACTCTAATTCCTGTTCATATTCACATTCATACTCCCATACTCATGCCACACTCACATTGCCAATATTCCACGATACAGAGCTACACATTCGTGAACATTGGTAACCATCGTAAACATCCTCTTCTTCAGGTGCACTGCCATTCCCTTCTCTGGCTTGGGTGCACTACCGCTGGCCCCGATCTTAATCGGGCTAACCAAATTGTCGTGACACAAAATGGCCCAGCCCATATCAAACTTTCGCATTCGCTTAAGAGCATAGCGACTCCACACTTTCGTACTTTGCTAATTACTATTCACTTTCTATACCTAATTGTATAATTAAATATGTCATTTGCTAATTTCGATTATGAAGCGCAAAAACCGCTTCAGAAGAATGGCTCAGCTCAGTCGGAATCTCAAAATGAGTTAGATTCTATCATTGAGAAAACATCAAAGCAACTTGAGCTGTTCGGTAGTCTTGTATCGCAATTTGATACTCAACGTAAACAGATTGGTAGTAGAAGAGATGGAGCTCGATTACGTAGTAATATAGATATACTTATAGATAAAATATCCAATTTGGATTCCGTAATAAATATCTTGATTGAGAACATCTCATCGGTGGTCAATAAGAATCAGACAGGAAGCGGCAAATCTTTAACGATAACCGACAAGCAAATTGTGATAAAGGAAAGATTGGAGATCGAATACAGTAGGCTACATAAGGAATTTCAAGTATTGACCCGAACATATAAAGAAAAGAAAAGAGCCGTCCCAATCAAGGAAACTATTGATGCCGTAGCAGCGCCTTCTGATGAGCAATCTCCGTTGCTACACCAAGCGAGTGGGCAGCAACTTACCCAGGAACAATTACAAGTACAGCGAGATGAAATTAACGAATCTGAATTACAGTATCATCTTTTACTAACAGAGGAGCGTAATCAAGAAATAAACCAAATCAATGAAGGTATAGTAGAAATAAATTCCATATTTAAAGATTTAGGCGAATTAGTTCACCAACAGGGTGATCAATTGGACACTATAGAGGAAAACATATTACAATTGCATGGACATACTCAGCAGGCTGAACAGGAATTGGTCAAGGCCAATGAATACCAGAGAAAGAAGGGAAAGTGGAGCTGCATTGTGTTGGTTGCATTATGTGTGTTCATACTAATAGTTGTACTTGCAGTACTTAGTTAGACGGCTCTTTACAAATACGCCCAACTACAAGGAAACATAGTCTTACAAGTAGACCACTTTTATAATATTTATATTTAACTAAATTAAATAAACCCTTTAATTTTTTTCGAGTAAATAACTGTTTATTCCGTTTAAATACTGACCTTTGCTCTTGTTCGCCGATGTACCCTTTTATCTACATTGCAATTCAATTTTCCATTACCCCATATTTTTCAATCCAATTCGTCCTTATCGAAATACCCATCGCCATATTCTTCTTCTTCGTCATCATCATCATCCTCTTCTTCGTCCGAAAGGTCTGGTGTCGACACTCCGCTCGAGAACCCCGAGCTGGTACCTCTGCCATTGAATGACCCGTCTAAATGGCTATCAGCGAAGGCCATATTGGCTTGCTTAAGCTGCTCCTGCTTGTCCCTGCAGAAATTCGCACCTGCTTGGAAAGCATGCTCAGCAAACTCTAACATCTTCTCCTTATTGCTGATGAAGGCAACTGTACCTCCAACAATTGCCCCTGCAGTAACTGCAAATTTCACAGAAAGGGGAACTAAAAGTTAGTAGTCATGATAAACGAGAGGATCTTGCATCTGGTTCACTATTTCTACACGATAGCCCCCGATTGCCACCTAATAAAACCCAGTATACATTTGTTTTGGCTGTGAGGGTGCTACTGAGTATTGAAAATACAGAATACGTACTATAAAACGGCATGTGAAAGATCGTGGTTCTAATGATTCGTAAGTAACAAGTTTGTCGATTGCTCTTTTCAAGCAGAATACTGTCGACTCTAAATCTAAAGCTAATCCAAACGCAAGGGAAAGACTGTAGATCGTGCAAAGAAGCAAGTCATTCTTAAAGCTGCGTATGCAGGGAAGCCTGCTCAGATGGAACCTGGGGATTTGGGAGGATCGAGAAAAATAAAAATAAGAATAATAATAAAGAAAAATGCTACAGAGTGTGTGAACGGCTGATAGCAGAGCGCGAAGTAGTGAATCAATACTTGATGAAGAGTTCCCTGATAGAGTTCCTCTTTGGTCATCGGGCTTCGACCGTGCTGCATTTGCAGGCATGGTCAGAGTCAGAGTCAGAAAATCGAGAGTCAACCCCTATCTCCCCTATACTCACACTATGGCTCTTCAATGTGCCTTTTTTCTTGTTTTTTTTTTTTTTTTTTTTTTTTCAGTTGCCTATATCAGGCATTATATGCGCTAACAGCGGGAGATGATTCATAATCATTACTCGATCAGCACCTTACCGAACTACAAGTCCTAAAACTTGACAGGACTTCTTTCTATTCTATTTTTTTGATTTTGTTTTTTGATTCACAGGTGCCTTTTCCTTTGCTTTTTCTCTAACCGTAGCACTTTCTGGATTTTTGCATCACTACGCTATGACTGGGCCCATCATTACTCGTCCTTTGTCCAACATGGAAAACTTCATGCGCTCAAGAACTGCGACTGGGTTCTATAGAACTTTCCAATTGACCGCCACCTATTCTAAAGCGATAAGCAAAGAATTGCTTTTTAAAGCATTGAGAAAATCTTTGATCGACTATGTGATGTTGACTTGCAACGTATTCAAGGCTGAAAATCATTGCTACTATCACCCAATTCCTAGAATTTCCTTTGATGATATAGTTTCATTTGAATTGGATCAAGCCTTGGACGAAACATTCTTGAAAAAAATTAACGAAGAAATTAGGTTCCAATTGTATGCCAACCAGCCTCTTTTCAAAGTTATTTTGTTGGAGAAGAACCAGGTGTGTGCTGTCTTTGAGCACACTATCAACGATGGAGTTGCTGGGGCTTTTTTCCATGAAATCTTGATCGAAAATTTGGCATTTATCGAAAACGACGCTGATCAAGTCTTTGAGCAAGAATATGGAGCTTCGGATTTCTTGTTTGATCTTGATGAAGATAAACTGAAAATTAAGTATTCTCTCCCACCTCCTGTAGATCCATTCATGGAACCATATGAGGTTGACTTCTCTGATAATGATCCCAACCATTATAGTAAAATTACACCCAAGGGACTCACTAAATGGGATGGTAGATTTCCTATGAAAAGGGAGTTTGTTTCAAGTTTCAAGATGATCAACTTCACGCCAGAAGAAGTTGGTAAAATCTTAAAGAAATGTAAAGAAAATGGAGTCACATTGACTTCTTATATTGAGGTGGTTCATGCTCTTACTGTGCAACCAATCATTGGAGATAACAACTATTCAGTCAACAAGATTGCCTTAAACTTGAGGAAATGGTTGAAGAGTCCAATGGATGCGAACGGTCAATATAAGGAAATGTTACTGGGATTTCCTGAACACAAGATTTTGGGAACTTGGGCACACTTAGGATTGGCAGAGAACCTCCCTCCTCTTTACAAATTCGACTGGGACTTGGTGAAGTTTGTCAATGAGAACCTTAAAAAGACAGTTACTAATACTAAAGTAATGAGCTGCTCGAAGGTATTCTTCGATAGCGCCAGTAAAACTGATGACAATGCTGATTTCTTCAGCTCCCATATTGGCAAGCCCAGACCTGATATGGTAAAGATTTCGAATTTAGGCTTTGTTAAAATCAAGACTGGAGATTGGGAGATTCTTGATATTTGGTTCAGTCAAGATGTGGCAGTTATTGCTGCAGACTTCATGCTTAGTGTAGTTTCTTCACCAAAAGGGGGATTGAACTTCATGTGGAGTTATATTGAGGCTGAGGACTTTGATTTAACGGGATTTGATGAAAAGTTTAGACAGAACATGATAAACTGTGCTAATTTATAAACCGATTTAACAAACTAAAATGTGTTAATATTTAACATAGACAAAGACAAAACAGTTAAACTGTGTTAATTTATACTATCGGCCATATAGAACTTCAACTACCATGTGTGAACATTTAATATCGACCAGACAAATCATGTTGGCCTGTGTTAATTTATGCGAAAGAGCCCAGCGTAATAAATTGAGCTGTAATAGCCTCGATCGTACACTTTTACCATATATATAGAAAACTTAGTAAAATCCTCTTGATATAGAATATATGCAATGACTATACCTTTCACTGAACATCTTCATCGACTGCTCCACGCATAATTTGCAGCCATTGAAATTTTCATGCATAGAAGCTTCCTCGAATTTATTGATCAGTGTTCATGCAGTTCTTCATGTTTGTATGTATCAAATCAATAAGCAAAGCAAAGGTAGTATAGAATCAAATCATTTATCTCACGTAGACAATGGCTCTGTATGAACTTGACGATGAACACTTATCTCCAGAGAATAATTTTATAGGAGATAATGAAACAAGAAATTTGAGAAGTAGGAAGACCGGCTCGTGGCTCAATCAAGAAGAGATTAAAGAAGTTGTCCGATATGATCAGTTCATTACAATCGATTGGATGCAAGATGAACTTCAGGAACATAAAAAGTTGTTGGCAAAGAAACAAGAACTCGTCAACAGCAGTGGCACTGCGTCAATACAAGACAGGTTTCTATCGTTTACACTCAATTGGTTTGTATTGGCAATCATGGGGATATTCATCGGTGTGATCGCAGCGACTTTAAATATAATGACTGCATGGCTCTCGAATATAAGGTTGGGCCATTGCTCCGGAGCAATTTACCTTAATAAGAGTTTCTGCTGTTGGAATGAAGCTAAAGTCGAAGGCTCCGATACCTGTAGTAAGTGGGTCTCTTGGTCGGACTACTTTGTATTGAACTATTTTATGTATATACTATTTTCGTTTATCTTCTCATTCTCCGCTGCCTTCATAGTGAAGAAATTTGCACCATCGGCAGCAGGGTCGGGTATATCAGAAATTAAGTGCATTGTATCAGGATTCGTTATGGAAGGATTCTTAGGATGGTGGACCTTGTTAATCAAGTCCTTGGGATTGCCATTGGCAATTGGTTCTGGGTTAAGTGTGGGAAAGGAAGGACCTAGTGTGCATTACGCAGTCTGCGTAGGGAATTGTGTTTCTAAGATTTTTGAAAAGTATAGAAAGCTGGCCTCTAAGGCAAGGGAATTCTTAACAGCAACTGCCGCAGCAGGTGTTGCAGTTGCATTTGGATCTCCGATGGGTGGGGTTCTTTTCTCTATGGAAGAAATCTCATCGGTATTCCAGTTATCAACCATCTGGAAGTCGTATTTCTGTGCTTTAATTGCAGTCACAACTTTGGCAGCGATTAACCCCTTTGGAACAGGCCAGTTAGTCATGTTTGAAGTAACGTATGATACTAATTGGCATTACTTTGAAATCCCTTCATACATCTTACTAGGAATATTTGGGGGTGTTTATGGAATAATAGTCAGTAAATATAACAAGAGAGTGGTCTCATTCCGTAAAAAGTACTTATCAAACTATGCTTTGAGAGAAGTGGTCACTTTGGCAATCTTAACTGCTTCATTTAGTTACTTCAACGAATTCTTGAAAATAGATATGACTGAATCTATGGAAATCCTTTTCCATGAATGTGGAAAGGGCTTTGATCATCCAATGTGTGACCCTGACTCGAAAAAGACATTGTTGATATTCTCTTTGTTGTTTGCAACTATCTCAAGAATGGTGTTGACAATCTTTACTTATGGTTGCAAAGTGCCTGCAGGTATATTCGTTCCATCTATGGCTGCAGGTGCTACATTCGGTAGAGCAATCGGTGTATTGATGGATATGCTACACAGTTCTCACCCAAACTCATCTATATTTTTGACCTGCCCAACTCCAAATAGCGATGGAACAACGCCAAAATGTATTATACCTGGTACATATGCATTTTTGGGAGCAGCTGCTGCATTGAGCGGAATTACCCATCTTACAGTCACTGTTGTCATTATCATGTTCGAATTGACTGGAGCCTTACGATACATAATTCCTACTATGATTGTGGTCGCAATTACTAAAAGTATTAATGATAAATGGGGTGAAGGTGGCATTGCTGATCAAATGATTAAATTTAATGGATTACCATTAATTGAAGTAAATGAAGAACACCATTTTAATAATGACCTAGTAATTGAAGCTATGTCAACTGTAACTGTAACTTTGCCGTTTTCAAGAGACGAGCTGGTTTCTATTAGCCAATTGAGAAAGATACTTAGCAAAACGAAGTTCAAAGGATTCCCTGTAATTCAATCATTTTCCATTCCTAAGATAATAGGATATGCTACAAGAACTGATCTTTTACATGTACTTTCATCGAATGACCAGTCTACTTACGACGATGCTGAACTTTGCGATTTTAGCAAGGAAAACGGCCCATTCAACAAAATTCTCAACCACTCACCAGTGATAATAAACAAAGATACAACCATAGGGTATTTACTTGATATTTTCCACAAATTAGGTCCGAGATATGTATTAGTTGAAAATGAAGTAGGGTTGCTCTGTGGTTTGGTTACAAGAAAGGATGTTTTAAGATATGAACATTCCATTGCAGATAAGACTAACGTCAAACATTTACGGAAGGTGGAAGATGAATTTAACGACAAAGTATGGAACTTGATGTTATACTGCAATATTTCAATGAGAAAGACTCTAGGCAAATTATTTCATAATAATGAAAATAGGTATTTGTGATGTTATCACAGAAACTGATCTTGGCCTTTCTATTTATTAGGGCTCTTATTATACAATTCTTCTCTATATATATTTATATAAAATGCATTAATCATTCGTCTTTCCATTTTCCATTTGCTTTGTAATTTGAGTATAACGATTTATAATAAGTTCTTCCTGGGATATCCAATGATGAACTGACCAATTGAAGTTCAATTGGTGATAGGACATCGAAAATCTTAAATATTCCTGACAAGATGGTCTCAACATTAACATTTGAAAAGTTGGATGTTAATGATAAGTAAATAAAATTAACTAATAACACTGGTAAATGTTTTCTCAAAGATCTCTTGATCAAGGCAGATGAAGAATTCAACGTACCATTCTTGTTGCTGTTAGTTGATTCCTTATTCGAAGGTTCACATAAATTTCCTAATAAACGTGAATATGCAGATGCTGATTCAATGGAAGATGATAGATCATTAGGGAAATTAAGTTTCCTCTTTAATGATAATGGTTCAAGTAATGAAATGCAAATTGACATGATTAAGTGGTGTCTTGATGATAATCTAAATCTGTGGTAAAGCAAAATGTAAGACATAACTTGAGTAAGTAATACATAGGTCTTTTCTGGCAAAGGTACCTGTTCGACACATTTGATTATCTTACTCACTAATGAAAGAGTAGTCTCGAGTGAGTACTGGTCAAAGCACCAATATACTTCACTCAAGCAATTCTTTATGCTTTGTAATATATTCAATACAGAATGGTTGGAACCTGAACAGCTGTGCATAATTAAATCCAACTTAGTTAAGATTAAAGACAAGGAACCTGTGAGTATTAAAGTGGTACTTTCCTTATTATTTGTCTTCTTCAATATCTTTTTATTCAAGAAGCACAATAATAGTTGAATGAAAATGTGAACATTGTCTTCATTTGCGTCTCTCTCCATAGTATAAAGTAACAATGAATGTATTGAAATTAGATCACTTTCTTGAAGTGATTGTAAGTGGTTTACAAGATTGTCTAAAAGTTCCTGATAGCTTTCCAATTTGAATTCCGTTTGAATGGCAATATACAAACTAAGCAAATAGGTAGCATTGTTAAAGTTACTCTCCAATAACATAGACGACAAGCTGAACAAATTACTTCTAGCCAAGTTCAATTCATATCCTGAAGGAGACAAGCTGATCTTTAAACCAAAATCCTTGAGGGCGGTATGAACGTCGGAATTCAAAAGACTTGGTACTTTATTTAAAGCATTTAAAATCTGGTTAACGTCTTTATAATTTTCCAATAAGGACAATTGCTTTAATAATTGAATGGATGAACTCAAATATTGGCTAGCAATCCATCCTAGTGAATCTGATATTTCTTGATCAACTGTAGCTGGGTAGTTGAATGAAACTATTATTGTAGATATTTCGAATTCAATTGGTAAAGATTTGTATTTTTTAACTTTAAGTGACTTGTAAAACTTGGAGAGTTTACTAAGGGAATCTAAAATATATTCCTTACTTATCGGCTCAGTATGACTATGGACATGGACCGACCAAATTGAGGTGCAAATAGTTATTAATGTTTCTTTATCTCCATTGGAAGACAATAATTTGAGCAAGGCGTCAAATTTTGTCTCAACCTTTGTTCTAAACGATGGTTGGCTCAACAAATGGTTCAAACATGTTGGTGCAATGTTAGTTGTAGTTTTTGAAATGCACTCATCGTAAGTAATATCAACCAATTTAACTTTAAGATGTTTGGGGAAGCACTGAATTGGTATGCTCAAAATAAGTTGTAAGTTTTCTTTATTTCTTGAATTAGAAAGAAGTTCAATCAACTTGCTTATTAAAGCGTTATTAATTTCCTTCTGTTCAAAGAAAATATAGCCATACTTTTCAAAGTAAGCCACCAAATCCTTGACATCAACAGTGGAGAATATAAGTTCGATAACTTGGTTCAACTGCTCTTTGTCAAAGTTGTTGTTGGCGAAGGCAATCCACCTTTTCATCAAATTCAAGACCATGTGATTCAGTTCTTTGTTTGATTCATGTTGTAAATATGTAAGGTATTTAGGGATTACGGTAGTAATGAGTTTGTCGGCAACTTCTTCATTGATTTCCTTCATACGGAAAATCGTGTAAAAGTAGTAACAAGATGGGATTTTACTAGCAGATACTACCAAATCTTCTCTCTTGACTTGATAATCCTTTCCATAAAGGCAGAGTAAGTAAAACCTAATTTCCCATGATTCTTCGATGAATTTGAGCAGGTTGTCGTTTTCAAGGAGTGAGCTTTTGATTGCTACAATCTTCTGATTGCTGCATTTGAGTAGACCTTTTACTATAGCCAATAACCTTGGAGTTACATGAGTTCTACTGACTTTCACATCATAGACTTCAGTTAACTTTTTTATTACACTAGTCAACTGAATAGTTGACAACTCATCAATATTTTTGGATACTATATTGATAAAGTCTTCATTGGTCCACTTCTTACTATGATGGGGCAGGTGAATTATAGCGTTCAACCACACTTCTTCTATAAATTTAGTGAATTCTCTACCCTTGACAAAGGCAGATACAATCTTATCACCAATAGTAGTGTAGAACTTTAATGGAACATTATTCAAAATATCTAGCCCATGTTCAATGGCCAAGTCGACATCGAGCACTATTAAGTGCCCGAGAAGATCCCAGTTGACGCTGGAATTGGTCAATATGTATTCTTTCTCGTAAGTTTGTTGAATAAAAGAAGTGGACATGGTTCTGTTGGCACTGGTCAACTGTTCCAACAATGGTTCTGCTAGTTTAGAATACTTCTCATGCCCAGTAATCGTCGAGTATAGTTCTTCGCAGATTTCCATGTTCTTAGAATGGGCCTTGATAACCTGCTTATAAAAATACAATATCAGCCTGTCGTTCAACGCTTCATCATTCAACAATAATTTGACGTTTTGGTTGAGATATGGAACTGAATCTTTGTTAGAAACAATTTTTGTTACGATGGATACAAATACCTCAACGGTTTGTGAGGGAGCTGAAGGTGATGATGATGGTATCGAGGTTAAATAGTTCAATACTGGTATCAAGCATTCTGTGTAAAACTTGGTTGTAGTCTTCTTATTAAATTTGTGGTTCACTCTAAGGTATGGTAATTGGTAAATATGGTTGATTGTTCCTGACCATAAATCAACTGAATCTTGATCCACACCTTTAACGGTTGATATGGCATGGCTATAAGACAGCAATAATTCTATGGAGCTGCTTTCTTCGATGGCTACATAACTGTTTTGTACGATAAGGTCAATCGCTTGGAATACGGCCCTCAACAATTGCTCATCGCTCGCTATGATGTTGTTAAGGACTGTTATAACTAGCTCGATAAATTTGAATTTTTTGAAGTGATTATTTCTTAATTGGCGGTCGGTTGGATCCTCGGAAAGTAAAGTCCAAGTTCTATTAAACAATTGCCATACTTCTGGTGTAGTTTTCCACGAGCTGAACGATTTGGTTGAGTCAGTCAAACGATCGCATATCAAGTCAAATACAAAGATTTTTAAGTTTGGAAGATAGACGGTAGCATCGTTATCGAGGAGGGAATTAGCAGTCTCCACGATCTTCTGCAATGGTTCTGTCTTAGACCTTAAGAAACGAGTCGTTCCTTCAGCGTTCATTAGAAGTGGGAGAGTCGGCTAGCAAGAAGAGAAAGTAGCTAAGCGTTCCAATGGTATCTAAAATTGATATAGCTGAAAAATTCGAGATGAGATGTGAGGACAAAAAAAAAAATAGTGACAACTTGGGATATTGACAGGATGAGATGGACAACAAGAGAGACAAAGAGATGGGAGGTAATGGGCCAATAGTTACGAGATGATCATCAAACAGTTAGCCCAATGAAGTATTCGCTATACCTACTATTAAGGGTTTAGCTGTACCCTCGACTATAAAGGGCTACATGGATCTACAGGGTGGTAACTTTACTTAATGCATATGGAACATTTTACCGTTCCATCTATATTATAATAATATACTAATACTAATACTACCAGCAAACTTAGATCAACAAAGTCTCGATCTTGTCCTTGATACCGTAAATTTGGTTCTTGATAGCAGAGGCATCGTTAGAGGTGACAGAGGCAGCAATAACTGGTCTGGAAACACCACAAGCTCTACCTAAAGCAGTCTTGGATGGGACGAAGACGTATGGAACGTTCTTATCTTCACACAATAATGGGAGATGTAACAAAATTTCAATTGGTTCAGTGTCAGCAGCCATGATGATGAATTCAGAGATACCTCTGTTCAAGGTCTTGGTAGCTTCATTGGCACCTTTCTTCAATTGTCTCAAGTTTTGAGATTGTTGAACAACATCCAAGATTTGCTGAGTTAAAGCGGAGTCAGCTAATGGGAAAGCCTTTGGGTTTGGAGCAGACATTACGATACTATTGGTATTGATATTGGGGGGGTTCCTTGCAGTAGCTCACCAGAATGATAAAGAAGAAGAGAAAAGAAAGTACTAGAGATGCCCGAGACCAGTTGACTTTTTTTTCCCTCATCTCATCAAGGAAAAATTGACAAAATGACAAAAAAATGAGATTTTTCAGTGCACTACATGCAGGTCTGATTTTGGAGCATTTTCTGATTTGTTAATGCCGGGAGTTACCGCTGTCCTTATCAGTCTCGCGTAATTCCCAGCACCATGTTTGCGAACCAATAATCAATTTTGGACGAGCATCCCTTTACAGCTATTTTATTATCTTTCAATATTTAACACTTGGTAAACTCTTTATAAACACTTCATCAAAAACCACATTCTACCCCTCGAATCAATCTTATTTAGTCATGTCTGATTTATGGTATGTATACACAGGGAGGAGCAGAATTGCAGAGTGCGGAAGAACTTGAATTGGAAGTTCAATAGAGGCGTAGTGACGGAGGGAAGTTCACCTTTCGTGAAATATGTCGGGCAAAAAAACCGAGGTGAGAGGCAAACATCAAAATGGACGATCAATGCCCGCTAATGTTATCTGATGTTGGAACAGGTAATACAGTCGGGGATATGTAGACACTTCGCACAGTAGCAAGGGTTGTTTGGGCGACCAATTGTTGTTTGGCGTTGACCTTAACCCCAGTGGTACTTGCCCACGGCCCTGTTTTATTAGACTTGGGTCGGCGCTTATCAGTGCCAAAAACACCAAAACTAAAAAAAAAAAATTTTTTAAAGCCTGAAATGAAAAGTGAATAAGGCCTCCATTGATCGATACTACCCTTGCGATGTATCTACTGTTATCCAATCGCGCAAGTGTCCCAGGCATTGTGGAATTGGGCACACACCTGATGCCCCTCTGGCCTCTTTTCAATTGCTATATTATTCTTCAATTTTACTAACGCACTATTTTAGTCCAGTTTACGCCCCTTTCTTCGGTGCCATGGGTTGTACCGCAGCTATCGTGTTCACCTGTTTCGGTGCTTCATACGGTACTGCTAAGTCTGGTGTTGGTATTTGTGCCACCTCTGTCTTGAGACCAGATCTTTTAGTTAAGAATGTTGTCCCAGTTGTTATGGCCGGTATTATCGCCATTTACGGTTTGGTTGTCTCCGTCTTGGTCTCTGATGGTTTAAAGCAAGAACAAGCCTTATACTCCGGTTTCATTCAATTGGGTGCTGGTTTATCTGTCGGTTTAGCCGGTTTAGCTGCTGGTTTTGCTATTGGTATCGTTGGTGACGCTGGTGTCAGAGGTACCGCTCAACAACCAAGATTATTCGTCGGTATGATTTTGATTTTGATTTTCGCTGAAGTCTTGGGTTTGTACGGTTTAATTGTTGCTTTATTATTAAACTCTAGAGCTGCTGAATACAAGTGCTAAATTGAAAAGTTATAGAAGAGTGGAATTATTATGGGCAAAAAAAGTGAAAAAAAAAACCAAAAAAAAAAAAATGAAAACAATTATACTGAAAAATCTATGAATTGACCGAATCCGATAGAGATTCACCATATTAATTACCTTGTGAACGGTATCTGTACGGTACCATGCACAACCACTTGCAATTAAATTTTAAAAAATTCATTTCTTAACCTTTATTTAATTTACACCGTCAAAACGAAAGCAAATAATCGCAACAAGGTGATGACATAGAAAATACCTTCTTTTCTTTATCCACCCCATACTGAAGACTTATATATTAAAAGAAAGCTTTTATTACTATAAATAAACAAAAAAAAAAAAAAAAGGCACATTGTAGAGCTGAAGGTGTTCTGATTGGATTATCGATCTACCATTGAAAGTATCATGAACCCACTTTTCTTATTAAGGTGCAAAGTTCTATGTGTATTGGAAAATTTTACTATCTATCTAATCTTCTATGTAAACTCTCCCTATTCTAGCCACAACTTCATTTCTGAGTGACTTGATTACACTCTTCACATCCTTTGGTATTTCCTTTCCATTTTCTTTAAGGTATAATCTCCAATCTCGATCGGAAGCATCTTTTTCTATATGACTGATACTGTACTGGTAAAGTGTGTTACCATCTTCATACTCGTTGTCTGCTTTGGCATCATAGTTTTCAATGTACTCAATTATTCCTATTAACTGAGGCAATTGGAATTGGTAGCTTGGGTCTACCAAGAAGGGGAAGTATTGGCACAAGAGCAAAGGATAATACTTCTTTGGTAAGAAATTGAACGTAATCAAATGTCTAAGTTTGGTGAGTGCTGTCTCGGGATCTGTACTTAAGTACTTGTAGAATTCAAACAAAACTGCATAAGGGGAAAGGCACTGTTTTAGGATAGGGTGAATATCAAATTTGGTGTCCACATCTTTTTTGACTATATTGTTTATCAATTCATCCTTGATTGGTCTGTTATTAACTAAGGCATCTTGGAATATCAACTCCCAGACAATGTGGTGCACTTTCTCCATTCCCAAATTAGAGTATGAAACTGCAGGGTTAGAAGAGCCGAGAGCTCCACTACTAGATGTCTGGCAATTGACAAACATGTTCATGGCTTCGTAAAGGTAACCATCTTTTAAGGACTTCTCACCAAACTTCAAATATAAAGCTTGGGAAGTCGACTTCAAATTGAGCTTGGCGCAGATGGTCAAGCTCCATTCCAAATCATCGTTGGTCTTGCACTCAAAGTGTGGTAAAAACTCAGCAATAGTCTTTCTATTGTCGCTCTTTGATTGGCTGGACACAAATACCGTAGGATCAAGCAACAATCCAATTCCAATTGGTACAAGATCATGATTATTTAAGCACAGGTATGCGTATTTCGAAACGAGATACTCCGAGACAGTCCTTCTATCTTTGTCGTTATTGTTGTGGTTGCTCTTTCTGTAATCTTTCAAAAATCCTTTCAATTCAAAAATTCTGGATACATATGTACTAGTGGCGGAGTCAACTTTGTCAATGCTTTGAAGAACTTTCAAAAAGCTTTCATTCAAGGCATTGTAACAGATTTGATCCCAGTCTAACTCATTCTCGGAAGATTCTGGGGCTGGTGGTCTTTCCAGTACAGACGACTCAAAATACCCCTTGTACAACGTATCGTCATATCTCACTTTATATAATGCAAATGCAGAATATACTTCGTACCAGTGTTCACAAGCGTTGGCAATGGTCTTGGGTAATCCCGTTAGTATTCCTAGTAAATCATAGATCTGGTGTAAAATGATAACATGGCGGTTGTCGTCCTTAGACATTTGAGATTTAACCTTGGAAATAGAATCTCTAAATTCACAGCATGAAAGCTTCCATTCATTAAACTGGTGCTTTAGTGACATACTGGTATAATTAGCCAAAAATGTCTTGAAATCCTCAATGACACTGAATAATATTGGATTTGTTGTTTGTAAATGAGTGAATTTTGATCTCTCAATCGCATTTACCGCTTGACTAGGCAATCCTCTAGTTATCAACTGGGAAAGGTACGTATTCCAAAATTGTGGATGTAAGTAAGGTTCAGGTGTATTTATCATAATCGACTCAACCAACTCCATACTAGGTTTAGGATCTATTCTATTTATCCAATTGGAGATGAGTTCAGGGCGATTCACTACACTTTCATAAAAGTAATTGGCCTTGAGACATTCTAAAACCGCCAATAATTTATGATATTCATATATAACACTTTCGTTATTTTCAATTTTCCTTTCCTCTTCATCAATTCTCTGAATTATGACTTCTATGATCTTGTTTATGGCGTTGGTCAACTCTATTTGTTTCTCATGTTTTCTCTCTTGCTTAAATGATTTATAGTCTCCGCTAATGACACCAATCATTTCATCAAACATGCTATTATTGTCGTCGTCACTTTCTTCATCAATAGCGATCGCCTTAGAAAAGTTTTCATAAATCTTGAACAACGCATTGACAAACTCCACAGACACGCCTCCTCCATGCTTAACAGAATGCTTGTATCTACGTTCGTCGAACTGGAACTGAAATTTGGCATCAGAGTTAAGCCACTCTTGTAACTCTATGTGGTCTTGTTCAATGAATGAAATTGTGGTTTCGTCTGATGATGAACGAGGTGATGATGAAGCTGTTGTTATATTGTCGTCTGTGTTTGATGAAGTAGAAGGTGTTACTGCATTGACAACTTGATATTCATCAGAAAGAGAATCCGTATCAGAGAGATCTTCAGGGATCTCAAGCATCTCAATTTCCCTTAACTCATCTTCACTGGACACCATAATTGCTGCTATTTTATGGCTCTATTGGTAAAGGAAGATCAACAACAACATACTGGAAAGAAAAACACTCTCCAAAAAAAAAGTCGGAAAATTCGAAACCCATATTTCGTTGTATGCAGGAAACTCATTGCATAATGGTTGCAATCTTCGTTAACAGAAGAGAAGGTTGGGGATGAAAGATGTGGTCATTGAATCCATTTTTGGTCTTTGTAGTAAATGTGGTATTAAATGGTTTTTAACTTGTTAAAATCTGTGAATATATTGGTATAATTTAGAGCATGTACAAACTTTACTAAAAGAGTACCTACATAACGTTGAGCTGATGAGTTTGGTTTAAGCTTATGCAAATTGTAGTATATAATATTTTGAATTGTTATTCCAAGAACTCTATCTGCGCATCCTTATTGCACTTGTCTCGTACACTATTCTTTCGATAAGGTTTATGTTCTCGCTGCAACTTGGAAATTTCTTCCTATCCAATCCTTCTTCTTTTACCTTGACCAAAAAGTTGTAAAATAAATTACTGGTAAATGAATTCTTTATCTCAGATGTACCATGTCTGGCAGCCCATTCCTCTGGTTCAGCTATTTGTCGCCTCACTTTCCTCTTCTTTTTCATACTTGCTTCGTTATGCAATTTCAGTATTTCCTGGTAACATTCCTCAATAACTGGCACAATTTCCTCTCTAGCATAACTTACCATGTGAATGCCCCCGTCAGCAGTTCCAACCAAGATTTGTGGAACTATATTAACTTCGATCTCATCATGTAACTCTATCTTGTTCGAAAAACTCCTCTCAAAACTACTAATTTCTCTAGTCTTAATAGCTTCAATGGAATTAATTTGGCTCCCAAAGTTTATAAATGGAAAAGTAATCTCTTCCAAGTTATCTTTCGGTAGTTCCTCGACCACAACCAGTCCTCGGGAATCACCTATGAAAACTTGATACTTCTTAGTCAAGTCTATTTCAATTGACAGAACTGTAAGGGAAGTATAAAGGTCCTCAAATGAACTGCGCACAGATTTAAAGGGACTTTCAAGGCTTAATATTAGTTCTCTTTCTCCTTCTCCGTCCTTTTCTTCATCTTCTGTTGCATTCAACATCTGGCACCCTCTGAAAATATCCAAAACTGCAATTTTATCTCCTAATAAGGCAGATACACTTGTGAAAACGCTTTGCTTGACTACTTTAGAGCGTAATCTCCAAATTTGGACATCCACATTGCTAATTCCTTCAACTATAAAAATCTTACTTCCAGTGATTAAATATAAACCATTTGCAATGTGTTTAATGGATTGGAAGTTCATTGAATTGTCCTTGAGCTCTTCAATATTAGTATCTCGTTGTTTCATCATTTTACCTGTGTCAGTATCTATTTTATAAGTATGTAATGGTGAAGTATTGCTGTTGTCTAATACAATAAATATGCATTCGTCGTCCAGACATAAGGAGATGTCAACTGCATCTTTACAATCTTTCAAGATAATGCTATTGACTACCTTCATCGAAACATTGTCAATTAAATTAACAAACGAAGTCTTTACAATTTCTCCAAGTGACTCTGAATACTTAAATTCAAAGCCAAGTAAGAGGGAAAATGTAGTATTTGGAACACAGAGAGACTTTAGATTAAGCAGATTAGAAAATAACGTGCTTCCAAATCCGCCCACATGTAAAGTCGAAGAAATCTTCATGACAAAAAATCCAATTCCACCGTCGTCCTTTAGATATATGAAGTGTTTTTTGTTCACACGACCTACGTACCTTAGGTTTTTCATTTTCTTGGGCAACTCAATATTTTCGAAAAAGTTGGTAATGTTGTTAAATCGAAGGACTTCAATAATTTCCTTATTGTATAGTAGAATTTCGTCAGGACCAGACACTATTTTGCATGGCTGTTCCTTTTTTAAATTCGAAAATACTGACTTGTATGGCACAAACTTATGATTCATATTTTCTTGCACTTCAATACACTGCTGCAAAAATTGACCATCTTCGAACAGAAATAAAGTCCATAGTTTGCCTTCACGGTATTCAATTCCTGTAGAATATACATCGACTATCGGAACCTCGATCAATAAGGTAACTTGATTTCCTTGCAACCTTAATACATAGTAGTAGTCGTTGAACGTCACTAAAACGTAAGAACCTGAATGCTTCATATCTACGAATTCTGAGTTTTTGTTATTGTCATCTCTCACAGTAAATATGGTCTTCTTTTCTCTTGAAGTGTCTTTATAATGAAGTTCAAAGGTATTCTTTCCACTCCCTCGTAGTAATACGATGTAAGAATTATCATCAAGAAATATACCATCTATTATTGAACCAGTAGATATGCACCGACCTTCCTTAAGGCTGATAAGTCCAGAATCTGTTATAATATGATCTCCATCGTCACCTACAGCTATAATTCCAGATATATTAAGGTTTTCTTCTATTGGCTGTTCTGTGTGCGTTATTGTCTGATTCTGTAGATTAATTTGCCAACTTGCATCTACTGATCCCTGGGACAGTAACAAGCTGAGTGAGTATACACTCTTCTTTCCATTTATAATCAATCTATTCCCACTTTGATGGTTCAGCTTTGGTCGTATGAACGTAGATAAGAGTTTGATACTGCTTGGTCTTTTGGTGATATTTCTATATTCTCCACTTTCATAGCCTCCTTGGCAACTAAAAATTTGATTGTTTTCCGGGTCTACTTCAAGGCTCAATACCGGTGGTGAAGATGTGAACTCTGATATCACATTTATATAGGGTGTTTGAGGGCCCACAGTAAAATGAATCGATCTCGATAAACTTGAGATCCCAAAGAAAGACCCAGATCCCAAATATAGTATTTTCTTGCAAATAGTAGTGAAACTCAATTTGAAAAATGTAAATGACTTCACTTCAAGAGACCCACTGGTAATAAGCAGGTTGAAATGAATCATGTATGCAATTCCTGATTTAGAAATTGCAAGTATTCTATTTTCATCAATTACTGCATAACTGCAAAGGCTAGTGATTTCATTTTCCTTGATATTTGAAGAATCAACTAATAACTTTGTCAATACATTCTCTCTCGTATTTATAGATATACTTCTATCCTGGTAGCTCTCTGGTGGAAGGCTCAACTTCATGCTAGGGTTTGGAAAATAAAATACATGGACTTCTGAAAACACAAGCAAGCCACCCAGCAATGGGGCAACAATACCAGTTGGCTGCATTTCAAAATCATTGAATTGCTTGTACAATGTGAAGTTGCCAAGTGAAGTATCTAGTTTGTAATATCGAAGTGAGTAGTTAAATCTAAAGTCTCTGTATACGACTGCAAGATAGGTTTCCCCTTCCGTATTGTGTAGAAATGACATGTACGAAACAGTTATTGTTCCTATAGAAGTAGTTACAATTCGGTTCTGGATATTGGGAAGAATGTTAAGACAGTGTATGTAGCCCTGGAATGCATGCAAAACCAAATATGAGTAGTGTGGATCCATCATAAGAATTGGTCTTGTTTCCAACGTTTTGGGTAACTTCAGCGTATTTTCCAAGTTGATAACATTGTCTAGTGAAAACTTTTGCAATGAAGTATTATAATGGAAAAATCTTAAGGTTTGAGGTCCTTCATAGTAAACTACGAAGATGGGCTCATTTTCATTCAATGAGTAGCTGGTGACTGCAGAAGCTGCAAACGTAGCATGGGCAATTGGGAATTCGGGAGTAACATCTAAGTTCGTAAAGGGACTGGTCGATCCAAGGCCGTTACCATAAGCTTGATAACCAATAGGTAGTATTTCAACTAATTTCAATTCAGTATGAACATGCTCGTAAAATTCAAGGCTCCCATCTCTCCAGAGAACAAGGCAATCTTTGACTTTAGTAATGGGACTTTTTATGTATAGAGCATCTTCAATTTCCAGACCCCTTTGCAATTCTGAAGTTAGTAGTAGCTTACTCATTGCAGTCTAAACCAGAGACTGAATTTGGTTTGTAGCTTGTAAAAGATTTTCGTTCTGCTTTTAACCTTAAAATGATTCTATCTCATAAACGTTTATTTTCTATACTGATATTGCGCACCAGGCCCTAAAAAATGCAGCATGTAAACGAGCTCGTAACAACTTTACTAGGGGCTGAATAGATTGTAAATGGTTTGGGGAGTCGCGCAAACTGCATTACAATTGTGACGAGAATGTTAAGAAACATTAAGAGTACTGGAAATTTCAAGTATGGAAAAGTTGACTTCGCCTGTTCATACTTTTCACCTTCACGCGAGCTTAACTAAAATTTAAGGTTTGATGCACACATGGAATAATACCCTGCTAGCGGAAAAGGTGAAGTGTACACCATCCACACAGAACACGCTATCCTTACTTTTAGTGAAGTCTTTGTCTCGCATTGTTCAGTAGCTCCAAGCATTGCTACTGATTTATACACCCCTGCATGCTTTAGGTGATAAGAAAAGTTTTGCATCTGTGGCTATGAAATATTCTGCGATCTTCTGCCTCTCTTCTTTTTTCCTTTGTATGTGAACCAGATAAGCAGGCTGTGGGTAACCCTTTTGATCCGATAGATAATTTTTCAACAAACGTTTGTAAGTGGTTCTCTTTCTTTTTCCTGTAACATTGACTTTTATTTATTTATACTGGTAAATGGAAGTTTAAAAATTTTGATATATCACTATGCCTTCGTACCCTGATCTGTCGGGTGCAAATCAGGCTGGGGTATCAGGAAAGAGCTCGTCTAGGAAACCTTTTGGTGGGCTAAGGAGAAAGGTGCAGCCACCAAACCATGCCGATGAGGAATCTACTCCTAGACTGTTGCCTTATAACACTTCAATGGCAACACCATCTCATACAAACTACGTTTCGAACTGTTACTGCTGCGGGCTGGTCTTGGCCTACCCTGACGGAGCTTCTAAATTCAAATGTACTGTTTGTGATACAACGAATTTTGTTACTAAGGATTCATTGGACGGGAAAGAGGTATCGTATTACCCAAAACCTGTCACATATGAAGAATTATCGCACTTGCTAAATCAGTGTATGGCCAATGTCCAAAGCTTGGATGGCCCGAATGGTCTGAAAGAACAGCTGCAAAATAGGGCCCAAACCTTGCACACTATCTTCGAGCCGTTGTCAAAAAGGTTATATGATGCATTCAGGTCGGTTGAGTGCTTACGAAGATCCTTCCTACTCAATTACAGGAGGACTTCGTTGCATTATTCCAATTCCAATTTGGATTTGAACGGAATTAAGAATTTGTTCAATTTGTTAACGAGGCTACCCACGAAGAGGCCCTTGTATAATGCATTGTCTGGAGCCGTGGAGCTATTGAAAAGGGTCAGTTTTCAACCTCAGGATGATACAAGAAGACTTTATCACCTTTTAATTCTACTTGAAATTCCATACTTGACTCTGGCTTTAGTCCCTAGGACCACTTCCCTGGCTTCTTCGCCACTAAATAGTAGACAAGGAAGTGCCATATTTAGAATGGTTGATGTTCCTGAAATAAGAAATTTATTACGGGAAATATTATCTAAAACGTTGGGTATGCTTTCACAGTCAGTAACACCAATTTCCTCAAACTATGTTTGTAGTTGGTGGTCCAAATTGCCAAACGACGAGTTCATCCAAAAAGTTGAAAATATCAACTTATATATAACATTTTACTTGAGAAGATATTTTGAAAAGGTCAAACAATTTGATAGGAAAAGATCGATTAATTATAGACTTCCTATTACTTCTATCGCTGATAATAACAGCAAGGAGAGTGAAGTGAATGTAAATGATACCCAGCAGAAGATAAAAATCAATCAATATGGTGACGATTGGCACTTGAGAGCTGCCTCTATAATCCTTGCGATGCTCTTCAAAGCAAATACAGTAAGAGGCTTCTATAAAATTCCTTGCCATTTCTTCTACAACTCCATGGTTGACTTTGTCCATGTCAAATTGGATTTTGATTCTTGGCAGAAGAAGCAGAGGGAAAAGACTGTTGGTAACAGTAGTGAAAGAGGGCCCAGTCCCACTGCCAATTCTCCGCCCGATATTCAGACGGTCATTGAATATATTCAAGACTCAGATCGGGCAAGAAGTATGCTAGTCGATTCAGCGTCATTCTATTTCTGTCAATATCCGTTCTTGATTTCCTTGGGTGCTAAAATATCTATTTTAGAATATGAAGCAAGAAGAAAGATGGAAAGGAAGGCGGAAGAAGCATTCATCAGTTCATTGGACAAGAAAGTTGCAGAGGACGTATATTTCAGAGTTAAAGTAAGGAGAGATCATATAGTTCAAGACTCTTTGTATTGCATTCAATCCAATACTTCCAACCTTATGAAATCATTAAAGGTACAATTCATAAATGAGCCTGGGATTGATGCTGGGGGGTTGAAGAAAGAGTGGTTTTTATTGTTGACTAAGGAGATTTTTGGTCCTCAGACTGGGATGTTGGTTGAAGTTGAAGAATCGAATTGTTTGTGGTTTAACATGGTTCCAATTGATAATTTGGAAATGTACTATTTGTTTGGGGCAATTTTGGGATTGGCCATATACAATTCAACAATATTGGATTTACATTTTCCCTTGTCTATTTACAAGACACTTTTAAATAAAACTTTAACCTTTGAGGATTATAGTGACATATATCCTGAAGTTGCAAGAAATTTGTTAAAATTGAAGACTTATTCCAGTGATGAGCTTAGTATGATGGATCTCACATTTGAAGTAACCATAACTGATGCATTTGGAAATATTTATACAAGGGAGCTTATTCCAAATGGTCGGAAGAAGAGGGTTACTAAAGAGAATCTAGGATTTTATATTGATAGATACAGTTCGTACTTCATCTGTGGTGGGATTTTGCCTCAATTGAAGCTGTTTGTGAATGGGTTCAAGACTGTTATAGGAGGAAATGCATTGTCGTTGTTTCACCCCGAGGAAATCGAATTATTGATTTGCGGTAGCGATGAAAAGTATTTGGATATCGATATCTTGAAGTCGATAACAAAGTATGTTGGGTTTAAAGACCGTGAGAGTGCTGAAAAGGACGCTACTATTGCGTGGTTTTGGGAATATATGCATCTGATGGATTATACTAGTCATAAGAAGTTGTTGCGGTTTGTGACTGGATCTGATAGAGTTCCTGCTACTGGGTTGCAGAATTTGAGTTTCAAGATAAGCAAGGCAAGCACTAGCTTCAGCGAGAGACTACCAATAGCACATACATGTTTCAATGAGCTAAGTTTGTATAGCTATAAAAGCAAGGAAAAATTGGTTCGGAAGATGACATTGGCAGTTAACGAGAGCTTGGGATTTGGAATAAAGTAAGGGAACAAGAAAACGGTAAAAAAAAAAAAAAATAATAATAAATATAAAATAAATAAAATAAAGTAAAGTAAAGTAAGGAAGTCATGAATATAAGTATACAAGTATATAGATAATACAGTTACTGATGACAGACAACGTGTAGGATGAAGAGATGGACCAGGACACCTGAATATCTAAGATTCTGCAGCAACTGCCCAATTGCTGCAAATTAGGTACTGCACACACTCCAAGCAACACACTGCACACTACACGCTACAAGCTACAGACTGCACACTGCACACTACACTACACACTTCATACATAAAACAAACCAGCAAATAGAATTGCGAATAACTAAAGAGAACCAGCGAGAAAAGCATAAGTACAGATAAAGGGAAAAGTATTAGAATAATTCAGTGTTATGTAACAGACAAGAACCTGAATGTCCAGCTTTTACCATCAAGACTTGCTTCAAATTAGGACTGCACACACTGCTCATAGAGAACTTGAAAAAAAAAAATACTAGCAATGAAATATTTTCCTGCACACCAATTCTCATAAAAAAATTAGAGCATCCTGCACACCTTCCCACGGTTACCCGGCCCGCTTCTAGCCAATAGATCGATTGCAAAAACAATCGCACACTTCAGAATCAATATAGAGAAGCATTGAAATTCATCAGTTGTTCAACTTCACCAGTTAGTTGTAGTTATAGTTATCATTAGTCAAAAGATGTCTTCACTTGCATACAGAACATTAAGAAGCGGATTGGGCTTAAAGGGTATGTAAAAATGCGTTCGTTAGGAAAGATTTGGGCAATGGGAGGCATATTCCGTTGCTCTACAATTCATTCTGTGACGTTGGAGTAAAGAAAATTTATTCCGATGCAACGTCAAGGCAGTTTAGGCTTTAGTTTGTCTTATATGCTTCAGCTTGTCTTAACTTTGCTTGTATTGTATACATTTACTAACAGTTTTCTTATTTAGGTTCCGTCAGAACTTTGTCCTCTACCAGCAGCTCGTTATCCAACTACCAACACCCAGATTTCAGTAGCTACTTGAACAACAGAACTACCGAGAAGACCAGAAACATTTCCTACTTCATGGTTGGTTCATTGGGTTTACTTTCTGCAGCTGGTGCCAAGTCCACCGTTGAATCTTTCTTATCCTCGATGTCTGCCTCCGCTGATGTCTTGGCTATGGCCAAGGTTGAAGTCAAGTTGGGTGCTATCCCAGAAGGTAAGAACGTTCTTGTCAAATGGCAAGGTAAGCCAGTTTTCATCAGACACAGAACTCCTGATGAAATCGATGAAGCCAACGATGTTGATATTTCCACCTTAAGAGACCCACAGAACGATGCTGACCGTGTACTCAAGCCAGAATGGTTGGTCATGGTTGGTATCTGTACCCATTTGGGTTGTGTGCCAATTGGTGAAGCCGGTGATTTCGGTGGTTGGTTCTGTCCTTGTCACGGTTCCCATTACGATATCTCTGGTAGAATCAGAAGAGGTCCAGCTCCATTAAACTTGGAAATTCCAGCTTACGACTTCACCGATGATGAAACCTTATTGGTTGGTTAAGCACGTATTCAAGTTGCCTCTGCCTATGTCACCACCCATTCACCCACCCCACGCTCCATATCCTATAACTTGGACTTCATTCAAGCAATCAACATCACATATAAATAGAAGTGTCTGCTTCATTACAAATATAAAGACATAAAATGAATTAATTTATTTATTTTATACGTTAAACTAAATGAAATATTAAAAAAATTATAATAAAGAAAAGAAGAAACTTAACTCTATATACATTTATATATATAAACTTTCTTTGTATATTGGTAATATACTGCATTAGATAAAACAGGGCCAGTAGATGATTTGCAGCTTCTTGAGCTGTGCTGTAGAGACCTACTTAAGCTAGAAGAAGGGGCTCCGACTCCAGATGGTGCACAATACTTGGTACGTTGGCAGGATTATAGTCTTGGACGTGGTGTCTCCTGAAGTTGACACTCCAGTGAAGCACTGCTTTCTGTGGAATCTTCCTCTTCGCTCCAAGGTTGGGTCTGAAACTTCTCTTCCATTTTCCTGAGCTATCTTCTACCTTAGTGAGGAATGGTAACAATTCCAAAACCCACCAGAATAGCACTGTGGTAAACCTCTCGTCTCCCCTTGCATCAAACCCCTTCTCGACCATCACATCTTGGTTTAGATATTTCGAAGAACTATAGTTGGTGCCAAGGTCCGGGCCGTCCTTGATCTTTTTGAATGAGGGAAATGGTCCGAAATCAATCCAAATATCCCCATTGGATACATTTGATGGATTTAGTAAACCCTCCCAAGGAGTGTTTTTTGCCGTGTCCTGCGGTCGTTTGAACGATAAGATATCGTGATCTCTGGAAAGTATGCACTGTTCTACCGGATGGCTTTCGTCAAACTTTTGGATCGCTCCTGCTCTGAAAAGAAGAGTGTCAAGCTCGAAAACTTCAACCAACATCCAGCGAAGTGCTACATCGGAAAGATGAAGCCCCTTGGGGTCTGCTGGCCATCCTCCTCCAACGTCGCCATGGTTCCCAGGAAACCATTTCTCGACTATATCAGCAGAGCAGCTGATGGGCACACATCTCTTGCACCTTTTCGGTTTCAAGCTCAGAAGCAAAGAATGCAGACCTGAAGGTTCATCTGTGCTTGTTGTCTCTGATGTTAGTGACTGGCAAGGCAGCTCGAACAATACCGGCCTATATTTCGCTCTCCGTTCGTCGATGCTTACTGCATGTCTAACGTGTCTAACAATCCCGCTTGTTGCAGTGTAAGGAAAGTTTCGATCACTCGTAAGCCCGACAGAGTTGATCGTGTCCCACAAGCCCATGAATTCGATTCGAACCTCTATCAGGAAGGTCTTCTTAAATTCTTCTGCAGAAGTGGTCGTAGTATCGTCTTGCGATGGCTGACCAGAGAATTCCCAATTTGCATAGATTTCATAGGCCACATCTATCATTTCCTCTAACCCCTGGCCAAGTAGTCCAACACATTCCAACATTCCAGCAAGAACCCTAGCGGTAAATGCTCCCCTGCTGAATCCAAACAAGAAGATCTTATCGCCTGGTCTGTAGTACTTCAAGAGGTACCTATATCCACCCTTCACGTGAATACTTAGACTTCTGCCTACAGCAGCGTCGATTTTGGTTTTCATTCTGTTGAGCAAGCTTCGGCTTAGCAATCCTCTACCGGAACATTCTACGTTCCAGCCCACACCGATGCCAGGCTGATAGTAGCATACTTGCAAGTCGGAATTCTTCTCTAGAATGCTGAAAATTTTTAACACGTTAGTGAGGGGGAGAGGTCCAAACTCATTTTCAGTGCCATCGAAGCAAAGAACAATATTCTTTGCCATAGTGTACTGGAAAATGGTAGCACTGGTGATGAATTGTGCAACACATTTGCAGCCATTTTTCCTAAACGGTCCATGAAATTCACCAGAGCTTCCACACAAACGAAATGCGGGAGAGTGTGAAAAATAAAAAAAAAAAAAAAAAAAAAGATCGTTAACTAAGGGAAATAAGTCAAGGTGGGTTACACTGGGTTTATCTAAGCATAATGTCAATTATAATCTACAATGGTACTATACAAAATCCTAATATTTATACTTACTATCATTGTGTGATGTGTCAGTAAATGGCGAAACATGGATATTTGAATTTGGCTCGTAAACATCATTATTCACGGGCTGGTATCCGTCGTATGCTCCTTGATGTTGGTTAGCAAAGTGTGCAGGAGTAGGAGGATTGTTATACATCTGAGGAGCTCGTGTGGGACCGTACATATTTGGATTGTCGTATACAGTTTGCTGCTTTTCGATATACTGGGGTTGTTGGTAATTTTGATTTCTTGAACCTCCGCGGCAACAACAAGTGAAACAGAAACAACACCCTTCCATAATTTTCATTCCCATACAACAACACGACACAACTGCCATTACAAACCACAAAGCAACAAAACCAGCTACACAGATTAAAACGATTGCAACAATTTTACATGTGTGGTTGGCCATACAGGTGTCCCAGCTTTTGAATGAATCAGCGGTGGATACCACATTTGAAGTAAACGAACGAAGCGATATGTCTTCAACCACTGAGCTGAAGTCTGATGTAGATGAGGGAATATACATTTTTTATGTTCTTTCTATTATTGTTGTTTTTGTTAATTTCGTTGTTTGTATTCTATTTAATTGATTCTTGGTATGAAATATATCTGACAGCAGAATAAACAACGTATACACAATTGCTGTTTTTGATTTGATTTTCGATCTGGTTTTTGTTCCTTCTCCTCTTTACAAAAATCAAGATTATCATTTTCTCTTATAACATTCACGATATTAGCGCGTAGGTCTAAAATTAGTATCAGATGAGAACGCGCGCCAGTAACAGAGTGACGTTAAATTTTCTTTTCTGCAGATAATAACCATCACGGCTATGCTACAATCATGTGGATGGGGGAAAGTACAGCCAGCACTAAAATTAACCTATATAACACATTGGCGCGAAGCCTACTTTTGCAATAAGTCTTCGAGGCTTGTAACACAGGTCCAGTAGTTCATTTCCACATCGGTAGATAAGAAAGTGTGGACCTTTTTCTGCATTTTTATCTTACTGAAGGTATTGTTATCACCTTGTCTTTTGATGTTGCGCAACAAATTCTCTATTATAGGCAAGCTCTCAAGGGCATCTTCTATTTCTTTTAAGCCTAGGAAGTTGCAAATTTCCGATTCGGTAATTAAGTCTAGTTCAAATATTCTGGCTTCTCCATGCACCACAGATTCAATGAATAATTTGAACGGGGCTATTTTTAAGGTTCTGCCATACGGCTTAACTACGAAATTCTGAGGGATAATTTCTTTCATGATCCCTTCCACTTCAAAAACCTTACTTAAGGGGTAACTCAGCGTAGGGGAGTTTGGTGCAGGGGGCCGTATTTGCAGGAGTGCGCTATTATGAAGTACCTTAGCGTTTTGGTCGTTTTTTCTGGTAGTACTGGCCAAAGCATTATCTTCATCATAGCCTTGATCTGAAGTGCCACATACCTGCGTAGCTTGATGAGCGAGATCATCATGAATTTCTTGATTTTCTAGATTGTCACTCTCCTCTTCTTCTTCTCCTCCTTGTCCTAGTTCTGCTTCTGGTTGCGAAAATAATTGAGATTCTTCCATTTCTTGACTTCTATTATCGTTATCGTTATCGTTCATTATCTCTCTATGCTCTTGGCTAAATTCATCGATGGAGTCCGGTATTTGCGAATATTCAACCTTTGTCTCTATCTTTACTCTTTTATTCGGTACATCAATAATTGATGGTGCAGTATTGAACCCTGGAGGTGGCATGCTACCAAAACCAAAATAATCATCTGGCAACTCTCTTAAAAAGTTTTGTTGCAATCTTGCGACTTTGGCATTGGAAGTGCCCTTGGGTAGTATATTAAACCCATCGATACTATCTATGGAGCCTTCAATTTTGCCATCGTACACTTTCAATCTGAATTTAATATTCGCAATAATTTTCTCCTTGTCTATCAGACACTGGCCATATTCATTGAAATCGTATTCATCTCCCACAACCAGCGCTTGTTTTAAGCTACTCAGAATAGACAGAAAAAGGTTCTTTGACACTGATATTGATAGGATTTTCTCTTTAGATAGTCTTTTCTTTTCTCCACCAAATGTAAATATTTCAGGAGTACCTTTTGGAAATAACAAGTCTTCATTTTTAGTGAAATCTGTAACCAAAAGTATCCCCGGTCTGTTGCCATTGTTCCAAGCTCTATCATGGAAGTACGATAATACCATTAATGGTAAGGTAACGTAGAACCTCAGTATTCTATCATCTACATTTCGAATTTGGTCAACCTTAGGAAGATTCGATACATCCCTGGCATCACTATATATCATGGTAGGTTTCAATGGCATCTTCACCGTGCATTACTTTATCGTGGGGCAGTTCTTGGTGGTATTGACATATTTTTCTTTTCTGTTGATGATTTCACTTTAATAAGCGCGTCAAGAATTTTGTGGAGCAATGGAGAGCTCATCGCATCTAGATCGGGTCGTTTGGGTGTTATTTAGCTGGCAGCTCTCTATATCTCGAGTGTTATATAGCTATAGATATATATAGCGTACTGTCATGAAGAATAAACCGGGTCTTAAACTTCCCAAGAGATTGAGAGAAGTTACCCCACTGCAACCTACATCGCAACCTCAGACAGTTGAAGATTGGGTGGAGCAAGGTGCTTCGGAAGAAGAGTCTGGCGACCGTTGGATCGGATCTGATTTGACAAAGGGTTTACGATTCTTCCAAAAGGCATATGTCTCTTATAATGAAGCCATTAGGGCGATATCTGGTGGTTCCTCTTTCTCTTCTTCTACGGTTGATGCCTACTATAATATATCTAGACTATTGTTCCATGTGTACAATAACTACATTAAGCAAGAAGGTGTGAATGTGTATCTGTTTGAAAATGTCAATGAAGCAATCATAGGCGATAATGCTGTAATCCAGCCATTGCATAAAATTGTCAAAGCTCATGAGAAAGCAGTTAACTATATTGAATCAACGGGTGGTACGATCCCATTAGACTTGGTATACAACATTGCTTTAGTATACACTGAAGAAATTGAGACTGCTCAGGAGAATGAAATTCCATTTGAACGAGTGTTGGAGATTGGATTGAATGCTGAACGGTTGTTTGAAAGCTTGTTAACTCAACAAACTGCTATTTTGCAAAAATTTATTGTAGATTTAAGTCAGGGAGACGAAGTCGAAGATGTAGAAACTAGCAGCACCGATGGAAATGATACCCAGTTTGAAAGTGAGGAATCTTTGCAACCTCCCGACATTTATGAGACGATCCTTTCTAGTTATAGGTTAGTTCAATCGATTTTGGAGAACGTTACTCATCCAGAGCAGGTAAGTCAAGTAAGGACTTTGATTGAAGAATTCCTTCAATCAGTGAATTCAATTGAAAGAGAGTTGATACAAAGTTTTGGCGAAGGAAATAACCAGAACTCTTTGATTGAATCTATTCCCCAAGATCTTATACATGAATCTAAGATTATCAAGACGTTTATAGAAGGTTTACTTGTCAATGATTTGAATGCCTTGGTCCAATTATGGGAAGGTAATGGTGAAGATGCCTTACCTTCCATTCCAGAAACTTACATGCTGTTTGCGGACAACATTCAATCATTCTTAGATAGAAATGATATTAATTTGGACAATTTGTCTACGTCAGAAGTATACTGGAATGCATTGACTAAAATGAATAACAGCTACAAACTGGCTCAGGAATTGTTGCAAATAAAACTATCTAGTTTGAAAGGTCAAGGTGTTGATGGAATTGGAGCTTTGGCAGCACAGATAAGTGACATCATAATAGCGAGATCCGATATCGATTTGCAGAGAAGTCAAATAACTAACTACGACCCTGCAATCAAACATCAGCAAGTTTTATTGAATAACGCCAAAACCTTTTTGAAGAGTGCTGTGAACGTTGCAAACCAGTCTGGAGGGTTAAGAGAGAGAGCTACTGAGAAGATGCTAAGGGAAAAGAGGAAAGTCGATGCAGTTCTTAGGCTCTGCCTAATTGAAAACAAAATCACCGTCACTGAACTTGATAATATTATCGGGAGATCAAGATGGGCTAATGAGTTGCCAAACTTAATGCGTACCGGTTACTTTAAGCGATTTGGTATCGAGAGCATTGAGATCCCAAGTGCCTTCTAGGTGCGAATTCTGTCTCATCTCAGTGACACACTTACAGTGACAATCTGCCAAAGAGTCTAAATATTAATAGTCATTTATTGTAAAATCTATATAATTTTATCATTAGTCGTAGCAAATTATGAGGGTATAATCTAAATATATATGTATATTCCTAAACCAGTTAAGTGTCCTTGCTTTTATATTATTGGCATACCTGTCATGTTATTGAATTCGTACAGTCTATCTGCCTGATCTGTACAGTCGCAGGGTGTGGCAAAAAGCGAGCTGTCTAGGTATTGCAAAGATATACTTTTCGATCTGCTATTGCTGACTACGACTTGAAGGAAATTCACCTTCAAGAAGTATATGAACCATAGAATAAACTTCATCTTTGGATAAAGAAGAAAAGGGAAAAAACGAACAAACGAGTTGGTATGTCCTGTCCTTATGAACTAAAGAAAAAAACCATGATTACATAACGCCTCATCAGTGCTATTCAATACTGGGGAGAGAAAAAGCGTGCCGAAAAAAAATAAAATCGTGATGCAGAGAATGGGCAAGACTCTAGATTCACAGCTATTACAAATACTGAAGCTTATTGTAGGTGTTCTGCAGCATTTTAGAAGAGACGAAGCCAAAAGTAAGATTAAAGTTAATGAAGTATGGAAGAACTTTTGTGGAGGTAGAGAACAGGAATTGCATAGTTTATTGCATAGTCTGACATTAGCACAAGTGCACCAAATTAGTGCACCAAATTAGTGCACTAGAACTTGGTGAGATCTCCCCGCCCTCCTCCCCCCACGTTCAGTGACTCTTCCGCCAGTTTGCATTTCCGCTTCCCATTTAGTGCGCTAACGAGCACCACTTCTGCAGATAGACGCTAAATATGCAAAGAACGAAAATGATGAGGGAAAGTCGCACGCCTAGAAGAGCAACCTCAGAGGTATACCCTGCTACAAACGGTTAAAATTTAGTGGGATTTCTTTCCTCCACATTAGACTTTCTATGCGCCAATGGCATTTAAAGCTCCCACATAGTGAGTACCAAGCAATCACTACCGCGGAAAGACGCTAAATATGCAAAGAATGAAAATGGGCCGCAGAAACTTGCGCGCCTACAGTCCCTAACACCCCAAAAGGTATACCCTGCTACAGATAGCTAAGCACATTTCTCAATTGAATTAAATTATCTCTATATATACAAAATAAATTAAGGACTAGCATTTTGATATTTCCATCATTTTCAGTTACTTTCACCGTTCTGAAAGCGAATTTTCTTTTTTTATATCTCCCTGCCCTTTTATTATACTACTTTTTAACTGGTGGTTTATTTGGTTAACAACTTATCGAATGCAGGAATCAAAGATTGAGCTAAAGCAAATGAAAAAACCAATTTAGGACCTGTGGTCAACAACTTTGGAGTCAACCCTTTGAAGAAAGAGGTAATACCTTCATTCTTGAACATATTCTTCAAGATAGTCACACCAGATTCTGGGTTGTCGAAGTTTTTATTTTGAATTCTGGTCTTGATAACGTCTAATGGAGCAGAAACAATCAAGGAAGCAGAGGCACCAAAGATAGAAGTGACGAAATTTTGAGTCCAAGTAGCTGATGAGTAGTCAGATAATCCGAAGATATACTCCTTGGCAAACGAGTTACCACCGAATAAGGCAAATGAACCAGGAGCATTTCTAGCAGCAGTCCAACCCCATCCTCTGTATAATCCGAAACCTTCATCGGCCAAGATCTTGAGAAAACCTCTACCACGGAATGATTCTGGGTTTGTTTGACGTTTGATCTTTAAAACATCCAATGGTAACAAGACGACTTCTCCAATACCAATCAATGAACCTGCTGTGGCTGAAAGTAAAGCCTTACCGGTCTTTGGGCCAAACAAAGTTTCGTAGTTATCCTTGAAGTTCTTGGTCAAGAATTCGTTAGCAAATGGCTGACCACCGTACTTGTAAACTCTCTGTAAAATCTTGTAGACAGCTGCGTAACCTAAACCTGGAAATAAGGTGAACAATCTCTTACCCAAGGCTTGTTGAGCGTGATCTCTGAAAATAACAGAGTTCAATTGGGCGGCAGATGAAATCCTAGTGTGGTTGGACATCAATCTCTTTGAGATGGTATCAACCGGGTGGAAGACGGCGATCTCACAGATCCCAGCAGAAGCAGATCCGAGGATTCTTGCTCCGGCGGATTGTTTTTTATCGGTTGAAGCAGCAGGAGACATGATATTGGAGTTTGGTAAGGAATAAGACTCTTTATATGGCTTTACACCGTGGTTGATCAAATCGAAAGGTTTAAGTAGAAGTAAAAAAAAAAAAAAAAAAAAAAAAAATTATGAAGAATATGACTAACACCGCGCTTAATTTGGAAATTACCAAGAATGTAAAAAAATTTTCACTTGTCAGGTGACCACTACGCAATGGATTTTCCCTGTGACAGGTTCCAAGGGAGATGGGCATGGGTGTGCTAGATTGAATGGGAGTGAAGAAGGGGGTGTGGATAGGGGATTATACAGATTTTTGCAAATGAAACAATAAGTCCGTAGTAGGTAGATGTTGCGGAAAACTGGAACGATACCTTCCTTTTTATATGGATTGTTTCTCTGCTCATCTCGCTTGCATGGCTAGCCCTGCTAGCCGTTTACAGAAGTTGCACCCATACGCTTCACACAAAAATTGTGGAACACATACGTTTTTACACACTTCCTGCCAAAAAAAAAGTCATTAATATATCAGAAAGACTAGAAAAACGGTACTAAGGAGAATACTGAAGTATCTGCTGGAGTAGTTTCGCTATTTGCTTGTCTGCTGTTCATCTTCTGCTGGCTGCTTATCTCTTCCTGCATGTCACACCTATGGCATGGAACCGATACATAGACACTACCTTGTTCACAAGCCTATGATAATAACTCAACAATAGCAATCAGAAATAGAAATCAGCAATTCCGTCTCTCTAAGTCATATCTGCTCCTCAACCCCTCCTTTCTTACCCATTCCTACTGCCAACTGGCCCTGCTACTCTCTCCGGCCCGTCCCCATACTCTTGATGCCTGAGGTCGTGTGTGGATCATTATCGACACTCCTAAAATTCTGAAGAAGGAAAAATCGAAAACTCCAAGCGCTGAACACTTCGCTTTACTCATCCAGTTTACCCCTCAATCCATCAGGTTATCCCTATAGAAAATCCCATCAAAAGTAGCCTAGCTTCCAGTAACCTGTCAAACCAATTTACATAGAGAAATTCAAGGAAATACAAAGGTTAAGCACGGCACAGATTAGGATGGCGGTTTTTGATCAAAATAAGGCAGACCTATTGTCTGACTTTGAGCAAAGCCTTAAAGAACTCACGTTCCCGGCTCTCCCTGTGATAGAAAACCTCACAGAAATAGCCAGAGAGAACACGGATGTCGCAGACAAGATTTTGCAGTTGATTAAAACAAGGATAGCCAAATCTATTCCGGATCATAAGTTGGCGCTGTTGTATCTCTTCGATTCAATAGTCAAGAAGATTGGCCCTCCATACAATATTTTGGTTGGCGATGAAATTTTTGAAATCTACTCAAATTCCTACCTTTTGGTGAATGATAAAACTAGACAGAGGTTGCTGAACTTGTTTGAGACTTGGAAGAACACCAAGCTGAAGGGTTCCAATTCTCCACTCTTCCCCAGAAATCAAATGGATAAGATCGAAAGATTTTTGCAACAAGCTAATAAGAGTAAGTCAGGGAATGAAGGTGATGCGTATGGTTCAGGATCTGGTTCTGGTCCTGGTTCAGGCTTCAATACCGCCTCTTCCACTGCACCTTCTTCAACACATACCACCCCAGGATCTACCCCATCTTTGCCCAATAAGCCCATGTTGATGGACCATTCCAAAAGCACATTGACAAATGCAAGCTTAATAAAAGATATAGATACTCTTATACCATTTTCGCAAAATAAATTACGTAATAATCCTTCTGATTCTAAATTGCAAGAACGTATAAATGCATTAAGTAAGTTGAGAACCCTTCTAGCTAGTCAGAATATGAGTGTCAAGGAGTTGCAAACAATACAAGACAGACTTAGGAATATAATGCAGCAAGAATTTGGATCTTCCGGTAGCTCGACCCCTACTGGAATGAATACTATACCAGTTCAGACTCCTGTTCCTGTGGTTGCAACTACAATCCATTCGTCCTTGTCTTCATCTACATCACCATCACAATCTAATATTGCCAATGAATTTTTCAATATGTTAATTGCATCAGGATTGGTTAAGGTTGACCAATCTTTAATTCCTGGATCGCATCCTAAATACGAGTTGAAGTTCCCAAGAATCATAAAGACTGGATCTGTGGGCAACAGCATAAGTTCAGCTTCCAATAGTGCATTGGAAAGACTCTTATACGGAGCCAAGAACGGCCTAACTGGAGAAATTGGTAAAACATCCAGTAACATGAATAACATCAATAATAATACTAATACTAATACTAATGGCGGAGTTGTTGGGTTTGAAACTCTTAAAAATATAGAACTAAATAAATTAAACGTAGACCCTAAGAATTTACAAAAATTCATAAGTTCAAATAAACCATCATCGGTGTCGATATCTCTTTTATATGACTCGAAGCCGTCCAAATGTGGTACCTGTGGGAAGAGATTTTCAGATGATGAGAATGGAATTCAAAAGAGAAGATTGCACTTAGATTGGCACTTTAGAGTTAATAAGAGACTCTCTTCTAACACCTCCACTACTGGTGGTAAGGGTGGCATAATTCAATCTAGAAACTGGTACTTGGATGGCTACGATTGGGTTAAGTTTAAAGATGAGAACTTGTTGGAATACTCCACCAATGGTGCAGACTCTGCCAATGCTATGAACTCATTGTCGTTGTCTTCGTCCTCGAAGGCATCTACACCTACCCCAGGGTCGAATTCGAATAACCCCAACTCAATCGATGGTTTGCTCTTGAACGATGGTAGAGTTCCGTTTGTAGTTATTCCTACTAACGAAACTAACATGATAAACAAGTGCCAGATATGCCAAGACCAGATCAATGCCACTTATGATGACGATTCTGGTGAATGGAGATGGGTCAACTGTATAAAGGCTCCTGGTGAGGGAAAAAATAGCAGAAAGATTTTCCATGCAACTTGCTTCCTTGAAGCCAATAAGAAGAGAGGTGCAGATGGCGATTTGAATGTGAAGGTGAAGAGAGAAAAGATTTAAGCAAAGGTTTGACCTGAACCGAAACTTGGGTATGCCTTGCATTGAAGAACGGTATAACGGGAAATTGTGAGTACATGGACTAGCATGTTTGCATGACAATCTTCTTCCAAACAAAAATATCATTATATAAATAGTAAAACAAAAAAAGTCTGATGCAACGACAGATACTTCTATATAAATAAACACAAGTTACGATAGAATTAAATTGTAATTACTCTACTAGCTCATATATAGCACAGTTGGCACAAGAGGTGTTCCATGTTCATATACAGCACAATTAGTATAGGAGGTTGCACCAAACTGAATATTAGGTTGGTTATAGCTGAACACACTGAGCTGAAGCCAGCAGTAGCTATAGTGACTCACATCTATACTAGTACAATACATTGGAAACTCTAAGTAACTCTTCTCGTACATTTTATTATATACATACTTTATTTTATACAAGGTTAATCTTTCTTTAACTTTCTCCCCTTAGCTTCATATCTCCCTACTTTTGACCAAGACACTTTAAGATGTCGGTCCAAACCTTGGCTGGCTTCTGGGAAGCATCAATACCGCTCCAAATACCAGTCTTCTTGTAGAAGTCGACAATTGGCTCGGTTTGCTTGTGGTAACTGACCAATCTCTTCTTTAAGGCACCTTCGTTGTCATCAGATCTTTGAACTAATGCTTCACCGGTGACATCGTCGGTCATGTCTTTCTTTGGTGGGTTGAACAACTTGTGGTAAGATCTTCCGGAAGCTGGGTGAACTAATCTACCAGTGATTCTAGCGACTAATAATTCATCATCAATCTTTAATTCAATTGCGCTTTGTAATGGAGTCTTTCTCAGTTCCAACATACCGTCCAACTTTTCAGCTTGAGGGATGGTTCTTGGGAAACCGTCAAGAATGAAACCGTTGGCACATTCCTTGTTGTTTTCCAATTCATCCTTAATCATGTTGACCATGATTTCGTCAGAAACTAATCCACCTTGGTCCATGATCTTCTTGGCTTCGAGACCCAATGAGGTCTTGGAAGCGACTTGTGCTCTCAACATGTCACCAGTAGCCAAGTGACAAGCACAGTACTTTTCCTTCAAGTTTGGAGCTTGAGTACCCTTACCAGCACCTGGAGGTCCAATTAAGACCATTCTGATGGACTTTGGAACATTTGGCACAATTCCGGCCTTTTGTTCTAATTGAACAATTCTTTCTTGAAGTTTGGTGACAGTGGCTTTAAGATCTTCGACAGACATGGTTAATTTGGTATTTTAAATGCAAAATAAGGCAACAATAACTGGTTCTTTCGAGCTTGGAACTATTTATAATTTTTTCAGCGTGGGTGTGCTTCGAAGTGCCGAAAGCTTTGAAATTTTTGGATTTTTCTATTTGTTGGTACGGCTTTGTGTTACACTTTGCACGTGACTACATAGTAATCTGAAATCTGGAGTTGGAGTTAAGCTCGAAATTGTAGTCGGCAGAAGGGATGTAGGCGAGTGACATATCCAGGAGATAAGAATCATCCAAGCAGCAGATCGAGAACGACCCTCAGTTACTATGGATAGAAGAGTGCCAACTGGAAAGGAGATAAGAAAAGGTGCTGTTAAAAAGGAAATCAAAAATCAAAAAATGGAGTACCAACTTTAAATTTTCCATTTTGGCTGCAAATGTTTCAAGCACTAGACAATACGGTTTATATGCAGGGCGCAATTGTTCAACTCTTAATCCATTTTTTGTCAGTGTGCAGGTCCTTTTCCCCCACATAAACGGCAGGCCCCAGGAATGGTCCTGGAACCGGAGATGATACTGAGCCGATCAACCACCTAAAGGTTAAATGAATATCAATACTAATATTTTAAACGTACCACTTCCTTTGTTAGCAGGAAGAAAGATTACGGGAGATTCATTTATTTACTCGACAAATGACCATCATCTTCCCCTGCTCATTGTCTTGAAGCACCTAATGCTTACCTTTTACATGTAGTACTGTTTTTCTTCTTTAAGTAATGATGCTGAGAAATACATGAAATTATTCACAAGCAAATATTTCACATGTTCATATGAAGGCTCCCCCCGCAGAATGAGTATCCGTTGACAAAATACAAGCAACTTACTTTATCGTACACTAATAAACATGAGTGGATACTGCTGAAATGATCTTTTGCATTTTATCTTCTTAATTTTTCTGATCTTTTAATAATATTTCTTTGTATCTGAATACCATTCGGTGAGGCTCTCACATTAATTTTCTGATACTATGCTAAAACCAGCTTATCCAGCTTCTCCCTTTATTTCCTTAGCAGGAGTGCTCAAGCTTTTGGGCTTACCAGTCCTGCTCCTTACTGTGATTCTACAGTACTATACGACTGGGGTTCCATATCGAAAATATAGAAATAGTCTCTGGATGAGTCTAAAGCTCACAATATATAGAAGTGCTACTGATATCTCACCACCAGATACAAAGATATTGGCCCTCATGTCCAACGATTTCATTATCAACACAGTCATGAATTTCCATTATAAACGTATCGTTTCAGAATTGCCCTCCTTTGGAAAGAAATATGATGAGAAGTCTTATTGGCTTGTAAAGCAACCAAATAGGAAATCTCTGGATCCAATTATCATTTACCTCCATGGGGGTGGTTATTTCCTCCAAAGTCAACCTGAACAATTTGAATCCACCTTGTCAATGTACAAGTTGTTGAAGCCGGAAACTCAAAAGAAACTTTCAATATTGTTCTTAGATTATTCCCTTGCTTGCTATGATTATTGTGGATTGCCCACTCAACTTAATGAACTTCATAGGACTTATCACAAATTGACAGTACAAGAGGGTAACAGTAATATCATTCTTATGGGTGATTCGGCTGGAGGAAATCTTTCTATAGGTTATACTCAATATTTGAAAACTTTGATTAAGGAGAAGCGTTTATCAGAAGCACAGGCAGTATTCCCATCAAACATGATTCTTGTATCCCCATGGTGTAAAATTGAGCCAACTCCTGATCAGTTCCAACCTGGTAGATCTTACTACGATAATAATGATTACGATATGATTAGATATCGTTCATTAATGGTCGAAGGCGGGAAAAAGTATTTAATTAGCTCACAAAACATTGATGCTCTTACTGCTTCTCCAAATTCTAAATTGCCCCACAGTCCTAAGGATTGGGGTGATGTGCCAACATATACGAGAGAAAAGTCTAATATCTTTGTTATCTTAGGGGAAGATGAAGTTTTCAGAGACGATATTTTAATCTGGGCTGAATATGCTCTTGGCTGTCCCTTGTATAGCGAAAACAAATATGGAAATTCTGGAGGTGTATATGACCCCAAAATTCATGAATTTGTTAGAAAAGGTTCTCCAGGTAAATGTGCAGTCCAGTTATATGTAGAACCATTGGGAGTACATGATAGTTTCTTTTTCTTTGAGAACCACTTGCTTAAAAAGATTCAGTCTGCTGAAGGGAATCCAAGTGGCCCACAAGTCAGATTGAGCCAACTCAAGGATTCTGAATTTTTCGCTACAAAGCGTATTGTTAAGTTTTTAGATGCTATACTTTAAAGGAATCACCCTGACGGTGCACTTGAGCCTTGATATTACTTGGAACATTGTTCATCTTTAAATAAAATTAGCTTTTGTTATATTCATCACCTGCTTTGTAAGTAGACTGTAACCAGTAGGTCACTCTTGGAAGATTACTGATTAGTCCACAGGAACCACGAGTATGCACGTCGGAGCAGCACTTTTTTTCGCCTAAAGATGCTGTCGTAAATATGCCCGCGCAGAGCGTCAAGCGAATGAGGATGCAAAACTCACGAACGCTAGAGCGAACTAAGCTTCTTGTTCGAGAGATGTGAAGGTACCATTATGCAACATGAAAGCTTCTTTAGCCATATTTGTTCTGTGGTTGAAGGTTTTTTAACCTGCACTAATGAGCTCAAAAATGAGACAAACTCTGTGCTCAGTGGGATACCGATCTGCTGTATATTTGGGAAAAATATCACTGCCAGGAACATACATTCTAATTTAAAATGAAAAGTGATGTCTATTAATTGTTCAAAAATTGTCTATAACTAAATTGTGTAAAAGAATAAGTATTAATATCTCTAATTAACCTGGTGCAATTAAGTCTATTATGGTTAGCAAGTAGTAAAAAGATAATGCTAAGTTGTGTGTTGTGTTTAGTACTGGTGAGTATGAATTTCAGGAACGTGCTCAACCTTAACTAAAGGTCTGTAGACTGGTTTCCACATTTGGGATTGAACCCATTTCAAACATTTGTTGAATTCTCTTGGAACTTGGACTCTACCACCATTTGGTCTCTCTTCTTCTTCAACTCTTGCAGTACCTTCTTCCAAAGCTTGTAAAATAATAGCAGTTGCAACTTTAGCACTTACTTCATCTATTTCTTCTAACCTTGGTAATAAACCGTTCTTAGGGTCTGCCATCTTAGGTGATAATGAGGCTAATTGATCAACACCTGCGGAGATCATAGTGTCAGTGATTGTAGTACATCTAGATAAAACAGCACCTAAACCAATTCCTGGAAAGGTGAAACAATTGTTATTCTCTGAGATAACGTATCCATCAACTGGTTGGAAAGGAGATCCGGTAGCAATCAATGCGTTGTTGTCAGTCCATTTCATGATATCAACTGGGAAGGCTTCGTGTAATCTGGTTGGGTTGGATAATGGGAACACAATTGGTTGTTTGTTATGCTTATACATTTCCTTGATAATTTCTTCAGTAAATGCACCAGGTTGAGTAGAACAACCAACTAAGACGGTTGGCTTAACCTTCTTAATCACTTCTAAAAGTGACTTAGTGTCAATTCCCTCCCAATCGCTGGCCTTATCAGCGTACACCTTCTGGGCAGCAGTTGGATATTCATGTTTGTCTAAGATTAACCCTTGACGATCCATACAGTGGATAGCAGAAGTAGCATGTTCTTCAGAGGCTCCATGCAGCTTCATGTGATTGGTGATTTGATCTGCGATACCAATACCTGCAGAACCAGCTCCATAAATCACAACTCTAGAATCTAATAAATCTCTATTACTGAACTTCAAAGCAGCGGTCATGGATGCCATGGCAACTGCACCAGTACCTTGAATGTCATCATTGAATGATGGTAAAGTTTCCCTGTATCTGTGCAACATAGTTCTACCGGTGGTAACACCAAAATCTTCGTAATGCAAAACGGCATTTGGGAAACGCTTCTTCAAAGCGTGAATAAACTTATCAACAAAAGTCCAGTATTCTTCACCACGAACTCTTGGGAATTTGTTACCCATATATAAATCGTCTTCTAACAACTCCTTGTTGTTGGTACCTACATCTAAACAGATAGGTAACACTCTACCTGGGTGAATACCACCACAGAGGGTCATGAGACCCAACTTTGCAATAGCAATTCTGACACCACCAACACCTTGATCACCAATTCCCAAGATTCCTTCACCATCAGACACGACAACATAATCTATATCTTTGTCTTCACCGTATAATGCAAGTCTTTCTTCAATTCCATCTGGGTCGGTAATACTCAAGAAGCAACCTTCAGGTTTTCTGAATCTATGCGAGTATGCGGCAATGGCATCACCTTCAGTTGGTGTATAGATAATAGGTAACATTTCTCTGATATGTCTTCTAACCAATTCGTAGTATAAAACCTTGTTTTGGATCCTCATAGAAGTACAGAAATCATTCTTTGCCAATGGTGTCTTCAAGTACGAGAATTGAGTGTAGGCACGGTCAACTTGCTCATCCAAAGAGTTGATCTGGGATGGTAACAACCCATTCAACTTGAAAGCAGTTCTTTCTTCAGCAGTGAAAGCTGAACCTTTGTTGAAAACTGGCGAGTTTAAAAGTTGAAATCCATCAACATCGCACTCAATTGGCCCTTCGATGGACAATCTGGTGGTCTTAGGCTTTAATGTAGCTAAGGCAGCCTTGATCCCAACTGGGGTCTTGATGGTGTGGGTGTGGACGGATTTTCCAGCGTAGTTACGAATCTGCGAAAGCATCTGCGTTTTAGTAGACAACATCTTAAACTTTCAAAAGAAAAATTTGAATATATGTGCTGTATGGAGGGGGTTCAGTAGAATAGTTATAATATCAATCGGAGGAACGGCTGATATTGATTTGGGTGTGTATATAAGCTCCAATACTTGAAAATAAAAGACACGGGGGACTTAGTATCTTAATCTAGCCGACGTAGATAATGTATAATAATACAATCAGATGAAGGAAAAAGTTCAATCTAAAAAGATCTCAGAAAAGGAAACCAGAAAGAAGGGAATTTTGAGACAGAAAATTTCAATCTACCAGGCTACCTATATATATACACTCTGAAGCAAGCACATCTATTGATAGTGTTCTCTTCTGGTGCTGATACTCTTCTCGTTTTTTTTTTTTTTTTTCGCGTGCATATTTCTGTTTATTCCGTGTTTTTCCTGTGTTTGGGTGTTTGGGTGTTAATTGGGGAGAATTAACCTCGTAAAACACAAGGTGACAAAAGTGAGATGTGCCTAAAGAATATTCTTCCGATAGCATACAGGTAGATAAGTGAGTTGTCTAGCCACAGGAATGGATAAAAAGTGCGCTGGAAGCAGACTTGAAATGCAGATGAGGAATTGAGTGAACTCTATGACATTAAATCACTTCGTACTTGCTTCTGCCCTTTTCAGCTCGCCAGGCGGCGAACAACGGTGAATTTCTTAGACCGTTGGCACATTTTTGGCAGTATATTACAATCTGAATTGGCATGGAATTATGGACTATTGCGTCTTAGTTTTTTTTTTTTTTTCTTTTTTTTGGCTTGGGACCAACATCTCCTACCGGATTCTCCCGGTCAAGTACATCAAGTGGTTGCCTTGTGAGGGGAAAACTCACGGTGTGCAGGAATCTGGAAAAGAAAAAGAAATAAAATTCAACCTCCGCTCTCTCCTCTCCACCTACTAGTGTCTTTTGGGTAATGTGCCAACGATCGTCTATATCTCATATACAGCATTGGTAGCGCCCGCCTAATGCTGCGAGGGACAAACTTGAAAATAGTCCAATTGCATTCGATGTATCCGGTTTCGTTTCTCGGATATTCACTGTGTATCACGCGCTACCAAATCAGTCGCTTATGACAATTTTTGACGTATTTCAGTGTGCGGTTTCGGAGTTCCCAGGCTGTGTGTCCTGTATACGCTTCCCCCCTTTGCGGTTCTTTTTTTTTTCTTCCTTCCTTTTTTTACTCCTCTTTGGCCAATGCTTAGCGGCAGGGTGAAACCGTAGAAGGCCGCAGGAAGAGGCGCGCTACACACTAAAGAATTGCTGCAAGGCAGACGCACAAATTGTTGCAAAATTTAGACAAAAAAAAAAGAGTTAAAAAGGTACCGATGGTGGTTGGAACTCACATCGACTCCATATGTAATTGTTGTAGCATTGCAATTTCTAGAGGAAGCAATTGGGAAAGAAGATCACAGGAAGTTGCAGCATTGCAATATCTAGAGGAAGAAATTGGGAAAGAAGATCACAGGAAGTCGTAGCATCTTCTGAATCTGTCTCAATTGAGCATTCTTCTGAAACTATCATTGCAATAAACATGCCGAAAATCCAATCAGAGAGAAATTGGCCCCATATTTTCCGCCGTGGTAGTTGCTTTACCTCTTTCGGAAAGGCCAATAAATTTATGACCTATTACTCAAGATGCAATACGTCGGAAATGCAACCGAATCTGATGGTTTCGTACTCGAGGTATGCTGAAAACTTGAGTGAAACTTCAATCAAGAAACTAATGCACAGCCCAAGTGTCTAAATATTGCAATACCACTCTCTTCCCTAATGTGTCAGACATTTTAGTTCAATATTTTAAACAGGGACTAGTTTCAAACTTAGCGTGCAATCCAGGATGGATCTAAAATCATCATACCTTTCATCTTTACAGGCAACGTCGTATATCTTCACAAAAATATTCTTACAGCTTTTCTATTCCTATAGATACATTCATTTATACAATTCTATTACTCTATCATTCTTTACCATGCACCCAAATGCAACGGTGTTAGATACTCAGCTTGCTTCATCGTGCGTAATCCTCTTGGGCCACTCAACACATTAAAAACTAATATAGATGTCCCAATCAAAGGGTAAGATCCGATGAAAATAAAGATGCGCTGTCATTGACAAGTTAGTTAAACGAGTGGCGAACGGTGGTTTTAAGAAATTGATTATCGAACAGCTTATTCTCAATCAGAATAAAGTGGAATTAAAGAACGCCAAATCTCTAAAGAATGAGGTTTTGATACTTTGGAAATCATTGGTAGAATGGCTACAAGTATAAAATTTATTTGTTTAAAACCTGGGCAGTCTAGTTCTGCATTAACCGTGTACTATCTAACAATACTGACAGAGAGTGGATCGGCAACATAAGGAAATTTGGGAGTGATTTATTGAAGGTCTTGAAGCTGCTAGTAAAATATGGAAGGGCCCAAATAGTGATGAGCGCGGAAATGGACACGAAATAGGAGGTGTTAAGATTGTGTAGAGAAAGCGCAAGTACGTAACTTGAGCATTATCAATTAATAGCAAGATGTAATCTCTTAGAGCTACACACCTGACTTTCATCGATGTGTTGTCAACATATTCGTCCAAGAGGAGGAAGATCGACCTGCGTCCCTGGCAAAGATAAAGTATATTCAAAGTTGATACAAAAGCTCCTACGATACAGATTCATTATATCTAGTAGGTGAATAATTCAATAAACGTATTTAATGTAAAAAGTTTTTTACTATTTCTACTACTAGAGCCGAATGAACATCGCAAACCTTTTCGTTTTAATCTCAATTAAAGTGTTGAATTTCTTTTTGGCACTGATATCCCTGCCTTGTCATCATTATATGAAACCTGCTCACTATTCTCTAATGACTCTAACATGAACTGCGGGATTTCATCTTGAGCACCATATGCTTATACTGAAATCTCTTCGTTTTTATCTTCATATGATGGTACGTCACCATCCTCTGATAAAGCGATATTTTGTGGCACACTTTCATGGTCGTCGAAGAACATATTGATGAACCCCCAGAGGAGTGTCACACACATTAAAAAATCAACTAGGAGAGGGATGACCTCTCGACTACTAGGTAAGAAATAGTACACTGACGATACAATCCCAAGGCAAAATATAGTTATTCCGTGTAGGGGCCAAATCCTGATCCACCACCACGGAAGGGTCTTCATTGTCTCTTCAGCTACCTTCTGATGAAAAAAAAGAATAAACAAAGATTTGAGTATTAGGACAACAGGTTCTGGTGCCCAGCCCATCACAGACATAAGAATTATAAAAATCCCTAGACCTAACTTGTCTACAGTGCTCTCTGGCATAAAGTATCTGAATGAAAACGAAGAATAAAACAACTTGGATATATATACGGAGTGTATAACTTAGAAATAAGGAAGGGACTTACAGAATAAAAGTTGCAGTAAAACTTATTTCTGAAGACTGCACAGAGACCTGTACATATATTTTTTAATATACGAGAGAATAAAAAGCTAAACATCCAGACCCTCTTATCAATTGCAGCTCTCTACAAAATTAAAGTATATCCAAAGCTGATACAAAGGTTCCTACTATTCAGATTTTTTATATCAAGTATATAACTCAACTTATACATATTCTATTACTGAAAGCAAGGGAGATTGCAACACTTTGCGTTCAAATTTAAAGTAAAGTGCTTTATATCTTCTTGATTGCCATATGTCTATACTGATATCGATCCCTTTCCATCATTATGTGTTGGTAGAACTTCACTATTTTCTGATGAAGCGATTTTCCGTGGGTCCCCAAACATGAAGTACCCACTGGCGCTCATTGCTATCGTACATACTGCACCTATTGTATAGAAGAACTTTGAACTGTAGCTTTTCAAATACAAAGCTGACGTGGCAATAACTATGTGACCTGCAGCTATTACATATAGAGGCCAAATCCTGATTCGAGGAAACGTCTTTCTCATTTCAGCTACGAGCTGAATTAAAATAAGCTTACCTAAAGAAAAGAAGGCTGTGGCAGCAAGTTCATATCCTGGTACCCAAGTATATAACACTGGCAGACAAATATAAAATATAATAACAAAGAGTAAAGGCTTTCGTTCCGCACTATTCTCTTGTTTGATGCATCTCATTTTGAATGCTAGCGAAGAGTGAAACTACGTGGTTATATGTTACAAAGTGTGTTCTTTTTGAATTAAGCAGGGGGCTTGCTTTGAATTTAATGCGCTACTCGGAAAACCATAATGTGGACCTGCATATTATATATTTTCTCTCAAGTATACGAGAATATGCATAGTATTACCAATTGTGGTTGCAACCAATTTATGCACCTTATTGTAGGTATTTGCTTGTCCCTTTGATTATATATGCTTCATATGTCCTGCTTGAATAGGAATAAATACAGATGTATGCCATCACAGTTGCTTTACGTGTTTAATCTGTTTACAACTGAATAATTTATTAATGCTCAAGTAAAGAGTATTGCTAACTATCATAGACACATACCATCTCCCTCTTGCTGTCGAACGTTTCAAAGATTCTAAAATGCAAGCCATTGATGATCAAATAGCGTAGATTCTCAAATTTAGGTAAGAATCTTTCTTCACATGTCATAACTACATTATTTATAAAGTCCAGTTCAATATCAATCACTCCTTTGCAATAATTATAAGAACTTAGCCTTGAGTAATTGTTGCCTCTGGTACTACCTAGCAAACGCATTGATTGTTTGAATATAGTTTCAAATATACTACCTTCACCTTCATGAAATTTGCAATTTACTCTTCCGAGCTCCAATGGTAATTTGAGCAATAGTCCTCTTATCATGTCAAACCTAAAGTCCTTGATCACTTCATAGTCTGGGTACATCTCGCCTGTCATGTTTCCTATCCAGACAAATCTTGTCAAGGTGTTATAGTGCTTTGATAGATTTGAAAAGATGGCAAGGTTGAATTCGCAACCTAAGCTTAAATGAAGTACTTCTAAAGGAGGAAATTTCCCAATTAGTTCATTAAAGTCTGGAAGAATAAATTTGTAATGATCGTTGATTGTATCTCGACTGAAAATAGATAGTCTTTTCAACTTTGGAAAACTCAAGTATTTTAAAAACTCATCATCTATTTCTTGGATATAATTTTGTCTTCTAGCGTGATAATATGTTGAGCCAAATATCAATGTAAATTCTGATACACTATCCGTATTGAGGACTAACCGCTCAATTAAGGTATCAGTGGGAACTCCATCGAACAGAAGAGTCAATTTTTTCAACAGCGATAGGTTCTTTAATTTAAACTGAATGTGTAATGGATTTCCCACTAAACTAATATCATTAATTAACTCGCAATCTAAAATCTTCAAATTTGAGCTTATAGTTGAATCTATATTGCTACTAGCCACTGTCAATTGTCTTAAATGAGGTGGTTTTTCGAATGTGGGGATAAAATCATCCGTTATGTACATTGATGTCAATTGTATGTTGACTAAAGTGGACTCCTTCAACGATATTTTGGTTATGGGAGAGACTCTCTTGAAGATGATGGTTTGAATGAACTTATTTGAGAATGAATTACGATCAATGTACAACTCCTGTATTAGATTAGGATTAAATCTGTATAAATTTAATAATTTCCAGAATTGAAACGGTTTCACTATTGTCCACTCGACTGATATATCGGGAATCGAAATGCAATGTCTGTGTTTGCGAATAACCTTCATAGGGAGAATGGAGGTTACATAAATTTGGCGAAATAACTTTGATTTTGAATACTCTAACAATTGCCTGTTTACAAGCATTAGACTGATGATATCACCTTGAGTTAAATAACTGAGTATTAATTGAATGCAATCGTTAGGAAGACTTAGTAGAGAAAACTTAGTCAATTTTGAATAAGGTACCGATGGTGGTGCAATAATTTGTAACCATGAGAGATTGAAGTAAAGAATTACAATACATAACAACAACTCATGAGATATTATCATGAGGACAACTTGTCAACACCTCAAATACTATGGCTACAAAAAGAACACATAAAAAGGAACTCATTTATTTTTTTCATAGATCATATAAATTTAAAAAGCCATATAAGCTTTCTTATTATTTTTTTGTATTTCTTTTCTTTGTTTGTACCTTTTCTTCTTTCACTTCTTTATCGATTGATCTTTTCTTTGGTACCGGAAGCATTTTCTGAAGTTTAGGTACAAAGCAACTTGTTCTTCCTCCAACTGTAATATGATCTACTTCGTATCCATCGTTTGTTTTGACCTTTGGTCCATTTTTTCTTCTTTTACCCCAGCGGAATAGCATTAACCAATGATCAGGAAATTTCGTGACATCACCTTCGATTTTAACACTTTCCTCCACAACATAAATCAAAGACTCGTAGAGCTTGGAGATCACTGGATCTACAGCCAGTGGGTCGTAAGATAATTTTGAAGACAATACTTCTGCAGGGTGAATTCTGGCCTGATATACAATCTCATCAGAGACCCAGTTCCCAACGCCTGAGAAATATTCCTGTTCCTGCAATAATGCCTTGATTGGCTTTTTCTTAGACAAAATAAGCTTGTTAAAGTCCTGGAGGGAAAGTCTTGGTCTTCCATGATGATCTGGGTCTGGGTCTCCAAATTCAAAATCGGCACCATCTTCTTTTTTGATCTTTTCAGCTGGCTTTGAGTAGTCCGGTCCTAACTTAGACAACGGTTCATTGTTAAGCAAATCTTCGTCCGTTTGAACAGTATCTCCCTCTAAAAATCTGATACGTCCAAGTCTTCTTGGATCCACAAAAGCAAATTCTAACTTTTTGTCGCCATTGACCAAATCAAACTCCAATTTTACAAATCTCGGTGGCCACTCAGCATCTTCGCTATCGATGATATCAATAGCATTTTCTGTCTGTACTTCGGCTTCCAATTTCACAGATTTGTCTTTCAACTTGCTTTCCTTCTCTTTCAATTTGTCTTCAAGTATCTTTTTATCCCCGCCATTTTCCATGAAAACCAAATGGGACTTAATATTTCTTATCTTAACCATACCCGTCATACCAAAATGCATCAACATAACGCTTGTGCTTGCACTTCCTGGCGGTTGCAATCTTAACCAAAAGTGTTTACCATGTCTTCCAACAGACTTAACAGTCGAGTTAGCTATACTGCTTTGTAATTTTTCCAATTCCAATTCTGCATTGGGGCTACTTTTCAATATAGGCAATAATAATGGATCGTTCTTCAATTGCAAGTTTGCAATCTTAAATCCGATCACATTTCTACGAAGCAAAGCACAAACATGTGCAACCTAAACAATGTTAGTAAATGAATAAAGGAAAATGGGAGAAGACACTCTCATCCTACTCGGATTGCATACTTCAGCAACTTCAGGCATCGTGTAACTAGTATTAATGCTTGGAAATGTTCTTTTTTATTGGACAATGTCTGATAGCCTTTCGGAAGCAATGAAATTTAACTACGCTACATTGAAAAATTATTTGAGAGCAAGAAAATGTATGGAGAAAAAAAGGTTGCACTGTGGAGAATGTCAGCAAGAATGAACACTAAAAGAATGGCAGAGTCTCGGTGATGTGAAAGGAAGTACAACCAGGTGGAGGTAGATTAATGTAAGAAGAGTACCGACTGTACATCATCAATAAGATCACAACGTTGAATAGCCCAAAAAAAAAAGTAGAATGCTCCACGGCAGGTTCGAACTGTCGACCTTCAGATAACACAGAAAATTTCCTATGAGACTGACGCTCTACCGACTGAGCTAGTGAAGCATTTCTGAGGAAAAAAAGTTGTGGTTGGAAATTGCCGATAGGGTAGCATGTAGTGAAGGTTACTTCTTTCTATCAACTCTTCTATTCAGCAGGGCCAGGTTATGTATCAGCATTGATATCGTCCTCTTGCACCCTTGGACTTGGAACCCTATAATGGCAGAGACGGTACGAGTGACTGATGCTACTGTACCGACCAAACCAAATGGATGAACTGAAAGTACAGAATGTTTTGACGAGCCTCCAATTTGATAGCTGAGACGCTAACTGTGCAATGGCTCCCAGCTCTAAACAGGGCTCGCTCCTATGTATATCTATATACATCAAGGGGTAAAGGGACCCCCGTATCAGTTTCAATCCACTTTTACTACCTCGCCCCACTGCCTTGCTCAATACTTACCTCCTTCTTCCTTCTTTATCCACACGCACCCTCGCGCTACCCCCTACCCCCTGCCCTCCCCCATACTCCTCGCCCATTACCTCTGGCCTCGAGAGTATCGCGAAATTTCAAGATCTCAAATTTTTGACTATCTCAAATTGCAGGCGATATTTATTTGCCATTACTTTCATAGTTACTGTTCCTTAAGTCAGCTGAAGCGAATATGAACAGACTTTTCGGATCGAAGTCTACAGCTCCAAAGCCAACCCTCAACGATGCGATAAAGAATATCGATGATAGAGTGGGCTCTTTCGATGTGAAACTCTCCAAGATCAATGCAGAACTCTCTACTTATCAGCAAAAGATTGCCAGAATGAGGGATGGACCTGGGAAATCGGCATTGAAACAAAAGGCATTGAAGCTCTTACGACAAAGAAAGCAAATCGAGGCACAAAAGGATCAACTCGAAAACCAGTCTTGGAACATGACTCAGGCATCCATGACTACTGATAACTTACAGAATACAATGATAACGGTTGATGCCATGAAGACAGCCAACAAGCAATTGAAGAAAACGTATGGTAAAATCGACATTGATAAGATCGAAGCCTTGCAAGATGAAATGCTTGATTTAATAGATAAGCTGAATGAATTACAGGAATCCTTGCTGATGAGCAACGACTTGCCTGACGATATTAGTGAGAGTGAGTTAGATGCTGAGCTAGATGCCTTGGGCGAGGAAATGGATTTCGAAAATGAAATGAGTGAAAGTGGCTTGAGCATGCCTAGCTATTTGAATAGTAGTGAGCCGGTTGGCAGTGAGAGTTTACCAACATTTATTGATGAAAGTGAGGAGAACCCAACCAAAGTTGCTAATTAGTTCGAAGGAGGATACGCTTGATGGTAGTATTGTGTTAAAGAGTTCACTTTGTAATAAATGGGGCTAGTGGTGATATTGTATTTGAAGAGTTCGGTTCACAATAAATTAATGATGCTATTGTTGACTAGTTCAGTTCACAATTAAAGAGGTTAATGATGCTATTGTTAACGAGTTCAGTTCACAATCAAAGAGGTTAATGATGCTATTGTTGACTAGTTCAGTTCACAATTAAAGAGGTTAATGATGCTATTGTTGACGAGTTCAGTTCACAATTAAAGAAGACAATGATAGTATTAAAGAATTGAGTATATAATAAAAGAAGTTAATGTTAGTATTATACTGTAAGCAAGAAACTAGAGCACTCTGTTTAAGCACTCTGTTGATAACATTCTGTTGATAACAATCTGTTGAAGCACTCTGTTGATAGGACTATCCCAACAGTAAGTGAAAAGTCAGTCCTAACAATGCTTACTGACTTGAGAGCGTGTTCGTCGCTGCCGGTTGCCTTGCACTAGCTGTTTTCATGTATTATACTCGTTCTACTACTTTTATCCTATGTACAATCCGATCAGTATTCACGTTTTATTCGTATATAGCAGCACATCTACTTCTTTCTTTGGATTGCCATGAAGTAATTCCCCACGTTGGGGTTCTCGGTGAATTTCCATCCATATGCTGGCAAGTATATACAACCCTCTGCTCTCACTACCTTATACTTCTCACTCCTGTCTGAATCCAGCTCGATCCAGTCTTTGATCTCTGTTTGGTTAATGTACTTGTCCAAGGTATGAGTTCCTACGGGCACAATATTCAATAAGTGCTCTCCCATGAGGATCGTGGTAAACCAGCTTACAAAATCTCTGTTTATAGTGGAAATGAATACCCAACCGCCTACTTTAACTCTCAGCAATGCCTCCTCCAAAACCTTGGCAGGGTACGTTACATGCTCCAACATTTCAAACATGGTAATGATGTCATATTGCTGGTTCAGCGGCAAGTCTTCAATCGCCTTTAATTCGTACTGCAATTTGGTGAGCTGTGGGTCCTTCAATTGGTGCACCTTAGCGGCCTGTAGCACATCGGACGATAAATCAATCCCCTTCACTGAATGAATGAAGCTTAACCTTGCCAACGATTCGGTGAGGATCCCACCTCCACATCCCACATCCAATGCCTTCAACTTACTCTTCCCCAAGATCTCGTCTCTTTTATTTTCTTGTTCACTTATTATTCTGTTTCTAATTGGCTTTGGTAGCAACTCAAGCCCATAGGCAGGAACATAGATCTCATCTTCTACTGGAGTATTAGGCTCGTTCAACTGTAAATGTTCTCTTATCGTGGTGTGAATGAAATCCATTCTCAACAAGTTCATCTTATGCAAGATTCTTTGCGGGCCATCGACGTCCCACCAGGACGAAGCAAGAGCATTAAAATGTGACATCTCATCTTCCGTAATGGCTGTATCCTTTACACTAGAAGAAGATGCACCGGACGACGAAGTTGAAGCAAGCCTTACGAGGCCAAGGACTACATTTTTCCTGGGTCCATATCCAGCGATGGCTCCTTTAAGTATATTCATAGATAGAAGGGTCCTTAGAGCAAAATATACTACTGAAAGAGACCGCTACTCGCCTACCTCCCATAATTTTTCACTCCATTTTCACTCCACACGCTTGGCGATATGAAAAATTCCAATCGCGATTTTTATTTGTGAAAGTGAAGAGCGACTGTTGGTGTTCCTTTGCTAGTTTGTTTATCGATACATATCTTGTAGTTTAAAGATAGTCATGTCTGATGACAGTTTAGTGGCCACTAGAGCTCGTCGAGCCAATGCTGGTTCGAGGTTGAAAAGGTTAATAGAGTTGGAAGAGCAGACGATAGAAGAAAGACAATCCATAGTGTATACGGAAGATGACGAGAACGTAAACTTACTCTTCCAAGAAGACGAGAATGACGAGGAGTTTGAGGACAGTGAAGAAGACGGCGAAGGTGAAGGAGACGAGGATGATGATGAAGACGACGGCGGTGAAGAGCGAGATATCGAGGCAGAGAGAGGAGAGGGTGGAGACTCTGATGAAGGCGAAGGCGATGACGATAACGGAGCGGGCCCAAAGAAGAGAACGATAGAAAAGGTCGATGCTGACGATGTTTTATCAGACTCTGAGATATCAGAAACAGATTCCGATCAAAGTGAGGGGGAAAAGGAACTCGATAAGCAAGAGAAGCTTAAACAGAGGAAGCTAAAGAAGAAGAACAAGCTTATCCCTGCGATCAAGCAACCAAGACCTCCCGCTTCTGCGAAGAAAGTGGTCAAGAAACCTAAATTGGAGTTTACGTCAGAATCCTTGTTGAATTCTAAGAGGTCTTCCTCCAGATCAGCAGTTGTTGAGAGCAAGCAGGCGTTGGCCAGGAGATTGAAAGCTGATGAGGAAAGAAGAGCCTTGCTCAAGCCGGTAATTCGACACAAAGAGGTTGAAATGACTCAAGAGGAGAGGTTGGCTGAAGCTGTGGAAACTGAAAAGGCGAATGTGATATCTTTAAATGAATTCAGAGAACAAGAGATTGTCAAGAAAGAAACTCAGAGGCAGATGCTCATGCTGAAAAGAGTTAAGCTCGTAAATGTGATCCGAATGGTTAGCGAAGAGCACTTTATCACTCCTTTTGATGAGATAACTGAGGCAAGGAGGGTTTTTGAAAAGGAAAACTTGAAATTAAAGAGAAAACCTGGTAGAAAGAAGAAGAATTTGGAAGAAGTAGAACAACAACAACCGGTTTTAAGACCCCCAGGAAGTATTGACCTAGACTTACCGTTGGTGAAAGAAGAGATGGAGAGGGAGAGAATTGAGGGAGAAAAGAGGGCCTTAGAGGAAAAGGAGAGAAGAGAAGCTGAGGAAAAGGAGAAGTTGGAAAATGGAGAAGTGGATACGGTACTGGAACAACAAAAAGGTGAAGAAGAAAATAGCAGCAATGTGGATGTAGAAAACGAAAAGAAACTGGAAAACTTGGAAGATGAAGATGAAAGTAAGGACGATGGTGAAGGCGAAAAGGTAGAAAAAGAAGAAAAAGCTGAACAAGATGGAAAGACGAATGACGAAGTTGAAGAAAAGTCAGTAGAAACAGAGGAAGGTGGAAAAACAGATGATGCAGATAACAATGGCCCTGAGAGGGTACCTGGAAGTCCGCATGAAACGAATGCTGATGCTGATGCAGCGGCAAATGAGGATAATGCAGTTGCTAAAAACGATAATGATAATAATGAGAAAGATGAAGGGGAGCTGGAGCCAAACGAAAATAAGGATGCAAGTACTGGCGATCATAATACGAACCTCGAAGATGAAATTAAAATAGATGCCATAGAGGTGGACGGTAAAGCTGACTCAAAAGATGAGACTAGTGAGACCGACCCCGCAACTGCAGTTAAAGAAGAGGAGGTTGCTATACAAGATGGTGATAAGATGGACATAGATGAAGATAATGAAATTAAAAACGAAATTACGACTGACGATAAAGAAAGCCTTATCGATGAGGTTCATACTAACGACCTGGATATTGTCAAGACCGAAGTAGATGGAAAAGGCGACAAAGGTGAAAAGAGGGTGAAATTTGTAGACGATTTGGTGGATGGGGAAAAGATAGAAGTGACTGCAACGCCAGAGCCAGAAGGAGAACCCATTGACGATGAAGACGATACTCCAGTCACTGAAGAGGAAATATTCGAAGGGCCAGCCGAAAGAGTTAGCAGAAACATGATTTATTTAATTGACTTCGATGATGAAAAGGAGCATAAACTCATTGACAGTAACATCAAGACTATTCTTTTCGGTAAACAATCATTGCTCCCTGCATCTCGAAGATTCAAGGATTTGAAGCAGATTGCCAAGATAGGAGAAAGCGAAAATCCATATCTTACAATTACTCACAGAAAGGATGAATTGTTTGAGCCGGTGACCAATTTAACAGAGAATGACTCCTTGTTTGAAGAACTTAAAAGATTACCAAGGTTTGGAGATTTCGAAGATATTGTAGAAGAAGAGGAAGTTAACGACGAGGAAGTCACTTCAGAAATTGTCCTAAAGACTGAAGCTCCAACGTCTCTTTATTTGCCCAATGGTAATAAGAAGAACTGTCTCATTACGGGAACTGAGGTCAAATACTTCGATCCTGCTAACGGTATACCTTATAGTAGCGTGGAAACGTACAGGTTATTGAAGCAGATAGAGCAAGGAAATGTTCCCTGGTATAGTTTTGGCAATGATGCTAACGATGGAGGTGGTGCGGAATTGTACTTGGGAATGAGAGAAGGTGCAAGACATGCTAAAGGTGTGCCTGAAGGATTCGACGCATAGAGAATCGGATATTCGATCTACTTGTATTATAATGAAGAAAGAAAGAGAAAGACAGACAGAGAAAAGCTAGAAAGAAACGCAAAGTAATTCGTAGTCTATTTCTATTTACAAACTACTAATAATTAAGAAACATACGCTATCTATATCAGCTTGATGTATGCTGAACATCCTTTTCATGGGCTCTTAACAAATCGTTTTGGAACTTCATTAACTTTTGCTTTAACACAGGAATGAAATGCTTTCTTACTTCTGATTTGTGAGAATCTGAATCAATGCTGAATTCGTACTCATCTTCCTCTTGATCGTGTATGAATTCAGGGAGAATGATCTTCCCAGTGAATTCATCTTCATCTTGAACTCCCTTGTAAGCAAATTCAAGCTTCATATCGTATATACATAACACTTTTCCCTTTCTTTGGGTGACATCACAATCACCAGTGACTGAGTTTATATCTGTGAGTGTGTATGTAATGGTATCATGGGTGTAGGTGGTGTTTATAATTTCCTTTTCCAAGTACGTTTTGGACCAAGATAAACAGTTCTTGTCAACCCAATGCCTAAAAACAGTTAGAATCAAAGATCACAGGAAAAACTTAAGAAAATTACCCTTTTTTCATAATGCTCCCTCAGAATAACATACCAGTTGTTAGGATTATGAACTACCATGCTTCTTATCGTCTATAGGCTCCAATGACGTTGGTTTGTAATGAGCAAACGTTCTTGGGCCATTCTCGAACTGAGTCCATTGAATTTTCCAGACTCTTCTGTCTCGGGCACATAACCCGCACCTAGATGTTAAATTTGGTGTCCTGATGTATGATGTGTCAAGGTTAATGGCTGCACATGTAGGTTTTTGGCTCTCTTGTCCTGCCTAACACAGTTACAATTGTCCCCTTTTCCTTCTTACTATAATATTGTGGAGATGCTAATCAACCTAATCATGTATACTATATAACTAAATTTGAATACTGAGGGATTGAACTAGTTATCTATTTTTCTCCCTGAGTCACCAAATTGAAATACAACTTATGTAATGTATATTTTATGTCACGCAATTTTAAGTTTGAAGATTGGATATGGAGCTTAACTGAAAACTCTTGTAAGAAAACGGCCTGTTTCTTGTCTTTGCATTAGGATATTTAGAATAGAAGTGAAATGTAATTTGAGCTAATAGAGGGAATGGACATAATAAGACAGTTCGAACAGGCATTCTCAATTTAATGAATTAGGACGAAGCAGATTTTGACATAGAGTTTCATTGAAGAAAGTTACAAGCCTTAAGGAACTTCGGATGATGGTTTACTTCCAGCGGACTTTACAATTATCATTAAAGTAAATAGACGGAGATATTTCAAATGCTTACAATCCTGCTTCTATCATCAGGCCGATAAATCCAGTCGATATTAAGGCAGATTACATAATCATTGAACTATGGAGCTGTGAGGAATGATAAGTCCGAAAAATTCTGACACATTATGCAGTGGAGATAATTGATGCTTACTCTTTATCTCCACATACAATTAATTGTTGCAAAATTATTATGAACAAGCTGCTATATAAGGGCAAGATAGGACCCCATGAACTCAAATACATTTCCAATTCGACTACAAAATCATTAAGATTTACATTTATATAAAAGAAGTAGAATACTAAAAAAAGAAAAGAAATGCCAGAAGTTTATTTTATTACTGGAGCTAATCGTGGTATCGGTTATGCGGTCGTTGAAGAATTATCCAAAAGATCAAATGTCAAAATCATTGCAACAGTACGTAGCATTGAGAAGGCCGAAAATCTTATCCTGTTAAAAAACAAGACAGGTAATGTTGAACTTGTCACTCTTGACGTTTCTTCTGAGGAAAGTGTTGATGCTTTGGATGAGCAGTTGCAAAAGGTTGCACCAGATGGAATCGATGTGTATATTTCAAACGCCGCCTACGTCGATTGTTTGTACACTGTCAAGGATGCACCACGTCGTATTTGGATAGATCATTATAAGACCAATGTGTTAGGTCCAATTTTAGTTTATCAAGTCTTGTACCCTTATCTTGTCAAGAAGGAAACGAGAAAGATCATCTTCATTTCAAGTCTGTCAGGCTCAATGGGAAGTTATTTTCCACTTTCCACTTCGGCATATGGTCAATCTAAGGCTGCTTTGAACTACACTGGAAAGGAACTTAGTAGTGAATTGCAAGCAGAAAACTTCACCGTTATCTCGCTTCATCCGGGGGTTGTCGCCACTGAAGCAGCTGAGGAATTCAAAGCAAAACTCAACCCAGACCTTGTTCCATTAATTGAGCAGATGTCGATTACTCCAGCAGCAAGTGCAATTAAGCAACTTGAAATTATTGACGGACTCACGAAGGAGTCAACCGGTAAGTTCTTCAGCTATGAAGGTAGTGAAATCCCATGGTAAATAGTAGGCAAACTTAGAGCTCTTACCTGCACGGGCTTTTCCTAGTATGAAGCTATTTTAAAACTATGTAGTATTTTTAAGCGATGAAATAATAAATAAGCCACACATAATAATCAATCGGGTACATTTATAGACTCTTATAGTGGTAAAGTAGTAGACTGAGAAAGATGGCTACTAATTGCAGCTATACTGAGGTCTTTTTCAACTTGGGATACTTTTGTAGCCATTCGTAATTATACGAGTGTAAATTCATCAGAATACCTTAGACATACTACAAATTAATGCGTTTAGGCATGATATCGAAAACACTCGAATAAAAAAAATATTGTAAAGTTGGTAGAGATTTCATTACTTCGAATTCTAACATATGGAGAGCAATAGGTACTACAGTTTGTACTTCAAAAGAAAGTATTAAAGTTTCATAAGTCTACAGCCTTCTAATGCTAAACTTGAGGCAGCATAATGAATTTCATCAACTGAAAAAGTTATTGCTGAGATAAGTGTTTATGAAAGACTGATTCAATCGCTTTAAGAGAGGGATGAAAGTTTTTCTTTTTGGAACTCTTTTTCACTCCTGACTATGTGATTTTCCATGATTATTCAAAAGACTGGAAGACTACTTTTATTCTACTTATCACTTAACCGTCCCTCAGTATTATTTTCAATCTCCGCTAACCCCTGCTTATAAAATATATATATAGCTTGCCAGGTATATGTAAAGGCATCAGAAAATTCCAGAAGTTGGAGAAGTGAAAAATCCAGTTAAATCCGGAATGTCTTGACATATAACGCAGTGGAGATAATAAAGATCCACACTTTTTATCTCCAAATTCAATTAATCCTTGCATATCATAAGAACCAATTCTATATAAGAGAAAAGAACTTCCGGCTATATATTATCTAATTCTCATCTATAAGTTCAATAAAATTTGAATATACATTGAATAAGCAAAAAGTTAAAATGACAGAAGTTTATTTTGTTACTGGAGCTAATCGTGGTATCGGTTATGCAGTCGTTGAAGAATTATCCAAAAGATCAAATGTCAAAATCATTGCAACAGTACGTAGCATTGAGAAGGCTGAAAATCTTATCCTGTTGAAAAACAAGACAGGTAATGTTGAAATTGTCTCCCTTGATGTTTCTTCTGAAGAAAGCGTGGATGCTTTAGATGAGCAATTGCAAAAGGTTGCACCAGATGGAATTGATGTGTACATTTCAAATGCGGCTCACTTTGATTGTTTGTACACTGTCAAGGATGCACCCCGCCATATTTGGATTAACCATTATAAGACCAATGTGTTAGGTCCAATTTTAGTTTATCAAGTCTTGTACCCATATCTTGTGAAGAAAGAAACAAGAAAAATAATCTTCATTTCAAGTCTGGGAGGCTCAATAGGTCAATATTTCCCATTGTCAATTTCAGCATACGGGCAATCTAAGGCTGCTTTGAACTACACTGGAAAAGAACTTAGTAGTGAATTGGAAGCAGAAAACTTCATTGTGATCTCCCTTCATCCGGGAGTTGTAGCCACTGATGGGGCTGATGACTTCAAAGCAAAAGTTAATAATCCTGCTCTTATTGAAGCATTCGAGCAGTTATCGATTACTCCCGCAACAAGTGCAATTAAGCAACTTGAAGTTATTGACGGACTTACAAAGGAATCAACCGGCAAGTTCTTCAGCTATGACGGTAGTGAAATCCCTTGGTAAGTAAGGTAATAGTCAATACACGATTTTCTTCTTCTCTAAAGGTCTAGGCTGCTAGAAGCTTATGTATTCTGTAACAGTTTTAATAAACGAGACAAGAAAGAAACTTGAATGCATAAATAATCAATCTTGTCTAATTCTTAATCTTTTAAATTTGAATATTCGATTCTACACACTTTCAGTAACATAATAGTAACTAAAGCGACATTTGGTTTTGATGAAATATTTTTCAATTTGACCGTTTTGCAGCCTTTAGCAGTTGTACGATATGATTTCATCAGATTTCTGCCTTAGAGTGATTATCGTTTAATGCACCGTAGAGGCGTAAGATTGAAAATTATAAATGTTAAAAGATCGGAGGAGATTTTAATTCTCCGGATTCTGAATGATGGAGAGCAGCCATCAATTTGTATTGCAAAAAAAAAAAAATAAAATGTTTCATAATCTTAGAACCTACTATTTTTAACTTGGTATAGAATATTTAATTTAATTGATTGGAGAATTTAGCTTTGAGGCTAGCCTTCACGAAAGGCTGTTTCATACCCTTAGGTAAAGGATGTATATTTTCGGAAATATTCTTCACTGCTTACTATTGATCTTGAATCTCCGGAGTTATCCTAATACTCTTATATTTAGAAATCTTATAATCCTTAGAAATCTAATAGTATCTATGTCATCTCGTAATCGTCCCTCAATTATTATTTGCAATCTCCGCTAAACCCAGATAGTATGAAATAATATTTAGTTTGTCAGATATAAGTTATACGAAAACTCCAGAAACTCCAGAACGATGAAGTTGTGAGAAGTTAAATCCGGAAGATCTTTACACAACTGTTGAGAAATTAGTAATCTGCAACACTTTATCTCCACACTCAGTCGAATGTTGCAAAATTTTAAAAACCGTTCTACACTATTTAAACACCTAGATTAAACATAATTTTCCAAATATTTATTCTAAACTATAGGAAAAACAATTCAATTGTGAATACTAACAAACAGTGAATCGTACTAAATATTTGAAAACCAAAAGAAATGACTGCAACTTACTTTATTACCGGAGCTAATGGCCAAATTGGATATGCTGTCGTTGAAGAATTATCCAAAAGATCTGATGTTAAGATCATTGCAACAGTACGTAGCATTGAGAAGGCAGAAAAACTTATTCTGTTAAAGAAGAAGACAGGTAATGTTGAAATTGTCACCCTCGATGTCGCTTCTGAAGAAAGTGTTGATGCTTTAGATGAGCAATTGAAGAAGGTAGCACCAGATGGAATTGATGTGTACATTGCCAATGCTGGTATTTTCAATCCTTTGTTCACTGTCAAGGATGCACCACGCCATATTTGGTTGGATCATTATAAGGCAAATGTTTTGGGTCCAATTTTAACTTATCAAGTTTTGTACCCATACCTTCTCAAGAAGGATACAAGAAAAATAATCTTTATCTCCAGTAGAAACAGTTCGATCAGTCAATATTTCCCATTTTCTGTTTCAGCTTATGGTCAATCAAAGGCTGCTTTGAACTACACTGGAAAGGAACTTAGTAGTGAATTAGAGGCAGAAAACTTCACTGTCATTTCTCTTAGTCCAGGTGTCGTCCTAAATGAAAAAGCCGCAGGTTTAATTGTTCACCTCCCTGCTGAAGTTCAAGAGGCATTTAAGAAGGAGCAAAATTCTCCACAGGATTGTGCAATTAAGCAACTCAAAGTTATTGACGGCCTCACAAAGGAATCAAATGGTAAATTCTTTAACTATGATGGAAGTGAAATCCCATGGTAAGCCGATTTTGGAAAACGAAGCATGTCGTTCTATTTTTAGGAAAATATAGTTTTTGCGGGAGCTCGTAAATTTGCTGTCATAAAGTTAAACATACAATTCCAAAAAATATGCAACTCTTCCTTGCAGATAATTATAAGCGTTGTCTCATCAGAATATACACCGTGTTTTAAGTATGCCTACTGTAAGCATTTACCAGCTTCTCTACCAATCTGTCTTGAACTTTTCTGGAGAGGATGTTGGTAGTAAGCTAGAAGCATTTTGCTTTAGTGCAATTTCTCTTCACCGAGGGATCGGGCAGAAAAGTCAGCTGCTGCTTTAAGAGCAAAAGCCGGTGAAAAAAGACTACTGGCTTTCAGCTATTGCTGATTTTGGAAAGGAGTGCAATTCAAAAACTCGAGGCAATTGGAGGGCTTAGGAAGCAATAAACAAATTTCTTGAATTGTGATGGAAGTTAAATCCCCGGTAAGTGCTCATGTGTGTATGGATGACTACATCATTATTAAGCTCTCTAGCATGGTTGCACTCACTTAATTTTGCGGCCATTCTTTTATATAGTAAAAAAAAAGAAAGAACAAATGCAACCAAGTAATGAACTTGCATGAAATAGTTTCTTACGCACTGTAGCCACTTTGACGCTTATCCATATTCAAGGATATGAGATGAATCATAAGTAATAAGTATTCAGGAGAATGGATTTATAATATTTTCTATTATCAGACACATTAGGCTGATTTTAGTGCTACATATATTGAATGAAAGAGCACACACCGATAATATCAATATTTTAATATGATCATAAATTCGTATCTATATAAATCTAATCAGACCAAGTGTACTTACTTTTACTACGTAAACTTTCTCCATATTTGTAGAATAAAAATGGAATTGGAATTAAAACACATGCAAAGCACGCCAATAATGTGGTAGCCCAATGTACACCTAAACCTTCGTACATCTGTAAAGCAAATAAGGGGAATACACCGGACATTATGGACCTCGTGAATGAATTCGTTGCCATTGCAGACGCCGTGTAAAGTCTATAAGCATCCACAGTATATCCGAATATTCCGTTAAAGACTAGAGTAACACCAGCCCCGTATATTCCAGAACCTATAATTGGTCCTATCCAATGGACATTGGGGTAACAAGTCCAAGCTAAAATGAATAATCCTGTTGGGGTTACAAACACTCCATACATAAGAGGTAAAAACCTAAATTCTGGCTTGGAAACACCTCCGTTGGCTTCCACTAATTTCAAGTATTGCTTGTTTATTAAACCTGGAGTTGTTGCTGAAGAGAGGCCCATACCAATAATTAATCCTAAAAAGGACATCCCCTGTGCAGCTAAACCAAAACCATAAACTGTTTTGAAGATATATGGAAATGCAACAAAGAACATGTAGACTATTGCTAGTGAAAAGCCTGTGTAGAAGCATAAGACTCCGGTCATTTTATCTCCAAATAGAAGAGCAAATGGTCTTTTCGAAGATATTACAATACTCGTGTACAATGAACTGTTAACTCTTTCCAAGGCTGCATAATACTTGTCATCACCAGTTTCTTTTCTAATTCTCTTTGCTTTTCGTACCAATAAGACTGGCTGATAGGTTTCCGGAATAAATATGATAAGGAGTATAAGCATCACAACAGACCATATTAATGGTACAATAAATGTCCACCTGAAATTTAAATTGCTATTAATGAAACCAGATATCAATGGCCCTAAACCTGGCCCCACAAAAGGTGACATTGTGTACAATACTAGTGGGTAAGTAATTTCTTCCTTAGAGAAGATATCAGAAAAGGTACCACTGGCAACTGCCATAAAGGAAGATCCGAAAAAACCAGACATGAATCTACCAAATAACATACCACCAATATTAGGACTAAATGCAGTTAGAACTTCAAAGCATATAGTCAAAAACAAACCTAGTACGTAAGTTATCTTTCTTCCATGAAATTCACTTATTGGAGAAAGAAACATACCACCTGTTCCTAGTCCGAAAATGTAACAGGTTATACCTAAGGTACATACTTCATGGCTAATGTTGAAGTGGGCCATAATGTTATCAGCAGCCAAAGACCAAGATGAGGAAATACATGTGACACAAACTGAGACTAACGCTATGATGATTGCAACAACCCACTTATGTAAATGAGACAAATTTCTCATATCTTCTTGGTCATCCTTTCCATCGAATGTGACAAGGTACGGATCAGGGGAATCTGGGGTTTCCTTGTTGAAGGAGTTCAGTTCGGAGGAGCTCAGATTACTTAATTTTCGCATTCTCTCATCTATAACAGCCTCATTATTACTTCCTGGCGAACTAGGACCAACAACCTCAGTATCGCTACTATTATTTGTAAGACTATGGGACATAGGATTATTATTGTTATGCATACAGTTATTATTCGAATTTAAGTTTCAGCAAAGTGTGGCTACAGCTATTTGAGTAATGAGCAATATTTAGAGTCTAGCTGGTTATCTTTGCTCGTTTAGCTGATTATTTATTTATTTAGGATATGCGACTTAATGAATTCACTCACATACATTTACATTAGTCTTCCTTTTATACATATGTAGGGTATGGCTTCTTCCACCTTATTTACGAGTAGAAAGGGACGCATCATGCTAGCCCTTCGCACTGTCTGTCCGCACTTCTTGAAGAATTTCCGAAAGTTCGCAATGATCGGGAGTCGGCCCGTCGCCGGAAGGTCGCCGAAAAAGTGGCTAAGATCTAAGCTTAATAAAAATTTAGTAATGCGCTATAAGATCCCTTCTAATCCCTTCTAATCAAGGGGATAAAAGGCAGAGCCTTTGGCTTCAATTTCTGGCATCTGAAGGATAGCAAGGAAAATACACAGAAAAAAGAAACAAATGCAGACCGAAGAGCCTCGAAAACCACTACCTGAAAGTCGTTCTAGACAACTATCTCGGATGCGTTAACGAATTCGTCAACACTTTTAATTTTCTACCTCGTGGTTGCTTTTCATGATTCTATATCATAGGGATAACACCGTCACCCTTTTCCCTCTTTCGTAGGCGAAGCATTCCATTACCCAAGTGGTGACCCAGAGGGGACTACTACGGGATATGTTTCCATGGCTCTTCTTCATTTATTTTCTGAATAGCCTTGATATTCTTCAGTATGTCTCACAGTTCCACGGTAGAAGGGCCAGCAAAACCGACAGCTTTCGGTTAAGTCATAGGTGTAGAGCCATGTAAGATACCGCCGGGTTCTGTACGGAACAATTGAGCCTGTATACAAAAATAGTCTAGTTTCAAATAAACCTTTTTTGGCTGATTATTACTTCTCACACCCCAATACCCACGTCTTCCGATTAAGCCTAAGCGTAGATCCATCCAAGATGCAACAAGATTCTGTATGGAGATTTACACCTGTATATAAAACAACATTACTTTATTTTTAGTATCGAATAAACTTGGATTTATGCGAAAACTTTGTGCATAGACACACACAATGAAACACGTAAGTGGATCATCATCAAATTCAAAATAGAGTGTTATCGAGTTTATTCTTGGTAGCTTTCTTTTTTTGTTTTTTTTTGGTTTCATACTATTACCATATAGTATGTCTGAGGATATCAAGCTTTCTCACTTGAATGCGAGAGGAGAAAAAGCACACAATAACGTACTCACTGTTGATGATGACATACCTCCGCTGCATTTAAATTTGAACCCTGCTTCCAAAACCTTGAAAAGAAAATTGGTCTTGTACTTAATAATTGAGGCTTTGATCTCCACAGTCATATACATGAAATATGATGTTCTACTGGAATTTCATAGTCTATTAGCTCCTGCGTTACTAGGATCATCTACTGCAGCGTTTGCTCAATCAATTAATCAGTATTCGAAGAGCAAATTTAGCGCTAGTAAGATCTACAAATTTTTACTATGGGGTGTAATAAATGGTGTCCTTACAGTTTTATGGATCGACATGTTGAACTTTCAATTTGAAACTGTGCTATATCGTATCATCATAGATCAATTAATCGGGGCTCCCACCTTCCAAATCGTTTACAATATATTAAGTGCTATATGGGAAAATGGTGATATATCCAGTATTATGCTGCCTGTGCACATGAGGTCATTGAAATACAGTTACTGTTTCTGGCCATTTTTTTCAACTATAGCATTTATATTTTTACCGACAGAGGCGTTCTACCCAGCGAATTGTGTTGCCAATTTGATTTGGAATTTAATATTGAGCAAGTTATCGTCATAAAGAATAAACTTAATAATACAATCAATTTAATATAATGTTACCCCAAGAATGATCAAAATCAATTTTGGCATATGCCGAACACTACTGTAAGAATATGTGCGACAATTTTCTTATTTCGGTGAAAGGCTGAGAGTGGATCAATCTGTGAGTAAAGTGGCACGAGAAATAAGAATACGAACAAGAATACGAACAAGCCTGGGCAGCCTGAGCAATCTAGGTTACTACAAACAATTTAATATATAGCCTCTAGCTAAGAAAATTCACACACTATTAGTACCCCAACAGAGTCCCGCACTCTCTATACCGGCTCTTTCCCTCTTGTCTGCTCTTCCCATCTCTTGCCATCACTTCTCAGTACTTCCGCACTTGATGCACTAGAGAAGTAAAATTACCCGGTCCCGCGCCATTTCTGAGGGTTCGGTTGCGTTTGTGTGGGAAAAAAGAAGCTTCACCGATGCATACCGTTCAGGCTTCCATCTCCAAAGGGTCCGGAGAGTATGGTGTTGGCTATACAGCTTATAAAATATTTGTAGCTTTTCTCTCAATTTAGGTTTCGAAAGCATATGGACGTCTAAAGAGAAGATTAAAGTAATGGCGGACGAATCGTTATATATATCAACTAATGAGGCTGCTCTAGCGGTAGTTGCTACCGCAATGAAGAAAGCGAGGCTACTGCTTGACACCTTGATAATAAACTCATTTGTAGCGGGGATTTTGTTTACTGCGGGAGGAATGATCCATGTGCATGTACAAGGTGGACTGCCCTCAGTATATGAAGGTGACCCCGCTTTAATAAATTTGATCCAGGGTTTAGTGTACCCCTTGGGGCTATTCTATGTAGTCGTCTTGGGGGTCGACCTATTCAATTCTAACATCTTGTATTTTATTGTGGGATACGCAAGGGGAGCTGTATCACTCGTTGATTTGCTAATTTCATGGTTTATAAGTTGGTTTGGAAATCTTGTTGGCACCATCTTCGTATGCTACATTATATGTAACTATTCAGATGTTACTCGTCAGACATTGTATGTTCAAGGTTCCGTAGATATTGCTGTGGATAAAGTCAGTTATACTTTTGTACAGACAATGTTAAAGGGTATGGCAGGGAACTTCTTCGTTTGTCTTGCGATTTACTTACAATTGATGGCCAAACCGCTTCATGTCAAGTTTTTACTAATGGTATTACCAGTGTTCACTTTTGTGACTATGGGATTCACCCATCTGGTTGCTGACATGTACATGATGATAATAGGACTTATAAATGGCGCACCAGTGAGCGTTGGAAAAGTGATCTGGAAAGTATTCATCCCAGCCACCATTGGGAACATCATCGGAGGTCTGTTTTTTGGTTTATTGATTCCATGGTACTTGCATATTGTAGTTGTAGAGAAGGATATCAGGCTCTTGAAATTACCAAGGTATGAGTACAGGGATGAACAGCCTGAATTGAATCAAGATTCCAGAGTGGTGAGAGTTAAATCCGGTGGTCCTGAAGATGTAGTTGAAGGAGAAGAAGGGGAAGACGGAGATGACGGATTCGTGGAGGACCAACAAAGAGGTGAAGGACAGCAAGAATTACGTGGAATAATGGAAGATAAAGAAGAGAGCAGTGGTGCAGAGTCTCCTCCCGCTTCCCAGTATCCACCGCCCCAGGGCATCACGAGAAATGAGAGTTTTTCAAATCTTTCTACTACACCTTCTAGAATGTCGGCATATTCTAGATACAGCAATTATAGAAGAAGAAGTAGAGAAGTGAAATCTCCCAAAAATGTCTTCCCTGTTTATGGAATGGGGGCACCTTTGGAGAGAGAAAGAAGCATTGTGTACGGAAGGACTGACAACAGCTCAGGCGACGAAACTAACCAGCGCAGGAGAAGCACCGATCTTGATGAACAGTCTATATCATCGTACAGAACCGCAAACCGAGAATTGCGTACTCGAGGATCAGCTGAATTTTTAGGCGCAAGGTTGAAAAAGGTTATGTCAAGGAAACAAACCGAAAAGCCCAACGACTTAGAGCAACAATTACCATCTCGTAGACCCACAATAAGACAAAGTAGTATGTCTAGTAGTATATCGCGGTATTTGGGTCGCAATTCTCATTCGAGCCGAAAGGACTCGCTTAAAGCCAGCAATAAAGAAGAGTTAGAAGAGAAGATAGAAAGGGCAGGCATCACACCCCTTGCTGCGGAAGCGTCAGATGGCGCTGCTGGTGTTTCAGAGTTTTTCATGGGAAGAGACCTAGAATATAATACTAATATAGCAAATACAGTAGATGAAGGTATACTGCCAACTGACGAGGTATCGCACTTTGGACCAAATTTAGACGCGACAAAGGAAAATGATACAGTTCCAAACTCAACTAATGATTCATTCAATATAGTTAACTATAATCCAACTGAATCAAAAGAATAGCATATAGACTTTTATTTACATAGACATGCGCATGCATTCAACTTTTCATTTTAATAGATTTCTTCTGAAGAAGATAAAGCATTTATAATAAAAAAATAGTGTAGTGGAACGATAAGTATATCACCTACGTACACTTTTATGTGCCTAGTCTTCATCTGAAGAAGATAGGATTTAATAATATCCAAAAAGGATGAGACTCTGTATACTTCCAAAGTTGCAGCAAAAAAAAGAAATATGGACGAGACCGGAATCGAACCGGTGACCTTTTGCTTGCAAGGCAAACGCGCTACCAACTACGCCACACGCCCTAATACGAATTTTCATTCTGTCAGCTTCGTCTAACAGAGGAAGTGCGCTGCGTCAGGTTTCTCGCGCGTCGTCAAGTCCGAAGCGGATTTAGATTTAGACAGAATCACCAATGAATTAGACGTGCTTCATTTAAAGGTATCCATTACGGATGGACTAACATACTTCGGAACTTTCAAGTTGCGCCATGCAGCACATCATTTGATACGACGTTGTAGAAGAAAAAATGTGTCACTCTCCCTTTACTGTTGTTTCTGCATGTGTGATTACCTTGGACAATAGGCTAGGCAACGGGGCGGCACCAGTATATACTATGACGTAATATAAGAAAAATACATCAAAGTTTAAATCTGGTTTCAACGTTTATAACCATCTCCAACTTTAATATTAGGATAAGGATACACTTTCCCCACAAAAACAAAGATGGCACCAGTCAACCATCATTTCAAAGGTAGTAAACAATAAAAGAAACATTCGATGTGAACATCGTCACTGCATTATCTCCTAAGTTTGGGAAGAATGGCTCCAAGGATTCTTCAGAGGGCTCGAAAAAAAAAATAATGTACCATCTGCATTAGCGCCGGCTCAAAATGAATTTAGACAAGAACTTTTGCTAAAGTTTGAAAATATTTCAAGTACTTAACATGAAATAAATAAAAATAAGAGAAGAGGAAAAATCGAGGATTTCTTTCTTTTCTTTTATCAGCCAAATTACAAGGAGTATCGTAGTTGATACTATTGAATAAGGAAATTTACCATTTTCTTACTCAGTGTTTGATAAACCCTATATATAAAGATCTAAAGGATGTCATCATCTTATACATTGACGGTGACGCATGCAGACATTAGTTGTACTCCAAGTTTAACTTACACTTTGTCTAACATTATAAACAACCAAACATATGTCTGCAATAATGGTACACTCACCGATGGAACATCCACGATGACTAGTGGTACTGCAGCTCACAAAAAGACAGCATTTAGTGTGCTTTTAGTGCTATTTGCTGTCACATTCATAGCCACTCTTTAAAGAGATTAAAATATTTCTTGATAAAGAACAATCAACATGCAAAACTAAAATAATAATAGGCATATAAACTTAATAGATAAATTTTCAATAATACATTGAAACTGCAATGGTAGTATATACGTAGACTTCGTAAATTCTCGATAGACAAGCTTACACTTAAAATACTAAACAAGCTAACCGAGAAAATTGTTGTTTAAAAATAGCTAATTTGGTGTGGGAATGAGATTCAAAATGCCACCTAAATGTTCCACTTTAGGTACTTCTCGAGGAGGCTTTTGCTGAGGCTCATGACTTGTACTATCTTGTTCCGTATTTCAATTCTCTCTTCTTCTCGTCACACTTCAACATTTAACGTAAATCGTTCTCCGGCGATTTGTAACGCCAGTACCGAATCTCGACTGCTGTACCTCTGATACTAACGTTAGCCCTACCGTGAGAAGTAGGAAAAATAGAGATGCAAAGGTGCCGCAATAGAAAATTACAGACCAAAGAAAACTAATATAATATGGTTTAGAAACAGAAATCACCTCTGGCATTAAACACTTTCCCCATGCCTTCCTTTAGCTCCTACCACCCTACTTAGACTACTTCTATCAATGCAAAACAGCTAGAATCACTACTGGAGCAGGCTCATCGCAGTTACTCATACGCCTACCCTACCCACCCCAAATCACGTGATAAATATTATATGCAGTACCTTCAAATTAAAGAAAAAAAATGCCGATGAGCATCTCAAAGCGAAGAATTGATGTAAAGGGAGCTTGAGGAAACAACTTTCTTATCTTAGAGCTTAAATATCATATAAAACATACCCATGTCGTCGTCAGCTACAGGAGCAGCATCTGCATACTTGGACGACTCTACTTCCTGGGACGCTTTAAACTTGGATGCTCGTTTATTGCAGGCCATTGATCAATTGGGATTTTCCAACCCAACTTTGATCCAGTCCAACGCAATTCCCTTGGCCTTGGAGGAGAAGAGAGATATCATTGCAAAGGCTTCAACAGGTTCTGGTAAAACTGCTGCTTACTGCATTCCTATCATTCAAAACTTACTATCTAACGAAAGCACAGTTACCAGTGGCATCAATAGCATTATCTTAGTACCAACTAGAGAACTTTCCAACCAAGTCACCCAGTTTCTTGAAAAGTTGATTATTTATTGTCAAAAGAGAATCAATATACTTAACTTATCATCTAACTTATCAGACCAGGTATTGAACTCGTTATTGATAAATAAACCTGAAATAATAGTGTCTACTCCTTCCAAGTTAATTCAGGTATTGGAGAAGAATGTTAACAACCAGGACTTGATTGATTTACAACACGTTAAGACCTTATGTATAGATGAAGTCGATTTAGTATTGTCCTTTGGATATTTGGAAGATTTGCAAAAATTGGAATCCTACTTACCTATAAAGAAGAACTTACAAACCTTCTTAATGTCGGCCACTATCAACGAAGACTTGAACGACTTGAAGACTAGATTTTGTTCTAAACCGGCTATCTTAAAACTTAACGATGAAAACGCCAGTCAGAGTCAATTACACCAGTACTACGCCAAGACTACTGAATTCGACAAATTTTTGTTGGCTTACGTTATATTTAAATTGCATTTAGTGAAGGGGAAAACTTTGGTGTTTGTGAATAACATCGATAGAGGTTACAGATTGAAGTTGTTCTTGGAACAGTTTGGTATAAGATGTTGTATCTTGAACAGTGAATTGCCGATTAATTCTAGATTGCACATTGTTGAAGAGTTTAACAAAAACGTGTACAACTTATTGATTGCAACTGACGATACAAACACACAAGCTATCGAGAAAGATGAGGAAGAAGAAGAGGAAGAAGAAAAGTCTGACGCTGAAACAACGACCGCTGAAGATTCTAAAGGAACTAAAAAGAAATCAAAATCAAAGAAGAATGACAAAGAGTATGGTGTTTCCAGAGGTGTTGATTTCCGTAACGTTGCATGTGTATTAAATTTTGATCTACCAACAACCTCTAAAGCATACATTCATAGAGTAGGTAGAACTGCCAGAGCGGGTAAATCTGGTATTGCATTATCATTTGTACTTCCTCTCAAAGAAGTTGGAAAGCATAAGACTGCTTCACTTTCCACATCCAAAAAGGATGAAAAGGTCTTGCACCGTATTGTCAAGCAACAATCTAAAAACGGTTTCGAAATAAAGCCATATCAGTTCGATATGCAACAAGTGGAGGGGTTCAGATACAGAGCTGAAGACGCATTCAGAGCTGTGACCCACACCTCTATAAGAGAAGCCCGTATTAAGGAATTGAAGAGCGAGTTGATCAATTCGGATAAATTGAAAAGATTCTTTGAAGAGAATCCTCAAGATTTGGTTTCTTTGAGACACGATAAAGAGTTACATCCAGCTAGAGTTCAGTCTCATTTGAAAAGAGTTCCTGACTATTTGCTTCCAGAAGCAGCTAGACAAGATACCAAGAAGATTGGATTTGTTCCTTTCCACAAAAACAAGGTGTCCAAAAACAGAAAAAGAAAGCCAACTGGAAAGAAGTCAGACCCATTGAAATCATTCAAGAAGTAATTAAGTTAGTAAATATACATTATTAAATTTAAAAAAAAAAAGTATCTAAAAAAAAAAAAGGAATGCTATTATGTAGTTATGACTTTATGCTGTTCTTCTTGATTTCCAACTAGAATATTTTCTTCATTCTCCTTTACTGGAATATCAACACTCTCCTTAGTATCATGGTCTTCTCCCAGTGTTCCAACCATGTCAATGTCTCCTTTACCTTCATTCTCTAATGCAGGGTCTTCCTTATTTGGATTTTCTTCGGCTACCTTCTCTTTCATTGATTTCTTGGCTAGTCTAGTTAACCTCGCAAATTCTCCTTTGTAAGCATTTAGCCATTCGCTTACCAGAAAATTTTTATCAGTTATATTCTTCAATGTGGGATTACTGCCTCCGAAATCGAACAATGAATTTTTCGAGTTCACTTGATTTGACGAAAATGACAGGTGTGATAATTCCCATTGATTCAACTTTTGTTTCAAGACCTTTTCGGAAACAGGATGGCTACTATCCAAGTTAGAATTGAAAAGAATGTAATACTGATTGTATCGCAACTCCAATTGAATTCTCGTACCTTGCGTGGGTAGTTTCAAATTGACTAGTTTATCCTTCAATCTTGGAGTGGTCAATGAACTGAAATCAAGCTTGGGAAGTTTCTTTATATCGTTATGATGTTTGGACGCTTCTTTGAAATAGAAATCCTGATTCGATTTCTTCTTGTAAGACGAGCCAAAATTATTACTATCATTAGAGGAGCTTGAACTTAAGTTCGATGCAGAAGTCGAGCTGCTCACTTTAGGTTGAAAAAATGACGAAATACCAGCACTACCAGACGGCTTAGGTGAATCTGATGGCGACCTAGACAAACAGTTATCAATATGATTCGTCTGCAAGATTTCGGCGGACATTATTTTGCTACATATTGGACACTCTACCAACTGATCCCTTGTGGGGATGCTGTCCATCGAAGTTAACTGCGTACCAATGGCAGTCTTTCTCTTCTTTCTCGGCGTCTCTTCTTGCTCCTTTTCTACAACAGGTGTCGCTGTCTCTTGTTCACATATAGTTTCCACATCTTTAGTTATACTTCGTTCGTTCAAGTTGTTTCCTTCTTCATCATCAGATCCAATTTCAATTATCTCATCCTGAACTGCTTTTGCTGAATTTTCCTGCCTCTTCTGCGCAACCTCTTCTGGAAGCTTCAAACACAGCAATAGAGTCGATCTGACTTTTGAATAGCATAGAACAACTTCTTCCAACTGTATCACGCGCTTCAAATTACTTTCATACTGTTCTGAATCACACAATGGACAATGGCTGTTAGTTATAAGGTACTCTCTTATACATTGAGAGCAAAATGTGTGATTGCATCCCGTCATAACTGGGGCTCTTAAAAATTCTTTACATATAAAGCATCTTAACAAAGAATCTAAGTCTGTAAGATCGGGAATTTGTGACGAATTCCAGTCTGTAGGATCCGTAACATTCTCAAGATTCTTAGCAAATGGATTTGAAGACATAATAACCTTTACAGAGATCAATCCACGCACTCCTTTCTTCTTCCTCTTGCCTTCTATTGAGCTTCTTTAGGTTTTTCATATCAGGGTCCATGGATACTGCACATAAACATCCAATGGTTCGGCCGAAAGTTGAATAAGGTGCTACATTGATTTCAGAAGTTTCGATTAGTTTTAATATTTATTTATATATACTCTACTTTTATGTGTTGGAAGTGAATTAAAGCTCATCGTGTGCTTCGTTATCAGGAGCTTTTGTCTTCTTAACTTTTTTCACAATTCTTTTTGTTTTGGTTCTGATAATTTTGGACTTGCTTGGTTCTTCCGAAGAGCTTTCTGAAGATGGCTCTGGGGATACCTCAGAGTTTACTTCTTCAACAGGAGGTTCCTGTAAAACTTCAGGTTCTGGAACAGCAACAGGGGTTGGTTCGGGAACCGTCAGTTGTAAGGTTTCACTCACCGGTACGACTTGTTCAACAATTTCTTGCACAACTGGTTCAGCATCATATTGAATTTCTAATGGTACATTTTCTGAGACATCATGAGCTTCAGGAATTTTTTCTTCTTCGACAACAGCATCAGGATTTGCTTCGTTCACAATTCCTACAACAGATGGTTCCGCTGATTCGATAATTTGCTCTACTACTTCGGTAACTGATTCAATAATTGGGGCAGCTTGCTCGGTAATCGATTCAACAATTGGGGCAGCCTGTTCGGTAATCGATTCAACAATTGGGGCGGCCTGTTCAATTATTTCTTCCACTACTTGTGCTCCGTCCTTCACAATATCTTCCACAATTGGTGCAGCCAGCTCTATTTCTTCATTTGCAGCAGGTGCATTTTTAGATACAGCCTCTTCCACATACGTAGATTGCTCTGATACCTTGTCTACTACAACGGATGCTTCTTCAACGAGCGACTCAACAATAGGTGGTACTTCGTCTCTAATGTAGTCAACTACTGGTTCAGCATGCTCTACAACAGTTTCAGCAGCTGATGATACTTGCTCAAGGATGGATTCTACAGTAGGCTCTTCATCTGCAATAGGGGCGGCTGTAGTCTCAGTTAAAGAGCTTGCCACATTATCATCTAGAGTTACAGTGTGCGTAATGACTTTTACAATTGTTTCCTCGTCAATGAAATCATCCACAGCAATAATTGGTTCGGCATCGGCGACTTTGGTTTCCTCAGTTAGTTCTGTTTCAACAACTGGTGTATCCAATTCAATTGCTTCTTCAACTTGAACTTCCTCCACTGTAGAAGGCAGATCAGTAACAGGTGCTTCATCCTGCTCTTCTTCTTCAATTTCTTCAATTTCAATAATAACGATTTCATCGTTGCCGTCTCCTTCTCCTTCTCCTTCTTCAACTTCCTCTTCAACTATTTCATCGACGTATTCGTGATCTTCTTCCGCAACTTCCTCGACGTATTCTATTTCTTCCACTTCTTCATATTCTGGGACTTCAGTCTCGATAGCAGTTTCGACGGTTGTAGTTTCCTGTGAAGTTAGCGAGAAATCTTCAACAGAAACATCAGAAACCAGAGTAATACTGGAAGAACTGAGTGTGACGCTTTCAGAAGATGAAGAAACTGAGATAGATGAGGTCTCTTCAGACGCAGAATTAATCTCAGAATATGCTCTTGCCTCATCTTTTAATGGGATAGAAGAGGTCTCTGCTTCTAGAGTAGGACTAGAATATGTTTCTTCAGATGCTGAGAAGTCATCCACCACCGAAGTAGCCCAGATAGCCAGCGTCAAACTGTACAATTCTGGATCTATGCTAGTAGTACTTATATAAACTTCATCACTCGAGACTGTGAGCTTCTTCAATTCTTCAGGTTCGATTTTGAAGTATGTGCTACTATCTTCACTATTAGTTTGATCTTCATCTTTCAATTTCTCTTTGATAAACGAGATTCCGACATGAGTGTATTCATTGGCCAACTTGATCCCCTTGATCCCGTATTCTTTCAGAATTTCGAGACCCTTTACCAATTGACCATTTTCAAGCCCCTTCTTAAATCCAATTCCAAGTAGGGCAACTATAAGAGAGAGTATTAAATAGTTGAACAAAGTGCCTATCGTCGATTTCTGCTTGGCAAAATTTGGTGGTATCTTCATAACGTTGAGTACCCTCCCAGCGCTTACAGATGCCAATGTTTGTCCATTAGGTGAAAATGCTACTCTAGTGACAGGAAACTCATGTAATTTTTTGAAAACTTGCAAGGTTTTGAAGTCAGATAATCTTAATATGTTCACGGAATAGTCATTGCCTGCAAGGGCAATAAGTTCTTGGGCTGGACTGTAATCAATACTAGTAATTCCCTTTATCTTTGTAGAAATCAACTTCTGTCTAACAATGGTCTGATCCGAAAGTCTATAAAGGAACAAAGTGACACCTGGCTTAGCACCAGGTCTTCCTCTTGCAGTTGCTGTGACCAAAACATGCGAGTTATCAGTATATTTCACTTTAGACAAGATGTACTTGGAAAAAATGGCGTTGGACTTCGGGTTTGCCAAGGAAGAAGATATTGGATTGGACGTGATAGTCGATATCGTTTCAATGGACTTGGATGTTACATAGCAAAGGGTTTTGCCATCATCTTCAGGACTAATGTGGAAGTCCTTGATTTCACTCTCATCTTGCGGCGTGAACACGAACTTGGTGTCCAATGCCTCTGGCTCAAAAATATAAATCGAATTCCCCTTCGAAGTCATAAACGCACCAATGGAGTTGTTACTGGATAAGTAAACAATCTTGGGGTAGTGGCCTTCAACAGTCTTAGCACCGCCAGTATCGTCATCAGGGTTTTCAACAGGCTCTAATTGAGCAGCATCAAGAAACCTCAAGTGCTCATCTTTGCTATAGGTGTACTTTCTCAAACTATTGTTTATGTTCATTGATTGAATCAATTGAATCGACTGGTTGCACCCAACGAAAATGGAGTACGATCCATCGTCCCTGGTCCCATTTTTGGCAACGTCCAAACACATTGGGGAGTCTTCATTCTTAGGTAAGGTAATTTCCCGAAATTTTTGAAGAATTTTGGACTTGTCAGTAGCTTTAAAGAAACACTTAACGGCAGTTATCTTGTTTGGTATACCGTTGTTTCCTTCACCGCCTCCACCCGCCACCAAAACAGTCTTATTGTTGATGAATTTGGCGCCATAAATTGGATAGTCTAAGTACAAGGTGGCCGACTTTTTGATTCCTCCCATCTTTGAATATTTTTATCAATTACTGAACGAACTAAGCTTAGGAATTAACGTAGCGGTACATTCAGCTTTCCATTTGGGGCTCGCCAGCGCCTTTGCTTGTTTTGGCTCGGTGGAGCGAAGTTTGACACGAAAGATGTGGACTATGTGCAGGACAACAATATCTTTTTATAGAAAAGCAGCACATTGGAGAAGCAATGGTAGTGGGAAGGAGGAGAAAGTGATACGTGGGTGGAATTTTGATTTGTTTTGGGCCTTCTTGGTCGCCCTAGTTGTAAACCTGGGTACTGCCAGTTTGTTTCTTGCTTTTATCACAGCCTTGCTTCTTGCACTCATTACCTCTCTACCAGAGCCTAATGCAGACTCATCATTTCCTGCATATAACACTTTTATAATCTGACTCAAGCCAGAGATCAGAAATCCGGAAAGGAAGGCGGCACCTTGTGGATGAAGGTATTAGGCATTATTCTTGAAGTATGCCTTCTGCTTTATCCATATCCTCCCATGTTGTACACGGATATGTGGGCAACAGAGCCATGGTGTTCCCCTTGCAATATGCGGGTTGGGATGTCGATGCGTTGAACACTACGAACTACTCAAATCACCCTGGGTATGGGAAATTCAAGGGCACCAAAACCACACCAGATCAAATCTCAGATCTCATTGAAGGATTAGAAGCAATTCTAAACGTGAAATCTGATTACGAATTGATAATAACTGGATATACGCCATCTGAAGATGCACTCAAAGTCATTTTCGACAGAGTTAGTAGTAATATATATAGTTCATCATCATCATCATCATCTTCTTCTTCTTCGTTACCATCCTCTTCTGTTCCACTTTGGATTCTTGATCCGGTTTTGGGAGACAATGGAAAATTGTATGTTCTGGAAGGATTAATACCAATTTACGAGACTATATTGAAAAGTGGATATGTTACTTTGATTACCCCTAATCAGTTTGAGTTTGAGACATTAGTCGGCGTTAAAATAGACTCTTCCCTTGAATCTTTGAAGCTGGCTTTGGAAAAGTTCCACGATAAGTTTCCCAAGATTCCGAATTTAGTAATCTCATCAGTAAGCATCGGAGATAAAATGTACTCAGTTGGGTACAACAAGGGCAAGGCGTTTTACATTGAAGTCGAAGAAATTGATTGCAGTTTCAGTGGATGTGGAGACTTGTTTACCGCTTTGATATCCATTGAAATATTCAATGACAACCCATCCCATGAACTAACCCCCAAAGTGCTTGGAAACGTCTTGGTTAAGCTCAATAAGATATTGCAACATACATTTGAGAGCGAAAAAGTAAAAATGAAAGGCGCGCCGTTTACCAACGTCAAGGACTTAAGCTTAATCTCGCTGAGACATGTATTGACTGATAGAACGCTGCATGAACATGAAGTTGAATATTTATAGACGATACATTACTCTTCTTCCTCTTACTGGCGCTAGTCCACATATACTTCAGTGGTAAGCTTCACTAATATACACTATTTTACTGCCTCAATTACCCCCACATTTACCCACTGTAGCCATTCTACCATCTCCCCAATCTTTTGTTGATTTTCACGTGTGCGTTTCTATGCAGTACCATCATTATCCTACGTGCATGCAGTTCCACAGTTCACAACATTTTCTCCCTTATCTTGATCCCATTGCCACTGAGGCTAGAGCTACAACGGTTACATTATTCGTGCCTAAGCAGTAAATCTCTTTATCACAAATGGATAAAAAGAGTTTACCACACCCGACTTCGAAAGAAGGAGTTAGAAAACTGAAGAGAGTGGCGTTGAAATTCACATCTGGTTTCATATTGACGGTGTTCGTCATTGCCCTCTCGTACAACAAGTACCTTTCCATACAGCGCGATGATCAGTTCGAACAGCAGCTGGTAGATACAATCCAGCAAGCACAAGAGCAGTTTTTGCACGAACAAGCGCACCTGAATTCTGGAGGTGATGCTGACGGTGACACGTTCCAGTTGAAACACATATACCACCATGGAACTGGCGAGGAACATCACAAGGTACACCGCCGACTTGATATCACTAACGAATACTTACACAAGAATGATCTTATCAATTTTCTGGTTGAAGATGCAGATAATGAAGCACTGTTCAATTCTGAGAATCTTGAGGAAGTCTACAGGCAGATGGACTGGCCCAAGATCCACAAGGGTAAGAATCCATGGACCATTGAACTTCCGATTAAAACAGACAAGAAGCAAAAGGGGAAAGTGCGGCGTTTAACTGAACGTCATACGCCTAATTTTATCGAGTCTTATTTGGACTATGCTATAGAGGTGAAGGGGAACCCACTGATATTGAACATGATGCAGTTGCAGTGGGACGACGAAGAGGACATTCTGATTCCCAACGTCAAGGATAAGGATACCATCGTTTCTTTGGCTACGATTTCGTCGAACGCGTATGTTAGAATTCCTAAGAATGAAGACGAGAAGAATAAACTGGACTGGATCGATGTTGGAGAACCTTGGGGGTTGGCCGATAACACATCAGCTGATCCTGCGTTCGGCTGGGAATCTGATGGACTTAGGGGCCACATTTTTGTAAGCAAGGACAACAAGACAGTTGTTATTGGTATTAAGGGGACCTCAGGAGCAGGGTTACCAGGAAGTGGAAGTGAAGAGACCCAAGTTAAAGATAAGACTAATGATAATTTGCTCTTTCTGTGCTGCTGTGCCCGTGTGGGGTATATGTGGACCACTGTTTGCGACTGCTATGAAAAGACTTATACATGTAACCAAGATTGTCTTGAGAAGGAATTAATTAGAAAGGACAGATACTATCAAGCGGTGATAGATCTTTATAGAAACGTCAGTTCTATTTATCCTCCGGAAACGACCAACATATGGTTGACTGGACACTCCTTAGGTGGAGCACTAGCTTCTTTATTAGGCAGAACATTTGGATTACCAGCAGTTGCATTTGAAGCTCCCGGTGAAATGTTGGCTACAAAAAGATTGCATTTGCCACAACCACCTGGATTACCTAAATATTTGGAGAATATTTGGCATTTTGGGCATACTGCAGATCCAATCTTTATGGGTGTGTGTAATGGAGCCTCATCTACATGTAATGTTGCTGGTTATGCAATGGAAACCTCGTGTCATACCGGGAAGCAATGTGTTTACGATGTTGTGACAGATAAAGGATGGAGTGTGAGTGTGCTCAACCATAGAATTCACACAGTAATTGACGACGTCATACTAGCTTACAATGAAACAGCTCCATGTTTTGACCAACCTCCATGCAGAGATTGCTTTAATTGGAAGTTTGTCAGCCATGATGATGAGAAGAAGAAAAAGAAAGTTAGCTCTACAACATCGCTAAAGCCGACTTCGACAAGCACGAGTCTGAAAACTTCAACAAGTACATCGATAACCTCCACTGACACATCCAAGCCTACAGACTCTCCACAAAAGTGTTTAAAGAGAACTTGGTATGGATGGTGTGTAGAATGGGGGTCAGATAATGACACAACTGTAATTTCAACCTACAGTAAGTTTACAAAGATAGAGAACATTTGATGAATGGATAAGGGAATGAGCATAGTACCACATACATACAGTCAGGGGCACATGATATAAATGGGTAAAGGGACGAGCATAGGAGTCGCTGTAAGTTTGACCTAAGAGAAGTTTATAAGGTTAGAACGGCATATATAGCATAATCGACGGATAAAAAATCAACCTGACGTAAACTTACAGTAATATAGAATGTGATTCAGCTTATATGTAAAGTTAATCTTCAAGTAGGCTATTTCCTATTTTCTTTTCTTTTTCTCTGTTTCTTATTTTGATGTACCGGCAATTCAAGTATTTGCACCCAAATGGAAAACAAAGCACGAAATTCTACAAATGGCAGAAGAGAAGAGAGGCAAGCGAAGTTTCGAAGAGCCTGCGCAAGCAACTGAAAAAAAAGAAAAATATAAGCAGACGATTTCACCTTACTACTCTCTTTTACCAAAACAGGATCTTTTAACACATATCTACTTCAAAGTGTCGAGTCAACGAACAACGACATGGAGCTATGGTCATCACCACCCAGTAGGTCAGACGAAATGGAATCTTCGCAGTTGGAGCCCCGATCCTCAGCCTTCCTAAAGCGAATGGAGCATGGACTAAATAGGAAATTCAATCACAAAGTGCGGCGCTAATAGAGTATTACGTGCAGGCCATGACGAACGAGGCATGACGAAAGCAGACGTCTTAGACATTTAGTTTGCTATCTAGCCATTTCATTGTGTGGTGTTGCTACTGCAAGCGATAGTCAATGTGGGTTTCAATTATACCTGATTTGACCGTAGCAAACCGTAGTGCCGCTGAAGTGCAATGACCTGGTAGCGAACTCAGAGGTCAATTGCTAGCCAATGCTTAGCTTTTACACCTACATTTATTTTCGTTAATCTATTTATATCTCTCTCCATCTCTCTGTCATTTTTTTTTTTTCCACTGAGCTAGTGAAATTTAGGGAAAAACAAAACAATCTAGCCAAACAATAACTAAGAAAAGTACTGTGAAAAGAGTACAATCCAGACCTGTATCCTACTCATACGCTAGCAAACCACATATATAATCAATTTCACCCATTATATATTCACCCCGTCTAAAAGCACCAAAAAAATAATACCAAAAAAAAAAAAAAAACAAAAAAAAATAGCCTGAACTCCCAGCCAAAACATCGTACCGTTTTAGCAAATAAAGCAAAAATAATAATAATAGAAAAAAAGGAAAAAGTTCCTTTCCTCATTTGTTTTTTTTTTCCTCCTACAATTTCCAGAAATTTCGTATCCTTCTTCTTCTTGCACTCCCTTTTCTTTTAGAATATCTAGAAGAAGAACCAATTAGAAACCAACGTGGATATGAAGCTCATTCTTACAATCTTGAACCTCTTCTTCTTAGCAGGTTCATGTTTATTATTGATATTCACTGTCCTTTCCGGGACAGCAGATACTTCTCCAATCAATAAGTTCTACTGGTTGGAAGCGGACACCAGTAAAATTCCAGGAGCACCATCTACTGCCGCCTGGACTTTCTGGGGTGTTTGTGATAGATATGATTTCGGCAACTGTACCTTAGGACCAGCCTACCCAATTTCACCACCTGATAACTTCCACACCGACACTAATGTTCCAAAGGACTTCATTAGCAACAGAGACATGTACTACTACTTGACCAAGTTTTCCTTCGGATTCACCTTTGTGGCTCTCTGCTTTGCAGGTGTTGCCTTCATCATTGGTATCTTGGGACTTTGCTTTTCAATTATTGACAAGGTTTTAGTAGCCTTTGTTAGCATTGCCCTCTTCTTTGTTGCCGGTACCGCCTCTTTCCAAACCGCAGCCACTGTTTTGGCCAAGCAAGCTTTCAATGACTCTGATTTATCAGCCAAGTTGGGGGTTAAGGCATTTGCAATCTTGTGGACCACCGTTGCCTGTTTGTTGATTTCATTCTTCTTGACTTGTTTCGGTAACATTGCCTCATCTTACAGAAAGCACATGGACAGAGTTTACGCAGCCAAGCAACCAGATGGTGGCTACAATGACTCTGGAATCCCTCCACCAGTTGTTGGTGACGGAATTGACAATGATGTATCTTCCTTTACCAGAGCTGAACCAGCTCAAGAGACCAAGGAAGACAATGGAGGAGGAGTTAGATTTTTCAAGATTAAGAGAAATCCAAAGGTTTCTGATGAAGAAAGCGTTTAAAAATGAATAAAACCACTATATTATTTCATTTTTCTGCATTTTCAAAGAACCACCCTCCTTATACCACCCCACCAACTATTCCCATTAATTTTTTTTTAAATCACAAGGAAAAGAAAACACCAAATCTTATATCTCAAGCAAGAACCTAGCCTATTTGTATAACACTTATTTAATAATCAATAAGAAAAAAGAGTATTTTAATGTGTAGAAGTCAAAGCAAAAGAATGATGTACCTGAAGTGCATAACAGTAGCAATAGTGCACAGCGAACATGTAAAGCCAAAAAACAAAAAAAAAAGGCAGTGAAAATGAATACGAGTGTGTGCTCGCTCCTTGTAGAAACGATAGTAAGGGAAAGTAGCTCAAAGTTTAATGTTTGGAGCCAGCGGCAAGGATTCGTAATAGTGATAGTGCAATGTGAATTGTCACAGCCAAGGTGAAGATGAAGCGCTAAAAGGAGCTAATATAATGTGCAGAGAGAATGCATAAGTGTACGTATAGTCTTTAAGTGTGGAATGGTTGCAATCCTGCAATTGAAGAAGAGCATCAAAATGTTTCAGTGTGAGAATAATAATACTCACTCGATACAGGGTGAAAAATTTACACCAATGAAGTCAATTAGCCATCCCATGCAAGTAATCAGATAAGAGATTAAAGCTTAAAAAAATACAAGGGCTGTAATCACATTATACTGTGAAAACAAACTTTCGTTCTTCCCGTATACCGAAATATACGTTGAACCGAATGCATCTGGCCCTGGCTTCATATGCTAATAAAACAGATAGATAACCGAAGGAAAAACGATTTCTTCGTTTTAGCTAAAAAATCGTTTATATATGCATGAATATATGCACGTATAATTTATAACAAGGAGATGGGGTCGAGAGGGATGGAAAAAATGCCACCAACAATTAATATTCTGAGATCGACTTATGGATGACCCATCCCTCGCTCAACGCAGACCCCACCTTTGCGTAGGAAAGTGAACAATAGTACGATTACTACACTCACTTAATTACTCGATTTACTTTCTTGGCTCAGACGCAGGCTACAATTTGCGCTCCCATATTTGCACCTAAAATGCTTCCTTGCAGGATTGCACATGGAAGAAGCACAGTCCGCGCAATTAGGGTGAAGGGATACAGAGACTTACTGATTGAACGGCAGTACCCTCGTCCTTTCGGAGAAGGAGTGGGATAAGAGATTTGCGATACAACCAAAATCTACGGCAATTTTACACTGCCTTTTGGATTCTGGAAGCAAACCTAAATTGTTGTCTTGCCAAAAGCTATTTATCGCCTTCCAGTGTACGCTGTGGTCCAAGCTCTTCTGTTCGACTGTTTGCAACATCCTAAATTTTCCCCTACATTTTTGTAACCCCACATCTGGGTTTCCCTTGGGGTTTAAATTTTTTTTTTTATTTTTTATTTTTTTTTTTTTTGGTTTTTTTTTTTTTTTTTTTTTTTTTTTTTCTTCTGTATGTCTACGTTGCCTTATTAATTGGCCGCGTGGAGTAATTGATTGATTGTTGAAACGTTCTCTGGTGCTGTATCCCCATGCATTGTCTCTCAATTTGTGACAAGAAATCGCCATACTATACTAGGAAGGGAATTGAGGATCATACTTGGTCCATTATCCCATCGCACGGCATTGTACCAATTTGAAATGCAGTGTAGATCAGCTGATCGCACTTCCAAATCTATCTACACCTCCATTGTATTGCAACATTGTCACAGTTCCAGAGTATGGCTTGGATTAGCAGGGCTAATGAGAGTGTAGTACAGCTCAATTCTTGCCCCATACCTAAGTATCCAGTATATCGATTCCAGTCTTTTGAATTTTAGGTTCTTATTTTTCTTATTTTTTAAAATGCTCTTTCTTTTTTTTCATTTTATTTCTTTTTTTAAACTTACATTCTTCAGTACAAATAATATTATTATTGACGAAGCGCCCATAGATAGATGATAGAGATAACAGTAGGACAGAAGGAACACTGGTCTAAGCTACATTACAAATACCAGCAACTTTCCTATACATTTTGTTTTTTTTGAATTCAATTGTCCGTTTCAATTGCTCCAACCGTATTACCCATTTACCAATCATCCCATACACTTTCGTACTGCGTTTATATCCGAGCTTCCATCATTCATCGGAAATACACTGTTTCTTCTTTCTCTCCTATCTCGCTACCCCCAAAATCCACCTAAACGCACCCGCACCGCAACACCAAACTAAGCAAAGAAAAAAATTGATTAGCCCAAATTGCGCACACAAAACCGTAAAAGTTACTTATAAAGAGCGCCAAAGAAAGGTGGAAGAAAAAATTAAAAATTGATAACCTGCCAGTATTGAAAGAAGCAAAGGAAAGAAGTGTGAGAGAAGCGCACCATTGCTGTTCAATTTTATTAGGCCGTTTCCATAGATCGCCAATTATCCATTCAGCGCAGGTTTTTTTTGTCTTTTTTTATTGTTTTATATTAAGTTCCCACGATAAAGTTGTACTATTCCAGTCTTACTCACCTTTTCCCATCCCCCCACTGTTGAATCCATCTGATCTCCTGACTCCATGCCGCAATCTAAGACAGACGACCACCACCACCATGGGATTAAAAGTATCTTCAGGAAGGATCACTCTCCTGCCCTGGACTCATCGTCTGCTGGCTCCCACATTGGGCTTCTGAAGTTCTTCCACCACCACAGCAACGATTCCGCTCCTGAGAGCCCGGGCAAGTTGTCTAGGTCTTCTTCAATCTTATCGTTGAAGAAAAACTCTACTTCCACTAATTTGAGCTCAAGGACTCCTGATGAACCTAAAAAAGGGCTCACAAAGGCCGAAACGTTGGCTCATATCCAACACATGTCCCACAAGAATCAAATACGAAGTCAAAATGCAAACAACGCAAACAATGGCAGTCCCACCTCCGGTGGTTCTGGGATGCCTAATAACCTCAATAACAACAACAGTCATAGCAAATTGAGCTTAAATACGGCTTTTGCCAATAACGGATCCAAGCTTCCTGGCCCCCCAAGCTCAGGAGGCCATGACAAGATCAAGTATAATCCATTTGGGCTTAACAAGACTCCACTGGACACCCCTAAGCATACATCCTTCTACATGGCTGGTACATCTGATGGTCAACGTGTGTTGAGCAACCCGATCAAGGATCCTAACGAACTCCTCCCTAAGTCGTTGCAACAAGATCATGTCAACCTTTTGGATGACTTCGAGTTTGATTTATCAAACTCAAAATTGGGATTTGGTGGATCCGCTGACGTTATGCTTATTAATGTTATTGGTCATAAGAAGCAGGTGTACGCATTGAAGAAGTTTTCTCTCTTGAGTAAAGAAACCGATGAGGAATTCTACAAGAGAGCAATTAAAGAATTCATATTTTCCAAAAAATTGGGCGAATGTAGACACATTGTTGACACTTTGGCGCTTGTCAAGATCCAATCACAAACTAATTTAACGAGAGGTTGGGGTTTTGTATTGGAATTCTGCCAAGGAGGAGATTTGTTTAATACTATTGTGAAGCCAGGTTGGAAGAGAGTTCCTCTTTCTGAGAAGTTTTGTATATTTAAACAAATTGCCTACGGGTTGAAGTTTATCCATGACAATGATATAGTCCATAGAGATTTGAAGCCGGAGAATATCTTGATAGACTCCAATGGTTTAGCCAAGATCTGTGATTTTGGTGTCAGTGAATATGGACATACAGTTCCTGGGGACTTCACATCAGAAGTGATAAAATGCCATTCCTATGTGGGATCTCCACCGTATTCTCCACCAGAGGTTATGAAATTGAAGGAGTTGAGTCTGCATGAAGTGAAGAACTGGGCCTACGATCCATTCAAGATGGATCACTGGTCATTGGGTATGTTATTGTTCTGTATTGTATACAGTGGAGTTCCATTTTCCCAGGCCAACGTAGGTGACCATGGTTATAGAGATTATAAATTTAGTCACGAACGTTTCTGCCTGAATCACCCAACTTTCAAGACAAGGAAAGAACCTGGTAAGGGTCCGGGATCTGAATTCAAATGGGCATCGCAGTTCAATTCCACAGGCGCTTCTAGAGTTGCCTGGAAATTGTGCGACCCAAGTGTTAACAACAGATTCACGGTTGATGACTTGTTCAAGGACTCCTGGTTCACGGGATTGGAAATGTGTATTTATGAGAGTGAAGATCAAGATGACAACCCATTTGTCTTACAAACTGCGGGCAGCTTTGGAGGCTCCTCTGGCTATTCATCAGGAGCCAACTCTCAGGCTCCATCCAGAAAAAATACGTTCAGCGGACATCTGCACCATCCTTCACGCGACGAGGGACCTCATACTCCAGTGCGGAGTATGTTGGACTTGACTACTCCTCAACAACAAAAGGATCTCCAATCGCAAGCCCAGCAGTTGAATACTCCTGTAAACGGCAGTGGTGGTGATGCTTCATCCATTCATTCCAACTCATCTTTAACAAATGCACCATTAAGCATCAACCAACCTTCTGGAGCTCAAGCTCCCTCTACACCTCAGGGAGGTTCTGCCTCGAAGAAGGCTTCTTCGGCTGAGTCATTAATACCAAAAGTTAAGTCCATGTTGGACTTCAATTACCAAGATGACAGCGCTGCAGCCGCCAGTAACTCTGTTCCAACAGCTATTCAAGAGGAAGAACCAAAGGAGAAATTCCCGGAAATTGAACCTGCAGAAAACCAGACCTTAGCCGATGGGGAGAAGCCTGCTGAAGAAGACGATGACATTGTTAGTAATATCGTTCGCCCTAAACGTGAGTCTATAGGTGAAAGGGTTCATGAAGATTTACAAACTCCAACTGAGCCATTAGATGTTCATCCAGAACATTTTGATGAAGGTCCACCAACCAAGTTACCATTGCTGTTACAGCCTAAGAGATTAAAGACAGTCACGGATTTGACTTTTGACTCCAATGGTAACTGCGACCTTGGCTATAGAATTAAGAAACATCACCATCTTGATACTGCGCAGTTAGCAGTTTCTGGATCGTTATCGAGAAGGGTCTGAGAAAAAGTAAGCTACAAAAAAATGAAACCCAGAGAAAAGAAAATGAAAGAAAACGTATAATACTAGAGACAATAAACAAGTTCCAAATTAAAAAGATCTTTGACAAGTAGCCATAATTTGGAGGAACCGGCATGCAACTTGAAAGATCCCATTAACGAGATCCTCATCTGTGACTTCACTAGTCTATACACTCTTTACACACATGTAATCATTTCTGAGCACAGCCATCTTCATATCGTCCTTGGCCATGTCTCTCAACTCTTACAGCTCTCCAACGGCATTCTCTCTACAGTATTGTAAATGTACAATTCTTTTTTTTATTAAGATAAGAAACTATTCATGACTAACCCAAATACTAAATTTAAGCTTCTAAAGCAACTCTACCCTTAGGGTTGGTAACCTTAAGACCTAACTTCTTAGCCTTAGCAACAATTTCAACTCTGTTCTTAGCAGAGATGTTGTGAGCGATTTCAGCAGCGTAAGTCTTGGTGTGCAATAATAAAACATCTAAGTCCTTAACGTTCTTGACTAAGTAAGCCTTGTGGCCAGATGGCATCATGTGCTTGGTCTTCTTGTTGGAACCGTAACCAATGTTTGGTTGAGAAATGGTACCTCTGAATCTTCTTCTGACACAAGAGTCAATACCCTTTTGCTTTCTCCATGATTCACCAACACGGTGGTATCTGTCAGAGTGATGTCTCTTGAACTTCTTGGTGTGCTTCTTGACAATCTTTGGGTGTGGTAATGAGGCAGCCACTAGAAAACTGTTAGTAAAGTGAAAAAGGAAAGAATTCCAAGAGAAAAAAATTCAACTCCAGGTGGACCTTAAACGTATTGTAGGAGATTATTATGACATGAAAGATTAAAGATTTGAAGATTGAAAACGGTGTGTAATTGCTTCCTTATAGTGATGGTCCACTATTTGTATATTACTGCTCGACTCTTGCATGCCCAAGCTAGTACTAGTTGGGTTGTACGTCACCTTACTATGGATGAAATGCATCGTTCTTCTAGGGAGAGTCTCTCGATCAGCTATCTTTCATCACATGTGCCATCAATAATGAAAGAGAGAACTTCTCAATGTGTATTTGACACAACTAGTATAATTTTGAATTATGTTGGAACTTTCTTGAGATGCCTCTTTGGGCCACTGGATGGTATCACCTACTACTTCTGTTTCATGACATCTTACTTTCCTCTCTTTCGTTTCTGCTCTTTAATCCGTATCTCTCTCAGTGTCTATTCATCGTCTACTACTATACTACATCATGTATTACATACTCTTTGATAATCTGTGTACTACTAATCAGAACCTATGGACCTTTAAAAATTTTCACTTTTTTTGTAAAGGAAACTTTGGTAGCGCAGCGTAGTGGGTGGGAGAGTCGCTGGGTAAGGCACGACCTGAAAAAATAAGAAAGAAGACTGTGGGCGAACATACAGGACAAAATAGAGTAGAATGCGGATCTTTGTGTAACACTCCCGAGAAATGGTCGCACAGTCGGCGTGTCAGGTGATAGTGCGGTAGAAGCCCTAATCACTAACACGTGATAAATGGAAATGCCATTTTCTTGTTCATCTCACTGTAATTAATACAAAATGAGATGCTAGTCCCGAGTATGCTTCTGCACATAAGGTCGTTCCTGAATGGTCCTTGCTGTGAGAGCAACCTCATGACGGAAGACCGAAAAATAAGGTGAAATTAACGAGGTGCTCTTGTAGACTAAACGCGCAGAAGGTGAATTTTGACGACAGAGGGTGCAAATTCCCCAATTTGTTACAGTCCCCTTAGAAAAACGGCCGATTAAGCAGTGTAGAGTAAAATATTGGGCGGCATCGAGAGAAACATGCTACCACGGATAGTGCAGAACGTTCAAGGGAAAAGGTTAATACTGAACAGTGTATATATCTAAGTGCAGTAAGCAGTCTAAACCAGAGCAGAATCCAGATTTGGCGCTATGGCTGGCATTTGAACTCTTTGTAGCACTTCTCCAACTCCGAGCATGCACTCTTCTCTCCACTGTTTCCTGCATGGAAAGCGATGGGTTTATTCTTTTATTGTACTTTTATTTTTATTTTTTACTTCTGACACCTCAATGCGTACGACTGGATTGTTATCATCCTGTATATAAGCCGCACACTCTACGATGCTTGCTAACATAGATGGAGGAGAGACGGAAGCACCAGCTAGGATATTCAATTGTCTCGAAAGTGAATAGAAGACAAAATCTATTGTATATATAGGCATAGCATAGTTATAAAAAGGTGTTCAATACATCATATCTCATATTTCATATATCAATCTCGTTTTGCAAAAGAGTTCCTCCCTGTCAACTGGTTTGATAAAAGTAGCTGAATGTTGCGACTAGAAGATTTCATAAAATATGCTGTGGCCTTTGCTGTACTTTGGATTACATGCTGGTACTTAGTGTACGTAATAACAGGATTCCACCTTCAGACAGTTTCTGCGTATAATGGAATACTGCTCGGAAATGTTTCCTTCAATGCCTCTAAGATACATATAGTGATAGGTAGAATCCGGCTTCGTCTATGGGGTAATTCGAGGAGGCTAATTATCGAGGACTTCCAATTAATTGTCAAAAAAGTCTCTGGAAATAAGAAGAAGTCTAAGAGTATTAAAAAACCCAGGAATGAAACTGAAGCACAAGACAATACCTTGAACGTACTACCTGGAAATTGGCTAGTTAAATTCATAGTCAAGTTTGTTTTGAGAAGGCTCTCATTCCTTGACATCGAAATCCGAAACTTCCTGGTCAGTGACCACCAGAACAGAGGAGAACTGAATGTTGATTACATTAGATTTACTTCAAAATCAAGGCCGTCAGAAAGATACAATGACACTATTAAATTCTTTGGTCAAATTATTCTTAACAATGTAACCAGTGGCCCCACTGCAGGTGATGAAATGGAGAAGAATTCTCACATAGGTCATCCATATCCAGTATCTGCGGATACCGTCAAGCTTGAAGTGAATGCGCAAATCGACTTATCTTCTGGTTTACTATACAAAATTAAAACTAAGGTCTTTACAGACCACTTCAAAATTAGAGTTTTTGGACTATTGAAGAAACTTGACGAATTTCTCGACAGAGCCGAAGCTGGAAAGGAAGATACCAAACAAAATGTATCAGAAAGTACTCAGCCAAATGATGCCGAGCTTATAAATAAATTGCAAAGGATTCACAAGAGGCTCTATCCCTCAATTGATGAAGTGGCTTTCCATGTAGAGAACACCTCATTTGATGAGATACCATTAATTGACTCTACAAAAGATGATACCATAAAAGACTATATGAAGAACCACTCTAAGCCAAACTTGACTTTAGAACTCAAGATCAAATCCATCTCGATAAATTATCTGAGGTTGAATCACGAGTCTCCAGGGTTTCAAGTACTATTCCATCCAATAAAGGATACGCCATTCCACATTACTTTTGCTGTACAATTACTAACAATCAACTACACAAACTTGCTAGTTTTGGAAGATTTAAATAGGGAAGTCAAGAATACAGACGAAATAATGAACATCCCTTTGTTTGGATTCACTTTCAAATCGAACTTTTTGGATCATCTTGCTAGAGGCGATGGATTTGAAAATTGTGTCATGGAATTATTCAGTTCAACAAGTAGCCCTATATTGGACTTAGAAACTGATCAGTTGACTTCTATTATTTACAATATCGTGATGTTCTATAAGTATGCTTTGTTGTCAAGAAGAAGAAGGGATAAATCTAACAGCACTTCTGATTCAGAATTTAACGTTGACGACCAAGCTGACCTTACATATAATTCTGAACCTCTTTCTGAAAAGACACAGTCTAGACACAAACAATTTTCAATAAAAAAAAGGTTGTTGAAGCTATTGCACGATACATATCCGAAATTGGAATTCAAAATAACGTTAGAACAGCCAAGGTTTATTATTAGACACAATAAGTCTAAGGAATCTGTAAAGTTGTTGAATTTCCTGTATTCATTTTTAAATATGCACATAATCACAACTTCAGACAGAGAATATGATGTGAATTGTAACTTTTTGCACCCGGCAATAGAATATGTTGAAAAGACAATACTTAAAGAATCAAAAAAAGTGGACATTCAAAGCGAAATATTTGGAATCAAATCTATTGATCTTAGATTAGACGTCTTCAGAAACTTTAAGATTAAACCTAATTTAAAGCTAGAAGAGTTAACAATAAACTTAGGTAATTTGGATGTACTCTGTGGAATCAGTAATTTATTACAAGAAGTTGCAGTTATGATAGATTGTGATATATCTAAGGGATTACTAAATTTGAAATTAAATCAGTTATTGTTAAATGAAAGTTCAAAAATAAAGAAGGTCGCTGCTGGCAAAGATGAAAACTCAAAGCAATTATTTGCCAGGCTACCATATTGGCTTCTTGAAATAAGCATTTCCGTTTCAAATATTTTAATAAGTATTGGATCGCGCTCTTTATTCATATTACCAGGAGAATTAAGGAATACTACTTCCAATATGGATGACTTCATCGGCAATAACAATGAGCTTAGGAAAACTCAGTTTTCATTGGAAAGTTTCACCATTCTCCTTACCAACCAAGTGGTAACTCAAGATTATAATGTTAAATCTAAAGGACCACAAGCACTGGCGCTTGCTCGTAGAACACTGAGCATGGCGTTTAACAATACCAATCACACAACCGCATCAGGTGTATCGCTCTGGGGAGTACTGATAAAGACACTGAATTTGAATATGTCTGTTCTTCACTCCAAAGATCAAACGAGCTCTTTCCTTTCTATTCCCTCTATGGATTTTACCTTTTTCGCTAAGAGTATGCCTGAAGGACAAGATTACATGATTTTTCAGAATGCCATTCAGAACATTCAGGCTGAATCCAATCGTTATGATTTCTTTGTTATTCTTGGTAGTGTATACCTAGTCAGAGAATTCATAATCCAGCCAATAAAGCAAATTAAAGAAAGGTTGTCGAGAGACAAGTCAAAGCTATCAAATATAGAGACAGTAGGAAACAGGTCAAGACTCAATACAGAGAAACTAGCGTTGTTAGAGGCTGTTAAAATGGATTCGCTGATTTCTAATCTTGAATTGAAAATGCTGCTTAGTGATGATTTTGATATGAAATTACAGTTTTTTAACTTGAATTTGAACCTTGTAAATGGACTTTTTGGTATTAAAAGTAAACTAATAAGAGTATTGGTTGATTCGCCAACATTGGATGGCATGTGGGCCAGGGTGCTCGTGGTAGATTCTATTGCTGCTAAGTTTAACCCTAAACACTTGAATGCTAAATCTGCAGAAAAGTTTTTAGTTGATATAGAATGTGATGCAGTAAGGGCAATACAATGCCATCAGTTTGTTGTATACAATTTATTTGATAATTTGTCAATCAATATAAAAACCTTGAAGCACTTAGTCAAATCAATTAACAACAACGTCAATGAGGACTCTAAAATAGTTGAACCCAATGAATCAAAAGCATTGAAGGTTCCTTCAATTCGCTTGAAAACAAAAAAGATATGTTTCAGCATGGAAGATGATCCGTTTGAAAGTGAGCTAACTATGATCTACCAATTGGGATTAGTTGAACAAAGAAAAAGGCTTGAAGAATATTATTTATTTGAAAATCAGGCAGAGGTTAAGGATATTTCTATAAATGATTATTACAGCAAATTGAACACTCTTCAGGAAGAAATTTCTAGATCTTGGATTAGAAAAGTTAAAGTGTACAAGGCGAAGCTCAATGATGAAATATTGCAGAATAAGAAGTACATCTTTGGAAGCGAAGCCTCAATTCCGAGTGAATTGAATCAAGGTATAGTTGCATACTTATCACAAGCTCCATTATTTTCGATTATCATTGAAAATGTAAACTTAAAAGTTCAATCTCCGAAATTTGATTTCAATGATTTATCAGATTTTATTTATAAAATTGGCCAGCAAGTACCCAAAGACACTATATACTCACTTATGCTTCCATCATATGTCGATCTAGAAGTTGGTGAACTTAGAATTCATTTGAGAGACTATCCATTGCCTTTGCTACATGTTCCTGGAAATCGTGATAATTCTCCCAGTTTAACCATGGCCGGCCATTTAATAATTTCCGAAAATTTGGTAACAGCTAAGGAGAATATAAGAGAGTTAATTATTCCTTTAATTCATGGTCTCAACTCTCTGGACGATGATAATCCTGAGACGCTTGGTCTGCATAAAATGATAATTCAAAGATCGTTATCCACCGTAAAGCTCTACTCGGATATTGAGTTTGAATTCCTGACTGAATATTCGACGAGATTCGTTTGGGGTCAATCTTTCCAATTTGCTTTACAGCAAACTATCATGAACTTTGATCAATTCTCTAAGCCGCCTGTTGATCCTCTGGAAAAGCTTGGTACCTGGGATAAACTCCGTTTGATAATTCATGGAAATTTCAAAATAAGAGTAGCGGATAAAGGTGATTTACAGATTGCAATAAAGGGGTCTAGAGATCCTTATAATCTATTTGGCACCTCTTCGGGATTTGTCCTTGGTTTCAAAGATTCAGTAGAGTGGAAAATTAACGAGCATGATGATCCAAAGCTGTTTTTCGAAATCATTGCTGACAAGGTATTCTTTTTCGTACCCAATTATTTGGCTGCACCATTATTAGCTTGGACAAGGCATAGCTCCAAGTCAACATACTTACCTGCGGCTGAAAATTTTATTTCTTCTACGTTTGCCTATTATTTAGAAACAATTCCAATGGGAAATGAACAGGCTAAAAAAGATATCATGGAGCCTTCTAAGTTGAAAAGGGAAGTACTTGAGAAAGTTGTTCTTAAGTTGAATGGGGGAGTTAATTTCAAGGTTGGATTCCTTTTACAAAGAGATGATATCAACAATAGGGGATCTAAAACCTATAACTCAGTACCCCATTATGAAGTTGAATTATTTAACCCTAAATTTACAGAGAAGGGCCATGATTCTTTCAAGGGGTTCAGAAGTGATTATATCCATATGGCAATTTCTTTAACCTCTAATAATGCTGAGTGTAAAAATTCCATTCATCTTAGTCCTGGTGTGTTCAAGCAGCTTTTTGCTTGGTGGGTGTTATTCGCTGGTAATATGATGTTACCAGTTAGAACTGGTCCCTTATTTGGAGAAACAATGGAGAGCAAGAAGTTTTCACAGCATTTAACAACTAACAAATTTTTGTTTAAGTTTAGATCTGTATTCCTTTCTCATATCTATAGAGATGAAACTGTTGATGTAGAGGACGAAAAGATAGAATGTATTGGTGTTAGAGCAAAGATGGAAGACTTTGTTCTCGATTTGCATCAGAGGAAAGAAACGAAGTATCTTGTTCATGAAGGCTTGAAGGGGAAGAAAAAGACAAAGAAAATGAATTTCAACATAGGCCAATCTCACTTAAGAGGAATAGACTTGAGAACCGTTTATGGTGTATTCAAGCAAGATATATATGAACTGCAACTCCAAGGTGTAAGGTCAGATAAGAAGAGCAAAGAAACTCCTTCGAAGTTTATTTCTTATGATAACGATACATCTTGGTTCGATATTGATGACTACGAGGAAGTATTTATCCCTAGTTTGGGCCACAGTAAAAGAGTCATAAAGGTATATCCTTTGAGTTACATTGAATGTTTCTCATACATAAGAGATACGAGTAAAAAAGAAGGACTAGCAAGAAAAGATCTTGAAGGTAACATTGACGTTGACAATGACAAAGAGCATGATAATGATGACGATGATGATGATGATACTTTAGGTTTGGAGAATAGTCATGAATGCCTGTTGAATTCTCAGGATATGTTTTCTTCACTTATTGATCTTTATAAAAAAAGGATTGGTGTATTGAAAGTTGAGTTGAAAAAGAAGGCAAACGAGGGGAAGTCTACTAAAGAATTGATGAAAAGAATCCACTCATTGAAGGATAACATACTTGAATATGAAAAGCGTGAATCGCGTCCTGATACAAAGTTGGAAAAGACAGAGTCATCAATTCCAAATGGCCATAACTCTGAAAATAATATTGATCATGTTGAGCCTAGCGTCTCTCCACGAAGTAAGAATGGAGATATGTACGAAGAAAATTCAAGCTGGGATTGTGACCAAGAAGAGCATGACAAAGATGAATTGAACTCTTTCCATAATAGGTTTTTGCTTATAAGTATGTTATTGAAGTGGAATGTGGATAATAGAAACCTTCTCCTTAAATATATCCAATCGGTTCAATGGAAGAGTGCTATTAGTAATTATTTGAGCTACGAGGCAATTTCAACTCTTGAAGATATAATTGAAAAGAGAGCTGAGAATTTTAATGCAAATGATTTAGCTACAATTAGAACCGAGTTGTCAGGGTCCAAGAAAGATCTTGTCAAGCGTGGCAAAGGATTTCAAAAGCCAGAAAAGGTACCAAAGGATAACTCGGAAAGCCGTTTGAAAAAATTTGACAGTATATTACAAAAGATTGATGGGGGAGGGAAGACGATTACTGAAGATTATGTGATAGAAGTAATATCCCCTCAGATTCAGTTGCAAAGTCATGAAACTCCTGATTCGGTATTGTTAATAACTGCTCCAAAAATTGAGGCAAAGATAGTTTCTGTAGTGGAGCTGAGTAACCTAATGGTTGAAAATTTTAATGTATTGGAAGAGAGATTTGGAGTATTGATGAAAGATGCGAACGTTTTTATCTTGGATAGAGAGGAGATTAAATCCGATAATTCTATTTTAAATAAACTGGCGTATGGATCAACGGAGAACTGGCCACCATGGTTAGGTATTGAAATCTGCAAAAATGGATACTTGGCAGGAAAGGGTAATTTTATAGTTGAGAAGATTTCTTCAATGGTAATTTACGAAAGAATTAAGCCTTTGGGTAAAGGAGACGATGATCCTGGAGGAAGAAATGAAGAAGAAACACTGGACGACAAAGACGATTCTGCCACTAGCAAAAAAAGCAGTAGTGAACTAACTGGTAGCGATGGAGAACGATCTAGTGTGAACACTAAATTGCTGATCGATGTCCCAAAGTTATCCGTTACTTCGACAGCCAAGCAGTACGCTACATTGTACTCTATTGTTACAACATTACTATTGTACACGGAGCCCACGAATGAGCATTTATCAAGAAAGTTGGAGAAATTAAGATTTTCTATTGATTTTCAAGATTTGAATGCAATAAATTCAAGATTGATAAACTTACACAAGTATTATCGTTTAGTTGCAATGTTGTGCAATAATTACCAATTCAGACAGCACTTGCTAGACAATGAAAATTTGAATGATTATTTGACACTTAATATGGAGAAGGATCAAATAGCGATTGAGATATACTTAATGTTGCAGTCAATATTATCTGGCGATGTTCAAACATCAAATGATAGTTCCACCAATGCAGTTTCAAACTGGATAGTTGGTGCAGATCAAATAATATTCCATTTACTCCAAGATGATCGAACTCCTATATTAGACGTTGCAATGGCACGTGGTAGATGTAAGAGAACTATAAACGAAGATGGCTCGAACTCAAATAGGATTGAGATCTATATGATGCAGATTTTCAATTTATTAAAGACTGCTAAATATCCACAACTATTTGGCCCTCTTAAGCAAGCCGATACTAAAGGTGATATAGTCACTGTTGATTGGAAAATGAATAGAGAAGTAGGAGGAATCAAATTTATCGAAAAATTCGTTGTTAATACAAAACCGTTGGAAATCAAGATTGATGATATCACGGGAGAAGTACTAATGAAGTATATTTTCCAAACAGAGGAAATTAATGACAGTCCTTTACTAAAGGGAGGAAAGAAGAACAACAAACTTGAAGAGGTCAGCGACAATGAGACCGATGTTGGATCTGAATCTGATATAAACAGCTTTGATGAAAGCTCGCTTGATTTCTTCAGTCGTCACAATAGTTCAAAGGAATCCCTTACGAGACATGGGGGTGCTGATATTACAAATGTGTACAATTTTGGAGGAAAAACAGGCAAAGGAACATCCAAGACGATCTCTTCCTCAGGGTCAGGGTCAGGGTCTGGTTCTGGTTCCGGTACAGCTTCAGCTTCTGGTTCTGGTTCCGGTTCTGGTTCCGGTTCTGGGTTAGGGTTTGGGTCCAAATCTAAAACGTTAGATGATCCCTCATCATCGGACTGGGGAATTTCAACTGGCGAAAAGTACGAAAACGACGTTGACGAGATGGTTACAAGGGCCAAGAATTTCATGAGTATTGGAAACTTCAACATTAATTCGACGTCCGTACTGATATCTATTAAATGTTCTAATGGATACATGAGGATCTTAAATGTTGAAAATTTTGTTATAACGCTTCCTGTATTCCAGATCCAGTCCCAGGTGGTTTCAGCACTTGATATCACTTTAATGTTTAAGAAAACTGTCATCAAGGCATTACTTAGTCACAGTGGTAGGCTACTCAAGAACAAGCTTAGTGCAAGGAGGAGGAGGGGAAGAGAGATTATAAGGAAACCACTTAGACCCGTAAGAAGATATGTGGAATTTACGAAAGCAGCGGAGCTTCGAGGCTCCGTCAATTGATCAAGCATCAAAATTTATGACTATAGATATGTAAACCTAACATAATATGTAAATAATAATAAAACTTGCGTACTTATTTAGTAGTGAAAGCTGTACAGAATTATATACCCTATTTACAAAGAACCCACCATGCTTGGTTATAAACGAATTAAATTGTGAATTGTGAAATGAAAATTTGCCAATTGAAGCGAATTGTGTCATATATGTTGTCTCTTAACTCCGCTACCGTTTGCTTGCACCTTCTTCTTACGTTTATTTTTCTTGTTACCATATTCATCCGTTTCTGACATATCGTCACCTCTCATCAACACCTGTTGGTCATTTATAGCCAAGTCTGCAGTATTGAACCCTGGAATCCCATTGAGTGAAGTTTTTTCAAATTTCAATGCTTGGTCAAGTAATTTAGGATCTAATTGCTTTATTATGCTTGGTGTTTGACTCAAGTTGGGGTCTAGGATTGCCATAGGGATAGGTTTACTATTAGGTATCTGGTGCTTTCCTGGAAGGTCCTGTATATGATTCTTATAAGATTTTCTCACTTTAACTCCCTTTGAACCATCTGGATTCACTCTTGCCACCGACTTGGTTATGGGTTCTAAGCCGTAAAGCGATAGCAAGTTGTCTAGTGGGGTGGGATTGGATTTTGCGTATTTTTCTACAAGGTTAGTTTTGACTAAGGACAGGAAGAGATATAGAGACTCAGCCGAATATAAACATCTTAGCACTTTGATACTTACGATCTCTATTTATAAGATATACATCATCGCTGCTTTGTTCAAGTGACTCGCTGGACATGGCCTTAGATGTCGATAAAAAGGTGGTTAGCTCAGTAGTCTCTATTGCAGTTTCGGTTTTTTTTGTTTAACTTCTGAAATTCATCTGGGACTATGTGCAGGTCACTCAAGTCACTTACTGGAACACCAATTCAGATGGCTAGGAATTACCACCAGAACTGAAGAGAATGTCATAGCTGATTAAGAGGGCATTACGAGTTTGGTAAAGTGCAGTGCAATCCTTCTTACTTACAAGACCATTTCTTTCTATTTTCAAATTTTTTTATTTTTCAAAATACATAAAATTAATTTTAATCTCCTAAGAAATGAAAGCTGAAGAGATTGAGAAACATTTATAATACACAATTTCACGTATGAAGCATCTCCTTCCTTTCTTGTTACATTTCCGTGTCATGCTTGCCTTTATACTTATTTTTTAACAACTTCCCAGTCGTCAGAATCCTTGGATTCAGCATCAATGGATAATTCAGCGGTGGCTTTTTCCAAGGTGGAATCAACCTTCTCTACTTCTTCTTTACCTTCAACCTTTGCTTCTTCTTCTGATGGTGCAGCGGCTAATGGTTCTTCTTCATCATCAGAATCATCAACTGACAAGACGTCAAAAGAAGACTTTTGAGGCTTTGGTTGGTCTTTCTTATCTTCCTTACCAGCCTTCTTGACAGATGTTGACGACTTGGTACGGGCGCCTAATGGTTGACCTCTCTTCCAATCGAGGTTTTCACCTTCAGGCTTCTTTTGTTGCTGTTGTTGTTGTTGTCTATTTGATCTTTCTCTTGGTGGTAAAGTTCCAGTACCTCTAGCAATGCCCCAGTCTAATTCTGGTTCTTGCTTCTTAGGTCTGGTCCTTTCTGCTCTTTCCCTATTACTATTTTCTCTTGGTGGCAATACGCCAGATCCTCTTGCTGAACCCCAATCTAATTGTGGCTCTTCCTTTCTTGGTGGTCTTTCGGTTCTTTCGCCTCTTTCTCTGTTGCTGTGTTCTCTTGGTGGTAAAGTTCCAGAGCCTCTTGCAACACCCCAATCCAATTGTGGTTCTTCTCTTCTAGGTGGTCTATCACCTCTGTCTCTGTTGCTATGCTCTCTTGGTGGTAAGACGCCAGATCCTCTAGCTGAACCCCAGTCTAAGTCAGCTTCTTCTCTTCTTGGTGGTCTGTCACCTCTGTCACCACCTCTGCCTCCAGATAATGGACCTCTTCCTCCTCTCCAGTCCATTTCAAAGACATCTGCCTTTTCAGGGGCCGCTACATCAACGTAAATCTTTCTACCGTTGAAATCAGAGAAACTAAAACGCAATGCTTCCTCCAAGTGGGATCTACTATCAAAAGTTAAGAACCCAAATCCTCTTAATCTACCAGTCTGATTATCAACGGGTAACTTAACATCTGATACAATACCTTGAGATCCTAATTTGATTTCGAAGAACTCAATCAAACTTTCTTCGTTAGCTTCCCATGCTAAATTACCAACTCTAGCTCTAAATGGAGGATGATCAGGAATTGGAAATTCTTGTCTCTCACGTTGTTCGCGTCTTGGTTCGCCAGATCCGAATCCAGAATCTCTGTTGAATCCACCAGTTTCAGCTAATCTTCTGTTGGAAATTGGAGCCGCAGTGGTCATGGGGACACCAATGGATGACATATCAACATCTTCATCAGCCCACGATCCCCCACCGAGAGTATCGTCGGCCAAGAATGAACCTAAGTCCATCTTAATGTTTTTCTTTGGAGCTGCATATCTCGTTAGTACTTACATAAACAACAACGGAAAAAGATTTACTTTACAATTCTTCTATCATACTGAAATCTGAAATATTTCATGCCTGATTAAAAAATTTTTCATCTTAGATCAAATCTTTGATCAACGCGTTTGGGAACGTGCAAAGTACGTCCAGTATTTTCTTCGTTCGACATTATAATTACATACCCATAGTGAATAAAGTCCTTTACTTATATAAAAACAGATGCTTACTAAGAACAACTGCTTGAACGTGTATGTGTAGCTTAGGTCCTCTAGGTTAGACTCTATTTTCAGTTTTTTTTTTATTTTCTGCGCTGTGATAATTTTCACAAAAATGAGGGAAGATTTCGGTACATGCACGCATGTATTGATGGAGCATACAGACGCCTAAGAAACAACTCTTTCACAGTGGGGCATGGAATGATGTTGGATAGCATTGATTTAACGTTCACTTGCTAGGTAATTTCATTTTCCAGGCATATCTCTTATTTCCTTACATAATACAGCTTACAGTAGTACTAACTCCGATTTAAACCAATAGAAGACCAACTTTCATTGCTACTATTAAAACTTATACTCTTTGCTCGACTATGTCCCTTGATTCCCTTGGCGAATCGGTGCCTGAAGGCCCTGAAGTCCCTGACTGTCCCCCTTGTCCCGCCTGGTCTGACTCTGCTGTTTGCTCTGATTCGCCTGTTTGGCCCGTTTGACCCGTTTGGTCAGCTTGTTGTCTTTCTTGTTCAGCACGCAATTGAGCCGTCCTTTCACTCACTCTCTTCCTATAGCTCTGCAACACCGCCCAATTATAGATATTCTCCCAAGATACTCCCATAAACTTCCAAAATATTTTCTTGAATAAGTTTGAAAATTTTTGATCTGCCACTGCTTTGGCTTCCTCCTCGATTTGAATAGATGGGAAATCGGGGTTTCGTAATATAATACGGACTCTTTCATGAATAGGTACTAATTCTTGAATCATGGCCCGAAGGGTGGGGTCATTCCTCAATGCGTCCAAGTCAATACTGTCCAAATCCGCAAACCCATCGTCCAATGGGTCGTCCTGACCATCTTCATCATCATTATTGTTCCCGTTTGCATTTGCGTCTGCATGTCCATTTTCGTTTCCGTTTCCATTTCCATTTTCATTTCCGTTTCCATTTCCGTTTCCATTTCCGTTTCCATTTCCAGTGTCCTGTTGTCCATTCTCTTGCTGGTGTCCACCATTTTGGTCAGTGATATCGGTACTCCTATTAAGACTATTGTTATTCTCATCCTTATAGAAATAGTCTCTTTTACACATTGGACAGCAAGCCCTACGCTTTGTAAGCCATGGATCTAAGCATTCCGCATGGAAAACATGTCCACAGATTAATCCTCTCACAACGCTATCATCTTCGAGGATTTCAAGACAAATAGCGCAAGATCCAGATGTGAAATGCAAATCATTTTCAAACTGAAATGGCTTCACGTTAGAATTTGTGGTGTGTGAAGATGAAGTACCAATCTCGTGAAGTTCAATACCGTCTTCTTCTGTATGCTGGTGAGTATGTTGACCGTCAATATCTGCTTCAGGATAAATAGAGTTAGAAGAAGATTTGAGCTTCTTAGATGAAGATATGACCTGTAAGTCGTTTTCATCAACAAGCTCAACAACACCCACGGATTCTTCAATAATACGATCTGCAGAAGTATTTTGCTCTTCAACACTGTTCTCGTCAATTTTATCGCCTATTGGTACGACTCCTTCCTCCTGCAACAAACCACCTCTATTTTCCTGATCTTCCTCTTGCCCACCATTCAACCATTTATGGTAAGTTTGCTGGGGGAAGAGTAGCTGGACTTGTTCTTCAGTCAACTTCTTCATCCTGGAATATCGACCACCTCTTCTTCTTCTTCTTCTTCGTCTACGTCTCCTGCCTTCAATCGTTCTATCCAAGGTTTCTCCTCTGGCAAACATATTCTCCCGTATGTAAGCAATTTGATCTTGTAGGTCAGAATCGGAAACATACTGCTGTGGGCTAGCCCTAGAGACGTGGGACGGAGATGCTAATATAATACTCCTGTGGGATATTGGGTATATATGTAGACCGAATTTCAGTCTAACAAAGTACCGGATAGTGAAGAATACAAACAACAAGGCGATGAACACCCCGACAGCAAGCGCCAAAAAGAATAGCACCGTGGAGGAAGTGTTCCCCACGAAGGAATCCGAAGATGATGTGCTTGTGCTACTACCCGACGGAACTGTCGACGATGCGGATGATGCTGTCGTTGAGGTGGGTGGCGGTGGCCCCCTTGATTCAGTTGACATGATGGTTAATTATTCAGCCAAAAAGAGATATATTATAACAAAAAAGTATTAATTCAGTGGTGTTTAACAATTAAGGATCAAGATCTAAATCAAACTGAAAGAAGCAATATAAGAAATTATGTAACAATAAAAGTAATAAAAATAAAATACTATCAGTAAACGAGCACACAGAAAGTCAATATAAACCTCTTTATATCTGATCCATTAACACTTGTGGGGGCTCCATAAAATATATAAGTACTTATAAATCAAAATCAAAAAAAAACCCAGAAAGTCAGAAAAAAAAAACGTTCCCTGAAATCAGGCATGATTCTCCGCGCAAGGGACTTACAGGGCAGGGTTGCCTACAACGAGGAAATTTGTGGGGAGATAGGGTGATACAGTTTGCGTATAATTTTAGACTTCGACAAAAAAATATTACCAAATAAGCTATTAGAAGTATTTCGGGACGACTTGACTGCGGACCTCAAGGCAATGTCGGTAATTATCCAAGGGTGCGACTACAAAAGAAGAAATATAGTCATGTTAAACTAGCTATTGACGTGGGACCTGGAAGTGTCAGTGATTAGCGCTCTACGCTGCTCAGCGGCTTAGCGATTAGTGTATTTTCTCATTAGCTCCGGCGCTAGATGCGAGCAATTTGTACGCACGTCAGTGATACAGGAGAGATGGTGAAAAATTACCCACTACGGACCATCGAAAAATGATAGGTTCCACACATACTGCACTCGGTGCTCGAACACTCTAGCACAAAGTAGTACAGCCTTAAATGAGGCTTGGACTTCCCGCAGATGTGTGGACAGGAGACAGGATCTAGGCTAGCACACATCATATATCTCCGGGTCATCTCAGGGTGGGGTTAGTGGACCAAAGATAACACAGCTGTGAAGTAGGTCATATGCAACACTCTTGTATGTTCCCTCGTTTATACTGCCAGTTTAACACACTCCCACCTGCGAACGCTCGCTTTTCTTTTTCGTGCTTCTTTTTCTCTCTCTCTCTTTCTTTTTTTTTTTTTACCTTTGCCCCAGTCATTCAAATGCTCCCACAATAGAAACCTTATCTAGCGCAATATATGGAGTACGGTTCACCCTCGATAATGAGTCCCATAGAATCGTAATCTGCGGTCCTTATGCTTTGTATATCATGCTTACAGATAATCCCTTCTAGGCGCCTTTTTCTTTCCTACAGTCTACAATCAGTACATCAAATTTATTTTTTTTTTTTTTTTCACTCTACATCACTTTCACTTTTCTAGTTTTTTTTTTTATAAAATATACCATTGGATGATACTTAAAATGTACAAACAATTAACTAACTAAACCCTAAATTTGTGAGTTAATTCGGTTTAAACTGCTTTCAAGTACACGCGCCAGCATAAGATAATTAAAACTCAATAATTCAAATAAACAAAATTTTATATCCATTCAATAACATCGAATTTTAATTAGCTTATTTTGGAGCATCCTTGAAAGAGATAGCAGCTTCTTCACCCATAGCAGAGATGATAGTAACTAATAAATCCTTACCGTCGTCGAATTCAGATTGGATCTTGTCACCCAATTCACCTTCTGGGATCTTAACATCATCCTTGGTGTCACCATCTTGGGTCATTAAAGATAAGAAACCATCATCAATGTCTAATAATTGGTATTCTTGTCTTTGGACATTTGGGACTTCCATATTGTGGGTGGATGGAGATAAATCTTCTAATTTCTTACCAGTGAAGATATCAATGGCAACTAAATGGACCTTGGCGTGACCGTGCTTACCAGTCTTGGAGGTAGACATATCGACAATCTTACATGGTCTGCTCTTGATGACAACGTGACCGTTCTTTCTTAATGCAGAACATTGCATTGGGAAAGTTAAAGAGGCACCGGCATCGGTGGTTTCAAAGGTGTGCTGGGAAAACTGTTAGTAAAATAGAAAGACTCCAAAAAAAAAAAAAAAATAGTCATGGTCAACATGAAACAACTTCCAAACGAAGTAAATGTAACAGGCAAGTGAAAAAAGAAACAAGAAAATTAGCCCACTAATGACCGTCTTAAATTAGTCAAATGTCTAACGAGATGTTCAAAGGTTGGCATGGCTTTCTTTGTGCCCCGATAGAACATCCTTTCAGCTCAAAAATTACCTTTTTCAATGTCTTTTTTCCTTCATTGCTAAATTCTTCAAGAATCGATCTGCGTTGAAAAATACATCCCACTTCCATCCACTCGTCGTCCACGCTAATCAATTACTTGTTTCCATAAGTTTACACCAGGCAACATCTACTCCTATTTGGAGCCGTTAGCTACTCACTTCTTCTTCAGCCATTATGAATAATTATTATAGATAGTTCAGAAACAAACAAAAGAAAAGTATAAAAATTTCTTCGATGCTACACTTAAGCTCCAAGTCCTTGGTCGAAATTTTGTTCAGCGATGCGGATTTCTTAAAAATTTTCACAACGCCACGACTTGTGTAAATCTAGGCCCAAAGTGGTGGAAGCGCGGCGTAATTTTCAGACTATGACGGTTCCTCATAGTTTTATTGGTCGCCCAGTCGCGTGAGGTGGAGCCAATATTCATCCAGTGAATAGAGTGTGGTAAACTCCAGTCCTGCAGGGAACGAGTGGATAGCACCATCTCCACTCGAGGTCTACTATGTTATATGTTCGTAGTGTAATTTATGTTTCGGCTGAAGAGCGGGGATTTGGCTTACAGTAGGTCAATGGCGGGAATCTTGTACTCTCTACCTTATTGGGGAGGGGGATCTACTTGCTAAATTAGTGTACCTGTTGTTCTCCTCTGAATGGAAGATGGTGAGCTCTGTTCCTGCAGGAGATCGTCCAGGCAGCTCAGGTACTAGCACTATCAATCGTGGTACACCCTTTTTGCAGCCGTTGTGATTTGAACAAGATGGCACATCAGCTACTGAAGTTATGTAGCCATTCGTCGAGCGATTGCCACTCTCCGAATTTTGAATTGACTCGAGAACCTTTAATCACCTATTTCTACAGGTTGACAGAAGTGTTGAATATGGAGAAATTAGTATCAGTCCTGCAGGGAAGGCCAGGTAACTAAGTTTCTGGACCTCGACAGTTCATATAGCACTTACAAGATAGTTATACTTCGTGAGTAGTTGGCTGGGAGCTCTTTGGTCATCAGCCAATTTTCTCTTCTCTTTTTTCCTCTTCTTTCCTTTTTGTTAAACAATTTCATTATATTACATGTCTGCTACGTTTAACATAACTAAACTACTGGAGTAAACTTCCATATTTCTAACTTTCATTACATTCGAATCTGTTTGCTGCCTATCTTTATATTTGTTTGTATGTAGATATGGCATAGGTGTGGGTTTATTGCATTACTTTCCTTTCTTGTTTCTTTTTATTAAACTCCTGAGCTAATATGAATCCATCTTAGAAGTGCGTAGTTCGTTCTTCCTTTCATTATACTTCGACTCACTGTTCACTTCTAAGTTGACTGCCACCACACCTGTTTCTCGCCTTTCTTCTGCTTATGTTCAATCCAAAATGGACGCATTATCCAAATGGTAAAGAACTACCCTATATGGCAGTGTTCGCCTCTTCAGCTGCCTTTGTTCCTGTTCCTTGACAGCTAAATTTCAACTTCTCTTCTCGATTTTCCACTTTCACTCAAGTCTTTGCAGAGATCCCATCTATTACTTCTTTACTATTCAAATTCTTGAGTGGTAAAGATGTATCAATCCCAGATACTTCAGAATCATCATTATTAGAGATGGACTTTTCCATTTTGCCCAATTTCTTATCATTATTGTACTTTTCATTCCTAAGTTTTTCAATAATGATTGACCATTTAGATAGTAACTCTTCACACTTCTCATGTAGTCTAAAGCTATCTGAGTATTCTAAATCTCTATCTCGGATTATGCACTTTAGTACTTTGTGGATCTTCGTGGATTTTAAGAAATCAACAGTCATAGGAAAATCTGCCAATTTGTTAAGAATTAGCCTTGCAACCAGAAGTTCGTCTACTGTTGGTGGCGGGAATTTCTTTGGGTCTGATGGGGTCGCTGGTTGATTTCTTTGTATAAGGGTACGTTGAAGTTTAATTCTGCAGAGCCAAAGTTGATGTTGTTTTTCTTCATTTGTGGCAACTTTTGGAGAAGATTCGGATGATGCCGATGTCAATGTTCTCTTGTGGTTGCTGGAGTCTCCATTGGATGGAGGGGTTTTTGGCTGTTCCGATTTGGTTCTTCTTTTTGGTAAAGGTTGAGGGGTAGAGGTGGCTCTACGCTTTAGACTTCGAGCCCGACGTCCAGATATGCTGTCATCCTCTTCATCCTCATCTTCCTCTTCCTCTTCCTCTTCCTCCTCTTCTTCTTCCTCAGGCTCATCAATGTCGGCTTCGAGACCATCTGCTTCATCATCATTCTCATCCTCATCCTTCACTTTAGCATCCAAGATTTCTTCGTCTTCGTCTTCGTCACCGTCTTCTCTGTTCATATCCAAGCGTTTCATAAAATCATCAAAGTCTAAACCTCTCGCCGCCAAAAGAGCATCGTTTACATGCAACGTTCTTCCTGTCGTTTTCTTCTTTGCCTGTTTTGAAGCCGGGATTTTCTCCAATTTCTTATCTAGTAAGCCGCCTGATAGAGCCTCCAAGCTCTTCTCGTTCATCCAGTAAAAGTCTCCATCAGGGATAAATATTACACAGAACTCGGTTGTCTTCTTCTTAGCTCGTAATATCTGGTCAGGCACAAGGTTCAAAGGCATTACAAACGATGGCCACGCCGGGAATCCATGCATTTTGGCTAATACCAAGTCCTTTGGCTCAAACTTGTCTTTCTTTCCTTTCTTCTGGCCCATTGTAAGTATATTTGTACGACACTTGCTATCTCTACCGAAAAACTAATAGAAAAACACCTGAGTTCGTGATGTGATAGATGGAGTTTGTATTTTCAAGATTAGAACAGAATGAAGTGGATAAACTATAGCAATTCTCTTCTTTGTCTTATTGCTTTTCTCTGATTTTTTGTAGTCTTTACGTTCCCTTAACTTTCCTGATTGACTATAATCATAAATGATTCACCCCTGTGTCGTTAGGGTGCGTGCTGTGTCCGTATCGGTTGAAACTAATGGAGGGCACCTATCTGTGTACTGAGAGGAGACGTCAACGAAAAAGAACGATGAGGCAATTGATAGGGCAATGAAATTACCAATAAATTAATCCACAAGTGTAAGCTTAGCCAATTATTGATCAGCAAGCGCTCAATGAGTGAAGGTTATGTATATGTGGCAGTAAAGAAATGTTGTCATGTTGGAATACCTCTAGCGAATTTTTGGTTAATCTTTGATGTTTGGATTCCGCCCGCACACACCAAATCGCAGAAATTAAGAAAGAGACACAAAATGGGGGGGCATGAGCAACGATAAAAAGGGAAAAAAACAAATTCTGCTAGGCGCTGTGAAAAGTAATAATAAGGAGAGAGCATGGGGGAGAAAACGAAAGGTTGGATATCGTGGGAGAGTCTTGAGGTTCTTTTGGTGTAGTTAAGTTTTGAGCTTGGATTTTGGAGCTAGGGAGTTGTGTTTTTCATTTCCTTTCTCTATTTTAATAGTTTTTCGTCTAGTTTTGCTGTTTATGGTGCAGTTGTTGTGGAGTTTCTTCTGATTGTTGTTCCCTAGTGTCTGGTGTGTCTGGTGTGTTTCTGGTGAAATTCCGCACTCACTGCGAATCCTCGACGGTAAAATGCAGCCCACCGGTATTACTGCTCGCTATTTCACACCAAAAAAGCATGAAGAGCAACATACATACATACATACGTACATACATATATACTTACGTACGCACAACTATTGTTCTCTTGGTTAGCTTAATCACATCTTTTTATGCTACATGTTCTACTCTCTTTTTTTTTTTTGCTCATTTAACCGTGAAGTATTCTGCTGGTTCCTTTGGATGCTTCAGTCTACTTTGATTTGTTTGTCCATCTTCCTTCTCTTTCTATTCCTCAAACTGCAACATCCGCTTTGGGATGCACTTCTAAATTTTATGCTCCCAATTTGCAGCCTCACCAAATTAAAGATAACGAAAGTTGGCGGTAGCTCAGCAGTAGGGTATCTGTTCGAAGAAGCCATCAACACAGCGAGCTGTGCCATTCTACTATATTCCTATATATTCCTACCTCTATCATATCTTAAAAAACTCTCTACGCTAAAGCTAACCACTTCCTCTTCTCATAATCACCGTCTTCCACTGCATTGTTTCACATCTCATAGGCAGTTTGGCCCTGACGCATACTGGTTTTTTTTTTTTTTTGGCTTTTTTTTTTTTGGCATAAAATTTAAAATTGCAAAAAAAGAAAACGCAAAAAAAACGAAAAGAGTTCCAAAAAGCCTAAGCACTCACCCACACTGTTCACCATTACAGAGAGACTATTGCCACTTAGTCATGTCAAAGCGTCTTTCATCTAGTGAGGAAGTACTCGACAAGTCTGCTAGTAAACGAATCCACCTTTCAAACGGTGATGATTCATCTTCAAAGGCAAATGGCGGTGCTGCCCCTATACTTCATAGTGTTCCAAAATCAATTTTACCGATACTTCACCAACCATACCAATTATCAGATTTTTTTACCGATGTTGATAATGACATTAACGATCCGAAGATTCATAAGCAAGTGAGTTCCATTGTAAAGTACTTCCCTCCACCTGCTCCCAACTTCCTTTCTCCCGATTTTAGTGCATACCAGAATGGGCTAATGATTCCATTCATATACCCACCACCTCCCGCACAAAAAGACGCTCAAGACGATTTGAAGGTTATACCTCCGTTACCCTTTCCACCACCAAATTACATGCCATATCCATTGGTTTCCGAAAACTCCACCTTGAATCCTAAGGACGTTTTCAAGTCGTTTTTGGATGCCCTGGCCAAATTGCCCAGAATTGACATGGTGGTTGCCAGCGCTGCTGGCTCCTTGTATGACATGAAGGCACAGGCTGGAGAAGAAGGTTTTACGATAAGTGACCATGAAGAAGAGAAGGAAAAATTGAGGTTGGAGAAGATAAAGAGAGAAGATCAGCTATTGAGCGAACAAGAGAAGAGGGAACAAGCGGATGATTTCGATGACAATGACGACAATGACGACGACGGTGAGGACGATGATCACTTGGTATATGATGACGAATACGAGGAGTACAAAGAATTTGCATCTAACGTTGATATAACTGACATTTACGATAAAAATGATAAAAGTGCAGAGAGAAATATATTTGAATTGAGGAAGCCGACACAGCCTGGGTTTGGTGAGATCAATTCAAATATTAGCAATATCAAAAAGAAGAAAAAAGATAAAAACTCTAAAAGAAACTTGCATAAGTATAATGAATTCTCTCTCAGTCGCCAGTCATCTGAATCTGAAAAGCCGTTGAAATTGCCACTATCATCGAACAAATTAACCACATCTACATCTCCTTCGCAGCAATCTGCATCTTCTGGGAAGGACAAGGACAAGAGGAATGCCTATCTTAAAAACTTTAACGATATACAAGAATTTGAGAAGTTGAATGAAACTGAAATATATGTTGCATTGAAAAGAACACAGCTTGAAAGATTGAAAAAGTTGAATGAATCGAAGATTCTTTTCAACGGAAAAGAAGAGATTCAAGACGAGGAATTAAATGACATCAAAATTGCACTTGAAGAGAGTAGAGATATTGACTTGGTTGGAATGAAGCTACTTGAAAATTATGAATTATTAAATAATGCCTTAGTATTTTATCAAGATTCTAACAAGTCTTATAAGCACATGAACTCTATTATGATAAATAAGTTGATGAAATTAAAGAACTTTTTCGAATACCAGAGAGACATGTTCAAGAATCAGTTGATGGAGGAAAATTCTTCGAATTTGTTTGATATCAAAACTAAAGACTCTGGCAAACTATTCGCCGGAATATCTCAAAAGGATATAGCAACATTTTTGAGAGAAGAAATGAAGAAAGAGCAATCTGATGACGGTAGCAATAAGAAGAGGGATATTGGGCTTTCACAATACAATAAATTTACGCCAACATCTATTCTGTTGGTTCATGATTTTATGCCGCTAATTAATCTGAATGAGTTCAATTTGATCACTGGTGAGTTACCCAATCATAAGTACAAGGCACAGCAACAAGATCAAACACATCTCAAAATGCAAGGTCCCACGGGTTCGTCAAATATTAAGCATCAAATATTCAAGTCCTCATTATACGACCCAATGACTTCGGGTTCAGACACCAATGGAGGTGGCTCTGATGTCAGCAATGTAGCAGTTCCTAAGAGAAGAGGTAGAAGAGCAGCCAACTCTTCGTTGAATGGAACTGGGAGTGGTGCAGGTTCAGCTGGTGGAAGCAATACGGCTGCTAATGGAGGAGGTGGTGCTGGTAATTCTGGAACGCCAGGTGGATCATCACCTGGTGATAAATTCATAGATAGCAGTGATAAGGGTAACTTAAAATATTCTGAAACTTTATTATTGGCAAGAATTATGAAGCACTATGTTCCACCCCAGGGAGCCAGACAAGATGAGTTGGTCAATGATTTGGAAAGTATGGGAGTACAAAGTAAATGGCCCGTGTGAAAATAGACAATATACGGATACGGATACGGACAGGACAGGACACATGCTACCATGTGGAGCAAACTAATTAAGAAGAATACTCCGTTTTAACTTACAACCTTCTTGTTGAGCAAGTGAAATTAGGTTTAACTTATATTTTTCTAGTGTTACAGTATATTATTTATATATGATATATAAAAAAAAAATAGTATAAGAAGTACAACAATAATAAACAATATAAAAAATAGAGATAAAATAGTAAAACAAATAGAATCATAGAGAATTGGAGCGATCGAGCGAGCTCAGGTCATTTTAGTTGTCCACTTAACGTTTCTGAATTGGATTGAAAAAGCCTATTGGGAGTAACGTCACCATCTGCATCAATATCAAAACTATTAACAGACCTTCAATTTCTTTTGGACGTTTAATATTCTTCAAATTGAGAGTAGATTGCAACCAAAACGTTGGCTAATCCTATAACGATTGGAAATCCTCCCAAGACTGTGGCAAACTTTTGGAAATAATCTTGATGAAGGATAAGGTGGTTGAAGACAAAGGTGAAAAAACCTTCAGACTTAGAGAAGTCCTTGTGGTAGGAAGTAGCCAAGAAGTAAAAGAAAAGCAATTTACTTAAAGCAAAGGTGAATGGGTCACTAGTGTAAATTCTGGCAAAGAATTCAGTATCATCTTCGAAAGTAATCAATCTTCTAGTGAAATTGATGTAGTAAGAAGCAATTAAAGGAGCAATCACGGCAATGATCAACCAGGAGGAAAAGGTAGCCAATGGACCATATGCAAACAAGGCTGAGATATCAGGAATTTCAAAATCGGATTCAGCTAAGAACAGTATGTTATCCTTGAAGATTTGGTGGATTGATTCGTTATTCTTAATTGCAACCAAAGGGACAAAATAGTATAAGTAGAAGCCAAATTCAACTACAAGTTCTAAGAAGTTCAACGTGACCGATTTGGATAAGTTTTCTCTCAATTCCCCATTAATATCAACTGAAGTAATTCCGACACTGTCAGTAAGCTCCAAGACTTTAGCAAGGGAGTCTTCGTAGAATTGGATTGCGGGATCGACTATGTAGGCCTTGAGGTCCAATGGTGGACCTTCTTGGTAGTCTGCGTCCTTTTCTTCAGCGTCTTCATCGTCCCCTTCTTCTTCTTCATCTTCTTCAGCTTCAGCGGCTGCTACAGCGGCTTCCACCTGTTCGGTCAAAGTCTCAGTATCATCAATTTCAGCATCAAGTGCAGCTTGTACAGCTTCCACACCAGCATCACCATTCTTGGCGATGTATTCTGTGACTTTATCAATCAATACTTTCTTTGTATCTTTGCTTAAAGCATGAATTCCCAATCTATGGCAGATTTCGTTTAATTCTGCCTTTTTAAGGCTCTGTAATTCAGACATAGTTTATCAAATTTGAGGGTTGGCGGGTTCAATTCCTTTCGATGGTAACAAAAAAACAATAATTAAATGATTATTTAAATTACAAACTGCCAGAAATTGCCTGGGTGTATGTAATGAGGAAAAACAATCCAACTAGAATCAAAACAGTGCTAGGGAAGTACCAAATGTAAACAAACCCAAAAGTATAAGACCAAAAACAACACAGAAATCAAAATAAGAAAATAAAACAAAAAAAAAAATAAAAAAAAAAAAGAAGAGAGAGGGAAAGTCCAAACGGCGTGTTCAAATGCAAAAATAAAAAAATAAAAAAAAAAGAACTAAGTTAGCAAAAAAAGCAATAGTACTAGAGTGACAGCACCTCCCACAGTAGCGGTAAAGCTTACTCAGGGTGTGGGGTCCCACAAAAACAGGAGTTGCTTGTATTGCTTTGTTTACCTTTGGGTGGTTGAGCTTGTTCTGGAATATTGTAAACAATGCGTGTGTAATACAGGTAGAAGGTCTTGTATGCAGGAGATGAAAATCTCACCTGGCATGGTTTTGCCTATCCAGGCGTTGTGGGAAGGCCAGTTCAGCTGGAGCTGGAATGAGAAAGCTATAACTTATGCAGGAGTGGTAAGAGCAGCAGCAACCTGTTGAAACGATCACAGACAAATTAGGAAGAAATTAAGTAAGCAGGTAAGCTCAGAGAAAAAAAAAAAGTGAGATTAAATCATAAGATCTGAGAAAACGGCTATTGTTTGTAAACATAGAAGGCAAATAACTTGATACATTTACATACGCAGCTTGCTAGACTGAATTACTCAACTGAATCGTTGGAATATAGGACTGCGTCAACATTAGCGCAAAGTGGATAAAGCTAGAATTAGAACTGGACACAGCTTGATTGCACAGTAGGAGTGTACCAATAATAGGAAGAAGAGGAAGATCAGAGAAAAAGCATAGACGTGATGATGATCCAGTCACGACTATTAAGCTTTCGCTCTGCTACTCAACTAAGACCTACGTTAGGGCAAATACGACATAAATCGATCAGAACAAAGAACAGGAAAGAGTCTCCCAGGGTTAATGCTGTGGGGATTCAATACCTCTCCAAGCAGCTCCAGAGCAAGGTGTTTCCCAATTCTATAAATGTGAAGGAAGACCCAGCATTACTTGAGATATCTAAGCAACACTTGGCCGATAATGAGTTATTGGGTAAACCAACACAAATTAGTGATCCTATTCAGATAAAGAACTTCCCTGATTTGGTCGGTGAGAGTGGCACTTTAAACGAGCATTTCTACAAGTTGGGGATGAAGCAAGTGGAACCTTATTTGTCCATGACTGAATCATTTTTATCGCCAAACACTATATTGCCCAATAAGCCGCAGAAATGGGAATTTCAGGCTGGCTGGACGAGGTATGAACCAGGCAAAGCGCCTGAACCTGTACCCTATCCCTTTGAAGATGAACTCGTATTTGATGTAGAAGTCTTGTACAAGAACTCTCCCTACGCTGTTTTAAACACTGCAGTGAGTAAGAAAGCATGGTATGGATGGGTTTCACCCTTTTTGATAGAGTACAAGAAAGACCCAAGCTATAACGATTATGAGCATTTAATTCCCTTTAATTGCTTAGATCACCCAAAAGTTTTGATAGGGTACAACGTTGGGTATGACAGAGCAAGAGTATTTGATGAATATAACATCAAACAGAGTAAAGCTTTCTACTTGGACGGTATGGCTTTACATGTTGCAACTACTGGAATTTGTTCACGGCAAAGAGTTCAGTGGATGAATTATAAGAAAAGAGAAAAGGCTATGGAAAATGACGAAGAAGGCGATACTTCAAATACGGAATCTGATTTGTTTGATTTGGCTCAACAATTACAAGATAACCCTTGGATAGACAAGTCATCGCCAAATTCTTTGAAAATTGTCGCCAAGCATCACTGCGGGATCGAATTGAACAAGGCGGATCGTGATTTCTTCAGTTCAACTGATCCTAACGAAATTGTTGAAAATTTTGACAAATTAATGACATATTGTTCCACTGATGTAGAAGCTACATTTGCGGTGACTGCTAAATTATTCCCAGAATTCAGGGCCAAGGTACCTCACCCAGTTTCTTTTGCTGCTTTGAGACATCTAGGTTCATTAATCTTACCTAGCACAAAGAAATGGGATGGTTATGTTGAAACCGCTGAAGCCATCTACATGAAGCATAAAGCCAGTATATCTGAAAAGCTAAATGAGCTAGTTGAAGGTTTAATGAAAGAGAAAAAAAGAAAGATTGAGAAAGACGACTGGTTGTCTCAATTAAACTGGGAAATAAAGGAACCTAGGTTCAAAAAGGATGGTGAACCTTTTAAACGCCAAGCTTTCCTAACTGGATATCCTCAATGGTACAGAGATTTGTATAGATCTGAGAAATCAGAATCTTCATTAACCTTAAAATCTAGAAATGTTCCAATTTTTTTGAGATTGAAATGGGAAGGATATCCATTGTTTTGGACTAATTCAACTGGGTGGTGCTTCAAAGTTAAGTATAGTGAGAAGGCTATTGCAGAATTGGAGAAGAAGAATTATGTTAGATTCAACCCAAGAAGGAAATACGAAGATGAGGAGGCTGAAGATTCGGAAATTTCTGTGGCCAAACCTTCAAAGGAAGATGTAGATATTCAAGCTGTAGATGATCTACTTGAATCCGGATATATATTGTTTAGGATTCCTCATCCGAATGGGCCTTCTCATAGGTGTACCAACGTCCTTGGTAAGAATTTTTCATCCTATTTCGAAAATGGTATTCTTTCATCTGAAATTGATTTTGCAAAAGAAATTTTGAAAATTAATGCAGAATGTTCATATTGGCTTGGTAATAGGCAAAGAATTAAAGATCAATTCATTGTGTATGATGACAAAGATGGTAAGAAGGTTGATTTTTTCAATGGCTCCAAGGAAGATGCAGTAGCAAACCCAGATATGGGAATTATATTGCCAAAGATATGCGCAATGGGTACTGTTACCAGAAGAGCTGTGGAAAATACTTGGCTCACTGCTTCGAACTCAAAAAGGACTAGAATTGGTTCTGAATTAAAGGCAATGATTGAGGCTCCTAAGGGATACTCTTTTGTTGGAGCCGATGTTGATTCGGAAGAGTTATGGATTGCATCATTAGTTGGAGATTCTGTGTTTAAGTTCCACGGTGCAACTGCTCTAGGCTGGATGACATTAGAAGGAACAAAAAATGCAGGCACTGATCTACACTCCAAAACTGCAGATATTTTAGGGATTCTGAGAAATGACGCTAAAATTTTCAACTACGGTAGAATATATGGAGCTGGTATCAAATTCGCAACCAGATTGCTCATGCAATTTAATGGGAAATTGAATGAATCACAAGCTTTTGAAATTGCTACTAAATTGTATTCGAAGACCAAAGGTATCGCCAGGTCATCTAAAATGTTGAAGGGTAAAGTGTACCATGGCGGTAGTGAGTCTGTTATGTTTAACCAATTGGAAACAATTGCCAATGAAGCTTCTCCTAGAACACCAGTCTTAGGTGCTGCCATTACTGCTGCTTTAACCAAAAAGAATTTGAATTCTCAACAATTTTTACCTTCTAGAGTTAATTGGACAATCCAGAGTTCTGGAGTGGACTATTTACATTTATTGATAATATCAATGGATTATTTAAGCGAGAAGTTCAACATCCCATTGAGATTAACAATTACTGTTCATGATGAGTTGAGATATCTTTGTAAAAACGAGCACAAGTATCAAGTGGCATTGCTCTTGCAGATCAGTAATTTGTGGACGAGAGCAATGTTCTGTCAACAGGTAGGAATTAATGAGGTTCCTCAATCCTGTGCATTCTTTTCTGAGGTTGATATTGATCATATCCTAAGAAAGGATGTTAATATGGATTGTGTTACTCCTTCGCAACCGAATATTATACCACCTGGTGAATCATTAGATATACTATCACTTTTGGCTAAATGTCAAAATGGAGATTTCTTAAGAGAAAACAAAGATTTTAAATATGATTTTTCTGCTATTCCCTTTGAAGAAGAACCAAAGGTGTTAGACCTATTGGAGAAGCGCTACCCTGAAGACAAATTTGAGAATTGGTTGGCATTGCAGTGTGCATTCACGTCACAGCAATTTCAACTGACTTTGAAGTCATTTAATTCTTCTGGAGCTGTGGTGGAATCTATCAAGCCAACCAAGGTATCTAAAAGACCGAAGAAATCCACAGCTACAGCGACCATTAAATCTCTTAAACCAGGAAACACCAAAACGAAAAAGAAAGACGTACAGGAGTTTTCCAAACTTCTCACCGAAGAAGAAAGGAAGTTAGAGGTCCAATTCGATGCTTTTGATAATGAAATTGTTGAGGATGGCGATAAATTACTAGAACAAATGCTTCTGGGATATGAATTTGCACTGAATGCAAAACGACGAAGTGCTATTCCCACTAGCGACAAATTGATTACTCCATCTACACATTATAGTAGAGGACATATGAGTAACCAACGACGGTTCATGCTGAAGTCGTATAGTAATAAAAAGTAAAACTTATCATCGCCTCACCTTGCTGAACGCTTTATTTGAAAACAACAACACAATTTTCAACTTATAATTGATGTATTACCGAATACGTCATTAATCTTTTAAGTTCAAATTTATTATCAAAAGAAAATCAACTAATAATTGATTGGGCCTCACTTCTTAATGCAGTGTTGCCGACTAAATCTAATTGGCACCTTTTTGTGGGGAGAATACAGTTCCCCTACTTTATATGCAACTGTCCTGATCATTGAGTACACATCTACTTGATTTCTTTTCAATCTAATTCTCCAGCACTGCTGTACATACTGTGCTTTGGATCGATCCACTAGCGGCTACCTGCCGTTTATTTTTTATACCATGTTTTATAGAGCTAGTACGAAGTTTATGATTATAATTTACGATTTATTTTAATTGGTGAAATGTAGATTCCGTTATTGTATATTTGAGCTGGAATTGAACGTTTTGGTAATAAAAGAGGTTACAGACGGAGAAAACAGCACAGACGGGTATACTTTTCAAATACAACTGAGGATTAGATAAATTCACGCTGAAATAGATATTTACCGCCTCGAGATTGAAAGGTTAGATCCGTTTTACTATAACCGACTAATACTTTATTGCCAGTCATTACTATTTATAGAGTAGGTAATATTGGTATCTATCCTGGCAATCAGAAAAAATAAGACCAAACAAATACGCTCGACTTGGAGTGTCTCTCGGCTGTTCAGTACGAGATCGATCCGCATAAATGCGACTACATAGCGTTGGGCTTACGTATCCTAGTAGCTTGTAAACATTATCCTGTCAAATTTATATGTGTAGCTTGTTTGGTACTCCCAAAGCAGCATTTTTATCATTGGGTGTACCGATGTTCAAAAGTAGTTACAAACCTTCTCTTTTAAGTAAGATACATTCTTATACTGCATAACTAAAAAAAATAATGATAATAGAAAAACCAAAACATCGGACCAATTGAAGATAAAGCGAACCAAGCATTTTTTCCACGCCCACTGGGCAAAAAGACTCAAAGAAATAAAACTCAAGAAGTTACAGTTAAGAAGTTACAGTATATTTTTTAACACCTTTAAATCGGAAATACTTTAAGTAGAAACTGAGTCAATGTTGGTGGAAATAATTTTGACGGAAATTACTCGGACATTTTATTTTTTTTTTTGATTGAACAATAGGAAAAATGTTTATTGCACTCGGTTCCTGGCTGCATTGAACCGACTTTACCGTGCGGGAATATTTCAGCCATACGCTAGTTGCATCTTAATTGCATTAAGCACATCAGTAACAACTGAGTGACAGAGGAGTAGCATATATAAGGGAAAGTAAAGCAAATAGCCTCCGAGAATCGTAATCACCCTTCTCTCTATACTCCACTCTCTAATCGTGTCTCCAATTTTGAGCGGGCAAAAGCCTTTCCATCCAAGATTATTGGGGGTCCACTAAGCTCTCATACAGTACACCAGCTCTGGTTATCCTCACATATTTTTTTGCGACTTTTCCACTTTTATGCAATTTCGCACTATCCGCTTGCTCCGATTATATTACACAAAAGCCAACGTTGCATCCCGTCCAATGAAATGTCACCTGCGACATAATGTAATATGCTGGCGAACCTCTTCCCCCGATAATATTTATACTTTGACATCCCGACGAAATTATGTATATAAAATTCCTTTCTCCCTTCTTTTCTTTTGTTTTTTTTTAAAAATTTCCTCTTCTTCTTTTCTTTTTTAGTCAACTTTACACTTATTTACAATGTTGCCAAGAGGTGTTATTTTGGTTTTCGTCTTAATCTTCTTAGTCGCTTGCGGTATTCTTGCTGTGATCATCAACAAGAGACTTAAGGCTAAGAAGGCTAACCAAAGATTTTAAGTCTTTTGAAAATGGAAAATTAAGAGGAGATAATTGAAAGAATTTAGAGAATGAAGGCTGATATTGGAATGTTGAAAACTGGACTGATCATAAATAATTATTAGTCACTAGGTTTCCGTTATTACTGCTATTTTTCAAACAAGATTACTCCACCCTATCCATTGCTGGTATGCTGATATAAAGCTACAAACAACCACTATAATGCGAAACCATATACCAAAAAAACCCAAAAAAAACAACAAAAAACACTTAAATGTTGTTATCTATTAATCCAAACCACCTTTTTATATCTGTGAAATCTTTTTATTTTATTTTTTTTTAATACCTTGACGGGACTTTTTAATGGGAATCATTTCAATTACGGGCCAATTGTTTTACTTTATAAAATTTAATACTTGAATATTTTCTAAAATCCTTAAATAACTAACTTTGCGGGAGGTTAGTTGTTTTTAATACCTTTTATAAAGTTTTAGATGATATTTATTTATATTTAATAAAGTATATGTACTTCCAAAAATCAACCAATATTGTAAGCTTAAACTTATAGCGATGCAATTGCAATGGCCAGTAGTGCTAGGTTGTGCTAGATTAGCCCTTCGCTTGTACGCATTAGCTCATTCCAAAAGCCCTCTGCTGACACACTTTTCAATATTATTGTTTCCCTACAGAAAAATATTTTTTGAGCGAAAAGGTAAACATTTACGAAAATTTCCGAAAATTTACAATGCATGCAGCAGTGTGCATATGGGGAATTGGGGGAAAAGCCCTGAGAACCCAAAAGGTTGCATACTAGAAGCTCAGTACTTTCTGAAGAAGTCCATGTAAAAAAGTAGGCATATTAAGACTAAGTAAAAATTATTTGACTGTAAGCAATTCTCCCTGACTCTCGATATATTCTCACTCATGGATGTTCTGCTTCCTCTGCTTCTGCAAGGGATTCATATCTCTCTAACTCATCATCTTCAGCACCCTTCAAATCCTCAGATAATTCCTGTATAAAGCATGATTGAATAAAGGTTGCAATACCAATGACTCCCAATATCCACCAACTGACTTCTGCCACTCCATGTGCATTGCACACCGAGATGAGCCAACCCCATATCAATGGGCCCATACATCTAGCTAATGATGATAAACTTAGGGAAGTACCATTGACCAATGCTCTGTGTTCTGGTGGAGTTGCTCTATGCAACAACAAAAAGGACTGAGGGAATCCTAGTGCTGAGGCAATTGTACCAAATCCAGCAACAACGTAAAGGAGTACAATGGATACCCAAGGAGGTATATTTTCATTATATCCATGTAATGTAAATATTAACATTGGTATTATAAAATGTACAACTGGGTAGAGTAAGGTGGCCACTCTAAAGCTGTTAACTGTCGATATCCATCTATCCAAAAATGGGTAAATGAAAAGTGTGAATAATACTCCAAAAAAGCCGGTCGACGAAAGTAATGTACCAATAGTATCTGAATGAAGACCAAACCCCCCTGACATTTTGAATGGGAATTCTAAACTATCTCTCGTGAACTTACTTGCTAATAAAACGGGAAAGAATTCCAGCATAACGATCATTAGAAGCGAAATTAAAAATGTAGCCAATATCGTCTCTATAACAGGCTTTGTAAATGTTTTAGAATTGAAACCACTTGAAGCTGTTGGGTCGTATTCACTGTTTTGTGTGACAAAGGACATCACTCTACTTGATGTTCTTGAAAGGCCAGTTGAGCTTCTTCTGACATTTGACAGGATTCTGGTGGCTGGTTCAAAGGAATTAATTGAAGCCTCTTCCAAGTCACAATCTAGTGAATCATATATGCCTGCATCTTCTACAAGCAATGGTTGTTCCTCTTGATTAGTCGACTCGCTTGGCTTTCTACTCTTTAACTTCTTTTTCCAGTATCTGGTTGGCACTTGATACCCCAATTTCCGTAATATAGCGTCTCCGATTTCTAATCCAAAATCTCTCCTTTTCTTATGTCTCTGATGAGTCTCTTCAAGGAACAAAAACCCAGCAACTAGACCAAATACGAGAAATGTCGAAACAACAATATTCGACAATGCATATGGATATGAATTAAGAAAACATCTGTAAAAATGCCCGAGACCAGTTTCGTTTTTTATCAACGTTCGAACAGACTTTCCTACGACATTTCTAGGTTTAGTCAAATACTTGGAGCCACCAATTAATGGGCCAATTACCGAACCCAAATTCCAAAGCAAAGATAGCGATGAAAATGCCATCGGTTGATGCCTTCTTTCAGTAGCAACCTCTCCAATCATGGTTCTAATTACAGCTATATTACCACTGAAAACCCCAGCAAGTGACCTGGCGAACAATGCCACATAGAAATTAGGCAGAAATCCGAAGATTAGCATCAGAATGGTAGTCATAAGCTGCCCAAACAAGATAACTGGTTTCCTTCCAATGTGATCTGAAAGCTTACTCCAGTGTACGCTCACTAAAAATTGGAAAAACGCAAATGAGGATGCCAAGTAACCACTATAAGTTGAAATATCGTGTTCGTCTTTTGCAATTCCAAAGTCTCTAATCATAAAGTATACGTATGGGAACATCGAAGTAAAGGCAATAGGCTCTGAAAGTCTAAATGTACTAATTATACTCATCTGCCATACTGGAAATCCTCGAAAAAGTTCCGATATTGACTCCTTCTGTTGTGCCATGGTTTTTTCAATGAGATCAGCAAAAGAAGAATATATTGAGGAATACTACTCCGAAATCTTGGATTTTACTGAAAGACTCATATATGTATGATCTCGCTTGAATTAAAGTTTGGAGCAATCGTGCATACAGGAAGTCTAGAAGAAGTAGAAATTACTCATCAGTAATGCTAGCAAACTATGACTAAACCTTAAGTGTTAGCGCCACAGAAACAGGAAACAAATTTAGGATTTCGGGCACATAACAGGCCAAGAAGTAGTACAACTCAGGTTGTAAGTTTTATGGTAATGTTTAGTTTTAGCCAGTTTTAGCTATATAGAATGCAACCGCTTACCGACTTGGTGGGTTCAGTGCGGAATTGATATCGGTTGCAACCTTAAAAAAAGAAACGGCGAGAGCTTATTTGGCTGCGAAAAACTCACACAGAGAGATGCATAGATAGCTATAAATATATGGGTTTATTGATGTCTAATAACTAACGCTAATTGAAAACTCTGTAATAAGTAGGATTAGGATTAGGATCAGTATTAAATCATTAATAATACTAGTGTTATGATGGGTATTATTCTTCATTATTATTATTATTATTATTATTATTCTTCTTCAATATCTTCAATGGTTTTCAAATCTTCGTTGTATTCCTTCATTTTAAACGCTTGAACGCATCCAAATAACGCCATGACAGAAAGTAACCACCAACTTAATCCACCTAGAGAGTAGCTGTCGAAGAAAGAAATGAGCCAACCCCACGTTAATGGTGCTATGCATCTTGCCAATGAAGTTAAACTTAAAGTGGTACCGTTGATTAAAGCCCTATGTTGAGGTAATGACGCTCTATGGATTAGTATAACACATTGTGGAAATGCAGTTGCGGAAGCTAAAGTCGCGACCGCAGATAACAGATAAAGCAGAACTTTGGAAACCCATGGTGGAATGTTAGGGTTGTAATCATGTAAAGTAAATATTAAAAATGGCAAGACAAAATATACGAATGGGAAAATTGACGTTGAGACCCGGAACCCTACTATAGTTTTCAAGTGTCTATCCATCATGGGGAAAACGAATAAAACGACCAAAACTCCAAGGAATCCAGTAGTGGAAAGTAATGTCCCGATGGTGTTTGAATCATATCCAAATCCACCGGTGATTGTAAATGGAAATTGTAATTTATCTTTCATAAAGTCTCCAGCCAACAAAACCGGTAAGAACTCCAGAAAAACAAGTTGTTGGAATGACAACAAGAAGTTTCCTGTGATTGTTTCTACAACAGGAGGAGTGAAAGTTTCTCTGTTAAACGCACTAGTATTGGTTTTGAAATTTCCTTCGTTTTCCGTGGTGTCGGTGAAAATAGAGTACGCATTACTGGTACTTCTGGAGAGCGTTGGCCGAGTATTGAGATTTGAGGAGAATCTTCTGATAAATGCCAGGGACATTCTTCTCGTCATAGGGCCAATTGATTCAGCTGAGTCGATAGAAGCTGATTCTAATAATTGCGTTGGATCATCAACTCTTGAAGCCACCGACTCCTCATCATCCAAGTCTGAGTACAATGGATCGTCTACGTCAAAATCTGCAGAAGTGGTTAACAAAGGATCATTTTCTGTGGGTATGGAAGTTGGGACAAGAGTAGAACCTTCAGTTGAGTCTACTTGATCAGCTCTGAGGTAAGTACTACGCTTCTTACTGACTTTATTCTTACGTCCCCTTTGCCAAGGTCTAACTGGAATATCATACCCTAACTTACTACGCAACCAATCACCTAGTTCTAAACCAATGTCCCTTCTCTTTCTAAATTTATAATGTGTTTCTTCGAGAAACAAAACTCCCATTATAAAGCTGAAACCAAGAAACAATGCTACAACTACATTAGATAAGGCATAGGGATACTTATTCAAAAATCTGTTGTAAAAGTCGTCCTTGTCATGTCCTATGTCCCGACTGTCGCGATTTGGTCTCGTTAAATATTTTGACCCACCAACTAATGGGCCCAAAACGCTACCGAAATTCCAAAGCAATGGAAGAGTAGAAAAGGCCAAAGCTTGGTGCCTTCTTTCAGTAGCAATTTCTCCAATAACAGTTCTCAAGACGGCAATATTTCCATTAAGAGCGCCCATAAGGGATCTTGCTCCAAGCGCGACATAGAAGTTCTTAGCGAACCCAAAAATCAACATCAGCAGACCGGTACCAACCAAGCCAAACAATAGAATAGGCTTCCTTCCAACTTTATCAGATAACTTACTCCAGTATACACATAGTAAGAACTGGAAAAATGCAAATGACGCGGATAAGTAACCCGTGAACGCTGAGATATTCGCATCGTCCTTGACGATTCCAAAATCTCGAATCATAAAATAAACATATGGGAACATCGATGTAAATGCTATGGGTTCAGAGAATCTGATCAAACAGACGACAAACATCTGCCAAGCAGGGAAACCCTGTAATGATTCACCAGTCGATCCCATTCCAAAATAATGCTAATGTTCTGCAAATATTTCCTACTATGAATAATAAATAAGTGAGGATTTTGCACAATTTACTAAGATATACACCTCCAAAATTCGAATCCTTAAGCAGTATGACTAATTTCTCAAAACCTAAAATTTCGAGGTTGGTCCCAGTAGTTTTTGGTATTGATCTTCCATTTTTTTGATCACATAATTTACCTTTCCCACATTGTGCAGGAGGATAAGCCATAGTTTTTAAAAATTAGCTATGGGAAGATAACGTCATCCAGACGAAATATTTTTCTGGTCTTTTTGGAATAGAGTTGATTGATGGAGGTATGAAATGAGTAAAAAGTCATGAAAGATATAAATCAAATTCCATTTTCAAAATTCCATCATTTTTGACGTTTTGTTTCTAATTTCACTCATTATCAATGTATAAGATGTAAATTATTTTTAGTTAGCCCGTATGCAACCTTCGATGAAGTGTGCATACAACGGCATTTTTCTCACGCCGTTACGTCAGAGTTTCTTAGGGGAAGAAAAAAGGTTGCAAAATAGAAGACAGTGTGAATGGTTGCGAATTTAAAGAGGGCAAGAGAGCCACCATCACTTCTTCGAAAAAGCGGTACATCGCAAAGCTGAGATTGATGCGAGGTCGATGTTGTTCAGATTGATTTTGTAGTACTACTAGAGTTGATGCATTTCCGCTGTGTAACATACTATATGCCAGTTCTTGTTTGCTGTAATGTGAGTAAATTCTCTTCCCAAATGTTTAATATGTATGTATGTAATATATAAATCTAATATGTATAGTCCACTTCCTAATTAATTATGGCCTAATGTACAGTTTGCTTCGCTAATCTTCATAATCTTTCATCATGTAGGACTGGAAAGTCCCGACTAATGCCAAAAGAGCCATTACCCACCAGAGAAGCCACCCATGACCTGCTTTATCCCCCACACTCATCAAGTACCCGAAGACAACTGGCCCAGTACATCTAGCCAATGCAATAATACTCATTGTGCTACCATTGACGTACGCCCTGTGTTGCTTTGGGGCCGCCCTATGGTTCAACAACATAATCTGTGGCATCCCGGTGGCACTTCCTAAAGTCTTCAAGGAAGTCAAGGAATAGAGAACACATGGGGTAACCCAAGTTGGGAAACTTGGGTTATACTCGTGCAAAGTAAAGATACTCAATGGCACTATAAAATAGACAATAGGAAACATCGATACTGATAACCTAAATCCATTAATTGTCCCTAAATATCTATCTATAATAGGGAATATTGTCAATACAATTAACATCCCCATTATACCCGTACTGGAGAAAAGTTGACCAATATATGATGCTGTCAAGCCAAAGCCTCCTTCGATCTTGAAAGGAAATTCCAATTTATCCGGCTTGAATCTAGAAGCCAAGAAAACTGGCAAAAACTCATTGTAAGTGACACTATGCAAGGAAATGATGAAATTTGAAGTAATAGCAGTAATAACCGCAGGGGTGAATGCAACAGAACTATCTTTCTCGGTAGAGGCTCTTGATACTACTGAACTAACGTTGGAATCACTCTCATCATTGCTTACAAGTAAACGGGAATTTTCGTCCAATAACTCACTCTCCATATCAGTACCACTTGTAGAGTCCCCCCCAGCACCTTCTGGATCAATGCTTTTGTTCCAAGGTCTTATGGGCGGAGTTATGCCTAATTTTTTAAGAAAAATATCTCCCAATTCAACACCAAGGTCCTTTCTATACTTAAATTTCTCATGAGTCTCTTCTAAAAATAGTATTCCACAAAGTAGAGAGAACCACAAGAAAAGTGCCACTACAATGTTGGATAAGGCATAAGGGTACTTATCCAAAAATTGATTATAAAATGAGCCAAGGTTTTCTACCTTTGGCTCTGGGTGATATGGGTTATCCATTTTTGGCCTGGTAAGGTATTTAGAACCACCAATTAACGGCCCGATGACGCTACCAAAATTAAACAACAATGGCAAGGTGGAGAACGCTAATCCCTGATGTCTTCTTTCAGTGGCAATTTCACCAATCATTGTTCTTAAGACAGCAACATTCCCATTCAAGGCACCGGCCAAGGATCTTGCAGCAACAGCCATGTAGTAGTTCTTAGAAAAGCCAAATAAAATTAGCGAGATTGAGGTTCCGAAAAGTCCAAATAGCAATATAGGTTTCCTTCCAAACTTTCTGTCTCCCAATTTTCCCCACTGCATGGCGAAAAGGAACTGACAAAAAGCAAAGCATGATGCAAGGTAACCCGAATACTTGGAAATGTCTTCTTCCCTCTCAGCGATGCCAAAATCTCTAATCATAAAATACACATACGGAAATAGTGACGAAAATGCAATAGGCTCTGAAAATCTGATGATGCAAATAATAGTCATTTGCCAGATAGGGAAACCACGGTACTGGTCCCTAAAGGAACTGTTTGGTGGCGTCATGATAACTATCTGAGTAAATAAATATGTATATTTATCTGTAAACGATATAACCTTGTAAAGAAAGAAGAAAGAGAAGAAAAACGTCAAATATTTTTTTAGAACTGTGTAATCTCGCAATTGTATTGTATTAAAACCGAATCAAAAAAAAAGAAATCACAAATTTGATGTCGTTATCGCATCAATCTATCAAACCTTAAAAGAGAGTTTAGCAAACAGGTTTCTTCGCACAGTTAAACATGACGGGAACCCGCAGCTATTCTGAAAGGTGAGCTCGCATCAGGACTCAGACGGATTCTGCCACACACTTAGTGGCTCTATTTTACCAAAAATAAATTTGTGTGGTACGGACAAATGTGTCAAAATCACATCAAAAATAAAACGGCCGAATCGGAGTCGGTCCGAAAATATGTACACTGTTTTTCCCCAGTGAGTGACCAAATGCAATTCTTTAACATAGATATGGATCATTGAAAGGGTGACATTATATCTCAAATACATTTAAAAGTCTCTTGCATTGTATGAGGTCGACTGTAGGAATGTATTTCGCTCTGTAGTTTGCAGCATTGCGCCCGAGCTAACAAATGTGGGCTTGTTATTTCCCTTGTTCTTTCTATACTCTTGTTCTCTCAAAACCAAATTAATGCAGGTGAGGATCATGGTATTCTCAGATATCTCATCTCCATCGTTCCCACCTACGTCTAAGCAATTGATTGTGCAATGTCTTACAAGCATTGACCCAATTCTTTTGTCTCCATTATCTATATATGTCGCAAATGGCACATTAACTAATTGCCTAGCTTCGTTCATCAAGCTCGAAAAGGCAAGATGATTGAATTTATTTGAAATAAGACTCTGCGCCAATCGATTGTCTTTGGAAACATTGACTTTGATTGTCTTGATAATATTCTGATTATTGAAATTAGCTTGAAGCCCATCAGATAAGTTTGGTGACGAGCGTTCCATAATAAGCGTTTTTAATCCAAAAGTCGAAGTTGCTCCTGAAACACCAGTAATTCTAACTTTGGTGCCCTGGAATTCAAAATCTACCGAAGGTTTGTATGAGTTATTATTTAAAAGTATTACTGGAGAGTTCTGATTTTCGAATGACACCATTCCTTTTGCAAAGACAAGAATATAACAGGTCAATTTGTTTTCGAGAATTTTGTAATACACTTTACAGTACTCAACTTTGGTCCCAGTGACCGTGTCGTACTTGTAGATCACCATAAATGGTGAATTTTTCTTGAATAGTCCTAAAACTGGTACAGAAGTATGTAAGATCGGATATACAGGGGTTGGAGAATGTGATGCAGTATCGCTCAATTGGGATTTATATCGTTGCAAGTCTTCCACAGACTTGAATACCATTGCGCCTGGGTACATGAAGTGTGACACTACAGGGAACTCTCTTCTCTTGGTGAAGCTAGAAATCGGCGTATTGAAAATCTTGGTGCTATTGTATATAGTTTCATCGGAACCATTTGTAGTTAAAGAATGCAAATCTGAGTTTGTACCTGTATCAATATCTCCGTAAGCTGGAGGTGTTGCACCCTGGGTATCATCATTCACTAGGGTAGATAAGGTTTCCTGGCTAAGTCTACGAGGAATTCTTTGAGATAAAGGATTCTGCGCGGTGTGTTCACTTTGACCACGTGACGAAGAGTTTAGCATGGCCTTAATACTTCTCTGCGATGTAAGCTGCAAAATTTAAGGGCCCTAGCTGGATCACATCGCTAGGACCAATCTTATAGTGTGCCATAGAACAGGACTGAAAAAAATTACAAATGCAAAAAAAAAAAAAAAAAAAAAAAAAAAAAGGGAAGAAAAAAAAAAAAAAGATCGAGTTTATTTAAGCGAGAACAGCTTGATTACCTTTGAAAAACTGTAAGTGTCTGGCTCAGGGTGTCAGTTGAAGATCAAGTCGAGAATTGGAAGAATGTGATATTCAACATCTCTTTTCCACGGAAAACGGAATCTGGTACCTGCAGAACAGCGGAGAAAGTCCAATGCAAGGAGACAAAAAGGAGTAAGCAACTAACAAGGTAACCACCCTCATCATATTCCTCACATTTGACTCTATCTTGATTAGGGAATATTTTTACCTTAATTTAGTGCCTGAATCTTCGAATTTCAACTCCACTTCATGCAAGCCAAATCAAGCCCTCGGATAATAATTCAAGCAGCTTCCTCGTAATCCAACTCTGCATTGACGTTTTATGTTGGAATTCGCAGCTGCTTTGGAAGGCAGCCTCGAAAATCAGAAATGTTGCAAAACGAGAAATATTTTTGATGTTCCTGCTGAGAAGTATCCAATCTACATGCAGGTACATGGTTAATTGAGCCCAGCGATTGACCAACAGTCACTGTACACTAAAAAATTTTTAGGAGCGCCAGAGAGCGCCAAAGAGCGCCACTAACAACAACAAACAAACAAAAAAAAAAAAAAACTGCGCTTGTAATTCAAAAATTAACGTGTCTTCAAACAAAGAGTTGTTGAAAGAGTATTGTTTTTGACATAAATAAAGAAAAATCGATACAGACATAAGGTAATTCGGGTTAGCAAAGCAAGATCAATATGACTGACGTTTTTGAGCATAGAAAGACGGGCTCCATATCCTCTATTTCGAGTGATGAAGAGACTCGTGAATTAATTGAAAGTTTGGAATCCGAAACAAAACGTAAACAATTAGAGCAAAGCTATAGTAAAGTTGATGGTAATGAGAAAACGCTAGAGCCTACAAAGGGAAGCCAAATCAACGCCATTGACACGAATACTACTAATATACTTGCCGATATATCCAGTGGTAGTGGAGCTGGTCCCTCCTCGACTAAGACTGGAGCTGCAACTGTGACTCTGGTCCCAGGTGGTGGTGGTGATGAAACTGCAACTGATATTGCGGCAACTCCAACGAGCTCCATTCCAATAAAAAAGCCCATCAAGTTCACCGTAAGAAAGGTTTCGCACGATTATGTTACCAGTCCTGAACCAAACTCTTATAATACCCGTAAATCATCAGGATCTAGATCAGGATCAGACGGAGGAGGTGTTGGCAATAACAGCCCGACCACAGAGTCATTGGCCACAATTCAATTGCAAGAAAATGTGGCCCATAGCCAAGAGAAGTATGATCAGTATTCAAAGAAGATTGAACAAATTCAGAAGGAAATTGTGTTTTTGCAAAATCTTTTACCCCCATATAACGTTACTGTAGATTATCAAACGAGAATAAAAATTACAAACGCCGTGGAAAAGCTTAAGATGAAGCGAGATGAATGGGAAAAGAAGAAGTATTCTTTGGGGATCACAATTAGTAGATTGTGGAGAAGTATGGATGATAACGATATATGGGTGAGATCAATGGGGAAACAGTAGACTGACCCCTTTAATAGAGTGGTACATCAGTATGGCTAGGATTTTTCAGGTCTCCAAATTTGTTCAAAATGACTTAAGATTAGAATCACTTTAGACTTGGCTTCCATTTCTACAGTGCCCAATCTGTCCATATCAAAATTCAGTCCGATTGGTTGGTTATTTGATATAAAATAGATACACAAGCATACCTGTGAGCCCAGGAACTGCTTGATGATGTTGGGCATATGGTCAGAGTAACCACATCTATTCAATGGGCACAGATCTGTAATGTTTCGGGCGAGTTTATCGACAACTTCGGTATTTTTCACTTTTCAAGTAACCTTGTTGGGAGACTTGAGCACTTTGGCCAAGAGACAGATATATATACGTGTTTTAGATTTCGAAGGCAGGAATATTCCAATGGTGCCAAGCACCAATCTACGACATATATAATTGCTCCTGGTAACCAGTTGCTGCTTTCCACCAACTACACTCGTGACAAGATTCCGTGTTTTCATTTATGCATGGATCATAGCTATTGCCTTTTGTAGATTCATCTACTGTCATTCATCCTCGAGAATGATGCTTGGACTATTTGGACGGAGTCTCGGACTTAAAGGTATTTCTATAAATTTATCATTTAGTCCCTTGCATGAGTCTTGACTGGAAAATGAGGTGGTTTTTCTTACATCACCTTTCATACTTATATAATAAATCATAATAAGAGATAATTTTTTTATAGTTTGCAATAATATTCTGCTTCTTTCTCCTTTCTATAACCAAGATAATGTTATACTAGAGCAATGTTATACCAAGAGCCCAGCGGATGACATTCGAGCGGAGATGTGGTTCCCTTGCTGCACTCTTCACGAGCCACCTTTTGGATACAATAGCGAAAAATAGAACAACAATGTACCTTTAGCTTCAATCGGGTTTATAAATGATCATTTTGCATAAAATTTTTCTATTGATCATGTCGTCTACGGATGTTATTGACCAAGAGTGCTATAAAATTTTCGTATTCTTATTTTTGGTTGAGAATCTGATGGTGAGTTGCGGGGTTCCAAAAACCAGAAAACACTACAACCCTTTCTTGAGCTCAGTAAATCTTCAAAGTAGTTTGGGAATGAAGCACAAGTGTAATGCAAGATACATCCCAATGTCATAGTGCATACGTGCATATGTGCGGGTGAGAATTCAAGAAATAGCTAAGAATAAGTAGCAAAGATAGGTAGTCAAGAAATGCAACTATCTTATGTAAGCGAGAGTCTCTCAACCAAAAGAGAATACAACAACATTAATCCATGGGGAGTCCTTTAACTAATAATAGAACTATTTTTAAGAATTTCATGTCAAAGTAGGATATTAGAAGTAATGCCGCTTTCAAACCTAAGTAGGACATCACAATCCTATTCAGCTATCATATGCTTTGAAAGATCAAAATTTGCCATATTTGGGCAGCTATACTATAAAGGTAAAAAATAAAAGGGAAAAAAAAAAAAAAAAAAAAAAATACCCAGTTCTATAGTAAAAAAATAAAGTAAATTGAAAAAGGGAAGCTGCCTGAGTGTCGGAATGTCGGATATCCAATTCACTGTATCTAGAGGGTGACATATGAACAATGGAGTAGAAAGTAGAAATAATAAAAATAAAATAGATTTTCATTTCTAAAAACAATCCACCTTCTCCAAAATGATCTCCCAATTTAGTTTATGCGAGTGGGGGTGTTTATCTTTCAAAACCCACCAAGAGAGTGCTATATGCATGTAATCAGAAAAAATATTCACTGTACCTCTGGAAAATATTAGAGTAATGTGTATCTAGAAAATTTTACAAAACCCGTGTTCCACCGAATGTAGCAAGTAAGCCTGGCAATGAAATAACATTATCATTACCACCTGAGCCCTGGTATATAATCTTATGTTGAATTAGATCTTTTGCGTCTCAGGGGAATACTCTTGCATTGGGAAAAAGTTTAAGAGTATGGGAGAAAGTTAAAGTGGAATGCAAGAAAAGCGGAGTTGGCTATTTTTACGGAAGAAGAGTAGCACAAGAAAACTAACAGCCTTATTTCACTGCTACACCTTTTGCAAGGGAATTTTAGGCAATATTTTCGTCAAACCTATCCTAGGCGCTTAAGAGCCATGCACCCTACCCCCACAGTTAGTCGTACTCAGCCCAATAGGATACGAATACACCCGCAGAAGAATCTGGTCCTAAGACCAGAAATTTTAGCTAAGATCAAGATTATACGATCTTTCTCATTACCCAACATTATTCTGGGGTTAAACCGAAAATAATAAAAACCACTTGGAGAAACGTGAAGCCCATGAATGAATGCAAAAATACAAAAAAAGAGAAAAAAAGAAATGCAAAAATTGACACTAATATTTGAATTAGGAATTAAAAAAAATAATAATATGAAGAATAATACAGCATTGAAATCATGTACAATAGCGGTGTTGCAAGTGGGGTTGTTTACCCCTTACATCTATATAGTCTAACTTTAACAACATAGCTCAAGTAGCATGGAAAAACTGTTAAGAAATTTAAACTTTTATTTCTGCAAAAAGTCACTTGCACCTTTTCGAAGATGCGGCTCAATATTTCCACAAGCGGCATAAAGTTTCTAACTACTACTAGCTACATGGCACATAAGTATATATGAACCTGCTGTACCTTAAGGGTTTTTGGAAGGGGAAAAAAGTGAAAATATAGAGCTTGATGGAACTGTGTTTGTTTTCCAGTAGCCATATATATTAACGAAAACTTATACCCCCATTATTCTATTGCATAATATTCGAAACATATAAATAGTGCAACCTATTCACAATATCTTGATTAAGACTATACTATTTATTTATTCATGGCGCCCCAAAAGAAATATATATGTGCCTTTTGTGCCAGAGCCTTTTCGAGATCTGAGCATAAGCAGAGACATGAAAGGAGTCATACCAACGAGAAGCCATTTCATTGCCAATACTGTACATCGGCTTTTGTTAGAAGGGATTTGCTTCAGAGGCACTGTAGAACAGTGCATAATGTGAATATGGTGCCGAACTCCAGCAGTAAACGAAAGAACTCAGGCATGGCAACGAGCCATTCCAATACAATGTCTAATGGTGCTTCAGGGACAATTTCGTCTCCGGTGTCACCGGAAGAGGAGGATGTGGCAGAAGAGCTTCACCATAGTAACCAAAATGTTCAGCCGCAAGTATCACATAGCCATGGAAGTCATTTTGCACACATCCAAGCCATGCAAACACCAGCACATAATGTAAGCAACCCCTCTCCTAATAATATGGTTGAGCCAATATTTAGCCATTATGGAACACCATTGGCAAATGGCCAAAACATAAGTACTTCCATGGCAGTATCAGCCCCTACACCTTTGAATTCTTCGTATTCAAAATCAGCATCCTCAGACTTGGAAAAGAAAATTGTGCAAAGTTTATCACTTTCCAAGAAGTTAAACTTTGTATTATCAAATTTTGAAAAGATATCATACCTCCAATCGAAGGACATATCCAAAATTCAACTCATAGCATCAAATTTCAATTCTTTATTACCCTCAGATATGAATTTATCTAAGCCATTAGATAACTACTATTTATCTTGGAATATCTTCAATAAGTTTAAGTTACCAATTATTGATACCCTCAGCTCGGAGATTGATGAATTTATAGAATCATTTTCTAACCTGTCATCCATTTCCTTGATCACAAAATTTTACACCAAATTCAATGAGTATACCAACGAGCTTCATTTCAGTGCTTTAGACAACCAAAAGATCTTAAACATAGAATGTAAGATCTGTTTGTTATATGCCATCTTGTCCATCGGAGCTGCTATTTATAACGATGGTCAAGACTGTGTGCAATTATTTATGAAATCCTGGAATTTATTGTTGACCAATTTAATTCCAAGATTAAACGACAACACTAAAAGCGTTGATTCTTTAACGGACGCAGAAAACCCCACTTCATCTATCCCATTATCTTCTGATATTATCAAAGACCAAATCCAAATATTGAAGAACCTCTTCACCTTAGCGTACGTCTGCTTTAACTTAGATCTGAACTTGAAGGAAATTAGTGCTAACACTTTAAATGGGGATTTGATTTTCAATTATCTTGACGACATTAGTTATATCATCATGTCTCATTTAGAAGAAAATAACAATGTGAACAACTATAACTTGAACAAAGAGAAAAGTTCGAGATCGTCGTCATCTTCATCTTTAAATTCCGCTGCTAGAGTTCACATGGAACAACTGCCAGCCCCACTTTCCGCAACTGTCTCTGAGGGAGACATATCAGAAGCAGCACTGTCATTTTCTACTTCAGCAGATGGTAAAATTATTGATGAAAACTTGAACTTATTTTGGTCCATCTACATATTGTTATCCAACTATTTTATGATAAACAATCATGCTCCTCCTAAGATCTATAGGTACTTGTTAAATAAAAAGTTAACTGGTAATGAGACTTTGATGAATATTATGGAAAATTTGACCAAATCGACTGTTGCAAATGATTCAAATTTTAACAATGAAATTATCCTGTTGACCTTATCAAATGAGCTACAAAGCTATATTCATTACAATGAGATGTTCCTTTACAAGCTGAAAAGCATCTTACACAACTCCATAATTTTCACCAATAGATCGTTGAACGATTTAGCAATTGGAAGTAATAATAGTAATAATTCGAGTGGGGATGACCACTACGTATTTGAAATGTTTAAAAAGAAAATGATTGTTAATAGCCCAACCAAATACCAAGGGTTGCTTAATAGTTATATCTTTTATCCTTCACAAAACTTCAATTGGAATTTACTCTACATTTCATTAAAGGAATTCAATTTAGAAAATTACATGACCTGTAATGATGTTACCAATAATGGACGTGGAACAATTTACTCCAAATTTAAGTTCAATGACTTTTTCCAAAAGTTTTTCCATGATTTCGACATTAAACTTGATGTTGAAATCGATATTGAGAATAATGATCAATTTAAGAAGGATCAATACTTACAATTCATCAAAAACTTACTACCATTTTTTACCAAAACGTTTAATACCGAAGGTAATAAAGATGACTGTAGTGATTTTGACGGATCTGAAGGTGGTTTTGAGATGAAGAAATCTTTCGTCGAAGTTTTGAACAGAAATAGTATCATTAATAATAATTTAGGTATCTCATCATTACCCATTTTGTTTAACTATCAGTTCATTAAATTGAACCCGGAATTAATGAAGTGGAGTAATCTGTCAAAGTTAAACAACTTCGAGAAAAAAAGATTTAACTACTTATTGATTGAGTGGTACTTGACCATAATTAAACTCATTATTGGATTGAAGAATGATTCGAACGTCTACGTTAAGAGGAAAGGACACCAGCACTATAGAAGTTCACTGCAAGACAGCGTTGAATCAATGACCTCGAACGCGAGCAGTAGTTCTGGTAGTTCGAGAAATAACAGTGACAATGAGTATTCACTATCAAACAATTATATCTTCCAATGCCTCATTTACATCATTAAAGAAGTGGGTGGTAAATTCAAACTCCCCAACGGAAATTATTATCAGTTGAGAGATTTTGAAGATTGTCTCAACTTTGAAAATGATGAGTTTAAGATGAACGACGATATAATTTATTGTATATTGAAAAATCTTGATATTATTTTAGAAGATTGGATTAGTATGGTGAACATAAACAGCCAGGACATTTTTCAATCAAATGGGTTTAGGAACATGAAGAAGTTTGTCAATGAATACATATATTCCCAATTATATCTTGCCAAGGGAATGAATGAAAATACAAACTATTACAAAATCCCTCACAGAAATCTGGTTAATGCCGATGGTATTACTATGAATCTGGATAATTATGTTCTTGACGGACAAGATCCAAAGGGACCACGGCAATTAGAATCGGTAAAATTGGCTTCGAATTCACAGACTTCTACTATGACAATGAAATCTCAAATCCAACCATCGTACCTTTATCAACAGAACGTATACCAACCCATTACGGCTCCTTCTCAAGTTCATTTGGTGCAGCCTCACCATATGGTTCAACACATTCCATATTCACACCTGCTGCCACCCCAGCAACATCATGGCCAACCTCAAATATCAAGATTACACCTGCAACAACAACTGCAACAGCATCTGCAACAACCACAGCTGCAACAGTTCCATCAATTTTCTCAGCAAAATATTGGACAACAAACTCAGACACAAAATTTGCAGCAATTGCCAAGTCTGTTGCACGATCGGCGCTCATTCAAAGAAGTCATCCTTCCACCAATTCTTCCTCCTCTATCGAATCAGTATTCATACAAAGAACAACTCCATCACCAGCTGAGATTTCAGTTTCCGAAGAGACAAGAAGCAGTTAACAAACAATAGCTAGAAAAAGTAACTATGAATTGTATGTATTTAATATAGATCATCATTTTAGATTAAGTAATCATGATTAAACGTAGCCGAGGAATTGTACCAATTAGGAAATACTTCCCACTTTAAATTATGAGAGCAGTTTTGAAAAATAAGAATCTGGAGAAAAACATGGAGAAGGCTTTCAAGGTCCTTCTTCTATACATCGATTATGGCTTGGAGTTATACGCCCATTTGCATAAGGTTTCTTCCAAAATATAACGATAAGCTTATCGCAGTTTCAGGGATTTTCTTGGTACTTAAAGATGAAAAAGATGACATTATAGATAAAGCGTTCTTATCCATCTGCAATTTAACGAATGCGGAAATGGAATCCAAGTATAATATCTTTGTCTCCGCTGGCGGACTAATAAACGAAACAGAACTAAAATGGGTGCCAGTTAGCTTTGATTTTTATTCAAATATCTTCAACAAGAACTCAAGTACTTCAGATAAGTTATACACCTCAATTAAGTATTTCACTCTGCATGGATTCAAACTAATACCATTCGAATCAAGAGGGAGCCAAGACGTCGATTTTTTGTATGGAGTCAAAATTGCAGGATTCAAAATGAATTCTGCCAATTTCGAATACTTTTCTAGGTCAGTTAAGAACTCCTTACAGGTGATACTGTTTCGCGGATCAGCTATTAACTCTAACATTATAATCGAAAGTTCTCCATTTAGTTTTACGAACCCTGCACTTTTCATCAACTTTGTTTCTCATGGTACTATCAACCTAGTCATATCACAAGATGATGAAAATGATGAGAGGGAATTAGGTTATATATCAGATACTAAGTACCTAGAGAATATGGTTGGAGGCGTAGTAAAAGTAGACGAGGTCAATTCAATTGGGTTGGTGCTTGGAAATGTGAGGAAGTTGAATGGTGATGGTGACTTGACCCTCATTTTATCGTGGAACACAATTCTCAGGGGACTAAAGGGAGCGAGAACCAGCGGTAGATTAGAACCTTCTCCTTTAGCATCCGAGATCCATTTCATAACGAATAACTTGCCTGAAAATGTGGCAGATAGTGAACATCGACATGGCACCAGTAAAGGTGTACTCGCGATAACAGTTGAATCTTCATCCCCTCATCGCCTGTACTGGGGATCTGGGGTCTTATTCGATAAGGAGACTATTATTACTAATGATCATGTTGTAAATGTAAATCTAAAACAAGCTAAAATCTCTATTTATTTGAGTAAGAATACGTGGATAGTACTTGACGCATTGACACTCACTGATAAGATAAACCCAGAGTCGCTGTCCGATCAAATTATCACTCCGTTCAACAATTTAGATATCTCTTTCATAAAGCTATCAAAACAAAATCAAAAAGTCATTGCCAGCATGGGTAACTTGCACCCAGTCCAGAAGGGACTTCCAGGAGACTACAAAGTTGGAGATACAGTTACAACTGTTGGGTTCGGGTTATTTTTGTCTAAAGCTATCTCACAACAACCGCTTTCTTCCCAAGGAGTAATATCATCTATTGCCAGATTTCCGATATTTGAGGGTACACCGTCGTCTGATATTACTCCTTCACTTATAGTGACATCATCCTCATGCTGGAATGGGTCGTCTGGAGGAGGATTATTCGATATTAAATATAATAAGCTACTAGGGATGATTTGTTCCAATGCAGAAGTAAATATTCCCGAAATACTATTCGATGGTCCTAGAAGCGTCCTTGCTAAAACCGAGAAGGTTTCCAAGTTTTCCTTGTGCATCCCGATTGAAGTAATTAACGAATTGAGTAATTATATTCAGAGGTGTAACAAGTATGATAAAATTAATAATAGGATTAGTAATGCGTGGAAATTATTACCCACCCATGAAGAGATAGAAATTGATACATCTGCCAGATTATAAAATTATACGCTAATATAGTACAAATAATATACATAAAAAAAGAATAAATAAATCAAAGCTACCTTATAAATTCTTCTCCACTGCTTGCTCTAACAGATCAACGACATTAGTTACAGCGTTGATATCATTACTTCTATTTCCATTATTAGCTGATGTCGACGCGGAGATGTTTGAATCCCTTTTGCTTTGATCCAAGGAATTTGAATCGAATCTACTAACCTCAAGTAGCGAAGAACATAGACCCGTTAACTCTAAAAGCTCACTTACTGAGTCAGACCGGAGATCATAAATCAATTGCTGGAAAGATTGAGACTTTATCACACTGATTGAAAGCTTATTTTCAATAAGAAACTTCATTAGATGCTTTTGGAATTTCATTGTGGTATAGGGAGCATTATCAAATTCCGTAGAAATGAACCTTCTACCAACATTGAAGTCAAGGTTATTTGTAGCTTGTGAGTTTGTAGGAAGCACACTATTGTTAGCAGCAGGATGCGACAGACCGAGTATGTGCTGCTGAAGTTGATGTTGAGAAAGCTGTGAAGGCTGTTGCATGACTTGATTTTGGTGCTGCAGCCGATTTAAAAGATGCAAATTCTGATGATAGGAGTCCTTTAACAAGGAGTTATTGTCACGTTTCGTGTGTTCACCACTCGTAGGTGAAGTTGCTAGATTTGAGTTTGAAACGGGGATTGCACCGGGAGCATGCCCATGACTGTGGCCATGATCATGACTAGGGCTAGGACTAGGACCAGGATGAGTTGAGAAATTAGCATTAGCATTAGCATAACTTAGCGGTAAGCCGTTTGGTGCATATGTGGTGCCATTTCCATCAACAGGGATTGGCCGCGAATTATTTATAGATTCTCTATTTAACTTATGAGTCTTTAAATGCTCACTTAGTTTCTTTGGAGATCCCTTATCCGAAGCAAGTCTAGTTATAATCTTCCCACAATAGTCACATGCAGCAACATTAGGGTCTTGAACGTCTTGAATGAACCAGGTCCATACCCATGATTTCTTTTTTGCTCCAAATTTCTGACCAGGTCTATTTTTACGCTCTCTTTTGCTTATTCGTACCGTATGTTGATTTTCAGCTTGGGGTTGAGCTGACTTTTGCAGCAACTTCAACAGTCGCTGCTGGTTAAGTGCTTGATCCGAGACTGGAGATTGTGTATGTAAGTTTGAATGTGGTGGAGCCACTGAAGAAAGCACTGTCTCACCGGAACTATTATTAGACGAATTCTGCTGCTGAGTTTGAAATGGTCTAACTTGGTTGTAAGAAGGGAACGCAAGTGAATTTGCACTCCCTCCGAAATAACTCATAAAAATCTATAGATGAAGCCTGGATGGTTGAGTGCTACAGATGAGTATTTGTATGATATAAGAAAGTTGAATCCTTTACACTTTCTTTCTAAATGCAATGTTATGTGTTTACCCCACATATAAACCGTCTTCGGTTACTATGGGTTTGATGTTTTCTTAGCTATCAATCATTCCGCGAGAGTCCTGCATATAAAAGTTCCTGATGAACTCTTTATCGTAGACAAAGAAAAAGACCAGAGTTTTGGTAATGACACGAGTTAGGAATAGTGAAACATGGCTGACGATTTGATTCGCAAATGGGTAAATACGATAGAGAGAAGTGGGAACAGTATCTCTCTAATACAAAACTAGAATACAATGTCTAGAGAAGAGTCCGAGGTTTTGGATTCGATAAGAATTGAATCTAACTCATTTTAAAATGCTACTGACTGTGTGTGAGATACAAAGCTGTGCTGCATTGATAAACTGAAGGTGGGACCATCCACCTGTTGTTGCATACCTTTGTATCATATTTGTTTCATTTGCAGCATACCAATCCTGATTTCTGTACATATTTACTGCTTGGCCAAGTCGAAGAATATGTCTTAAGATCTTTCTGGGGTGGGTTACTTCGTATCAGACCCTTCTGGGAAACAGGTCACGTGATAATATTTCCTTAGCAATACTTACCTGCCACGATAGTAAACCATATAGTGATGTGTATAACCCTATGAAATACCTAGACTTTGACTGTGAATAAGGTGGTTGTAAATGTTGCACTCGTAGCAATGAGAGCTAATCTGTATTCACAACAAGAGTAGCCAGGCGAATATGTAAGAGCTGCAGTTCGCTCTGTACAGTATTCCAAAACTCGATCATCAGTGTGCATGCTTATAAAAAAACCATCTTAACAAAGCTGGGTTTCTAATTGTCTCAAACCATTATAGATTATGTCCTAACTAACAGCATGCATAAATAACAGTTAATATATAGACCAGAGACCTCTGATTAGACGGGGAACAGTTTATATCTAAATCGTTATATGCAGGTGAAAATTTTATCTAAAAATGGCTGCAAATTCTGCATATAGATTAAATTGCAGCCATTTATCTAGTGTCTATCATATCACAGGTAGACTAATGGTTCATACTCCAGTGCTTGGTGTATAAATTCGTTGCCACTCTCATTGAAACATAAATTCACCTATCAAAAGTCAATGGGTGGCCATATGTATAATATCTCAAGATAAATAGAATAATTTTAAAAGTTTTACATGATATAAGTAAAACTTCTATACACTTCTTTAGCTTGCGTATTTGTGGTACTTATATACTACAATGTGCAAATTAGCCTTAAAAATCCATAAAAATAGATGATAATAGTAATAACTCGTCCAAAACAGAGTAAAGCGATTGCAAATTGCAAGTTTGGAAAGATAAGAAAGGTGAGAATGAGGAAGGAACCTAGCTAGCACTCATTAGGGTACCCAGAGCCCCGGAAACGACGAAATCCACAAAGACATCAAATTTAAGAAATCAAGGTCTTTAAGTATATCAGGGTATTCATTAGCTTCTGAATATTATATCTAACGTACTTTGGGCTCTCTGAGATGGAAATTGAAATCAAGAGGGTAGAGGTTTCAGAAGGCCATGCATTCATACTACAAATTCCTTAAAACGATAATCTTCTCAAGAAGAAGAAGAGCCCCTTTTCTTCTTGAGAAGATTATCGTTTTAAGGAATTTGTAGTATGAATGCATGGCCTTCTGAAACCTCTAAAATATTTTCTTTGGTTTGTGGTTTATCCACAAATGGGTTTTGTGTAGAAAAAAGTCGTTTTCTGTTCAATTTGGGGGACGTGAACGTGTTCAATATGTAAATCAACGAATTAAACAAGTTTAGCTCTTTTTGATTTGAAATTTGGGTTTCAATTTTCGAATGTACAAATCTGAAAAAACTTCCGAAACTAAAGGGGGGGGGAACATGGACTGGGTCTAAGAGAATATTTCAAAATATTTCAAAATTTCAGCCTTTAATGAAAGTTGAAGGTACAATTAGTTCTGGAATTGTCTTATTGTTTGCATGACAATCTGGGTTCGTTTCATAAGATCATTTTACTCTTGAAATGGTATTGGTAAGTGAGATAAAATGTTTTACGGCCTGCAGGATTATTACATCTCGCTGCAAAATTATACATTAACCGAGAGAATGTGTATTCACTGGGGGCTTGCAAGTATTTGTTTTATCACGTGAATGGCATGATTATCGTTCGATTAGCATATATACTAGATTTTAGAAAAGTATATCCTTCGATGGCCAAGGCTAACAATACATGCAACACCGTAGTATATTAAGTGAGATCGTGCATACTGAATGGAAATGTATTTTTCTTGACTGCCAACTTATTCTCATTTGCAAAGTGACGGCCCTAGCAAGTTGAAGGATGTTTTTTACTGCCAGTCGTCTCTTAAGGGTCCCATTTACACTTCAAAAGAAATCAATCAACCGTAATTGTGAATAGTTTTGAAATACATTTACAAGGTACAATCAGGCCCTTTACAAACTGTCCTTCATGTGCGATCTAACCTAATGCTCTGACCTCGCAACATAATACAGATATTATTCTACGCAATATTCCATTGGTGTTCTTTAACTCCTGAGTATTTTATACGATTCACCTTACTATTTTTCGAAGCTAATAAGCTTGCCCAAGAAATCACCATAAGTTGCATTGAGCCATTGCGCACCCTTTCATCGGTATCCTTGAATGGGCGAAACATAGAGCTGAATTGAGTGAACTTACCACCTTTTCGGTTGAAACCAGCATATAGTCCTGCACATAGACCGAAAAAATATATCGACTTGCATTTCGCAGCCAGCCCTGATGGCTATAGTTGCAGCATTGACACTGAATATCTGGATACACGTCAAGGTAATCGGACTTGGTTGATGTCTATCGATGCCTAAATCCAAAAAGTGACGAAACCATGCATGTCTTCTCCTATATCAAGTTCTACAAAAAGTAAGAACCAGCATGAGCGGTGCCCATTATTCTTCTCTAACTTGCTAAGGCTGTTACCAATTTCGTTGCACTGACCACCACTTTAAGATACTACCAGCCTATGACTTCATGAATGAACTTTATAAAATTCCATAATTCCGCTACCATTCTACATCATTACACTTTTCCTCTCTTTTCTTTTTTTTCTAAACGTATCCTAACTAAAGACACTGAGACAAATACCCAAGATAAGTATCAAATTCCCTAGGTCTCCCCTTTATCTCTAATATCTCTAATTATCCAACTATAGTCGCTCCCACAGCACATTCTCTCTTTAACTACACCTAACTTTAGTCGCTCACTCAGCAAGAATACTTCCAACTACAGACATTCCTTTACGATGAAATTTTCCAACCTTTTTCTTACCTTGACTTCAGCCTTATTGATTTCCAATGTGAATGCTGCCTCCTCCAATAAGAGAGATGATGATGATGATGATGACGTTGTGGTAGTCCATATACAGTCTACTGTGCAAAATGTTGAAACAGAAATTGAAACAGTTCAAGGGACTATGTCCACTTCAACCAACGTCAATTATGACACCACTACAACCACTGTAACACATTACACTGCTACTGTCACATTGACAGTGTTGGGAACTCCAGTGACATATACCACTGTTGCAACTACTCCAATAGGAACTACCACGGCTTCGACTTCATCTTCATCTACTTCCACATCACCAACTACTACCAAGAAGGCCGCCACGACCACAGCTACAGCAGCCACGAGTACACCAACCACACTGCCTAAGCAAACCACTTCCACTTCCACTTCCACTTCCAAAGCAGGAACGAGCTCATCGGTTTCGATTGGCTCACCTGCTGCAACTACTCAAACTATTTTGGTTGCCGAATCCACTACAAGCTTAGCTTCCTCAGTAACTGAGACTGATAGCGATGGTCCAACTATAACCAACGCATCGTCAATAGCATCGTCTACTGACTCATGGATAATAGAAGATGTCACCACTACTACTTCAGATGGAGTATGCATAGTGAATTACGACTACTATTATGAAACCGATTCGGTTGAAACCGTGACGCTGACCTCCACTGTTTATACAACCGTCACTTTGAGTTAAGAGATATTTCATTTCTGCAAGTTAATTTAACCTTTCCTCTTTCCCTTTTATAAAGAACAGATAAGGAATAGGTGCAATTAAGAGAAACGGATATCGCATGGATGCTAACAAATCTACAAATTGGAGGTGCAACTAAGGATCATGAAGAAATCAATACAAAATAAAGCAAAACAAAAAAAAAAGTCAAGTCCCTCCTTCATTCTCTCATTCTTTCAATCCACCATCTCTCTATTTATACCTTTTTACTGTTTCAAATTCAATTCTAGGGAATTTATCCATGGTACGAACATACTGAAAATAAAAAAAAAGAAAGTGGAATATTTTATACAAATTAATTAGCACCTTTGAATATTGTTTAATAAATAAAATTATAGTATATTATATTAGGTTTTTTGTAGGTTAACAAGACAGCGATATAGTAACGCCAGTCCTACAGCTATCAGCAAGCACCAACTATTTTGCAACCTATGCTCCACCCATGCTCATCATGCAGGCTGCAGCGCTACCCGTGAGGCGCACCGCACACCAAAATTTGATCAGACCCTTACTCTACTCCACTTAGGGCTTCAGCCCTTCAAGATTATGCGTCACGTGCTCAGTATTCCACTGAAATATGAACTTACACAAAGATTTCGAAAATTTTCACGCCCTCAGTGTACTCGCACCAACCGCTGGTAACCAAAAATTGAATTTTTTAAAAGAAAAGTTTCAGGACATTGAATTCTTACTCTATACCAAACAACATCAGACACAATGGGTATGTATCATATGTCCATAGTGCTAGTGCTAGTACTATTGCAGGATATGTTATTGTAATGTAGAGAAGAATCGAGAGATGAACGTTCCTAGAACCGGTTTCAAACAAGTGTCGTTCCTAGTCGTCCACAGAGAAACAAATTCAAGTCAGATGTGCATCAGAAAGTGAAAAATGTAAGAGAATGGTAAAAAGAATTACCAAGTACAGCAAATCTGTTGAATGGATTCTATATCGTTTGGGACCCATGAATCGGATACAACTGGGAAAGGAGATACAAAGGTTGGAACTTGAAATGAATACCTTGAAATGAATCAACTGCTGTTTGAAGAAAGGAAACGAAAATGGATTTCTCATGTACATCACATATAATCGCTCGCTAGACAGGCAAGCAGCCAGACAATATTTTTTCACATTCCATATACTAACAAATCCTCTTTAGTTAACGTTCCAAAGACCAGAAAGACCTACTGTAAGGGTAAGCAATGTCGTAAGCACACTCAACATAAGGTTACTCAATACAAGGCTGGTAAGGCTTCCTTATTCGCCCAAGGTAAGAGAAGATATGACCGTAAGCAATCTGGTTTCGGTGGTCAAACCAAGCCAGTTTTCCACAAGAAAGCTAAGACTACCAAGAAGGTTGTCTTAAGATTAGAATGTGTTGTCTGTAAGACCAAGGCTCAATTATCATTAAAGAGATGTAAGCATTTCGAATTAGGTGGTGACAAGAAGCAAAAGGGTCAAGCCTTACAATTTTAAGTCTATTTCTACTTATTTGTCAACGTTGAAAAAAATAAATATTTTGTGTAGTACATTTTCATATATTAAAGAAAGAATGTTTGCTCATGGTTTTTATAGCTTAAGGTAATATATAAAAATTTTGTATGAGGATGTGTAGGAGAAGACATGCGTAGAAGAAAGGAGAACTGGTATTTTACTTTATGAGTGAGAGAGAAAGTGAGAGAGAAAAATGAGTGAGACTCAAAAGGAAGAGAGCAGAGAGAAGAGAAGAGAAGAGACGAAAAAGAAGAAGAAGCTCTTAGGAAATATATGTATCTGACAAGAAAGTTCTGTAATATTACAAGAAAGTACTAGCAGACCAACAATACACAGCTCAAAGGCTGTACGTTATTTCCACCGCCAACAGGTGCAATCCCGCTTACCGCCTACCACCTACTCCATCACCCATTCATCAAGATGGGCGGCGTATAAATTTATTTGTGCCTGTATACAGTAGTACCTTGGAAACTTAGGGGCTCCTGGGCTCCTGGGCTCCTGGGCTCCTGGGCTCCTCTCCCAGAGTGGTGGTGCGTTCTATTGCGCACACACTGCTTGTAAGCCTCTACCATCTCAATTCTCGAGAGTTTTAGAATAGCTCTGGCTCTCCACCATAACCACTCTCTATCACTTTCATCCGTTTCCACCTACACAGATCGATCCAAAAATCTAGACTTATTCCGATTGCATCTCACTCTTCACTCTTACTCTCTCCCCTCCAACTCCCACTCATATTTTTTATTTTATTCGAATCATTTATTTTTTCTCTTCCAATTTTTCACTGCCTTCTCCTCCCATTATGCCTACCATTTTTTCCTCTTTTCGATCGTCAAGTAGGCCCCAAGACTCTAGGGAGAAAAAACCGAAATCAAAAACGAAATCGCGAATTCTTCAATATGGCTACAGTATATCGAGACGCACCTTGTTTTTTTTGCTGGTCTTTTTTTCATTTGATCGTGTTGTAGTCCACTTCGTTCCTTTAATTGGCTAACACGGACTCCGATATATTGTAAAGTAGCAGGCTGACTGTTTTTAGGCAGAGTTATAGAACTAGGTGTATTTTGTTGACTTGCACGATAGAAATCTGGTCAAAATGAATTACGATTATCTAACGGACGAGCAGAAGAAGCAACTTTATTACCAGCAACAGCAACAGCAGCAACAGCAACAGCAACAGCAACAGCAGTACCAACAGCAATCTCCTACGAAGCAAAAGAATGAGTTGTATTCTCAGCAGTTCCCTAACCTCCAATTCCAACAGCAGCAACATCAACATCAACAACACCAGTATCAACTGGAACAGAACGATGACAGCTTCATGGATGAGGATACTACTGAACAGAATATAGAACAACAACATAACTTCCATATTAAACATCCAAATCAGCAACAATCTCAACACAATGGATCGCCAGTTGCCAATCAGCAATACAGCACAGAAGCGTTCCATACATCTCCAACTTTCAACTCCTCTGGTAAGTTCAGCTTCCAAAGCTCATCGTTATCTGATAGCCCAACTAGAACTACTGGTGGTATTGGTGGCATAGGGAACTCAAATGCATACAATTTCCAATCCATAGATTCTCAAAATTCGCTTAATTTTACACCTCCCACGGCTAATGCCAACTACATGATGTCGAATTTTACACAATTAAGTAATACCAGTAATACTAACTTATCAGAGATAAGTAACACTACGTCGAATTTGTCTGCATCTCATCCTCAATCCGATAATTTTACCGTTCCACAAGTTAAAACAAATGGTGAATCAATGTATGATGGAGCAAACCCAAGCAGTCAGAGCTTGCAACAACAGCATGCACAGTTGCAGCAGCAATCTCAAGCTAGACAGATACAACAACAACAACAACAACAACAACAACAACAACAACAACAACAACAACAACAACAACAACAGCAGCAGCAGCAGCAAGCTCAGGCCCGGGCCCAGGCTCAAGCACAAGCGCAGGCACAAGCTCAGGCTCAGGCTCAGGCTCAGGCTCAGGCTCAAGCACAGGCCCAGGCCCAGGCACAAGCACAAGCACAGGCCCAAGCACAGGCCCAAGCACAGACACAGGCACAAGAAACTGCTGCTCAACTTGCTCAACAAGTGGCTTCTCAAAACCCAGAGATCCCTTCGAAGTCTAACTATGTGTACTTTGATCGTCACCCAGATCAATTAACTAAGCATTCTCAAGATAGAGCATCAGCCATGAAATTGAGATTAGAGAACTACTATCAAATGTCTGTTTCCCATGCGATTGAGAGGAATCAAAGAAGACTTGACTTAGAACATAAATTGGCAGTCGAAGAAGCTGGATCTTCCGAAGAGCGTAAGAATAGACAATTACAAAACTTGGGTAAGAAGGAATCTCAATTTTTAAGACTCCGCAGAACTAAGCTATCATTGGATGATTTTATAACTGTCAAGGTTATCGGAAAGGGTGCATTTGGTGAAGTTAGACTTGTTCAAAAGAAAGATACCGGTAAGATATATGCCATGAAGACATTACTCAAATCAGAAATGTACAAGAAGGACCAATTGGCTCATGTGAAAGCCGAGAGAGATGTATTGGCAGGCTCAGATTCTCCTTGGGTTGTCTCTTTATATTATTCTTTCCAAGATGCTCAATACTTGTATTTAATTATGGAATTTCTTCCAGGTGGAGATTTGATGACCATGTTGATCAGATGGCAAATCTTCACCGAAGATATTACTAGATTTTATATGGCTGAATGTGTTTTGGCTATTGAAGCGATTCATAAGTTGGGATTTATTCATAGAGATATCAAGCCAGATAATATTCTTATAGATATACGAGGACATATCAAATTATCTGATTTTGGTTTATCGACTGGATTCCATAAGACTCATGATTCAAATTATTATAGAAAATTATTAGAAAAGGAACCAGTTCAACAATCCAACAATCAACTCACTCCTGGAGCAGCTATTGCTGGTGCAGGAGGAGCGCGGAATTCTATGATGGTTGATGCCATCCATTTAACGATGTCTAATAGACAACAAATGCAAACTTGGAGAAAATCTAGAAGGCTTATGGCATACTCAACAGTTGGTACACCGGACTATATTGCACCTGAAATCTTCATACATCAAGGTTATGGTCAAGAGTGTGATTGGTGGTCATTGGGTGCGATTATGTTTGAGTGTTTAATTGGCTGGCCACCATTTTGTTCAGAAACTCCACATGAGACTTATCGTAAGATTTTAAATTGGCAAGAGTCATTACAGTTTCCTGAAGATATCCATTTATCGTCTGAACTGGAGGATTTAATTAGAAAGTTGTTGACCAGTGCTGAAAATAGATTGGGAAGATATGGTGGTGCTGATGAAATTAAACAGCACCCTTTCTTTAGAGGTGTTGATTGGGAAACAATTAGAAAAGTTGATGCGCCATTTATTCCTAAGCTCAGATCCATAACTGATACAAGATTCTTCCCAACTGACGAGTTAGAAAATGTTCCTGATGCTCCAGCATTGGCTCAAGCGGCAGAACAAAGAGAGCAAGTATTGAAGAATGGGGGTAACGCAAAGGAAGATTTACCATTTATTGGTTACACTTACTCTAGATTTGATTACTTAACCAGAAAGAACGCTTTATAGCGGTGCGACCGAAAATTTCAATTGATCCAGCGAAGTGTACGCATAGAGTGTAGATAGGTATAGACATATATATACTTATACATATACTTTTATATATATATGGAAGCTCCCAGCTACAGAGTATGACAATGAGCATTTTGTTAACAATCTCTACATGAATACTAATTGCAACATAGAGTGAATGGTAAATAGATATTGAATGCAATAAGACGATTTCTCAATTACCTTCTTTTTTATTTTTTACTGCACCACCCCACGCAAGTGCAAAATTCAATCACTTGCATAATCTAACGTATTCCGGTCGTGTGTTGCTAAAATTTTCGGGATGATCTCATTATTTTCTGATCACTATTAGTGGCGGCTAATGAAATGAAGATAAACAATAATAGAACCAGGGTGAAAAATAACATAAACTGAGGTCAATCTGATCATTGCTTCCTTATATACTAAGGCAATACTGAAAAGGGATAAAAAAAAAGTAAAAAAAGTAGTGGAAAAAGAAGTAATAAAAAATAATACAAGACGATAGTAAAATAGCAAAAGAAGAAAACAGCAAACCATTGCACGATCTAAAGGCACCGATACCAGTTTAGTTCATCTGCATTCACAGTATTTATCTTTTAACTTAATTTTTCATCATGTTTTCTGTAGAATCTAATGGGCTACTACAGCTGCTGCATCCGGACTGGGTGACGATGGATATTGAAAAGTTAGGGAAATCGTTCTACAATTCCGATGAACAGCCATTGAGTGAGCCTATCAGAAACCTCAAGGCCAAGACATTGAATGAGGCTATAGCAAGAAAAAACCACGATGTGTTGGTCTCGTACCTGAAATCAACGGAGGGATTGATAAGTAACGAATTGAGACTCAAGATATGGCCCATACTATTGGGGTTACCAGATTCCGAAGGTGCCGATGTAAGTAGGGAACCAGGTACTAGTCCAGTTGTTGGAGGTGCGGGTAGCTCTTCATTTAGGACTGCTGACTTTGATTCGATTTTGAATTCCTCATCATCGAATCACACGAACTCACCCGCCAGCTCACTTAGCACTTCGATAGACTCTATTTCAGATTCAGCTACATTTGTACCCAAAAAGAAGCATTCATCGTCTAAGTTATCGAAGAATCTCAAATCCACTTCATTTTATTTGAATGACCTAAATACCATCGATTTACCTCCTCACAAAGATGAAGAACAAGTGAAATTAGATATCCAAAGATCGTTCACTGTATTGTCTCATTTGCAATCGCAAATGGGAGTAATCAGTGGTAATGAAAGCAGCTACGGCACCAGCATCAATGAAGGTGATTGCAATAGCACATATACGACCATTCTTTCCAAGTCAGATATTGAATCATTAAAAAAGAAACTTCTGAATCTCATCATTAAGATTTTGAGGAAATACCCAGCATTGAACTATTACCAAGGCTACCATGATATTGCTAGTATAGTCCTCATAATTTGTTACGATAAGGAAACACAAATAATCAATGAAGAATTGGCATTTTCCATCTTAGAAAAGTTAACTATATTTCATTTGAGAGATTTCATGATTCAGGATATTAACTTGTCAGTAAATCACCTTAGATTAATTCCTAAGATTTTGCAAGTTGCGGAGTTAGACTTATTTGAACTATTGAAGCAAACTAATGGTTCATTTTTGATGTCTAATGGAGAAATCTTTGACTACAAATTTTACCAAGGGTTATCGTCAATATTAACCATGTTTAGTCATGATTTAATAAATTTGAAACAGATTTTAACGATATGGGATTTCATGTTGAGTTACGATTCTATATTGGTAAACATATATGTTTATACTTCCTGCTTGATATACTTTAAAGATGACATATTCAAGGAATTGGGCTTGCCATTGGATGACGAATATCAAGATTATAGTAATGTCGACAGGGACATAGTTCATACAGTGCTAAGCCCCGGAAATTTATTCAAAGATATCAATGATATTGATTTAATCAAGATTCTTAATAAAGCGGAAAGCTTGATAGAGAAGTTCCCATTGGAATTGAACCAAAATACAAAATCGCCCCAAAATGTTAACAAGAAAGTAAACAATGAATCAGATGAAACAATGTCCGAAATAGTTGAGGACAATAATAAAGGAGTAGACAATTCTAAAATTGATGTCATTAACGAGGATGAAGCTATTGCCGAAAAAGATCTTAGTAATTACTCGGAAAGCGAATGGTTTGATTTTAATTCACACTCAGTACTTGTAACGACGTCACTACTCTGCTTCAATTTAGCAGATAGAAAAGAAAAAGATAAACAGTATAGCTGCCTTTTCAATAATTCAACATTGTCAGAATGGATACAGATACAGGATGAAGAGATTGCTAAACAATCAAATTATGAGTTCGAGCAGCAACAAAAGCTTTTCGAAAAACAGAATCAACAAGTAAATGATACTTCAGCTTCAGCTTCAGACTTTAACTCCAGTGGATCAATTCTGTTATCATCGTCATTATCCAGCTTGACAAGTGCCACATCTAGTTCTGCAATGAATGCACTCTCTACATCGTCATTATTACTAAAGAAAATTTTAAGAGTTGGCAATACAATCGATGATGAAAGTGAGACTGATTCCAAGAGTACCAAGAAGAGGAAGAGCAAGGGCCTTACTGACAGGTCACCATTCCATATTAGCAACATTTATAAAATTTCAGTTACTATTGGATTTATTGGATTTATGATCCACTTTCTTCTTGTTAGAAGCAATACTAGATTATCTGAGTACAGCATAGTCAAGTATGTATCTCCGGCGTTTCACAATGTACGTGATGAACTTTCGACAATTAGTTCAGGTTTAATGAAGGAAGTCAGCGCTGGAATTTCTAATGTATATAATTTGGTTTCAGAGAGTGATGCCATATCTAACGGTGCACACATGGGACAAGTAGGTTTAGGAAATATCAGAGGTTTGATATTTGGGTTCAACAAATGAGGTTTATTTCTTCCACAACTATGGACAATTAGTGGTCCAGCTTTCATTTTAATAATTATTTCTTGTATTAGGATATATAAATACTTCCAGCTAACTACGGGAGTCCCCTAATTAAGAGGATCAATTTCGATTTTAATCTGTATTAAATCATCTATAGAGTCTTTATTTTATTCAGAATTTATCATTAAGTGCATTCCTTAATAAAGAAGAAACTTTTTTGTTATGGTTCAATTATTGTAAGTATACATATGTTTTTATTCAAAATCAATTTCATATAATAATACAGTTTCCGTGTAATTAAATTGACCCCAGCCTCTATTTCCACTAGCACTCACCATAAATCTTCCTGTTTCATCCAACCACAAAGCACTGAGAATACCACCATGATGGCCAGGTATGATCATAAATGGAGTAGCTGGTTTATTCTTGGAGGTTGTTTGGATATTACTATTTTCGACCCCATTATACAAACTCAAGTTATACAATCTAATATTGTCATTTGAGCCACATAATAAGAAATCTTTGTTTGGCATGGTAGAAATTGAACTTATTGGACCTGAAATTTTTGGGAAATTCAATGTTTTCAGTACGTTTGGTGTCATTGTTCCCTTAGCATGGGATGATTGCGCCTTCTTATGGGGCATCTTTATTGAAAATTCTTCAACCGTGCTATTTCTTCTACCAGCATAGATATAGTCCCCACAATTAGACCAAGCTGAAGACATACACCAAGGAGGTGTGTTTGCAGGAACTCCTAACTTTATAACTGAATTTGCCCCATTTTGATCGCTTACTCTTATATCCCATATGTTTATTGTCCCATCGATGGATGAACTCATGAATATGGAATCATTGGAATATTGCTTATTATGCGATGTTGAAGAATCCGGCACATGTATAGGTGAAGATTTATCCTTTGCTTCTTCCTTGATCCTCTGTTTCTGATCCTCTTCTCCATCACTCTCTCCGAATAGCGAATCAATGTCGCTACCTGCCTCGGGATTTTCAGCTTCACCACCACCAATTGCTTTGCCGTTGGTGTTCGCAGAGTTGCTTTTATCTTCATCATCTATAGACAATGTCATATCAGACAATCCAAAGGGTCTGTACTGGATATTAGAAATTTGTCCAGACAGCCCCAAAAATATATTACTGCATTTGCCGGAATTAAGATCCCATTCTCGGATAGTCTTATCCCAAGACCCAGACAAAAATTTATTCTCTTCAGAATTAAGTTTTAACACAGAGATGGTATCAGCATGGCCACTCGATAAATAGGTATTTTCGCCTCTTCTCCCCTGCATGAAATAGTGATGTATGGAACCTTCATTATAGCGCATTGTGTACAATGCTATTCCTCCCCTTGACAGACCAGAGAGACACCAATATCCGTTCCTGTCAGCTGCTAAAGAATACACTGGGCTCAATTTAGGCTCATAGTTAGCTGTACCTGCAGCAAAATCCGACATTTTCAATTTAGGATTAGACTTCAAAAGCTGCTGTTTAGTTTGTGGTTGTTCATTTTCCCAGTAAGACACAATAACTCCGGCTTTTGTTACCGTGTCTACCAAGTTATGCTTCTGGGCCATAGTCAAGGGAGATTTACCTTCAATTGAAGCGATAAAGTCATACTTTCTAATAAACCCATCTTCACCCCCGGTTATTATCCACCTGGGACCTTCAGAGAAGGCAATTGAGTGGCACTGTGATGCGTACGGTATGGCGACTGTGGGGACGATGTCAAATTTGGTGGCCACTTGAGCTTGCTCAATGATTTTCTCTCTGAATGATAATTCCTGCCCATTTAACCCACCATCTTCGCCATTGGCGTGTGGTTTTTCCTTATTGTCACTATCAATATCCATATCTGCTTCACCATCACCATCTTCTTTACTGTCTCGGATTTCATTTCTTTCTTCGTCCTTTATTCTCTCTTTCTCTTCCTCCTCTCTTAAATCGTCTCTAAACTGTTCAAGCAAATCGTCTTTCGCTTTCTGGTTCTCAGGATCTACGCTCTCTTTCTCATTTTCACCAAAATTGCCATTCTCGTTTGCATTTACCGTAGTATTATCATGTTCATTTTGAGTCTCCTTTGCATCGATATATTTGGATTCGTCTGCATTGTCACCATCATCACTTCCATCATCGTCTTCTTCTTCGTCACCTTCTTCTTCTTCCTCGTCCTCTTCGTCATCATCGTCATCTTCATCTACATTTTTATCTTCGTCATTATCGTCATCATCCTCCTCATCTTCGTCATCTTCGTCTTCGTCTTGATCTTCGTTGGCTTCCTCTTCTTGACCTCTCTTCTCGTTGTCATTCATTTCTTCATCTTCATCTTCGTCTTCATCCTCTTCATTGGCATCTAATATCTCCTCGTCATTCTCTGGAACGTTAAACAAATCATCATCCAGGGTCATCTTCAGCCTGCCGTTATCTAACCTATATAATACTGTGGACTTGTCTAGATAATGCCCTTGCTTTCCACGCTCTGCCATTCTCTGTAGGAGAATCTGTATCGAGAGTGGCTATATACAGGATTGACTGTTTTGAAAAATTATACTGTATGCAGGTGTAATAGGAATTTTCAGCCAACGAAGTAGAGGCTTCATTGACTACGTTGGTTACGTTCACAATTCTACAGAGACTATATGCCAATACGTGGAATAGCTGAGTGTGTGCGTTTTCGATTTTTTTTTTGTTTATTGGTTTATTTATTTTCTTTAATATCTACATGATGTTATCGTTGTGCAACTCTAACACGCTTATTCGTAGATCCATCCGAATAAAGCTGGCTTGTATTCAACTAATTCTTCCTTCTTGAACCATAAACCAATTTCCTTGTTGGCAGATTCAACGGAGTCAGAACCGTGACAAACGTTTCTACCCATGTCAATGGCGAAGTCACCTCTGATGGTACCTGGAGCGGATTGCAATGGGTTGGTAGCACCTAAGATAACTCTACCTTGCTTGACAACATCCTTACCTTCCCAAACGGTAGCTAAAACTGGACCGGATAACATGTAAGATAATAAAGATGGGAAAAATGGCTTGGATTGCAAGTCATCGTAATGTTCTCTCAATAAAGATTCAGTTGGGTGAACTAACTTAATTCCAACCAACTTGAAACCTCTGTTTTCAAATCTACCTAAGATTTGGTTGATGAGACCTCTTTGGACACCATCTGGCTTGATAGCAATAAAAGTTCTTTCGTCAGACATTATAGTAATTGTTGTAGGATTATCTATGGAGAAGAAGAGCACGAACCAGAGAAAAAAGGGGAGGTGATGATTTTTTTCTGTCCCCATGGGAGGCAGTCGAAGAATTTTTCAGAATACGAAACGTTTCCGGCGAAATTTGGTTGGGCACGCATTCACGCGGGGGAGTTGAATGAGTAGTATGCAGTAGACATGGAAGAAAGGGCTGTACTGCGCGGGAGCTAGAGGAAGAATCATGAGAGACATGTATGAAGATCGAGGTCAGTGTATTTGGGGGAAAGCACTTCTTTGTCTACACTTTCTTTTATTCACGGATAGGAACTGGGTGCATGGCCAAAAACGTATGAATGAATTAATCCTTTTCTTGTCATTATTGCACTAGTATTCAAGTGAAAGCTCCATTCATCCTGTCACCTTGGATCTTGGCTCTCTCAGTTCTTTTTCTTGCACCCTAGCGCGCCTCATAGTATTTCACTGCTTAAATATGCAACCTTGGAAATAATTGTTCCAATGGGTGCAACCAATTGTGGTAACCTCGAATCTCGTACTCTTCCTCTTCATCACTACCCAAATCTGGGTCGATGTTTTCCTTTACGTTGTAACCAACATAGTTACTTAGGAGTTGTTCCCTTTTGCGAAGTTCTTCTAACTGCAGCTCAAGTACATGACTGAAGTCTGTATAAATGGTTCGGATGGAGAAATCGGTCATTTCTTCAGGTAGTATACTCATCAAATCTTATCAAATAATGTGCTTGGAAAATGGATTGCAGGACAGCACTAGGAGACTGATATCCTTTTATACATACTTTTCTGTTCGTACTAGCATACAGAGAATCTCATCATGTTCTTGCGCCCAATCACTTGACCCACCATAACAAAAAATATAATGCAACCAAACCTGCATATACCCAATCCAGATACACATGCAGATCAAATACAAAACAACCAAAAAAACTGAATTCCACTTGGTTGTCATCCTAACAGTCGAACAATTAATATCAAGAGGTTACATTTCTAATATGGAAAGTCCAGGCACAATCAACGAGAATAATTTACTTGTTGAATCGGAAAATCTCGGACCACAAAGTGAAAGTTTCATAGGTGAAGGGAAGAACAACAAGCATAAGAGAAGTCCCCAAACACCATCAGCAAAGCAGATGAATATAACAAGAAGAAGATTCGACGATCCTGAATCGACAATACCCAGATCGCTTAATTTTAATGCTCAGAACGCTGAATTAATGCATAGTAAGTACGAAAATTGGAAGCTAGGCCAGAGTTTGAGGAAAACCGAAGAGACTCTTAAGTTTATTGAATTGGAACGTAAGTTGGAGAGGGAATTTAAAAGGAAAGAATAGAGTAAGCGATAAAAATAAAAAATGTAAAAGGGAAGAGTATTATCACTTCATCTTTCCCTGTGTTGTATTTTATTGGAAATAAGTGAACGTGTACATTAGACTAGTTTGTATAGTATTTTCTTAACTTAGTATTAGTTTAGTCATATAATATCTATCTATTTGGAGCTTCTTGTAGCTTTAAAGTAATCATTGATCTTATTCTCATCGCCCTTAAAATACTTACCATCTCTAGAATTATTCCAGTCGTTATGCCTCTTTTGCATTTTAAGTTTTTCGTCTTCGCGACTTCCTCTTTCTTCTAAGTCTTCTCTTAACCAATGTAATGCCAATGGGTGCAAAGACTCAGCCAATTCGACTTTGATTTCAGTTCCGTCTTCGGAAAGTTCAATTTCTTGTTTCGATTGCGTCTTAGCTACAAATTCAAGGTTATTTATTTGGATATCATCAGTCTTTCTACCACTGTTCAAGTGTATGATTCTATCACACCAATCTTTCCCTAACCCATCGAAAATGTGTGTTGCATAAATCACGCATGCGCTTCTCAATTGGCATTCCTTTCTCAAAAACTGCAATAATTTTGATCTTACAATAACATCTAGATCTACAGTTACCTCATCTAATAGTAAAAGTTTCCATGGCTTTAAAAGTCCCATAACCAACTGCACTCTTCTTCTCTCACCATCCGATATGTAAGCCATTGACCAATCCGGATCTAAATCCATGATTTCAATTAACTCATCTCTTCTCTCAGGGAAGGTTTCTCCGCCTACAGATGAAATCAATAATCTGACCGGAATATCTCTCTTCACTATAGGGTTTGCCGCCCACTCAGTTCCCAAATATGTGATCAGCTGATTTATATCTGAGTTGTGTTGTTCATTCCTATCACTTGCAAACCGAAATGGATCAAACCCACCGATCTTCAATGAACCTTCTTTAATTAATGTTTTCCCTGCAAGTATCTTCAAGAGAGTTGATTTACCTGCACCATTAGGTCCAATAAGAAGGTTGGTAGTACCCCACGGGATTTTCAAATTTATATTATCTAATCCTATTCTATTACTAGAACTAAACTTGTACGTTAAGTTTGTAGTTTCAATTGCGAGTGTCGTCATACTTAGCGTTTGGAAGGGGAAAACGGAGCATGCTTACTTATATTTTTTGGAAATTTTTTTGTTTATCATCTGGTGGTTATAACTTTCGATTTTAAAATTTCGCAATTGACTCATTCAATCCCGAATTAAGCAAGAGCCACCCCAAAATAAGGCTACAACCATAGTTCCAAGCATAACTCGAAAATACTCCTTCTTGACGTCTTTTTCTCCTACAAATGCCAAAGTCTAATTCTTTTCTTAGAAATACAACTAGCAAATAATTAATCTCCACTATTCTTTTATTTTATTATCATCCTCTATACATTTTCTAAACTTTTGATTTCCGTTAACCAACTCAACACCTTTCGTTTGACATTTTCATTCTTTATTTTTTCGAAAATCTCTTTACTCTTATCATGCTTTACGCTATACTTTCTAATATAACTTTTCAATAAACCCAAATATTCATAATACAACCATTGACTATCAATTTTACTCATAAATTCCAAGTCCTCAATTTCAGAATCTTCAAACTTCTTCTTGTTAATGAGAACCTCCTCAGTATCTGGAATTTGCAAAGTTTCTTCCAGAATTAAATTCAAATTGTTGACAATCAATTCGAACATTTTGCCAAAGATTGCATCTTGATTTTCAGATTCTTCGTTGTTCAAAATTCTATTTATAGATTCCATACAAGAAACATTTTCTATAAGCAAGTTTCTATCAATGCTTAATACATATTCAACTAACTTATTTGATTTCAATATTTCAAATTCAATCAAATATTCTAATATTAAAAATGCAACTTGAGGCTGGTGGTTCCAAACTCTGAATATACTCTCTATTATCCACTCTTGCCTTTGGTTAAATTGTTCTTCAGACAAGTTTAGTGGCTCGAAGGAAAACCCTGAGTTATTGTTACCCTTTGAAGCTTCATCTTCCTTTAATTCCCAGCCTGCCAAGTATCTTAACTTGACTATGTCTCTAGAAAATACACTAACAGCCGAATAAATAGATCTTGATCCAATGTATACATACGTTTGGATTATTAAATTAATAAGATATTTTTCTTTGTTAATGAAACCGGTAGTGTCAATGCTATCCAAATCCATTTCTTCTCCTTCTTTTTCTTCTTCTTCCTTAGATTCCTCAATTTTCTTCACTTCCTCTGTAGAATTAACTTCAGCTTCAGTATCAGGTTGAGGAGCATCATCTTTCGTTGCTTCTTCATCCTGTTCTGCAGCCTTTTCTGTGGTTTCTTCTTCGACAACTTCTTTCTTATGCAATTTTGCATTCCACTTGTCGACAGCTAACAAAACCAGATTGCACAAATCTTGGAAATCGCTGTTCGATTTCCAGTTTGCGACAACAAAGTCGTATACAGTATTAGCAATTTCATTTAGTGGAACAGTTGAGAGAGAAAAATTATAAATCAATTCCTCTTGTGGTGAAACAATCAATGCTCCCAGTTGAGATTGTAATTCCTTCTTTTCCTTCCTTTGAGCGGAAAGGCTCTCGAAAATTTCCTTGACCTTTGAATTACCTTCTACTCCACCGTACAAGTCTAGATCATATTTCAAAATGAAATCTTCTTCATTTTCCACCAAGGACAATGACAAGTACTTGTAGAACTCGCTTAATTTAACCAAATTACCACTTTCTGGATCCACTGTTACAAATGTATCTTTTATTTTATTCTTGTTGCTCAATCTTATTTCCTTGGCAATGAGATTTTTAATGAAGTTTTTCTTTGGGTGGTACTTCAAATTCCTGAAATTCTTTGAGTCTTCAACCCATTCATCCCACTTCCAACTAAATTCGAAATTGGAGATTTGAATAGTCATCCAATCCAAAAATCTAATTTTCAACTCATAATCTAAGATTTCTAAGTTGTTATAAAAGAATCTAATGGCTCTACCGAAGACAGGAGCAATAGATTCAGGCAGCTCTCTGCAACATGATATCAATACACCATAATAGTACACTTCCACATGCAAAGGTAATGGCAATTGGAAAATCATAGTCAAAATACTCTCAATGGCGATATCTTCAATTTTCCAAGTTGATAATGCTGGTGAGTTTTCACCAGAAACGTTATCTCTGTGGACATGGTCTAATTGGTCAATTGACGACCCTGGTGGAGCAAATAAGTTGGCCAGGAAATAGAGATCCAAGATAGACAATTGAATCGAAGTCTCATTCTTATTGAATGATAAGTTTGTCAATATATCAAAACTCAAATCCTTGAAGAAAAGTCCAATATACGATTCAATGGAGGGTACAGTTTCAAATTCTGTAGTCATATTGTAAACCTGAAATAAAATCCTTGGGTATTTAGCCCATAAATTATCGATAAGTCCCTTATTCTTAATGGATATATTTTCAACTGATGGCAAAGATAATGGAGGTAATTGATGCTTAATCAATTCTTGAGATAATTTATTGTTCTCAAGGGACTTGGCAATAAGTGGTTCTATCAACTCTTCAAAGTTGATAAACAATTTACCCTTGAAGTCTTCCCAATTGTTTTTCTGAATTTCGAGTAAGGCAGGATAGATCAAGCCGATAATATTCTTAGGTTGATATGGGATATCGTTTGCGAAATTGGATCCCTTTTCATAAAATGGTTCAAAAAGGGTAAAGGAAAACTCTTCCTTAGTTCCCTCGTTGTGGAATTCACCTGCCAATGACACCAATTCGTTACACTTCTCTCTCATCTCATCACTCCAATTGTTGCTTAACAAGTAGGGAAGAGAAATTAAAGTGTTGTAGTAGATTTCTTCGGCCAAACCATTTCTCTTCCACCCCTTTTCGACACCTGCCTTTTGAAGATCAATTGATAAGGTTAAGAACTGCTTGAAAATATCTATAATAGCAAAATTCTCAATAATTGGTGACAAACAAGCCAAGAACTTCAAGATGGACTTAAGGTTATTAAAGATCCCAGCAAATTCTTGCTCTTCTTGTTGTTTCTGTATTTGCTTAACTGCTGCTTTATCTCCACCTTCGACAGTTTCATCCTCCTTCTCTACAAGAAGTTCAACCAATCCCTGTGCCTTGGAATGGAAAAACTCAATCACATACTTGGCAACTAAGAAATTCTTAGGGTTACACAATAAAATCAAGACACTCAATGATGTAATTTTTTGCGGTTGTTCAACAACAACTGAATACAAAGTATTCAAGATAGCAATTCTCAATTTATCAATTTTTTCAAATTCAGCCACGATGGGATTAGAGATATACGATATGTCTTCAACTTGAGTCACAATGTTTGAATTTTCTCCAATTCTTCTTATATCTTTACAGACGTTTGCAATAAGTTCAGTGGTTGGGTCAACAGTTTGTCTTTTGTTTTCCTCGAAGCCACCTGCAGACCCTTGACGGTTCAGTCCAGCATTGTCAGCTTCGTAATCGTCTCTGGATCTCTTGGAAGGGTTATAAGAGTCCATGTTTGTTCCCTAATACAAGAAGAAGGTATGTTGACTCTACTACTCAAAGTCTACACAGTGAAAAAAAATGAAAAACTGAGAAAGTGAAAAACTTCGAAAACACAAGAACAATTTGGAGCATATGCAGGACACGATAACTTGATGTTGCTCGCTAACAGAGAAAGGTCTTCACTTCACGTAGAAGCTCAAAGAGGTCATGAGAGTACGACTACATTAGAACACGTCATATTCGGTCATATTAATATTACATAGTCAAAGATGTTTTGAGTTGTTGAAAAAAAAAAGCTTCCTTGCGGGTGAAGAAAAAGAGACTTCTAGCAATGGCTAGCTAGCTAGTTAGTTTCCAGCAAAATGTAACAAACGATATTTAGTTTTCTCGCATAACACTAGCTCGCCAATTTTTCTTTTCTTTCCTCTAACCAATCTTTAAAAGCAAAAAGGGTCATTTCCCATGCCATTAATAGTGCAATGAAACCCAATGATAAGTTGAGGGTGAGCATTGGAGTGAAACCCTTGTATTCCAAAGCTAAAATAATTGGATCGCAAGATTCCATGAATATAAGTCCTCCACAGAGCAATGCAAAACTTGTAATGATTTCAGTGATTGGCTTTGTTGGCTCTGTTAAATTTTTTAGTGATTTTGGTAAAAATATCATAATTAGATAGGTGGCAAGTCTAAATGCGGTCCCGTAGACTAGTAAATTTCCCCACTGTGAATGAATTTCCGTTGACAATTCGGATGCCTGAGCGTGTTTTGACATTAGAACTCCCGTCCAGTAAATGGTAAAGATAGGGAATGGATTTGGGGAAAATCCTGGCGATGCATTAGTTATCTCAGTTGCATCAAGTTTTGCATCTGAAGTATCTTCTTTTTGAGCTTTAACTAATTTTTCAATTCCATGCTGAACTCTCCACACAGATAACTTGAATTCGGTGATTACACCACAAAATCCTGCACCAATGTATATAAACGCAATGGATACGTGTTGAAGGTCTTTGGCTGACCATTCACCGCCTGGATTTGCCAAATGCTCCAAAAAGATATTGGTACATCCATAGAACAAGATAAGTCCACTTTCAACCATTTCCATTGAAATGATTCTAGAAGAAGATCTTGAATATACGGAATTCCATGCCCATCCCTTTCCTTTAAACGCTCCACAATACCTTGCAAGTGATAGTAAACCCAAGGAGAAAAATACACCACCCTTAATGAAATGAGCCAAAATATTGAAAACTGCTTTACCCTTTCCTAATACAAACACAGTAGCCACACCAGTTGGGATATACACTAGGAAATAGAAAAACAGTCCCCAGTGCAACAAGTTGAAGACTATCGTATTAGATAATCCGATATAATTTGCAGCAATTCTCATTCGGGAAATTGTTTCCTGCATGATGAAGTTGTTTGCAAACTTGGAAAAGATACCAAAATTCCTTAAATTAGTCTCTCTTTCGTCCATCAAGTCATCCGCTCCCATAGTGTTTGAATGCTCCCAGTCTCTGGACGAGCGATCCAGATCTCCAGAAGAATGATCTCTACTGATTACATGCATAGGTAAACACTCATCATCTGCCTCATACACTTTATGGTAGTGTGTAGATAAGGATATGCTGGAACCAAAATAAATTGCTGCAGATATGCAGTGCGCAGCTGTTACGAAAACTAAAATCCAGGACATCTTACTGTAAGCATTTCCCGGATATAAGTCAGTTGGGGCTGTGGTTCCATAAATAGATAACGAAAATAAAGATACAGCCACCAAGATGCAGTGACAGAAGAATAGTGGCACATGGAATTTCGGCATTCCAGCATTTTTCGCTACCATTGATAATGGGTACACAAATATAGTTGTGAGAAGAATTGTTGCAATATGGACGTAAAGATTAAACTTGCTAGAATAATCATCAGTCAAGAAGGTAGTAGTGTTGTATGCCTCCCAGAACAATCTCTCTTCGGGCTTTAGATGCATTTGCAAGATTGGAACACCATGGTGATTGGAAATACGGTGAGGCACGGGATGTAAATTCGAGGAATTGAGCGCGGATCTCGTACTTTTGTCTTCGTCTACACCATCCGGCGCTACCATTCCCATCCCAGCCATTTCGTTTCTAGGTCTAACGAATGTGCTTGTCGCTACAGAAAGCAAAAGTGCTGCTGTTAGGTATTTTCTCATGTCTTGATAATGTAATTGAAGTCCAATGCCATCAAATAGTTTTCGTCAACGAGTTTAACGAATTGACAGAAGTACTTTGCTGTACGGTACTAGCTGATTTGTAGCCATTGTGGAAACAGAAGGAAGAGGCAGATTATTTTTATATATACTTTGGTTATCAATTGTTACAAGTGTTCCTGCTTCTTTGTAGGCGCAGGAGAATTATCACAGTAGGATGCAGACGCTAATAATAAGCTCATTCTTGTTTAATTCCGTAGCTCGACATTACTTCATTGGAGTAGCAACAGACTTTACTGAAATACCCGGAGATATGAAAAATTGCAACAACATCTTAAGGTGACTTGTAACTATATATAGAAATATAGGAATATAGACGTAAAATAAATCCGAAATGAAGGAATAAAGACCGAATAATTCCCTGATCTTAGTAATTGGAGGCTGTATTTCATCTCCCCATTGTGCCTTATTCCCCTTTTGGAAGGCCCGGTGCGGCTGATCTGGAACAACATTTGGTTGCGTGAGCATTTTCATGACTGCAATGTAGTACGAAGGGAGATTGAGATAATCTACAGAGCTAGAGAACAGCAAGCTTATTGGACAGTTTAGAGAAAGTGGATTTTTTAGGATCAGAAGGCAAAATACAAAGATATTAATCGTCAAATGGCAAAGCCTCGTTTTTTTAAATAGAAGCCCAAGCAGGTCAAGAGTCTACAAAAGTTTCCTAGGACATCATATTTTAATCATATTAGTTTTACATAGTACATAGATAGAGATGTTTCGAGTTGTGGAAAATAACTTTACTCGTCCAGCGAAAAAAGAGTGGTATTTAATAAAGAAAAATAGGAATCAAGTAGCAAATTATTATCTCTTAGAAATATCCGAAATGAATTTCAATTGTTCTCGAGACGCTTAGCTTGCCAACTTTTCCTTTCTTTCTTCCAACCAATCCTTGAGAGCAAAAAGAGTCATTTCCCATGCCATTAATAATGCAATGAAACCCAATGATAAATTGAGGGTGAACATTGCAGTGAAACCTCTATATTCCAAAGCTAAAATAACTGGATCACACGATTCCATGAACACAAGTCCCCCACATAATAATGCAAAACTTGTAATGATTTCAGTGATTGGCTTTGTTGGCTTTGTTAAATTTTTAAGCGATGCTGGTAAAAACATCATTATCAAATAAGTGATGAATCTAAATACGGTCCCGTAGACCAATAAATTACCCCATTGTGAATGAATTTCCGTAGACAATTCGGATGCCTGAGCGTGTTTTGACATTAAAATTCCCGTCCAGAAAATGGTAAAGATAGGGAATGGATTTGGTGAAAATCCCGGTGATGCATTGGTAATCTCAGCTGCATCAATTTCTGAAATTGAGGTATCTTCTTTTTGAGCTTTAACTAATTTTTCAATTCCATGCTGAACTCTCCACACAGATAACTTTAATTCGGTGATGACACCACAGAGCCCAGCACCAATATAAATAAACGCAATGGATACATGTTGGAGATCCTTTGCCGACCATTCACCGCCTGGATTTGCCAAATGCTCCAAAAAGATATTGGTACATCCATAGAACAAGATAAGTCCACTTTCAACCATTTCCATTGAAATGATTCTAGAAGAAGATCTTGAATATACGGAATTCCATGCCCATCCCTTTCCTTTGAACGCTCCACAATATCTTGCAAGTGACAATAAACCCAAGGAGAAAAATACACCACCCTTAATAAAATGAGCCAAAATATTGAAAACCGTGTCCCCCTTCCCCAATAAAAACACAGTAGCCACACCAGTTGGGATGTACACCAAGAAAAAGAAAAACAGTCCCCAGTGCAATAAATTAAAGATTATAGTATTAGATAATCCGATGTAATTTGCAGCAATTTCCAATTTGGAAATTATTTTCTGCGAGATGGAGTTCTGTGCAATCTTGGAAAAGATACCGAAATTTCTAAAAGTGGAAAATTTTTCATCCATTAAGCGACTGATTTCCATTCTATCTGAATGCTCCCAATCTCCAGAAGAATGATTACTACTACTTCCATTGACAGGAGAACTTTCCTCATCCGAGCTATATACTTTATGGTACTGGGAGGATGGCGATGAGTTAGTGCCAAAGTATATCACTGCAGAAATTAAGTGCGCGCCTGTGGCAAAGGCTAAAATCCAAGACATCTTACTATAAGCATTTCCCGGATATAAGTCAGTTGGGGCTGTAGTTCCATATATAGATAACGCAACTAAAGATATAGTCATTAAGATGCAGTGGGAAATGAAAAGTGGGATATGAAATTTTGGCATTCCAGCATTTTTCGCTACCATTGATAATGGGTACACAAATATAGTTGTGAGAAGAATTGTTGCAATATGGACGTAAAGATTGAACTTGCTAGAATAATCATCAGTCAAGAAGGTAGTGGTATTGTATGCCTCCCAGAACAATCTCTCTTCGGGTTTTAGATGTGTTTGCAATATGGGAACACCATGATGGCTAGAAACCCGGTGAGGTACAGGTAACAAAGTAGTAGAGGAATTGAGTGCGGAACTCGAACTTTCGTCTTCTTCTATGTCATCCATTGCCATCCCCATTCCAACCATCTCATCTCTTTCTCCAATTACCGTGCTAGTTGCCACAGAAAGCAAAAGTGCTGCTATTAAATACTTTCTCATGTCTAAAATTTGCAATTGAAGTCGAATCCCAGGAATATTCTGTCACTTGTGCAATACGTAAACAAAATTTCTTTGCTATATTCAGTATCTTCTTTGTAACCCGCTTGGCATACCGGAGGACGAGCCCGCTGACTTATATATGATGATAAAGAAGGGCTGCAAGAGTTTCCGGGCTGCATTTAAGTGCAGGAGAATGTGACCACGGAAAGTACGGAAATAAAATCTACTCATTTTTTTTTAATTCCACCTTCTTGCATATAATGCTTTTTGCAGCTTCAGCCGTTTGTCTCATATTATACTCTATTATACATTCATGAGAAATGGTTCGATTGTAATGTGTGTTAGAACACCGTATACGTAGAACACTCACAAAGAGCTTGCAGGGATAGTATGATAACATCCGATTGTGATGCGGATAGACGAACTTCAAGATAAGGAACTATTAAACTAGGCAAGAATTGCTAATTTTTTTCGAGAAGAGTGACTTGAAAATTCAAACAGCTGCATCATGCTTGGTGCTTTGTAATCACAGGCAAAATTGGGTTCCCTTTTGTTCCTTGTTCCAAGGAGGAGGAACTTGTGCGGCTGGAATTATTTTTGGTTCCGGCTTGACATTATGACTGAAAGTTTAAATTTGAGACAATTAAGAAAAAGCTCAATTGAGTGGCAATGATAAGCCTCTCGAGTAACCATAATAGAAGAGAAATTATCGGGAAAAGGGAAGGTACATCTCATTTGCATATATTTATCCTTACTTATTTCAGAATTACAAATTATTACGAAGAGTAGGTTGTGATATGCAGATCGCCAAACATTTACCTAATTAAGATCGCTCAGTACAGGAATTTCGAGAAATATCCTGCAACTAATTTAGGGAGACGAGAAATATTTTCCTTTTGCCTATTCAAGACACCTAATTAGCTCTTCTTGAAATCATACTAGGGCTTGAATAATGCGGTCGGACCGGATGTACAAAATTGAACTGTCAACCGGCTTAGTCCCGCCAAAGTGAGCTCTTTTTTAATTTGCTCGGCGTTTCTACCGATGCTACAGGAGGTCAATGTCGGCAGTTTTATGAGCGGAAATAACCTTATTTTTTTAAATCCGAATATGAACTTTGTTTTAGAAATGAGATATGGAACAATATTGTACTAAGTTAGCTGACTTGTAAAGACTTACTTTAGATATTTGTAATATTACTGAATTCTTATTATTCATCAACTCAATGGCCCTTTACCAGTAGCTGGAAGGGGGATTTATGCGCCGACTCTCTCGTGATTTTGCCTAAAGAATGCACTTTGGAGCTGTGGCATTCGGGCCATTATCAAGAATTGTTTCATTTTTTGTGCTTTGTATATTTAGATACTACTGCTCACCTCTTATTATCTTAGTTTCTTTCTCTTTTACTTACCATACACTGTTTTTCGTCTCTATGACTTACCATACACTGTTGGACATCGCGCTTAAGAAGCGCGACCCCACCGACCCCAGAAAAAGTTTAGTGTTTAAATGGAGTGCTGATCCTGAAAAAAATAGTTGAGCAATAAGATTGTAGGAGCCAATTAGACCCTACTGAATCCAAATATATCGCTAACATGTCAATTGCTTCCTATAACTTAGAAAATGACTTAATCGAAGTTACTTTTGAGAACGAAACCACTTCAACCTTCCACTCGATCTGGTTACGTGATAATTGTCATTGTGAAGAATGCTATTATGACATCACCAAACAGAGGTTGGTGAACTCATGTTTATTGGACCTTGATATCAAGCCTAAGAATGTAAGCATTGCGAACAAGGAATTAGTGGTGGTTTGGCCAAATGATCATGTATCCAAATACAAAGGACCTTGGTTGAAACTTCATTCCTACAACCCATCGTTGGTTGATGGGAAGAAAATTCCCGAGCTTTTGAAGAAAGAACTTTGGCAAGTTAAAGATATTGCTAACGACTTACCGAAAGTAGAGTACAAAAACGTTATGGATAGTCAAGATTCGGTCAATGATTGGATCTTGAAGATATGGAAACACGGATTTTGTTTAGTTGATAATGTACCAGTCAATTTGGAGGACACCAAGCTGCTCTGTGAGAGATTGGACTACATCAGACCAACTCACTATGGAGGATTTTGGGATTTTACATCAGATTTACTGAAAAATGATACTGCCTACACTAATTTTGATATTTCGTCCCATACTGATGGAACTTATTGGTCAGATACACCAGGGTTGCAATTGTTCCACTTGTTGTATCATGATGGAGAGGGTGGAACCACATCACTCATTGATGCCTTTAAATGTGCCGAAATCTTACGTAAGAAATACCCTGAAGAATTTGACTTTTTATGTAACTTACCAATCCCTGCACATTCAGCAGGTGAGGAGACTGTTTGTATTCAACCTGATGTTGCCCAACCAATCTTCAAGTTGGACTTAGATGGAAATTTAATACAAGTGAGATGGAACTTATCGGATCGTTCTACGATGAGTCATTGGATGCAACCAGGAGTCGATGTCCCAAAGTTTTATAAGGCTATCCATCACTGGTATGAGATTATCACTGACAAAAAGAATGAATTTTTCTATCAGATGCAACCTGGCCAAGTCTTGATCTTCGATAATTGGAGATGCTTCCATTCGAGAACTGAATTTACTGGAAAGAGAACTTTATGTGGTGCTTATTTCAATAGAGATGATTTTATCCTGAAAGTCAAGTTGTTAGATATAGGTAGAGAGACTTTATTGGAAAGCTTATAAGCGCAGTAGGGCACTCTTTTTGTAGTGCTCTCAAATTGTTGCAGCTCTTTGTTGCAATTTATACTAAATTAGAATATGTAAAAAATGAGTGAAAATTCTCCAAAATAAAAGTTTTCACAACTAAAAGTGTGTACAAATACCTATATATCGATTTAGTTCATCGTTCATCTTATGTACATCTTGTACATAACCAACATTACCGTTATGTTTGCCATGAAATTAGAGTTGAAAAGACGCTGTGCGGCTCCAACGACGATATGCTGGCTAGGAATTTTTTTTCTGATTTTTTCTATTCATAATTTTAATCCATCCTGAGATTTTATTTTATTTCATATGCTAATTTACTACTACATATGAGTTAAATACCTGGATACCAATAGCTATAATCCAAAGTAAGGATATAAACAACAATTAATAAGTGAAAATATAAATATTCGCAAAAACGAAGCAGCAAATAATGTCTGGTTTAGTATCAAGATGGGCTACTGATGAGACATTGGTGAAAGAAGCTGAAGTTCAAGATAAGAAAGCATCAAACCATAGCTCACCAAGGAAATCGAAACAAGTACATAATCAAAAAGATTCTATTGAAAATCCAAAGCCATTGGTCAGTAGATGGGCAACTGATAATACTGAGGAGAGGAAGGCTCTACAGGCATCGCCAGCCAAAAATGGATATAAAAAGAATAATGTAGGCAATAAGAAAAGGCACCCCAATGAAAATGAGAATACTCGCGATGTGGTTCGTAAAGCAGGTAATAAGCAAGAAGAAGAGGAAAAATTGGGCCCAATGACTAACGCTGCGAAGTCTTTTGCCGCAAGGTTAAGCGATATCAAAATCAACGATACAGGAAAGAAAACAGAAAATCTGTCAAGGGGTCTCTCAGGAGGACCACCACCAAAAGGTCCAAGGGGACAGAGTAGAAAACAAACGGCGAGACCAGGTGCTCCCAAAAATAATGAAGATGCATGGGAAGATGCTAACGAAGAAGAGCCTGAAGAGGTGGATAGAGATGAAGGTCCCTTACCTCCCATGTCCAAAGCGGGTCAGAGTTTAGCTTCAAGGCTAGGACTAATGAATCCATCACTCAATACAAGCAAAGCTAGTCCTGCTCCTACTAGTAGTAATAAGAGAGATTCAGTACCAAAGTCAGTACAGAGTGACTCCAAATACCTCACACCTCGACAAAAGAAATTACAGGTGGAGAAAGAGAACAGAGCCAGGAAAGAAAGGGAAAAACAAGAGAGAAAGAAGATTCTTGATGAAGAGGAGAAGCAAAAACAGCAAAAGCTTAAACAAGAAGTTAGCGATATGTTTAGCAAGCTCACTGACAAACATGCCAATTGGGCTGATATAGAAGATGATGACTTCTAGGATAATGGATATTATATAGGGAACGGCTAATGAATAGAGACTTAATAAATATAATAAGAAAATTTTTGAGGAGGGTAAGAAAATGTACCTATCGTTAGATATGAGTACTGTAATCTGGTAATGGTAAAATGTGGAAGAGCCAGAGATTTTACACTACTCATGTAATACAATAGCCTGGGAAATAACCTCATCTAGCCAACGATTCAAGAGTTAACTGTTTTAAAGACAAAATTAAAATTAGGCGACAATGACGGTCCAGCTCCAGAGAATTCAAGCACAAGCGAAGAAAGATAAGGAAAGGTGCCGCAGGAAAGACGATTTAAATAAGATTTGATGCGTACATCGTTAGTTATGTGAGTGCCAAAACTTCTTTGCAGTACAGAACATGAGTAAAGTCAATTCAATACGTGAACACAGAACTTGCAATTGATAAGTACTAAATTAATCGGATAAGCATCTTTTACTATAATCATACAGTCTTCTTTTTGGTGACATGCAGAGGGCACATGCCTTAGTTTTGAGAGGATGTGCTTTGTATAAAGAGCTAATTTACCAATTTTTGCATCCGTCGAGAGGTAGGTCCAACGATAATGAATTCTATTTAAAGGTCATACTGAGGTAAGACATAATTGCATGAGTTTGGCCCTGCTGAGCTGGTATTTAAGAAGAAAGTTAACCACCGAGCATCAATTTGAAGAGAGTATTCAAATTGGCCAAATTAAGGAGCATCACATATGAATCTGTCTATCCAAGTGAGATGAATTCTTTCAGATGACAATTATACTTATATCCATACACATACATATGATTAAAGGCAGCTATTTAAAAGAGAAAAAGGTCGTCTTCTTTGGGTACTAAATCACCATACTGTCGAGCCATTCTTATGCGTTACTCCATACTTTATTTGTATACAGTCTACCTTTTTCAACTCTATATGCTTCTTTTTTTTTTTTGCTTTTCATATATCAACCCCGTTTCTTCTGAGATATCTCTTATTATATTCGATTAATATTCAATATGCTATTGAGGTTGGGTATGCTTAAAAGGGGACAACTAAGATTGATAGGAAAGTGTGGAATAGTAAATAAATTACCGACCTTATTTAAGACAATCCTGGTGAGATGCTATTCTACCCCAGGATTGGATAAGCGGAATGAGATTATACATACAACACTTCAGAACAACCCACAAGCCATTCTTAAATCAGCTACAGTGCAGAAGAACAATAAGGGAATTCCATTGAAGTCAGCGATAATACTAATATTTAGTACTGTAGTGAGTACAATTTCATTTTATGTAGCAATTCAAATTTGGCTGGACAAAGAAGAGCACCAAAGTAGGAAAGTAGTGTTTGTTCCACTATGGTTGAATATGAATCTAATATCCACAAGTAAATATCACTTCCCTTCTGCACTAAAGTACTTAGATAATGACTTCCACCAGTACATAGCTTCAGAAATTGAACTTGCAAAGGGAGAAAAGCCATTTTTGAAGGATTTTCAAGAGGTTGATGTAAAGTATAAAGTATTGGAAAAGTTGTCTTCAAATAGGATGTTGAGAAAGTTTTTCCATTTACCAATTCCAATTGAGCTTAATGATGACTGTAAGTTCAGTATTTGGATGGAAACCAAATGTCCAACGGTCTCGGGTATACAGGTTGTTTCAGAAGATGGGGTAGACTTGTCCTGGACCATGAAACCATTTAATATCAGATCTATGGTTGAAAGTGCGCTAATACAGGCAGGTTTAAAATTAGATCGCTTAGAACGGTCACAGGCGAATCAAAAGGTACATGAGAAGGCTAGCGGTAAGATTCACGAGGTGCCGATAAATAAACAGAAGTTTCTTAGTTTGAATTCGGAAAAAGATTACGAAATATATTTCACAGGTGAATTTATAATTCTGAAAGAGAATGGAGAGTCGAATAAAGGCAAGTTAAAATACAAAGGTAAAATAGATTTCGATCACTTGATGATCAACAGAGGAGTTAAATTGGTAGAATTATGCATTGATTTTCCCGAGGGCTACCAGGACGGATCCATTACAAGGTATAAAGTAATTTGAGCGAGCAAGAAAAGTAATTAGTCATGCTTACTGGAAAAGAAATAGGAAAAGATCATGGTTTAGAAATAAGAAATGCAACAACAAACATAAGTGCAATAGGTAAATAAAATCAAAGGGGATAACTACAACGTTTGCAATAGGAAAAAGAATAACTAATGAAAGAATAGAATAAGAATACGGAAATCGGAATCGGAATCGAAATCGGTATCGAAATCGAAATCGAAATCGACACTTCCCTGTAAGCCTTACACCACGTAGAAAAAAACCCTCGTAACTCTACAAGAAAAATACCCTGTAGTGTAAATAGTCATTGCTTCTATAGCACTTCACAGACTCTCACTTTTTTTATTTTTTTTTTACTTGCGTTATGCAACCTTGAAAAACTTCCGCATTTAGTCTCGCTATCTCATATGTAGTGGGCGGATGATCGGTAACTACTCAGACCAATAGGAGTAAATGTAGCTCAGGTTCCTCTTACTTTTCGTAATTGCTACTGTTTCAATCCAAATAGTTCATTACTTGGATTAAAACCTTCTCAGAACTTCAATCGGCGTAAAAAACTTGCCGACTAACCAATTCTGTGAGTCGGTTATCCCCATATTTCTCGAACTTCTCCACCGCTTTAGGCTCTTCTTCCGATAGATTTAAGTCGCATTTTCTTTATCGGGCGAAAAAATAATTTCAGCTCACAACGAAAAAAAAAACGGTAGCCCGGAAGTGTTTATATCTAAGTCAGGGCCAAGGTATTTAAATCTAAGCATAGCATCGTCTGAGTGCAGAGCTGTAAGAACATAAGATGGATAATACAGTATCGACCTCGACAAAGAGGAAAAAGTCAGACGCTTCTAAAAATCGGAAATCAGCTCAAGTGAATCGAGTCCCTAACGCATGTGAGATATGTAGAGAGAAGAAAACCCGATGCTTCAGAGATCCTGACTACACTGCTTGCATGAGATGTAAAGCTACTAAGCAATTGTGTTCATTCGAAAGAGAAGAAATGTCGCTACAATCAATTGGTGGACCCGTGATCCCAACGACTTTCCAATTGGGCTCAGACATGAAGATAGACAGATTGGATTCGCTACAGCGTAGTGTCAATGAAGTGTTGAGTATCTTGAAAAGGGAACCCGGTCAGGTCCAGTATCAACGCGAAAATAACAATAGTAATATGATAGATATGGGTTACAATAATGTAAAATATGGGAATGTGCTTGGTATTGAAACTCCAGGATCAAGAGAACCAGGTATCAGTAGTGACCCACATGCTACCAAGGCCGTTGATGATATTCTGACGTTTCAGACTCCTACAAATTCATTTGAAGCATCAGCGTATCTGATTGTGACGAATCAAATCCAGTCAAATTTCATTCCCAGTCCTATTTTAGACCTTTTGGGATTGAATCCGTCCCCAGCAAACAGCAACAAACCCAATGAACACTTCGACGATGTAATATCCAAAGGAATAATACCGGAGTCCGATGCAATTGACCTTATGAATGATTTTAGAAGAAATTACGGAAGGTGGATTCTGTTTCCGTTAAGTATATCATCATCCATTTTGATAGATAGGATCAGATACAAGTCTTCGTTACTTTTGACTACATGCTTTTGCTTGTCTTTGAGATACTCTCTTAATGGTATAATCGATCCAGTGCTTTTGGAGAGAAAGAGAGCAATTCACAGACTATTAATAAAAGAATTGGCAAAAGATATGGGAAACGCTTTAATGAAGTTTACATGCTTCAGTGGAGTAGAGAGTGGACATATTGAATTTATGCAAGCGTTGGTGCTTTTATCGATTTATGCATTGTCCTTGTCTTCAATGGCTAAATCAGCCGTGGAGGGGTTTGAAAATTTAGAGGACGAGTTGAAGTTGGATGCTTGGTTGTTGTCTGGGCTAGGCTTAAAAATGTTTGTTACAAAATCCTCGTTCGGTTCGTTATTAAGGGGTTCGACATCTAGACAACAGAAAAAGCTAAAGGAAGAACAGCAACGTCAACTACAGCAGCATCAAGAACAGCAACATCAACATCAGCATCGACATTCAATCGATAGTAGCTTAGCACAATCACCGTTCACTATATTTTATGATGAATTAGACCTGGAAGAGTTTCAAAAGTTAGCAGTTTTGAGAACATACAACCATCTCACGCTAGTGCATCTAATAAACTGCATATTCTCTGGAAGAATGTGTATAATTGATAACATAAGATTGAAATACAGCAGCGCTACATTAAGTTTACCAAGTTCTACTAACTTCGATGGTAGGATGGTAAGTGAAATTGGGATATTGTTGGTTGCATACAATTACATTCAAGAAAATCTTTGTAATAGCAATAACGAAAAGGTTAGTATTTCAGAAAAAATTAGAGCGAGTGAGTATCAATTCGTATCAGTTAAAGAAGAAATTAGAAGCTGGTACGAACAATGGGAATATTTGTTCAGTCAGCCGGCTCCCCAGTTCGTAGAATTATGCTATCACTTTTGCTGCATGATGATATATTATGCCCACACTTACCAAAGAGCCATTTTGATCGAAGGTTATCCAGTAGGAACTGAAGAATCTCTTATTGCCAATCTTTACAACGAAAATAACATTTTGTTTCTTTTGAAACATGCGGATGATAATTCATTGAATAAAATCTTGATGCATGCAATCAACTTAGTCAGATTTGTTAATGTCATTGAAAGTGATTCGTATTTTGCATATCTACTGGATCAAATTCATTTCTGCTTCTTTTTTGCTGGTGTCATGATCCTTAGACTATGTGCCGAGAATGAAAACCCAAATAATGAAATTAATAGATCCACACTAACTAAGAGAGAAATAATGGAAATTAAAGGAGATATCAAAGTATTGATTCTGAAATTTCGAATGATGAGCAATTCCACCAACAGTCCAGACAATTTAACTGAGAAGTATTGTCTTGGTTTAGAAAGTTTATATGTTGGAATGTATGGAACTTCATAAGAATTTGACGCAAGCTAGATGCCGGTGAAACAAGAAAAGTAGCACTTTTGAGTTTGAGTTAGTCTGGTTAGTCAATGTTAACGCAGGTGCCTTCGACGCATTTGCTAAGTATAGAACACTCTTGTATTTATTTTTGATCCTTATCGCGATTCGCCATTGTTATTGTACATTAATTTCAAAAGTTATATAGGCGGTTGAGGCGATCTTTGGCATTAAGGTTTTATTATTTATTAGATTTTTTATAGTTGTACTTTTATAAACATGTTTTTCAATAACGATGTACTTCTATAAAGTGAGCTTCCTCAAAAAATACGATATGCAGGTGATGCTTTCAAATGCGAAATATACGCAACCGAAGCAAGTTGGTACAGCTCACTTCACATCATTTCGCGTAAAATGCATGCACAGCTTCCCCCAGTATGTTTACCTTTACCAACAAATCCAAGAGAAATAGAGAGATAAAAGAATTAACAGTATTTGAAAGAGAGAAAAAGAGAGAGAGAGAGTGAGAGAGAGTCACTAGATAAAGTGTACTCGTACTACTCAGTTTCCAAAATTAGAATAAGATTCGTGCTTATACTGTCGTGGCTACTGTTAGACTTAGCGGAGAATTTTTAATACCTCGGTGTACTTACAAAATACTTCACGACATTCTAAAAACTCAATGGTCCAGATCTTTTCGTGAGATGTTCCAAACAACCTCGACTGGCGCACTAAGAAACTTCGTGGCTGCAGATTCGCGTATTTGCATAATTGCTTGCTTTTCATTTTATTTAATTTTTTTTTTTTTTTTTCACTAAATTGTATTAAATGCCTTTTGCAACAATTGATAATTAACCTGAAGAAACAGCTACAGTTCTCTCTACTGCTAAGTATAGACCATCTTCTCCATTGCAGCACAGCTTTCGCTGCTGCAATCTTCAATTTGGAAGTAAAAAATCGGTCTTCTATTAGAAAAAAGTCACGCTAGTTAAGATCGTACCAGATCTCAGTTAGATCGAGAAATATACAATTATAATCACAAGAGCGAAGAGAACTACCAAAGGCTTTAGCCATAAGACTACATAGCATAGACCAATACTTGAATATTCACTTGTGTATGAGTGTAGTATGATTGAAAGGTTAATACTTGCACAAAAATGTTGATTAGGTGGATACCTTCATTGTCTCTGGTGCACCAGCTTAAAAAGCATTCACCTACAGGTCTAGTCTTTTTTTGGGCCGCACCATTTTTAGCCTTCAAGGTAAGAAAAAGCTTACCTGCAAGGCTCAGGGTGGTTTATGTAAAGTTTAGTGTTGCGCTGGATTTCAGGATGAGCTGTCTTTTCTTCTGCCATAGTGCATCGTAAAACAGACAAGCGACACGGTAGTTTCCACAAACTGTTAGCTGATCGCATCACAATATTTTCTCGATCTATTATTATTATTATTTTTCTTATTATTATTTATTATCATTCTCACTATTGTTATTATGAGTCTATGAATAATATATCACAACGATTCTCGTTATTATTATTTTTTTTTTTTTTGGTGATTATTTTTCCCTCTTTCTTCCGGTGGTGATTAAACTTTAAAGGCGGAGATTCAGAAAATTTGCACCTCACCTCGATTTTTCCCACACTGGACAAGCACCTCACAGGCAACCTATATACCACATAAAGAACCTTTTTACGCCCCTTCTGAGTCGGGCAGCTATTTCCGAATTGGTCGTTCCCAAAATGGCACTTCAATTCTTACCATATATTCTCAACGTCCAGCTTTCCACTTTTGCGTCAAACGTCGATAATTGATTTGACCTTGACGCATTGTACATCCTTGATAATTCCTGTTTTTTTCTGATGTATTTCTTTTTACTTCGGCTTATTATTTTTTTTTTTTTATTATTTTTCACTGAATTTCACTCACTAGCCTCTAGACTCGTAGGTTGCCTCGTATATTGGAAGTTACGATAGTATATAACCAAATGGGTTTGTCGTAATTTTTCTGCCGCTCTTTCTCTCGTCTTCTGCTTCATATTCATCGTGGTTTCTTTGTAACGTTAACAAGTAGTACCTCTCTTATATAGTAGCACTACCTGGAGATGCGTATACATTTGATCTGTGCATTATTTTTGGTTTCAGCCGCCTGCGCCAAATCCCCATCATCAAAATCATCGTCAGATGTGGTGATTATAACTGATACCAATACAAACCCTGGGGCCAAGACTTCGACAACCTCCACGGCTTCAGTATCTTCAGCATCTTCGAAAACTTCTTCAGACCCATTGATAACATCATTGGCCACATCCAAAGTCTCGTCACATAGCTCGTCTTCTACTGTTCTTAATGCAGCAGAGAGTGCTATCCAGGCAACAGATGCCTACGTCGTCAGCATCTTGAGGGATAGAGAAGCATTATATTCATTTTTGCAGAACACTGCAGAAGCCCTTTCTTTCTACCAAGGTGCATATGAACTGAAATACGGCACAGCATGGTCTGAGGCTATAGTTTCAGATTTAAATAAAGTGACAGCCAGTAACGGTGCATCATCGATTCTTGTAGCTTATGAATCACTTGTACCGCAGATTACAGCCAATCCTGAGTCTGACACCGAAAGGTATGCAAGTCTCTTATCAGAATTTGAATCTGCTCAAACGGCATGGCTGCAATTCTTCACCCCCTCGGCTAGTTCGGCGAGCACCGATGGTCAAGCTGTAGTATCATGGGTGACGGCGACTGCCTCTGCTGTTACTACGGTATCGATGCTTGAAGTCGCGACGACCGCATCAAAGGGAGGATCCGCATCAAAGTTTGTTCCATTATTTGGACTACTTGGAGGCGTGGCTGTAGTACTACTTTAGGTAGGCTAATCTTTGAAAGTTAGTTCTTCTACTAATCCTCCAGTACACATACCTACTCCATATGTATAATTCACCGGAGACAGCAAATGCTCCAGGTTCGCATGAGGTAATGTGCTAGGAGGAGAACACTACAAATTAATACACTCAGCAAGAGTACAGGGTACTCAAAAATCACATCATATTTCTGGCAATACTGACGGAATTCATTGCATTAAGTTCCAAGAACTATATATTTCTTATTACATAACATTTAATTACTTTCCTTCCACTCTAATAGAGCAAATAGACAGGTGGAAGACAAGAATACAATTCAACGGACTAAAACAAACACTCACATGTAGGACTGATGTACTGGCGCATAAGGCACTGTCTAATTCAAATGACCCTTGTAGTTTGCTTCCATGTAATCTATATGAACAAACGCCCTTTCCACGTTAGGTAATGTCTCGATGGCATATTGAAGCGCCTCAGCAATATCATGACAGTCCCTAAAACTCAAGTCGAATTCTTCCATGGCAAACACAACGTCAATCTCCACGTTTAAGTTATCTCCCACATGGTACACCTTCAATGCAGTGATTTGTTTGACAGATTCTGCAAATCTATATGCCAAGTATAATATCACCTTGTAATCCAAAGGATCTGCCACGGCACCTGTCAAGTTATCTATGTGACCGAACCCAGTCTTTGCCCACGATACTATAATATATACAGACAAAAGGAGTGCACCCAAAGAATCGAACCACCAAATATTCAAGAAATACCCTAATGTAGGCATTAACAAAGACACGCTATTGAACACAATATCAGTCATTGCATCCTGTGCCAATGCTTGCACCGAAGAAGATTTGCTCAGAGCACACCAAATCCAACATCCCACCTTGCAGATAATGGTGAAAAGCATAATAAATCCAGCACTTGCGCCAATTTTCACGGGGTATCGAGACTCTGGTGTACTGAAGACCAACCTCTTGAATGATTCTTGGCCGACTTGAACAAATGAAATTATAATAATGATAGAGAAGATCAAGACGCCTAAGGGCTCCAATCTTGATCTTCCCACAGGGTAGGCATGCTCACTTTGCCAGTTTTTGGTATTTGAAAGCTTATTAGCAATGAATATGATAAAAGTAGAAAGGAAATCTAAAACCGAATCAACCAATGATGCAACCACTGACATGGAGTTGGTAAGGAGACACACTATGATTTTCCCAACGAGTAATACAAAATTTATGAAGAAGTTTACCAATATGGCTAGAACAACATCTTTTGAGTCTTCTTCTTGGTTGTATCCCAAGAACTGAGCACCTTCAATTTGAACATTCCCAGGGTGATCATTAAATCTGGTTTTGGAATTCGTGGTGTCTGTGCTACCAACATTATCTTCTTCGTGGACAGCAGAATCTGTGACCATAGGTGACGCTTTTGGATAGTCCATAGACTGGCTTCTAGATTCTGAAGGTGAATTTGGTGTGGGCTTGTCATACTGACTTAGCATATTTAAGTGGATCTGCCCAGCGTCAAGTAAGTTATCGATTTCTTGGAATCTCTCAATGAGTGAATTCTGGTTTATATAGTATTGGCGAACCTTTTTGTCTTTAATGCTGTCTACATCATCAAAGGTCAAGTCTATCCAGTGAGCCATTGGTTCATAGTGTCCAATAAGCTTGTCAGGCCGCATAACCGACAATATACTTGTTCTGTGGGGAAAGTTTTCATTAAACCCGATTTCCAAGTCATTGCCACCATCAGCACCACCATACCCATCTTCTGCCGGTAATCTCAAGCTACTGGCACTGCCGAGGACATTTAAGGAATCTGAATTGCCAGGATTGGTCACCAGCACATAGTGGGACCCCAACAATCTCTGATAAAGTGGTACATTCATCTGCAGCGGATGACTAGAAATGCCTGCTTGGTTGGACATGGATCCATGTCTGTATCTACTAAATGATGGCCTTTGAGGACTGGCAGGAGAGCTTATAGCGTTTCCGTTGAAGTTTCCATTGAAGTTTCCATTGGTAGAGTTATAATTGTTATTATTACTGTTGCTGGTGAAGTCTTGTCTAGCGAATGCGCTGTTTTCCGGTATAGCGCCATACTGTTGCGGCCTATCTCCCCCAGATAATATACTGTCTTCTTCAGAATTTCTCATACTGGATGGCATCGTGCTAGGGGTAGTTACGGGGGTGGTCTATGAACACTTGAGTGGGTAAATGATAAAAGATCGCTGTCCACTACCACTGGGAATTTCGGGACGCCTGAACTGCTATTTTTCATATGTTTTTTGCTAGTCATTTAAGATTTTTCGCTTGATAAGAAATTAAGCTTTCCAGAAAGGGCGGTGTAGAAAAGAGCTAGCAAATCGTGCACTCCGATATACAAAGATGACCAGCTCATGGGCATTGGAAGATTATGAAGATAGTTAGAAGGGAAAGCGGTATCTAGATGAAACTTCTGCTCTAGGGTCAACTGTTTTGTTTTCCGCTAGAACAATTGCTGTAGGGGTAGTATAGCAGCGTAGTTTGAGCAGCCCAATGTGGTAGCTCAACTTTGTTCCATGCGCAAGAAACGTTTTCGGTCCGAAGCTCCCCATCGCAAAAAGCTAGGCCAGTGAGAAAAAATAGAAAATCTCTAGAGCAGAGCTAAGCCTAGTGGGGGAACGGTCTAGATAAAGCTAGAGGACCAAGAAGTGAGAACAGAACAACACCATGACTCAAAAGACATATATATAGAGGAAAAAAAAAAAAAAAAAAGAGAAAAAGAAGGGAGGTCGCAGGATTGCACCAGTCTATCGATAGTTCAATAGTCTAGTTGAAACTTGGATCCCCCACCTGTTTCCCCACCAGTTTCCTTCTCACACGAAACGATAGCAAATATTTGTAAACCAAAAGCATCAAACCAAAAGCATCATAGTGCAGCAAATGCAAAACCAGGAGCAAAAGCATGAGCAAACGCAAAAGTAAGTTTCCACTATACTTTCTACCATCATTACTAATTATTTACAATTCTGTTACATTTCACTCACAGTAGCTCCTGCCGCCCATATCCAGTGTTCCATAAGCTTCAGCTTCCTTACCGAATATTATTAATTTTTAGAATAGTTCTGCCACGATCTTCCTGACTAAGTGCATTGAAATTGTGCATAAAAGTCACGTGGAGGACCATCAGAAGACTTCACTATATAAAGTGCGACTCTGGAGAACTAACCCCCGACAACAATTTTAAGGTTAATTATTCATTAGTACACTTTGGAATTTCTTCTTTCTATTAGTTGTGAAAATTATTCAATTTCTTTGACCTAAAATGACCTTTAACTTATCTACTGACCTTCCAGCTTGGAAAAAATTACAAGCTTTGTACAATTCCTCAGGAAAGGATTTCAAAGTCACAGAAGCTTTCCAAAAGGACCCTCTGAGATTTGAAAAATATTCCAAGACCTTCACTAACTTCGATGATTCCGAAATTTTGTTTGATTTCTCTAAGAATTTGATTGATGACGAAGTTCTTGCTGAATTATTGGAATTGGCCAAGGAGGCCAATGTGGAAGGTTTAAGAGATGCCATGTTCGCTGGTGAAAAGATCAATACTACTGAAGATAGAGCTGTCTACCACGCTGCCTTGCGTAACAGAGCCTTGAAGACAATGGCTGTTGACGGTAAGGATACCTCTAAGGAAGTCGATGATGTCTTGCAACACATGAAGGAATTTTCCGATCAAGTCAGATCTGGTGAATGGACCGGTTACACCGGCAAGCAAATTACAGATGTCGTTAACATTGGTATTGGTGGTTCCGACTTGGGTCCAACCATGGTTACTGAAGCCTTAAAGCACTACGCTCAACCAGGTTTAAATGTCCACTTCGTTTCCAACATCGACGGTACTCACATTGCCGAAACTGTTAAGGGCTTAAACGCAGAAACCACTTTGTTCCTTGTCGCATCAAAGACATTCACCACCGCTGAAACTGTCACCAATGCAAACTCCGCTAAGACCTGGTTCTTGGAATCTGCCAAGGATACCAAGCACATCGCTAAGCATTTCGCTGCCTTGTCTACCAATGCTGAAGAAGTCGCCAAGTTTGGAATTGACACCAAAAACATGTTTGGTTTCGAAAACTGGGTTGGTGGTCGTTACTCCGTCTGGTCCGCTATTGGATTATCCGTTGCCATTTACATTGGTTTTGACAACTTCAACAACTTCTTAAAGGGTGCTGAAGCTGTTGACACTCATTTCCAAACCACACCATTAAGTGAAAACATCCCAGTATTGGGTGGTTTATTATCTGTTTGGTACAACAACTTCCATGGTGCCCAAACCCATTTGGTTGCACCATTTGACCAATACTTACATAGATTCCCAGCATACTTGCAGCAATTATCCATGGAATCTAACGGTAAGTCTGTCACAAGAGGAAACAGCTTCACTGATTACCAAACTGGTACCATCTTGTTTGGTGAACCAGCAACCAACGCTCAACACTCTTTCTTCCAATTGGTCCACCAAGGTACCAAGTTAATTCCAGCTGATTTCATTCTTGCTGCTCAATCTCACAACCCAATTGAACACAACTTACATCAAAGAATGTTGGCTTCTAACTTCTTTGCCCAAGCTGAAGCTTTGATGGTTGGTAAGGACAAGGCTCAAGTTGAAAGCGAAGGTGCTACTGGAGGTTTGGTTCCACACAAAATTTTCTCTGGTAACAGACCAACTACTTCTATTTTGGCCCAAAAGATTACTCCTGCTGCTTTAGGTGCCTTAATTGCCTACTATGAACACGTTACTTTCGTTGAAGGTGCCATCTGGAATATTAACTCTTTCGACCAATGGGGTGTTGAATTAGGTAAGGTTTTGGCCAAGGTTATCGGAAAGGAGTTAGAAGACAAGACCCAAAAGGTTGAAACTCACGATCCAAGTACCAAGGGATTGATCAACAAGTTTAAAGAATGGTCCGCTTGAAATGAAGAAAATAATGAATTGGAGAGAACAAAGAAATTGAAGAAATTAACTGCAAATTTTTGACTTCTCTCTTCTGCATTAAAAAGGCTGAGTGAGTAAATACGATAATAAAAGCAATGAATATATGAAAATCTTTTAAACAGTCGACGTAGCATGAATTTTAAGTGTTTTTGCACTTCTACTAGTAGGTTCAAGTACATATAACTGCTGCACTTTGATCATCGCAAGTGGGTCTTATGTACAGGAACATCGAAGTTTTTGAATAGCGGCTCTTCTTTTTTTCTTTAAGTACTTCTTCATATCTAAGAGTTGGTGTATAAATATATTTTAGCCCTGTTTAGAGGAAAAGAGGTTTACTAAATTCTATCTCATTGGTCTCTGTAATATGTCAGATACAGAAATACCCCCACAATTTGAAGAAGATGGCGTATTAGATAACCCATTAAGGGCCATTATTGTGATAAACTCACCAGATATTCCCGAAGGTGAGATGGAAGAAAGATTGCTTGACACTATACAGAGCTTTGAAGATATGAATGCATTCTTTGATAAGTTTGATGAAACAGTTGCCATTCCAAACGAAGAACATATAAAATATGAGGTTGGAAGCGATGGTATGGTTGTGGTTTTAGTGGATTCTAAAGAGGTGAAGGATAAAGTAGTTGCATTTTTCGATGAGTATGTTGGAACTGAAGGTGAAGGTGCTTCGAAGCAAAATGTAGCTGAAGATGAAGGCAGAGAAATCAAAAAAGCTAAAAGGGGAAAGAACTGAAGAAGCTAAATATATAGACTATTACAACGTAATATACCAACTGTACCATAGACAATAAAAGAGAGAGATAGAACGATCTAGTTTAGAAGAGAGTAATAATACGTAGATACTCTAGCGAGAGAATCTTTTTGTAGCTCAGAAACTTCAAATAACGTTCGAGCATTGGAGTAGTGAGGGATTCAGTATTGATTCTAATCAGACAACCATGGCCAAGATTACTGAAACCTCTGCTCCTCCGCATCCATAGTCTCTATATGCTTAACTAGAATGGGTATACTGCTTTCCTTCAAGAAAGCAAGCGCACTTTGTTTAGCAGTGGTAGAATATGACCTACTTTTGCAATTTAGCACCCTATATTTTTGTGAGCATTTTCTAACTTCTTTAAGTCAAAATATATCAAATTTAAGTGCTCTTCATAGGCTCAGCTCCTAAATATCTCACTCAAGTGTAATAATGTGTCATCTAGCGGCACGTTAACATTACTTCAGATACCCTTATACTCTCTGGCAAATGTGCAGCACTTTATTCTTGTGCAGTTTTGTGTAACTTTACCTCGCCTGTGTCTCCGCCAACTCCCAAGATATCTCACCCTGTAACAAACCAGTGCTTTGATCAGATTGACCCTCAATATCTCATCAATTCAAGTAAAAAAACTGACTGCAAATATGAGCGATTGGAGAAGCATCGATATTTATGCATTAGAGCCGGAAAACTTCTTAACTAAGCAAGACTTGATCCCTGATTTGCCGCCCGTCTCACATGACGTTATTGTAGGTATCTCTCAACAGTGTCGTCAAGCTTTGTCACTGGGTCAATTTATCGTGGCATTGACTACTGCGTTGGACACACCACCATATGTGGCCGATGAAGCTACCAAATCACTTCACGCAGAAACTGTATTTGAAGTATTGTGCTCAATTAGAAATAATCACAGTGTTAACGACTTATCTAAGTTTGTTACTCAATTAGATAGCACCCAGCAGGATACGTTAGTCAAATATTTATATAAAAGTATGGGTACTGGATATGGAACCAAGCAAGGTGGTTTATTGTTAAGTTGGTTTGAAAAGACTGTGGAGATAACTGGTTTAGGACCCATAGTTCGCTATATGACTGATAGAAGAACGGTGTAGAGCAAAGTGATCGACAGATTCAAAGAATCCAGTGAATCATCTACCAAAAGTTGTACATTTTTCATTTTCTACTTTTCAGAAATAAACGTAAATATATATTAAAACATGATGTAGGGAGTTGAAGTAAACAAAAGGGTAAAAGGGGGTATAAAGGTGTAAATTGTATTAGACGAAGAAGGTGTATTGAACCTGGGCTCTAGTGGTTCTATCTTTATTATTTTCTGGTTTTCTGATTTCTTAGATATATCATCAGATATTTCGTGATAACTAGCTGTAGATGATGTTTCTTAGTTTGGAGCTCTTGAGTGGAGGGTGGTGGAAATGCTGGCCAGATCTTTTCATTCTATTTTCTGTCGTAGCACTATCCTGCTTGGACGGACCTAACACTGGTTTAACAAGCGGAGCGTTCTCCACCCCAGTATCTTCTTCTTCTTCTTCACCACCTTGATCAGTGCTTCCATTCTCATCGCCTATGTCATTTTCATGGACATCTTCATATATTTGGGGACCATGGAAGATTGAATCGCTGAAAGTGGTGAATTGATCTAAGAAGTCTATACTAGGAAGAGTATGGATCTCCTTAGTAGGTGGAGAGAAGGAGCCAAACGATATTTTAGGAAATGATACGGTTTCAACTCCTTCGCTCAAATTGGAGTGTACCGTGGAATTAGAAGCGTCTCTCTCTGTCTTAGCTAGCTTTTTGGTCAATTCTTCATTCTCAAGCTTATAAACATCCAACTGTTCATTTACACCATCAAATTTGCTATTCAAGTCCTTCATTTCAAAGATGGTTTGTTGCAACTTACCTTTAACTGCTTCCAATTGAATAGTATTTTCGTCTCTAGTACTTGATAATTCCAATTCTAATTTTTCAGCTTCCATCATCTTAATAGAAAGCTTTCCTTTCACCAGTTCAAGGTCAATGTTAGCACTATTCAATTTATCTGTCAAATCATCAGTTTGCTCGAGTTGTAGCTTGGCCTGCTCTAATTCTGATCTTACAGTTCCAAGTTCAGCTGTAAGACTTACCGTATTGTTAAAAGTTTGTTTTAAATCGTAGACTTCTTGTGTCTTCTTTTCGAGCACTTCTTTCAATTCATGTAGTTCGTAATTGTACTCGTCTAACTGTTCCTTGGTCTTTAAAAGCTGGCTCGTTAACTCTCTCTCAGAATTTTGGTGTTTTGCTATAGTACATTCTTTCAGCTCCAAGTTACTTTGTAAAGTTTCATTTTGGTTGTTGAGCTCCAATATGGTTTCTTCATATGTTTCTAAAGTATTTTCAAGCTTTTCAATCTCTTCTTGATTGGAATTGTTCAAATTTTCAGTAGCAACCCTAACTGTTTTCAATTCTTGGGTCAAGTCATCGTTTATTCCTTTAATACCATCCAACTGAAATTTCAATGCGTCTACAATCTTGTTGAATGACTCATGTTCATTTTGGAAATTGAAGAAATCTCCCTTAAATTCATTCCAATGTGTGGTCAATGCTGATCTCTCTTTATCTAATCGTTCAACATCTTTTGTTAAAGCTTCAGCAAGTTTTTGGCTGACTGTTAATTGATCTTTCATACTGGACACTTCTAATTCATGGTCATGTTTAATAGTCGACATATTAAGGGTTAATTCAAGTTTCTCATCGACATATACTTTATTCTCTGATTTCAATTGTACATTCTCTTCCTTCAACTCCTTTAACTCTTTCATCAAGGAGGAAATTTGGATTTCATGGTCATCAGGGAGTACTTGAATTGATTTGCCAACTTGAAGGCGGCCAGGATTACTATTAATTGGAGCTGATACGATCCTTCTTGGCTTGTCGTTGGAAGCGACCCGCTTCCTAATTGGGCTGATGGATAAAGATCTCCTTTGTGAATTAAAAGTAGAAGATGAGCCACATTTCTTCGGACTGATCAGCTGGGATCTCTTTCTCATCTTAATGGGAGATAATGAAGCAATTGTGGGTCTGGTATAATTAGGGGGTGACACTGTCAAAGACAAAGGTGAAGTTGGAGAAAGCGTGAGTTTTGTACTCTGAAGCTGAGAGGGTTTAGTGTTTGTTTCGACGTCATTTTGAACCAATTCTGCAATATTGTTAAATGCAGATTTATTCAAGTCATTATCGCCTTGCGGATCAATAACCAAACAAATGTTAATCTTTCTATCTTTTTCATTGATATTTTTCTTAAAGATTAAGTTTGTTATGAAGTTGGAAGATCTAACGTAGAATGGGTCATCAAATGGGGAAATTGATGCGTTATTGTTACTATTCGCAGTAGTTAACATCTTGGTAATCGAACTAATATTCATGTTAGCAAATACATTAGACATCTTGGGCATAGCCTTATCGAATTTTTCATTCCCCATCAAATCCATGTAGACAAACTTTTTCCCATTCTGGATCAAGTAAATGACTAAGCATGATCTGCTTGATTCAGTATTGAAGGGCGTCAGTTGAGTCAATCTCTTCCTGAAGATACTATTGAGCAACTCATCTTTGGTATCATTGTCAAATTTAACCTTTTTACAAGATATGTCTCTTGTCAGATGGTGGTATTCCTTTTTCGTGAATCTCAGATCACGTTCAAGTAAATCGATTGCATACTTATTATTTGCAACTTCAAATGCCGACAAGAAGGTAGGGTACTTTGCAGATCCCACAATGGTTGATGATTTCAATTTAAGATTGAGCAATTCTCTTAAGGCAGTAGTCTTACCACTGCCAGTTGGTCCCATAAAGATATAGCATGGGGAGCTATCTTCAGCACCATCTCTATGTTCTTGCTGAACCAAATACTCTAAGGACTCATCGTGATCAAAGATCTTTTGAAACTTGTAGAGCTTGCTATTAAACTCAACCGTATCCTTATCAACGTAGAATTCCTCGGTGGATGGCGTCTTTAACTTTAAGTAAAGAGGAATCATCTATGAACCCTAGATCAAACTATGCAGTTTGGTAGAGCCTGGTAAATCGCACAAGGGGAATAATTAAGAGCGAAGCTTTCCAAAAAAGCAAAAAGTCTCACTTGTTACAACAATAGTTAGGAAATGTGCAACAGACAAGTCTCTTTCCTTATCAATTCTTATTTAGTAAATCAAGAAGTGAAGCACGTTAGTAAGAAGAAAAGAAAAGTATTTCTACAGAAAGTCTACAATCTATATTATTTTTTTGGCCGTCATCTTCTTTGTTCCTGAATTGTGGATATTAGCCATCAACCCTCTATCTTAATTACATATTTTTCCCTTCGATATGCATTTCTAATACTTAAAATTGGGAATGTTCTCTGTAAATTATTTTTTTTTGGTCTAAAACAGAATACACGAGCATTGTGCTATACCAATTTTGTTTACCTCTTATCCGAATGCAGCTCTTGACGATGAGGTTCGCTTGATGGATTATTTTTTTCCGATAGAAATCAAAAACATTAAGAAATCCAATTTACCCAATTGGGATAAGGTATATGCAGGCGATCCTCATCACTATGTACAGGAAACTCCGTTTGGAATCTCATTTGGCTGTATGCAGTACTGGATAGATTACCAGTTTGGTTGCACCCCAACTAATTTGCAGGTTATTGAACACTGACATGGAATTCTGTAACGTCACTTCTGAGACTCTCACCGGAAAAGCTTAAAAGGTGGGGCACTAATTTTTCAATTTGATTCGTTGCTGTCGGAGAAATCTAATTTTGAGTAACACCTTGTAAGAGCATTTTAGAATTGCTGCACTATATAATAAATCGGAATCTCCCTTGAATTTTTTCCAGGACGAGCTATAAAATTATTAAAACTGAAAAGGAAAGCAATTAGTTTTCAAAGTAGTTTAATTAAAAAGAAAGAAAGAAAGAAAGAAAAGTTTTAAAGATGTCAATTAAGTTAAACTCTGGTTACGATATGCCTCTTGTTGGGTTCGGTTGTTGGAAGGTTTCCAACGACACCTGTGCCGAACAAATTTACAATGCTATTAAGGTTGGTTACAGATTATTCGATGGTGCCATGGACTACGGTAATGAGAAGGAAGTTGGACAAGGTTTAAAGAAAGCCCTTGATGAAGGTCTTGTTTCAAGAGAAGAACTTTTCATCACCTCAAAGTTATGGAACAATTACCATGACCCTAAAAACGTCCCAATTGCCCTTGAAAAGGTATTAAAGGACTTGGGATTGGATTACATAGATCTCTATTTGATTCATTTCCCAATTGCGTTCAAATTTGTTCCAATTGAAGAAAAGTACCCTCCAGGGTTCTACTGTGGTGATGGTGATAAATTCATTTACGAAGACGTACCCTTAGCTGAAACATGGAAAGCCTTAGAAAAGTTAACCAAAACTGGTAAGGTTAAGTCCATCGGGATCTCTAACTTCAACGGTGGTTTAGTTTATGACTTGCTTAGAGGTGCTGAAATTAAGCCTGCAGTATTACAAATTGAGCACCATCCATACTTGCAGCAGCCAAATCTTGTTGAGTATGTTCAAAGCGAAGGTATTGCAATCACTGCATACTCTTCGTTCGGACCATTATCGTTTGTGGAATTAGACCATCCAAAGGCCCTCGAAACTCCGAAGTTATTTGAGCACAAGTCTATTCAGTCCATTGCGGATGCGCACAAGAAGACTCCTGCTCAAGTTTTACTTAGATGGGCTACCCAGAGGAACATTGCCGTTATTCCAAAGTCCAATAACCCAGACAGACTTCACCAAAACTTGGTTGTAAACGATTTTGACTTGACCAAGGATCAAATTGATGAAATCAGTAAGCTTGATATTGGCTTAAGATTTAACAATCCGTGGGATTGGGACAAAATTCCAATTTTTGCCTAAGGTTTTTATTTGCCCGAGTATATAGATACATATGAAATTTCAATGAAATGCCTTAAGTAATAAAATTTGGATCGCACAATGAAGTCCAACCGTAGTCCTATTCTATTTACGTAGAGCCACCATATTCACCTTCAGTTAAGTGGTTCCAACTTACGAGAGCTGGGTACTCAGTTCACCTTCAGTTACGTAGTTCCCACTTACAAGAGCTGGGTACTTAGCTCATCTTCAATGCACTGGTTCCCCACACTTCAAGAGAGCGCAAATCTGCGGCACAGTGAGTGCGTTTGTGCAGACGGAAAACGCACCTAACACTGCGGCCTGGTGAAGAAAGCCGCTAGACCCGAAGAGCACACAAGCCCAAATGGCAAAATAATTTACAACTCAATCTGACACATCCAGATAGGGCCAAGGGAACTTACTTTAGAAACTGGGAATTAAGTTCAATAGTAACCTCAAGTAAAATATCTGCAGTATATCTCGCCTGACTCGAGCCCATCTTTAATACTATTTAGGGCCCTTCGAGAAATTCGCAACCAAAAATATCCTCTCTGCACTAGTCTGTTACATCGAGTAAGGAACTAAAAAGGCACACTCAATATTTGCCTAACTTCACTTAAAATTTACATGGCAAGAAAGGAAGCTCATCCCAGTCGTCATTGAAAGCATCACCCTCGTCAAATTACTAAAAGTACATCAAGCTGGATCCTGGCTCTAGCATAGCAATACTTGATACGTATTAAGGTTAAGGCTATACCTGAGAGGCAACTGGCTTATATACAGTTCCAGACGTGTTCTTACAGACACGAAAAATTAACTCACCAACTTTAAACTTAAGCACTACGTCAGTTCTTCTCTCTAGATGCTGTTTATTCCAAATATCATACCGAAAATGGAAAAACTTGGCTTTCACAAAGTAGGCAATAACCCGGCACCAGGGTATCCTTCCATCAATCACAATCAACCATTGAATAGAGGGTTGCCTCCATCAGCAAACTTCCCCAGAATGCAATTGAAGACCGAGCAGTGTAAAAATAATTCTGCCATATTGGTAAATAGAGTTGCAGTTAACCCGAATGATTTTAGAGGTGTAGACGATAATACAGCCGTCATATTGGATGGTATTGTTGTCTACCATATTCTTAAGAGTGATGATGTTACGCCAGGATACATAGGCTTAGGAGGAGACACTAGAAAATGGGGGGCTTGGTCCTATGAGCAACCAGTTGTAGTCGAACCTTATAGCAGGTTTCCAATTGCTCCACTTGGCTCAATTGACCTTTCTATTGAATTTCGTTCAAAGAAGAAGGCTCACGGAAATCCAGTCAATCATGATGATTTGATCGTCCAATTCCAAAGAACTTACATGAATCAAATCTTGCAGCCAACTCAGCCAATTATTATGGACTACGCTGGAGACTTGTTTTTGTTGAAAGTAATTTCAGTTCAAGCCATCGACATTGCTAGTGGTGCAGGAAATAACTTGGCTGATGTAACCGTAAGTACTGACTTGGGAACGAAGGGGATGCTTATCAAAGATACAATTGTCAACTTCTATCCTGAAGAAGGGGCGCTCATTAATTTAACTAAATCGTCGAATTCCAAGTCTAAGTCTATTCTGAATAAGCCAAGAGCTAATCCTATTATAAATCCGGATTTCAAGTTGGAAAGTATGGGAATCGGTGGGTTAGACAAGGAGTTTAGTCAAATTTTTAGAAGAGCGTTTGCCAGTAGAATTATATCGCCCGATTTGGTCGAGAAATTGGCCCTTAGACACGTTAAGGGGTTGTTATTATTTGGACCTCCTGGTACAGGTAAGACTTTGATTGCTAGACAAATTGGTAAGATGTTGAACGTCAAAGAACCAAAGGTTGTTAACGGTCCGGAAATGTTAAGTAAGTATGTGGGTGCCTCTGAAGAGAACATCCGTAATCTTTTCAAAGACGCTGAACAAGAATATAAACAAAAGGGAGAAAACTCCCAATTACATATTATCATATTCGATGAGTTAGATTCCGTTTTCAAACAAAGAGGCTCTGCCAAATCTGATGGTACTGGAGTTGGTGACAATGTGGTCAATCAGTTATTAGCCAAGATGGATGGTGTAGATCAATTAAACAACATCTTGATTATTGGTATGACCAACAGATTAGATTTGATCGATAATGCTTTGCTTAGACCTGGTAGATTTGAAATTCAAATTGAAATCTCGTTGCCTGACGAAAAGGGTAGAAAGGATATTTTATTGATTCACACCAAGAAAATGAAGGAGAATGATTTGTTAGCAAAAGATGTCAATTTTGATGAATTGGCTGTATTGACTAAAAATTTCACTGGTGCTGAATTGGAAGGTTTGTGCAATTCTGCCACTTCGTTCGCTATTAATAAGTTCACCAAGAGTGACTCTATCGCAAAGGTGGATGAAAATATATCAAAGATGAAATTAACTAGAAATGAATTTTTATTGGCCCTAAATGAAGTTAAACCTGCTTTTGGGGTTAATGAAGAAGATTTGACCAAGTCTTCTCCACATGGTATTATCCAATTCTCTCCAAGAGTTGGCCAAATTTTTGACCAGGGACAATCATTCATTGAAGAAGTGAAGGTTTCAGAAACTGAAAGATTAATATCTATATTATTATATGGACCTCCTGGGAGCGGTAAGACCGCTATCGCATCCACTTTGGCTTTAAATTCTGACTTCCCATTCATTAAAATGCTTTCAGCTGAATCTTTAGTTGGGATGTCGGAGCCCGCCAAAATTCAAGCGATTGATCAAATCTTCAGAGATGTCTATAGATCTCCATTGAATATTCTTGTGATTGATAAGATCGAAACTATAATAAATTACAATCCAATTGGTCCAAGATTTTCCAATGATATCTTCCAAATGCTCAAAGTTAATTTGACCAGGAAGCCACCTGGAGGAAGAAGGTTGTTGATTATCGGAACTACATCACAATATACTGCTTTAAAGCATATGGATGGTTTGGATGGCTTCACCAAAACTATCCCTGTCAACCACATTACTAAATTGGATGAATTGAAGAAGGTAATGGAGAAGGTTGGATTTATGTCAGAACATGAAAGAGCCCAGATCCTTCAACAATTGAGCGATGTGTTCTCGGCTTCCAATAATCAGTTTGATATGGAGGATTCTCACACTAATACAAATACTTTTAGCCAGTTGTCTATTGGTATTAAGAAATTGTTACAGGTCTTGATGAATTCTCAATACTTAAAAGCTGATGTAGACGGAGTGGTTCAGAATATATTAGAGGCTCACATTTAGCGTTATCTGGTGTTTATATACTAGTTAAAAAAAAAAAAATAAAAGGCAAAAAAAGGTAACGATAATTAACAATTCTAATGTATGATGTGTAAGTATTTATAATCTTTTATTTTCGTAATTTAATATATATCATTTATTTATAAATTCTACAGTTATTTTCATTCATTATTCCGTTAGTGATGACCGAGACGTAGTATACAAAATCATTCCTTCTATGCGTGAAAAATACCATTCTTCATCGTCATATCTTTAATCTAGGGTAACCTTTAATTCCTCTGCGTTTAAAGGAACAAAGCCCTCTAAAGTCTTATTCCCGCTCTTCAACAATAATCTATCATAGGCAAAGTTAGGAATTAACTTTTGATTCAATTTAGTATCAACGGAAAGTTCCCTGTCATCAAAGTCAAACAATTCAGGTAAATTTCTTGAATCAGGCTGACTTTCATATAATTGATAGTTGGCCGCATTCGAAGAGTAACTGTTGGAAGAATTTTGGTGGTGCGATGCTGAATTAGAATGACCATTATAATTTTGACTTTGTTGCTGGGAGAATAATTTTCTATAATTTGGAAGTTTCGTCTCAGAATTCCTCAACTCATCAAAATATGGATCACATAAAGCTTCGATGCATGAAATTCTATCAATAGGAGAATACTGCAAAATTTTGCTCAAGAACAGAATACAGTCATTTGGCATTTTTCTGAAGATCTTCAATAATGGTATTGGTTTTATTTGTGGGAAGGTGTATTCAATGTAGTTTGGATTCATATTTTTGATTTGATCCTTGGAGGGAGTACCCAAAATTTTGATGATTTCAACCAATTGATCTATACCCAGTTCACCTGGGAATAAAGGTTGACCCAAGATCAATTCTGCCATAACACAACCTGCCGACCAAACATCAATTTTGGTAGTATAATTGGTTGCACCGAAAATTAACTCTGGAGCTCTATAATATCTAGAACAAATGTATGAGACGTTTGGTTCGTTAGGATTTAAAATTTTAGCGGAACCAAAATCACAAAGCTTCAAGACTCCATTAGAAGGGTCAATTAATAAATTTTGCGGTTTGATATCACGATGACATATTCCTTGGCTGTGTATATAGTTGAGCGCTCTAAGCATCTGGTATGTATAAAGTTTGACTTCCAAAGAGGGCATCAGCAACCTTTTACTCACATAGTAATGCAGTGCCTTGTAAAGCGTTTCTGGAACGAATTCCAAGATCAAATTCAAGTAGAGTTCATTTTTTTCATTATTAGTGTAGAAATAGTGCTTCAAGTCAACTATGTTTCTGTGGTGAACCAATTTCATGATCTGCAACTCTCTATTTTTGAATCTCTTGTCTTGTAACACTCTTTTAATAGCAGCAATTTCATTAGAAGGGATCAACTGGGTCTGGAACACAACTCCAAACGACCCGTGGCCAACCATCTGTGATTGTGTGTACTGTATTGTTTCCTGCTCACCGGTACGGCCATTGTTGACAGTTTCTGTTACGATTTCTACTTTTGACATGTTAGTAATGTTATGCTAGGGCTATGCAAAAAGAAAAATAAGAGAAATGAATAAGGGAGTGAGATATATAACGAAAGAATGATTAAACGAAAACAATTAGTCAAGGATGGAAAAAATTAACAACAAAAAAAATAAATTGTAAAGACAACGTTGGTCTTAAAATTGGTCACTATTCTTCTTGACTCGAGAACGCCCTCAATTGTCTTCCTTGCCAGGCTCTTATCGATTTTTTGGCTCGTTGGTCTGTATCAAAATCGCAACTACAATAACAATAACAGAAAAATTGAAAAACACTTTTCTCTTGTGATCTGCGTGAAGTTTTTGAGTCTCTATAAATCAGCTTCCGTCAAAGTTGTCTGATTCTGTTGATTTCTTTTTTTTTTTTTCGAAGCTTCTATCAATTGTCAAGACACAGTAATGAACGTAAACAACTGTGAGAAGTCAATAACTTTTTCAGCAACTAAGAAAAGATATCAAGGAAGAAATTCGAACAAGTAGCAATTTTAATTTCTAATATCCTTACTAAAACATCGACTGGAGGAAGTGTAGAAAAAAGCGGGCGTACGTGCGCGTGCCGAAACTTGGGTCACGATTTCTAGCTTTTTTAAGTGGAGACACGAACAATTTTGAATTAGCTTTAATGTGGGGTGCGACGAGGTTTGCACAGTACACCCAATGGGTCTAGATAAAGTTTAGGCAGGAAAGATCTGAAAGGGGACAACAGAAAGTACATGATTCACAGGTTGACGATCGAAATATAGACAGGGGCCACCTGAGAAAGGTCAGCTTAGTTTGTCATTCGATTTGGTTCCATTTTTGCCTAGGTTTGATGTTTTATAACTAGTTGGTTATGACTTGGTCTAGGCCGTCTCAATCTCCATGATCTGTGAATTTTTTCCCATTCATTTTTTTTCTTTCTTTTTTTTTTTTTTTTTTGTTGTTTTATTCCATTTCATTTCATTTGACATTTTTGATTCGCTGTCCTGCATACGGTACAAAAACTTAATGACGTCGGAGTTCACCCCACTCCCCACCTCTCTTTGCAGGTCGAGAAGCTCATTTTGCCTTTCCCCGCGTTTTCGCTATTATCTTCTCTGAGAAATGCACCTGCCTGCAGTGGAACCCACGAAAGCTTAATGTTCAACTTAGACCGCTCTCAAATTATCATTTTTAGCTAATACTTCTGTCAAGGCAAGTCTTATCTCATCTTGTTCGATTTTGTAATCCATAGCTTGCTATCTAATTCGTTTCATCTCGATGAGGAATTTCATTTCACAGCCAGAAAATAAAAATAAAAAAAGGGAAAGAAAATTCAGTGATTTCAACTGATTTCATATAAATCAGTGAAAAAAAGTATTCATAAAATAAAAAAATTAAAATGGTAAGAGTGATAAAGCCTCTCACACATAGGTTTCGTATACATACCGATTTGCTCGCTCATTCTTCTATCTCCCACCTTTAATTTGTTGAGTAGACTTTTGGTTCTACTCTTCGTCATCGTCAGCTTGGTTTGGTCATAAGAGGACGAGGGCTTCAATTGGTGCCCACCCACATCTCTTTTAGATACTGTAGTTTTACTGGGCGAAGTATCACTATTATTATGATCCCCGTCATGATGGTCAGTTTTTAAGAGACTCTTGAATTTACTCGTAATCGAATTATTTCTAGATCTAGTCAGTGCTTTGGTGGCTGCGCTTTCATTGGGCACCAATGTCAGGCTCGAATCCCAGGGATTGTTGAATGCTGGAGGTTTGCTGTTAGTGATGTTGGTTGAGATCTCTTCAGGGTATCTACCATCGTTTCTTCTCATAGGTATAGGGTCTGCTAAAGGTTGATTCCAGCACTTGAAGTAACCAAATTCACCCGGCTTCCCACTTTTTCTCAATTCTCTTTTCGCATTCTTGTAATCTCTTCTTAGTTCTTTCTTTTGCTGTCTATTTTCATGATGATGCTCTTTTCTCTCCTGTCTAAGATCGTGAAAATGTTCCCTCTGTTCATGTTTGATCTCGTTTCTAATCTCTTTTTTCTCCTTGCGTAATTCTCTTTTCTCGTCTTTGTAGTCCTTCTTAATAGCTCTCTTGGTGCTCTTAGCATCAGCTGGAAAAGCAGACAGGTCTCCTTTCTCAAGATCACCACTTTTCAGCGCATCCTTTGGCTTGGACGAAATCTTGCAGGTCTTAACATGTTGATTGGCATTAGAATAGATGGGTTTATTCGCTATCAAATCCTTTATCACTGGAGTGGAGTAGTCATAGTTGTGGAAGTACTTAGGGTAGTACTTATGCATTTGAAATTTGGATTCAAGTTCTTCATAATCTATTTTCGGTTCATTACTATTGAGAATCTTGTCCTTGATAATGCTTGCCATAGTAAAAGTAATGAAATGCAGTTGTCTAGTGAAAATAAGTAAAGAAAATATTAGCTATGTGTGCTAAGAAGTAAAATGGAAACTAGTACTAAAAGTAACTAGTTAAATAATTCACGATTATATTAAAGTCACTTAGAAGTAGAAGTAAGAAAGGAAGAGATAGAAGAAGTGTCACGAAACTTGATCATGGCAATTTTCTCCACTACGTCCCACCATATGGTTTTTTTTTTTATTTTTTATTTTTTTTTATTTTATTTGCTATTTTACTTCTTCACCTGCTTAGAGAGTGTGATTTCATTCCAAACCTTAATTAGAATTTTTGCTTTCTCGACATTATCCCGTTCCACCCCGCTTCCTTCATTTTCAAAGTTAAATGCGAGCAATTCGCATGTCCCGACAATAGCCTACTAACACTTAGGCTGCAGCTTCAGAGTAATAGGCTTTAGCGTTGTCTTGGTCTTCCTGTGAATCACTTCAGCAAACCCGTAAATGGCTTCTCGTTTATACGGTACGAGTACTTTGCATAATTGGTCTGGTCACATCTTAAACGAGAATCCATAATCATCTACATGTCATTTATCATGCAGGGGGAGTACAATTAAGTGGCTCCGGCTTCTATTTTTTCCGTCGAGGATCATCACACCTGCAATGCAGACTTCCTCAGGAACCTAAACTTTTCTTTTTTTTAATTTTGTTTTGGGTTTTGGCATTTTCTTTATCGACGTCCTCTGAAGTGATGCTGGAGTCATCCTCACGCTCCGCCATCTCTTCATTGGATACTCTCTATTCTGCGAACTATATCACGTGCACTTGGTCTCTCACTTGATTGATATACCATCAAATCATCCCATAGCACACTGATCTCGTTGTTAGGGCACCTGGGGATTAGTTCGCTTGGACTCCTTCTTTCATTTATATTAAAGTTGAACATTTCAAACTGCTGATTTCCCTTCATTTCTGGCCAATATCTCTTGTCTTTTTTTTCGTCAATTGATTCTAAATTCGGTGTTCCAAACTGCAGGAATATAGAATGAATCAAACCAAGATCACTCCCGCTATCATTCTTGACGCATTCAAATCCATCATTTGAATACATTCTACTCACCAATACTCCCAATGACCAAATATCTATCGCTGTATCATAATCTGTTGTTCCAAAGCAAAGCTCAGGGGCTTTATAGCACCCAGTGGATACATCGGTATATTTTTCGTTGGGTGGCTCATCTGGGGGAGGACATTTCTTGTCGTAGAGAATACCAAAATCTCCCAACACTGGTTCGTAGACTTCTCCCTCTCTATTCTGCTTGAAGAAAACATTCGATGGCTTTATATCTCTATGTATTATTTGGCATTCATCATGTAGGTACTTTAATGTTAAGCTAAGCTTATAAAATATAAAAGTAGCTAAATCTGTGGGGAATTGATTTTTGAAGACATACTTATTTTGTTCCGGATTGCTCCAGTCGTACTTAACTGATCTCTTCTTGTGTGATACAAGCAAGGAATTTAAGTCGATATCATAGTATTCAGTGACAAGAATATCATCATCTCCAAACTTGTAAGAATTTATATACTGTAGAATGCCAAATTTTTCACCACCTACTTGCCCTTGAAGCTTTAAGAACTCTATTTCTCTTTTGATATTATGCGGTTTAACTAAAAAGTCTACATCTACTACTTTCAATGCTACAATTTTCCCATTCCTGGCATCCTTGGCTTTGTATACTATTGAAAGGGGACCAGTATATATCTTCTCTCTTTCGACATAGTCACTATTCATTAGATTTAAGATCTTCTTTGTAAATCTCTGGCTGGTGTACTTGTGGACTTATTTCATTAGGAAGAAACAGAATGAAATATTAAAATTTCATACGCACCAAAATATCCATGCCATGGAAAGTGATTCCATACATGGCATTCAAATGGAAAATGGAGATCCCAAGAATGCAAAAGCTTTTGTCTGCAGCTAGAGCATGATTTGGTATTATTTAGGCAAGTACATTCACAACGAATCATAATACATCTATTTCTATATATACGGTACTACACCTACAGTTGCACTATGTCTTCAAAAAGAAAAAAAGAGAAAAAAAAAAAAAGAAACCTAATCCAGGAAGCAATTGCTAATAACGTTACTCTGAGGTGACGTCCCCGTAGTAGCTTGATATCAGCTCTAGTGTCCCTGTTTCAGTGTAGAGCTTCTTGAGTAGGTATCTATCTGATGGATACCAAACGTACTAATTGTATTCTTCTTAGTTGTCCAAAAAGAAAGTTTTAGAAGACAATCGATGTCTTCAACTTTTAACTGGCATAATGTTCATTTCCCACTTATCTTTGCCTCTTTCTGTTCTTGGACTCATCAAATCCATGCCTCTTTCCTCCTTGCATTCCACTGATGATGTCGTTGTCATCCGTGTATATTCTTCTCTTGGGGTATTTGTATGAGAGGCCCTCAAATGCATTTTCACAGACTTTTGGCTGCTCTAAAAAGTAGGGATGAACCAATGCATTTTCAGCAGTCAATCTTTCTATGGGGTCGTATTCTAGTAACCCCTTCAACAACAAAAGACAGGATTTGTTCTGTCCTCCCACAGTTTTGTACCATGTGGCTAAATTTGGGTTATAGTTATTAGGCAATTGTTGTTTAAAGGACACATACTCTGGATACTTATTTAAAGATGGCCACTGTTCAGGGGTCGGTGTCCCTAAAATTTCCACAATCTTTTGGAATTGGTTCGTTTGAAAGGGAACCAGTTTCTTATTGTTGATGTCCATCTTTGCTTCCTCACCTTTAAATATGGGTCTTAACGACAACAATTCTGCCAAGATACAACCAACCGCCCACAAATCGATAGATGGTGTATAGTTCCTGGTCCCTAGTAATAGCTCAGGAGCTCTATACCAAATAGTGACAACAACCTTATCGCCGGTGTATAAACTCTGTAGTGGGTTATTGAATTTTCTTGCTAACCCCAAATCTCCTATCTTCACCACACCGTTAGAAGTTACCATAATGTTTGCTGGCTTTAGATCTCTGTGGAAAATCCAATTCTTATGGAGGAATAATACACCGTTTAAAATTTGCCATATTAAAGACTTTGTGGTCCTCTCTGGAATCTGTCTCACCTCTGGGTGGGAATGGTAATGAATAATTTGCAACAAGTCATGTTCACAAAATTCCAGCACAATGTAAATAGATTTGTTTTCAAGCAAAATATCCATAGTTTTCGTAATATTTTTGTTGTTGAGCTCTCTACATATGGACATTTCTCTAATAGCTGACTGAGATATACCAGTGTAATGGATAATTTCGTTACCATTAATATCGTGGTTGTATGACTTATTGCTCAGATGATTATCGTTCTTGAACTTTTTTATAGCAAAGAGCTGCTCTCCAGGTTCACCAGTAGACTTGTCTCCATCTTGCTTCGTTTGAGAGTTAGAATCAGTAATGGACGATGAGCCTGGCACCTGATGGTGTTGATTCAATCTCATAGTCTGATCTTGCGCTTGACTATTAGCATCCGTCGTAATTGACCTGCCTTGAGCTTGTAATTGCCCCTGCTGTAGTTGGTTGGCTGTATTAGACAGTTGCTGACCCTGTGCTTGGCCATGCGCCTGCGTCTGTACCTGAAGGTGTGCCTGTAGTTGAGTCAGAGGTTGAGCCGGTGTTTGAAACAGACTCTGCTGTTGGTTTATGTTTTGGGGTTGATTCTGGCTTGGATTTTGGCTCTGACTCTTGTTATGACCGTAGTGTGGATTAAGATGGTGACTGACATGATGCTGGTTCAAATGAAGAGAAGATATTGGATTATAATTTGCTGTAGAGCTGTTGTTTCCTGGGTGGTTGTTGGATGCATTGAACGAATTCACATTGTTGCCATTCACATGGTTGGTACCGTCGCCTGCCGTTTGGTTCATTTCATTCCTATTGTACAATGCTGTATTTGAAGCTTCCGAGCCATTCACCTCGTCTCCCTCTTTCTCCTGTGGCTTCTTCGATTTGGCCTTGTACACCTTCCCGTAGGTTCCAGCGGCAATGTAGCCAATGATCTGATACTTTGAAAGAACAGATTCTCTAGTTAAATCTTTTCTATGCTTGTAGGGGCCCACCGTTAGTATGGAATTCGAAGCCATCAATGTTGGCTGGGGCACCATGGACATTCCAAAGTGGTTTCTATTGTTAGCATTGGAGTTCGAGGATGCATTACCACTATTCATAGCCATGGAGTTGGGCATTAAACTTCCCGCTGCACCACCATTTACGTTCGGATTACCGTTCATGCTGTACTGATAATTCATCGCAAGAGATGGTATACTGTGATTTTCAAGATCAATTTTCTTATCGTTGTCTCTCGTTCACTAGGTGAAAAAGAAATGTAAACGAATGAGGAACTGTGCTGCTTATGTGTGGGTGTTCTGGCGGGAGAAACTCCAAGCGTTTTTTTTTTATATGCAGATGAATGCTGCAGAATTACGAGGACTAAGTTAATAGGAGGATTGAATAACCAGGTAGAGTGGCCCGAGGTTCTGTGAAGACGGAGACGAGGTTGGGAGAGAGCTTACTATGCTGAGAGGAAATCTGGTGACTGCTGATTTTGCTTGAAATGTTTGCTTGAAAAGTGGAAAACTGGTGGAAATTACAGGTGGTTGTTGATACTATGGGTTGCAGAGAAACAGAGAAATATTGAAAATTGTTATTGGAAGTGAGATTGGAAGTGGAAGTAGAAAGTTGAACAGTGGGGAAATGAAAAGACATTAAGTACTGTTCTCTACGCTTCAGTAAACTGCTTTTCTTATATTAAAACATAAGGCTGTTGTCCCTTGGATAAAAAAAATTTGCATAATATGTGTATATGTTTAATAATGTATACTGTTTCTTTGATGTTGTATTAAAGTGGCTCTCAATCAAGGTATACTCTATCGTCATCCTTACCTTCTAATTGGCCTCTAATGGACTCCATTTCCACTACGTCCTTCTTCCAGAGCTTCTTGGATTCAGCAGGCTGTAAACCTTTCACGAATAAGGAGTCGTCTGGCCTTCTATAAGAGCTACCAAGCCTATCCCACAAGGTGGTGAATTGTCCATAGTTGTAGTTAAAGTATAAGTGGTGTACGGTGTGGCACGCAGTACCATTGACAAATGGATCATTGGACATGTAATTTCCATCGTGGATCATAACGGTCCAGAAGTTGACGAAACTAAACAACAACAAGTATGACACCTTGTGCAATGGGAATATGAAAGGGTACCAATGGTATGGCAACGATTGGAAGTATCCATCCACTGGGTGGAATGCATGCGAGGCAAATGGCGTACACACAATCCACTTATGGTGAGGCTTGTGCAACAATTTGTAAACTGATGGCCAGTGTAACCATCTATGGATCAAATAAATAAAGCAATCAGTAAACATAATGAAACATGGGATCTGGTACATGACCGCCTTCCATCCGCCGGTGGACTCATCTACATTCAAATACAATCTGGAGAACCCATTAATTTCAATTAAGAAAAATGGGAGCGTGAGGAACACCATGACTGGAATAGCAGTGGATGCTCTGTGAATTTCAAGATAGATTTGATTCTTCAAGTACCTAGGGTGATTGAAAATGTTCTTATCGAAAACAAAAACGTACGACAAGTATGCTACCGAGAAATATAGGACCCATCCGAAAATGGCCGTGACTGTGAACATGGAGATAGCTTCCCTCAATATGTTGGACCTGGACAAAAGAGAGGCGTCTGTGTAGGCAGTTGCTGGTAAATACTTTGGCAATCCATAAACCTCATCCTTATTCTGGAAGTAAAGCACAAATGATATTAATTTGGCGATTATGGGGTTGCTTTGTCCTTGGTTGAAAAAGTCACGACCTAAAAGGTTGGATAATGTTGATTTTGTTGTGTTCAAAGGAGTTGATGTTGTTGATGACGATATACTTGATGCGATTTTTAGGTTTGATGTGAAAACATCTGGTAGCGAAGTGTTGGCTGGGAGTAACTTGGCGTAGACCTTATCGAAAAGATAATAGTCGCAAATCTCAAGAACGATATCCATGTTGCCCTGTGAGTTTGAAAAGAAAAAGAGCTAGCTCTATGTTGTCGCTAAAAAAATTTATTCTTTGTTATTTTTTTTTTTTCAAATATCGAATGCAACCACTCGGTACAAGTATAAATAACAGGGAAGGTAAAACGAAATGAAAGCGAATGTTATCCGTATAAATGGCCCTTTAATGTTTGGAACGTGCTTATTAGCAACTTTAATTCGGGAATAATACAAAAAAATAAGACAGGGAGCAGGCCAAAAAAAGAAAAATCAATAAGAAATGAAATACACTAGTGTTTATTTATAAGATTAATTAACGATATGCTAGTGAAAAGTTAAACGACGGCACAGTACGCATGCCTCGTATAGGATTGGGCCGATGATCGAAATTGCACAAAAAAATTCGAGAAAAAGAAATAAGATGGGTTTGGGCAGGTGCGGCTCGTGGATATAGTGGTGTTAGGTTGATCTATACGAGACAGAAGGTATTGTCAGTTGATGTCAACATGCTAAGTGGTAAGGTACTCAGTACTGTATTGAAGCGTGATGAATAATGCAAATGGGACGACTGGTAGAAATGGAGTGATACAGAAAGTATTTAACGTATGAGTATTGTTTACTGGAGTTCTACTTGTACGAAGGTATGGGATGAGATGTTCAGAAACGAGCGCAACTATAGAAGACACACACGGTACGATGAAGTGCGACAAAACCCTGAGCGGGTTTAATCGGATCAGCACTGAGTGTGCTTAGTTGAGAAGATCGTTATATGTATGCCATTGGGAAGACCGGCATGCTCGCTTTTTAGGAATAAAGAGCATGGTTCTCTCTGGTACTGTATGTAGGACTATATTATGCTCATATGGTTGCATTTCCATGCAATAGGGTCAGAGAGCCTGAATTACTTCGTTTCTGCGAGGGACTACTCTAGTTACCATATCAGAGCCGTTAAGTGACCATAGGTAGCCCGCATCGCCTCTTTCCTACAGTTGAGCCATTTTGGTTGCACGATCAGAGCCATCAAGCAATAGCAGATGACCCTTACTCATTTATATCTCTCTTTCTCATATTATATTATGGTGTTGGGCTATTAGTATAAATATATAAATATATATAGATGTATATAATTGGTTCGTTATCTTTATGTACAGAAATGGGATTTTATTATATGCTCTCTCTCGTTAGTGTCATCATCATCGAAATCCTCTTGGAAAATCGATGAAGGAAATGGGAAATTGGTAGTTAATTCGGTAACTGCTAGTTTACAGGGACCTTATTTCGTATTCTCAGGTCTTTGGTTAATTCTTTCAAAATCCACCTCATCCAAGATTTTCTTTGCTCCATTTTTCACCAATATCTCAGATAATCTTACGCCTAGTTGGTTTGCTTCTTCGTTAGATGTGACTTTATCTATAATTTGGCCCTCAACGAATTCTTTCCCATCAGGCGAAACAACTATACCTTTGAATAATAACTCTTGTGTCTCGCTGTTATAGTTGGTTTGTACCCCGATTGGCACAGAGCACCCACCTTCCAATGACCTCATGAGAGACCTTTCAGCTAAGCATTTATAAGTAGTTGGCTTGTCTTCCAAAGTCTTCAACAATGATTTCATTACTGGGTCATCTTTTCTGATTTCTACTCCCAAGGCTCCCTGTCCAACAGCGTAGTACATCTCTGGGGCATCAAGTCTACATGTGATTCTGTGGCCCAAATCCACCCTATCCAATCCGGCCGCAGCCAAGAGTAAGCATTGAAATTCAGTTTCTGGGTCATCCAATTTCTTTAATCTGGTTTGCACATTCCCTCTAACACTTTCAAAGCGTAACTTAGGGTGGTGTCTCATCAATTGAGCCAGTCTTCTGACAGAAGAAGTCCCAACCATGGATCCATCGGGTAAATCGCTGAGCAGCTTGTATGGTAATCCAAGGCCCATCACAACTGCATCTCTAGGATCTTGTCTATCCAAGACACAACCTAATTCAAACTCATCTGGCAAATTTGTGGGCATATCTTTAAGCGAGTGAACGATCAAGTCGAGTTTGGGGAATTCCTCCATCTCTTCCAATAGTAAGATTTCTAATTCCTTTGTCCAAAGAGCCTTCCCACCGAATGAGTACAACGGTTTGCTTTGAACATTATCGCCCAAAGTGGAAAGGGCCAATATGGAGCATGATAATTCAGGATATTTCAGCTCAATGATGCTCTTGACTATTTCAGATTGAACCACTGCCAACTTGGACTTTCTTCCACCGATTTGGATATGATTATTTGGGATATCGAAAGTCATCTTTCAATGTCAATGAATTGGTACAAAAATAAAATAAAAAAAAAAGTATGAAAAAGATTTCCGACACTTTGGTTAATGATTCAGTAGGGACGAAACTGGGAAAAAAAAAATATATAAAAAAATTCTTTTGATCGCTATGGAAAACAATATGTAGTACACTCTATATTATATATTGTCCATAAAACCGGATGCTAGAGCCGTCTGTGATGTTCAACAAGTGTTTCTGGCCAAACAGTCGAAAAAAAGTAAGCGAAAATTTTGAAAAAATAAAATTAAAAAGAAATCATTGATCGAAATCTGAATGTGCGATGTGCGAGGTGCAGAAGAACGTTAAACAAGCAAATGATCGAGCAGTAAAAAGTAATCAGAAAGCGTAGAGGGTTAAACGAAAGAAAAAAAAAAGAAAGGAAAGCATTTTAGTGACCAAGAAAGGACCAATCGGGCAGCATTATAATTTTGGGAATGCTTTGTTGCTTAAGAGGTAACAACGCGTGAATGGACGGGGGGACTGCTCGAATGCTACTTGTCGGTACTACTGTTTCTGCTGCTTAGGTTGACATAGCTTGACTTTTGAGCTCGGTTCAGGAATTGTTTACTCGATTCGGTTTAATAATACTCGCCGCTCTCGAGGTTGCAATTTTTTTTTTTTTTTTTTTTTTTTTTCACTTTCTATTACAGTGGGCCCCAAGTTCAAGTGGTACCTACAACGGTAATGAACCATTTTCTTCTATATTTCAGAGCTACTTATTTATTATCTATATGCACCTAGTACTAGTCATGTTGTGGTTATGCTTCCCGTTTCTTCATGAAACTATGTATTGTTTGTTTGTCCGATTTTTCAATGCTATGTGTGTGCACTTCACTGTAGCGCATACTTAAAATCTGCAACCATTTGCTAAGTATTCTGTACATATCGGCTACCCTATGCAATGCAAAACCGAGCTAATCAGCTCCCCCATGCAAAACCTAAATTATTATTCACTTCCCTGTATCTTAGCTCAATCTTAAGGTTACATGTTATTTCCTACTTCTTCATCGCTTATTGACTCAATCGATGTCACCAGGTCAACTTCATTGAATGACTTCGATTCAGATGTCTTGTATACGTTTTGAAAATCTAGCGACTTAAAGGCAAATGTGTCTTCCGTGGTTGGTCTGTATGGTTTGACTTCTTTAATATCTCTACTTGGACTAAGTTCTTTGTCCTTTACCACTTCAGTAAACAAATTTTCAATTTGATTTAGCTTTTGCATTATCTCATTTTCATTCCTCATATCCCTGTTTGTTCGACTTCTGGACCTTTTAATATCGGAACTAGTTCTCATTGTGTCAATGACTGATATGCCTCCTGCAATGCCCTCCAATTGTTGGCCATACCTTCTGTGAAGCATTTCATCAATAAACAACGAATCGGTAGAAGCACTTTTGAAGTTCCCAAGTGTGCTGATGGATTGTACCGGAACAAGAGTGTTTTCGAATATACTATGTTTTCTTCCTCCCATACTGTGGTTAGTACTAGCACCGACATGACTGTTGTGGCTGTCATTATTATTAGATGGAGCATTATTATTATTATTGTTGTTGTTGGAAGAAAAGAATGGACTATTCATGCTAGATAGTTCAGGTATTACTGAACCCTTTCTCGATTTTCCACCTATTTCATCGTCAACAATCATATCGGAGTCGCCGTAGTAGTCTTTATCTCTATCTAAAAATGTGAAATGCTTCATATCAACCCCTCCACGGCGACTATTTTCTCTCTTGTATAATTGAGACTGAACTATTTCGTACAAGAAGATCATGATAATTATGGGAAATTTGAATATATCCATAAGTTTGTGCACCGTAACTATGATAAACTTTGAAACTAATTGAATCATTGAACAACCATTATTAGTATTGTTATTGTTATTGTTATTATTTTTCAATTCATTATAATTCAATTTTTGAAATATCCGAGATGTTTGCTGGTAAATGATTATATTCGTTGCCTTAAAATAGTGAAATTCTTCTCTATTGGTTGCAGTGATCTTATGAAAGACTTCACTCAATACAATCGCCAAGATTGTTGCAATAACAAATTGAACGAGAAATAGATACCCCATTTGAGTAAACCTACCCAATGTGTTATAATTATCCCAATTATCCCATATAGAAGGTGTAAATCCGAAAAATACCTTCAACATGCTAAATAAAATTGACGACGATGTAAGGTTCAATGATAAGGAAATAAATGAAATATAAAATCCACTAATTAACGAGATGAATAAACAGAACAACCCAATCATTTTCCAAAGCATTCTTTTGAATGATAATATGATCATATTAAAGAATTCGTAGTTGTTAAAAATACTTAAAATTCTTGGTAAAAGTATAATTGAAATTATGCTGAAGAAGTTATGAAATATTTCACTTGCACCTTTACTAGTAGAACCTCCATCTGCTAAAAAAATGTAAACTCTCAATAGCATCACGAAATCCAATAACCCTATCAAAATTAAATCAATATAAGTCCAAATAATTTTCCTAAGAAACTTAAATCTTATGAGCCTTAATTTGATAAACGTTTCAAAGTTTATATTCAAGTTGATCAACCAAAACAAAATCTCAACAAATTGGAGCCACCTATTATCTTGTATTTGATGCTTATGTTTCAAAATTAATAGAAAATAAAATACTGTGAAAACTATTAACTTGATGTTAATGACTAAAGATTGATATTTAGGCACACTTTCGGATCTTATCTTTATTAAGTTCATTGAAATCCTTTGAAACCTATAATTTGCAACATTTTGACTTAAGAGCGATTCTTCTTCGTCACCACTACGGTCACCGCCAGTTTGGTTCTCTTTGATTATAATATCTCCATTATATATCTTATCCATAATCTGGGTTACAATTGGCTGAGAGAGAAACTTTTTGGATTTGGCAAGAACTGACAATTCTAGGGTATTGAATTTCTCTGCACCTAAAGGTTTGACGAATAACATGTTTATTCTATTATTTGATCTGTATTCTCTCAACATCCTTATAGCAAGTATTTCACAGATATTGGCCTTTGTGGTCAACAAATCGAAACTAATTAAATTGTTTTCAGACTGAATGATGTATTCATATCTCAATAACAACAATATAAATACAACACATTGAGAAATTGTACCATTAATTCCATATCCTGAATTATAGTAGTAGTTACTTCCGTTCAACTTCTTCGACAAAGTGGACTGCGCAGAAATCTCAATTATAGTAATAGTTAAGGGTTTGGTTATTTGCGAGTGTATCTCCGGGGTTCTCAATAGTTCATATTTAAGACTTAAAATTACATTCTGGTTTATCAATTTTTGAATCTTGAAGTATAAATATTTGAACTCGAGGTACTTAACATTTTTCTCCTGTAAGGCAGAATGATTATTCGCAAAGCTATAGCTACTTGACCTTGGGCCAGCCAACATAGTTCAATATATGTACTCCTAGCAATAATAGATAGTGAGCAGTTGGGACAAGACTACCTTTCTTATCTCATCCCTTTGCCTTTCCTTTTTTAGAGGGATCCTTTTTTCCAACTCCGATTTATTGTTGCTACTACCAACCCCAGGTTTGGTGATGCCTCATCAGTGCTGCAGAGATACGAAAAGTAAACATAAACACGTGATCTTTAAATGACGTAGTTCCAATCTAGTATAGACCGAGACTTTTAGTGGTTGCATATTTCTGTACCCCACGAAAGTGAACATATTGAAACTACTCTTACTGTAATTAGTTGAGAATATGAGTAATTATCCTAACTTAGGTAAACGACGCTAAACGGTATGAGAGGGGGTAAACAGAACAAAGAGATTAGAGAAAGTAGTTTAAGGTACTTTATATACAATTAATCTTCTACTTAAGCTAATTACTTACTCTATGTATAAAATCAAATGCTTTTCTTCCATTTTCATCTCCGAGCAATTCTTTCAATTCGTCTGCAGAAACCGCAACCAAGTCTTCAATACTTCTAATTCTAGTAATAATTTGAAAGTAATTATTATTGTTTATACCCGGAATGTTCTTTATTAGGTCAATGGCATCGTCATTATACATAGGTGGATTGTCCGTGTCTCCATACATTACTCCCTTAGTTATTGCTGCCGCAACATCGGGCTCCTCCTGTTCACGTTTCAAAGTTAAAAATATTTGAGCAGTTTCGTAAGGAGATGATGACCAAATGATTTTTAATTTAGGAAATCTGATAAGTAAGGTCACTATTTTCTCCTGAATTGCTTCTTGTTTCAGTTTTACTGGCTCTCCAGTTTCATTTTTATTATCGTTTTTAGCGTTAGGACCAGTTTTCTTAGAATAGCCAAACGGTTCCAATGAAAAAGAATTGTCTTCAGAAAATTCGATTAATAACGTCGGTAATTCATAATTCCTGAACATCTGCTCACATTGATCAACTAACCTACCTGAGTTGAAACTTGAAATTAAATCCGAAATGGACTTTCTTTCGACACAAATCTTTGGTGTTAAAATATAATCACCAACAGTAAGCATACATGGAACTAGTTTAAATCCGGCCCTATACAATAAGTTGGGTAAAGTTGCATTGAATTCTCTAACATCCACGACAACTTTAAACTCATCTTCTCCTGTTCTGAAATTTGATCCACCAGCAATTCTAGTATTTATGACATCTTTCTTAGTGATATGGAATTTATTGTTTTCCAGTGATTGAGAAAAATGTTTACTTAAATTTGCTCTTTCTCTAATTATTCTGTTGAATGCTTCTTTCTCCCTTTTTAAACTTATATAATATTTCTGTTCTTCAACGGATCCATCATAGTACATCAAATAAGGTCTTGCCGGCGTGTTTTTGTGAATTGCCTGGTATATTTCAACTTTACGAACAAACGAAACATTTGGTTCGTACATAATAATGTAAGATGGAGACAATTCCAAGAGTAAGGAATCATTGGTCTTCTCGTCATACACTTCGAAAACTATCTGATCTGAAAGATTGATATTTGTAAATTGAAAGTTCTCAGACGCTGCATGTAAAAATCCGCCACTTCCAGCTTCATGTTCCTCAAGAATCTCTATATCATTCTCATTGTCGGAAGCAATTATTTCTATTCCATCTTCTTCTTCAGCGATTCCATCACTCACAACTTCTCTTTTTAAACTCAGCAATATTGCAGGATCAAGCTCCACTGCCTCACTATTGGCCTCTGATGCATAATAGAGTCTATTGACATTGGCAACAGCTGCTGCTCCCCTTGTTCTTCTTCTCTTACTTAATGGATGGCCCTTTCCCCTGGTAAAAGTTTTACTAATATTCAAGTTTTCATCATCCTGCTCAGTATTATTTGATAGTTGTCCTGTAGCACTTTTGGCATTGGAGTCCTCTTCCATTTTAGTAGAAATCTTTTTAGTCAATGAAGTTATATCTTTCCACTTGGTGTAATTGTTTAATTCTTTAACCATGTATTTCCTCGCACTGAACCTCTTCTTACCTGTCATTGTGTTTTCTTCCTTTTTCATATTTGCTAGAACACTTTTAAGCTGGTGAATTGTAGATACTTGTGAGCACATAATGAGTATAGGGCCCTCCACGTCACTATCTTTGTATTGCTTCTCATATATTATGTCATCCAATAGTATTCCAAGCTGATCCCACTTGGGCTGTTCTTCTAAGGTATACCTTTCTTCGTCTTCAATAACGTTGTTATTCTTTTTCACTACTTTCCCTAAGGCTCTCTCCTTAGCATAACTAATGACAGTACTGGCATCATCAACATTAAGCCATGGCAGCATGGACACACCTCTTGAATTTGGTTTAAAGCTCTGCATATATATAGCTTGAACTAATTCGTAGAACGTTAATGAGTCCAACGAGATTAGCCCCTCCATGAGAGAGCTCAAAGTTTTCAAATCTTCCACTAATTTTTTAGAAGTCCAAGAAACTCTGTGCCAATCTGGCCTCAAAGTAGCTTCGATCCTCCTGATGAATTGAATATCGTGCATATTTTCAATGTCCCAATATTCGGTTGCAGCCTGAGAGTTGTGCCTTTTCAACTCAGAAAGGCATTCTTTGAAACAAGATACTATGGCATTTTGTATTTTAAACATCATAGGAGTTAGCTTGATTTTAATTTCAACGGCATTTTTCCTCTTATCTTGTTCTCTTCTTTCTCTGGTCAGTAAGTTCTGCTCGCCAAAACTTAAAGTTTTCATAACATCAACCCTATATCGGGGCCATAAGAAAACATTTGATATAGCCAAAGCTCTTAATTTCAATTGCAAGGGAGAAAATCCAAAAAATGATTCAGGTTCGTCTGTAACTGCTTTTACAAACCCCCAGTCGTTCCCACCATCTCTGTATAGATTTACAATAAAAGACGTTTTAGATTTTTCATCTACAGTTTCAGCATGAAGGATGAAAAGACCAGTCACATCATTTGGTTGTATTACGCCAGAAAGGAAATCAACCACCAAAATCCTACCTGTAATTGATATTATACCACCTTGTGAGTACAATTTAGATCTTCTGTCTGCTGTAGTAGACTCATTGTTCAATATTATGAACGGACAATGCGATCCATTATCTTCAATATCAATCCAATTCAACTCGTTTAGCTCTTCACTTATCTTAGCATTTTCTTCGTCTCTAGCATTCAATAAGAATATAAGAGGTCTTTTCCTAGAAGTTTTCAGAGTTGGTGTGCTTAATGCATGTAACAAGTTAGACGTTAAAGGCTGCCATCCAAGTCCTCTTCCTAGAATCAAGAGACCATCTTTGGTTAGCATGTTTTCTAAAATTGTTTGTTGGTATTTGAGTGGTAAGGAACATGATACTATATGATCAGATACTCCTTCACTAGAATCATCTTCTTCTACAGCATCATCTGATATTATATTGCTCTCCGGTATTACTGTTCCAATGTTACTACTTTGAGGTTCATGTTCTTCATCTTGCTCCACAAATAGTGATCCACTCCTGTCACCGTCTATATTTGACAATTGATTCTGTAAGTCATCATCATTTTCGTCCTCATTAACGAACAATAGAGACATTATTAGCCAGTTCTGACTGGAGGCACGAAGGAATAGCAAAGAAAACCATTTACATTATCTTGCTACCCATACAAAATGTTTCGCATCACTATTATCTCCGATATGAATATCGAAGAGATGGGGAAGTAGAAAGAAAAATAAATGTCTATGAAGTAGACAGGTTTATTTCCATATATGCTACATACATATACATATACATATACTCATACATATTCAGGTACCTGATGTCTTTCTCTCCAGAAAATTACCTTCAGACATCACAGTCGTACACCCAATCTGCGATGACCTTTACAGTGATGGGCATCATTGATATAGCCAATTCCAAATTGTCGCAGATCGATAAGTGGAAGGATTATGAAGATCCACATAAGGCGTCAGTCGATAGACTAAATAAAGGGAGGAATCACATTATTCGAGAATTGAAAGATGACAACGACGATAATGGTACCGCAATTATACCGACGGGAAATACTCTCTATAAGCTTACCTTAAAGGACTCTGAAGATAACTACTGCTATGGGTATGAGTATATGGACAAATTGCCCTTTTTGAGGAAAACACAGAAACCCGCAGGAGATAGTGGTAGCTCGCCATTACCTATCCCATTGGGAAGTAGAATAAGGATAGAAAAGGGAACGCTAATAATGAATGGGGTTTTGATGCTTACTAGAGTCCAGTGCCTGTACTTAGGGTTGCTGGACCATGACAAAGAACTATACCAAAAGTTGAACCTGGATATCGCAAAGAAGAATATCCAGTATTTAACAGGAGAGTTAAAAAGCCAGAAGTAAAATGCATAGATTGCTTTTATTTTCTAAAAAATTATGATATATAGAATACAAGTGCTTGTATATATAAGTATGACTGGTTTATTGGTGAGAATTTTCCTTCTACAAGTCTATTCACTGCTAGTCAAACAGGCTCTTCTTCTCCCTCACTTATTTGCCGTTTTCTGGCAGGTGATCAAATCTTTAGTCATTTACCTAATAATGAATTCCATAATGCATACTCATCTTTGAAATCATGGTGGATCAAACTAACCAAGTAGTAGTCATCATAAATGGAATTTAATAATTGGAACGATTTAGAATCCTTCTTGTAACATCTTGCCCATTCTTTCCACAAGACGAATGCTTCTTCATTCCAAGCTTTGAATGAATCAATGTCAATTAATGTAGGTTGCAATACTTCTCTGGATGGGAAAACACCCCAAGTGACTGCATTTTTCGTAGTGTGGCCGCTTCTTTCAGATTTAATATTAATGTTGGATTCAATTTCGTTGGATGAGTTACCTAAGTAATACGTTATCACCAAATCATCGAAGTAGGATTGTAATTTTGGTTTTAAGTTTTCGTTCCACTCCTTTTTAGGTACGAAAAGTTCTACAAATGACTTTTGATATATTAATCCAGATTTAGGGCCCCATCCAAATATCTTGTCAGTAGAAAGACATCCATCGACAGCTGGTTGAGAAGCTAAGGAGAACCAACCTTTATGATTTAATTCAAATAACTCCTCTTGAATCAATGCAGTCTCTGCTGACAATGGGGCGTCGACCCATGGGAGTAATTCAATTTTACCGGATAAGTACGATACGAATATTTTGGTAATATCTTTGACGGATTCAGGTTCACCCCACTTCACTTTAGCCTGTTCTGAACCTGAAATTTTCAAACTAGGTCCATACCCATCGATTTCACCATAGGCAGGAGAATTGGAGTCACCAAATCTACCGTTAGGGAAATCATCCCAACTGGCATCTTTTCCCAAGACCCCCTTACCCTTACTAATATCAACCAAAGTGTTTTTGTCGTTGTAGAGTGCCTTTGATACTTTCACAGTATTGGCATCAGCTACGCTATTCTCGTTTATAATTGAACTTCTTCTTCTAGTTTTAAGATGTTTAGTGTTAGGAGGAGCCAAGACTGAGACATCTGCTTCATCGCTATCATCATCGTCTTCAAATGGATCTTCGTTGCTTGTTCTGTTATCGAAAACTCTCTTCTTGTTAACTATATCTTTTAGACTATCAGATTCATTGACGATCGATGCAACGGCCTTTTCCAAATTCAAACAGTAGAAATGGAAACCTTTCACTCTACCATTAGTGCCCTTGTTGATCTTGTCGATTATGTCAGTTAAAATGTTAACCCCAATAGTCTTAACATGATCATCATCCTTGATGCTAGCTGTCAATAGCTTTTTGTGGATGGAATCTGGGATCGATGCATGTGATAATTTGGTAGCTCTTGAAAAGACTTGGTACGTCGTTATAGGCATTAAACCGGGGATCAATGGGATTTTACTCAAAACTGGTGAACTCTGCAATAACCTTTCAAACTCTAAGAACTTATCCAGATCAAAAAACAACTGAGTGATGATGAAATCTGCACCTGCCTCCACCTTTTCAACCAAGTATGGTAAATCTTTGGAAAGATCTTGATTGGAGGCATCGGATCCTTCGACATGACCTTCTGGGTAAGCCGCTACACCAAGACAGAAATAGTCACCATACTGTTCCTTGATATACTTAATCAAGTCAACAGCATAGTTGAAGTCGCAGTTGGGAGTCCAGTATTCTTGAGTTCTTGGTGGATCCCCTCTAAGAGCCAAAATGTTTCTTATCCCACTCTGTTTGGCCAATTTCAAGGCATTATCGATGATTTCCTTATTGGTATTCGTGCAAGTAAGATGCAAAACAGTTGTCAATCCCAACAATTTTTGACACGTTGATGCCAACTCTAGAGATTTTTCACTGGTAGAACCTCCAGCTCCCCAGGTAACAGTGACAAATAATGGGTTCAAGTTCAGCATTCTGTTCAATCTGGCGAGCAAGTTTCTGAACCCTCCATCGGTCTTCGGTGGGAAAAACTCAAACGAGTAGAACTTTTCATCTGGCCCTAAAGAAGCAATTTTTTCCTTTACCGTAGACATCTTGAACAATCAATAAGTAGTATCAGTCTGGTGTTGGAACAAAAATCTTGAATCTTACCTGAAATCAGATCAATCAACTCAAACTTTAAAAACCTACAAGGACTGAAAACGCTGACCGAAGTCAAAGGGTCCGAAATTGACTGAGAAAAAATAGAAGAAAATGAGTAAGGGCACGTGACTTGGAGATCATATCTGCCCAATGCATGTGGTGTGGAGAGGTAGTGAAGAGGTGGTTGCGAAGAGCTAGTGTAAAGGTAGACCGGCATTAAATATAAAGTGTATATTAGTAGAGGTGAATAGTTAAATTGAGTATTCGTTGGTATGTGGTAGGAAAGTTGTGGGAGTGTGGAAGGGAAGCAGCAGAAGAAGGGGCAAAGTCTTCATCGGGGTAGGCTCAAGTCAGGGAGGAGGTGGGAAAGCGGTAGTAATAGTCCAGTCAATTTACCAGATAGACATCCCACGATCATAAGGTGCATACTCTAAGACCTGCAGGACAATTCTTTCCCGAACAGAGGGAGTATTTTCTGAGTGAAAGAGTTTTTTTAATAAAGGAAAGGGTCAGAGTGTCAGTTGTTGTATACTGGATTTTTTGTGCACTGTAATGATTGCGCTAGTGTTATTTCATGAAAAATGGTACTTCGTATTTCAGTCTGATCTTCTCTCTCTCTTCCGCTTATTTCTCCTTTGTCATCTCGCTCCCTCGCTGCCTCCCTCATCATCGTTGGCTCATCATTTTACCATTACACTGCACTGTACTCCCCTCTCGTGTTGTTACCTGTGACCTTTTCCATGATTTCCTTTATAAAGTTAGGTAAGCCTCTCAACAAGTCCACGAAGTTCTCCAAAACTTCACGGAGTGCACTCTGGAAGTCAATCGAGTTCGACTTGTGGTACTGGAACCAAGCTCCACCAATAATGTAGATACTCAAAAACAATACCAAAAAGATGAATATCCACGTAAACCAGCCCCATGACTCACCCTTATCGTCATTCTTTGGTGGAGGAGTCTTTGGCTTATCTTTGTTTCCGCCATCTTTCTTTGCACAGCCAGCTGGGCCATTGAACACTGCGCTGAACTCGGTGCCAATTAGCTCAACTTCAACGTCCTTATCGTCCTCACTACATACAAACTTCAAGGACGCCAGGTAAAGATCTGGCCCCCAGGATAAGTTTTCCATCACCACTTCCAACCCACTATTGGTTTGCTTATATGTCTTGGACAATGAGTTGTCAAAGCTCTTAACCTCCGTCAATACGTACTTATCGTTGATTAAGACTTCTGTCAACCCACAAATGTCAGAATCCTTCGGACATGCTTTGTCCTCCATGGGAGAGCACATTGCCACGTACCATGTTGTTCTCTTCTTAGTTGGTGGAGTATCCACTTCTTCTGTGTATTTGTGAACACCTTTGAGCAACTCAAGATTGTAATCGGAGACTTCACTTGCGGAACAGTCAAATCCTGCCAATGCTGGCTGCAAAATGGATGCTAAAGTAAGCAAACCCACTGAAATGTTTATGTTTACCATGTTAGACTATATCGTGATATATTTGCAGGGTTACAGGTCCAAAGTTGATATACAAGTAGCTGCTTCTGTGCTTCACCTAGCCTTTGCCCTTATCTTCTTGCTAAAACATGAACGACTGGAATTTCGCGCCTCCAAGAGGCAAGTCCGGGTTACATGCAGGATATAAAACCGCTCATTTGGTGGAAAAAAGCTGGTGCTGGTGTGGTACTCACGTGAGCTAGGGAACTAGTGTGCAAGCATTCAAGCAACAAGTAAAAGGATGCTCTGTGAGAAAGGATACAGCCTGAACACACCATCGAAATGCTGCAAGGTTTCAGATTTCTAGCTTTTTTTTGGAGCAAATGAGGGAAATGGGGCGGTCTACGTAGATATTGACACTTTTGAAGGAAAAAACCGCAAGGAAGAAGCACTTACACCATACTTCTGTTTCTCTCTTCAAAGGCAGCAGTGCAACTAAGATAACTTTTTGACAGCATTGTCAATAATAAGAAAAAAATAAAAAAGTAAGAAAGTAAAAAAATAAAATAATAAAAAAAAAAAAGTGTCCTGCTACTAGCGATTATTGTTTCGCTCGCTCTCACCCTTCATAGCGCATACTTCTGATGTGCCCAATACGGTCTAGTTCTTCACCTTATTCCACACCATTTTTCCCACCGCACCGGGAGAGTATCGAAATTCTCGACCTAGAACTCTTTCCTGTCAAGGAATCTGGATACCCTGATTACTTTGGTGTTGGTACTGCACGCACTTGGTTGACCTGGAAAATTACATTACCTATTTCATTCACCCCACTTTGTCTTCCCGAGGTTTTCTCTCACTTCCACATGTGATGTAATCATGGGGAACTGGAAATTATGCTCCACAGGTGCAGAAGAAAATTTTTGATTCACCTGACTCTGGGGAAGCCGGTTGTGGAACTGTTTTCTTCTTTTTCTATTCTTTTCTTTCCTTTCTTTTCATTCTTTTCATTCTTTTAATTCTTTTATTCATTCTTCTTTACCTTTGTCTTGGTATTTTCATATTTTTGGCTTTTGTATTTACTATATATTATTATTTTATAATGGTTAAAGTAACTGTTTGTGGTGCCGCTGGTGGTATTGGACAACCATTGTCCCTCTTATTAAAATTAAACCCCAAAGTGTCTGAGTTGGCACTTTTCGATATCGTTAATGCAAAAGGTGTAGCTGCTGATTTGTCACACATTTGTTCTCCTGCTGCTGTTACAGGTTACCAACCATCATCCAAGGACGATAAGGAAACCATCAAGACTGCCTTGAAGGGTTCCAAGCTAGTGGTTATCCCAGCTGGTGTCCCAAGGAAACCAGGTATGACCAGAGCCGATCTCTTCAATATTAATGCCTCCATTATCAGAGACTTGGTCGCAAATATCGCCAAATCATGCCCTGACGCTTCAATTTTAATTATATCCAACCCAGTCAATTCCACAGTCCCAATTGCTGCCGAAGTTTTGAAGAAATTGGGAGTCTTCAACCCTAAAAAGTTATTTGGGGTCACTACCTTGGATTCTGTTAGAGCTGAAACTTTCCTTGGTGACCTTATCGACGTTCCTGCTGCTTCCTTGAAGGGCAAGATTTCAGTAATTGGTGGCCACTCTGGTGATACCATTGTCCCCTTGATTAACGTTGACAGTTCAATTAGTGGTAAAATTTCAAAGATACTGTCATCTGACTACAAAGCTTTCATCAACAGAGTTCAATTTGGTGGTGATGAAGTTGTCAAGGCTAAGAATGGTGCTGGTTCCGCCACCTTATCAATGGCATACGCAGGCTACAGATTTGCCGAAAACGTCTTGAACTCGTTATCATCTGGTTCTCCATCTGCTGCAATTCCTGATTCTGCTTATATCTATCTCCCAGGAGTGCCAAATGGCTCAAGCTTGGCTTCAAAATTAGGTGGTACTGATTTCTTCTCGGTTCCTGTTGTGCTTGAGAATGGTGCTATTAAGTCATTTGTCAACCCATTTGAAAAATTAAAGATCACAAAAGACGAACAAAAGTTGGTAGAGGTTGCTTTAGACGGATTAAAGAAGTCTATTGATCAAGGTACAGCTTTCGTACAAGCTTCAAAGTTGTAAATTAGCTTAGGAATTTACAATAAACTTCATTTCGAAAAGAAAAAAAAGAATTTCTATACACACAATTGGATTATTTATGTATTTATTGGCAAGATAGTGCCTAGGTAGTCAGTAGAGCCTTAAAACGACGTACGAGAGTTTAGATTTATTGTAAGCGAACGACTGTGGCTATATGGTTAACAATAAAAAAAAAAGCTTGATCTAGCCGAGGATC